ACTTTGGGGTTCTTATTTGTGCTTCCTCTTTTAAGCTTCCGAGTTTGAATTAACTTTGTCTTACGTAATAATAAAAAAAAAAAAAAAAAAAAAAAAAGAAAGAAAGAAGAAGAAGAATTAGAAGCAAAAAAAAAAGAAAGTAGGCATGCTCTGGTACATTTCAAAGCTTAAATGAAACAATGCCAAAGACGAGTTTGTCGTCAGCTTCCAGAAGACAGACGTCGACGTCTCCCTCTGCGCTATTTGTCTGTTCCCGACTAAAGACTAGTCTGTTGTATCGATTGTTTTTCCTTCAGCTGCATACTCACTAGCATCGCTATGCGTTGCTCGGCTTTTAATATTCGGTTGTTTGATTTTACCACATTCTCTCTACATATTGGAAATGGTATGAGACCCGCCTGCATATACTCTTATCTGGGCATTATGAACACTTTCCTCTTTTTATCTTGGCCAATGAAAGGCAAGTATAGTCTATTATGCTGCATATTTTGCTATCTGAGCTTAGTAAATTGGTGGCAGATCGAGGTTTAGGAAAAAAGCGAAATATCAAAAGCGTTACCCGAATAAGGTACAGAGAAAAAAGTGGATACAAGGGAAAGTGCAGAGCGACTCTTCTATTCTTGCTTTCTTCTTGGTAGAGTCCTTGAATTTGCTTCTTACATAACAGAAGAAGAGCGGTCTAAGCGCGTACGTTGTCTCGAGAGTTCAGAAGACTTTTTTGTCATCAACAGTGGTACTCATTAGTAAGATAAACTCTAAAAGAAACTTAAATTAAGCATCACACTCCTAAACATTTCGAGCTAGATCATTGTGTACACCAGTTTGTTCCCTGAAAAATGACTGATTCAGAAGTAGGAGATGTCAAACTCCCTCCGTTCTCTTTCACAAAGAAACCGGTTACTCTGATACATCCGAGCCCTCATTCTGCCATCTCTGACATCATTCCGAACTCATCGGTGGTGAGAGGGGCGGGAGAGGGTAACAGCTCTTTGATCCCACCCAGCGACATCACTACAAACCCAAGCTTGTACAACAATATTGACTACGACGAGCAGATAAGAGCACCAAGAATGAACAACATAAATTATTACACGTACAATACAGCCAGACAACAGACTGGCGAGAGGGGTGGCAGCACAGTTAGTGGAGTGGGATCAGGTTCCATTTCTTCTTCGCGCAAGGATTCTGGCGAGAGCAAGGATAATTCAAGTACACCATCAACCACAGCAAACACATCGCCAAGCAACGACGCCAAAACTCTCGGCAACAGAGACAGCGATGAAAACTACCTCCCAGCCAATTTTGACTTGAACCAGCCAATCAGGAGATTTTCCACTGCTTCAAATAATACTACGTCAGAATCTCCCAAGACTGCCATACTCAACTACACCACTAACAACTACATATATGAGCGGAACCAGGGACCCCGTAAGGTCTTCGAGGATGGCTTGGAGCCTGCCCAGCGAGATTCACAACTGCAGCTTCTACAACATCAACTGCAGGAACACCAAAATCAGCACCAACAAGAACAACACCAAAATCAGCAACACCAAAATCAGCACCAACAACAACACCAACAACAAGATCGTCATCAGCAGCACCTGCACCTGCACCAGCAAGAACAACAACCGGACGCTGGTGCTGAGGAAGCCATTAATAAGGATAAACTTTTAAAGGCTCTAGAAAACCTCAAAAACAATACCACAACCAGAGAAAGACAACGTAGCACGGCTAGTAACAGCAGTACTGGTAGCAATGGAAGCCAAAACAGTACAAGAATCAAAAATAGGACTTCGAACATGCCCTATAACAACCACTTGTTGAATCGTAATGGAACAGAACTTCAACAGGTGTATGAACTTAAGAAGCCCTTGTGCACACCAGCAGTATTGAGACCGATAGTAACCGGTAGTAACAGTAGCAACAATGTCAACACTGGGAATTCGCTTACCCCCACGTCATCTGCGACAGCTACACCTGGGGAAGTCTTGAATTCATTATCCACAATGGATTTGATAACACCTAATCAGACTGGCACTTCCACTCCTGGTAATACGAGTAGTGATGGTGCTGAACCAAATGGTTCTCCTACAACACCTTACGTTGACATCAAAGCTTTTCCATTTTCGCAAAGTAATGGGTTAACTTCCATCTCACCAACACTTAGAGTCGACCCTCAGAGGACCGAGACTTTCACTCAGACGACTACAAAATTAGACTTGAGCACCCAACCTGTAGAACCAACACATGAACATTGGAAGCCCAATAACTTCACCAGTCATTGTATGAAATGTGTGGGAGCATTTGGGAATTTCTTTACTCCTCAAAGGAAGAGAAGACATCATTGTAGATTTTGTGGATTGATCTTCTGTTTTGATTGTTTATGGCAGCTTGATGTGGATCTGGCAAACACCACAGGTGGTGGAGTTGGCAGTAACATTGCTTCCAATAGGTTGACCAGATCAGTTTCAAATAGTTCTATGCAAGTCCGTAGTACCACCAGCAGAGCAGACGGTAATAACTACAATAAGAATTCGCAGGCATTATCGCAGTCCAACCCTACCGCGGTACCTTCAGCTGCTAATGATAGTGTAGGTGGAGTGTTGATGGATTCTGAGGCAAGGTTTGTGATTCCAATTTTCCAAGAGGTTCAAAAGCAAGCTCTCTCTATTCAATTCGAAGATCACTTCAAATTCTGCAAGGTATGCAAGGACTGTGGTAATAAGTACCAAAATTTGATTGGAGAATTGAATTCCGGTGAAGAAGTGAAGGATGCACCATTTTTGTTTATCGAAAACCCTTACTTGCAGCAGACTAGAAAAACCACAAGTGGTGGGGGCAATAACATGTACAGTAATTTTGAGTCTAGGCAAAAATTGATTGAGAGAGGTAGACAAATGAGTGGAATAAATGAGAGTGATCTTCCGGCAGGAGAATTCGATGGGGTTCAAAAGCTGCAAACGAGTAATGTACCATCGGATTGGAGCTGGAGTTCATTCTAAGTGAATAACAGAAACGATGAGAGAGAAAGTGTGAGTGTGAGTGTGAGTGGGTAAAACAAAATACAGAAAGGTCAACCGGGAGACAGTGAAGTTTCCTAGTGTAAGATAGAGATAGACTAAATGGTCATAATTTAGCATATAATTTTTCAGTTCTTCGTTTAAAAATATTTTGGGTTTTTATTCTTTAAAAGTGTGATATATTTCAAGAGAGATAATAATTAATAGTATAATATATAATTAAGTGATAGAAAGGTGTAGAGGAAGAGTGGGGGGAGTGAGTGTAAATAACAGTGGAATGTACATTGAGGTGCGATAGTCAAGGTGCGATAAAGTGAAGCTGGAGAAGGACACCGATTGGGTTAAGCAAATGAAGCAGGGGAGGGGGGAAGAGTAAGTATAGGTGAGTGAGATGCGCGATAGTAAGCGTGAGGTAGAACGGGTTGAGCATGGTCCAGCATGGTCCAGCATGAGCTAGAGAATCAGTGAGTTGGGAGTATGAGCGTGAGCGTGAGTGAAATTGGCGTTAGTAGCGAGCGTGAGTAGAGTGAACGTGAGCAAGAGGGAGCGTGAGTAGAGTGAGCGTGAGTAGAGAGCGTGGCTAAGAGAGAGAGTGGCTAATAGAGTACCATTCACCAAGCCCCAATTTTAACCAAACACAATACCTTGAGCTCGTCGTATTAAAACCCAGGAATACATTAACATTGCATACATTCACCCGTTTAATGCCTCTTCGATGTCGTATTCTGTTCTGAGCCATTAAAGGCTCTGCAACCCTCCGGCGTCCAGAGCATGTAGACCAAATAGGAAATATTCAATTGAAAATATCTTTCCTTACTTAATTAGTAACATGTGACATATCCGAGGGGCGGCAATTTCCTTTTTTTAGCTTAGGTGCTTTTTTATTTACATTTCAATTAGTAAACAAAAAAAAAGTAAAAAAAAAAATAGGAGAGAGCTCTAGTCCATAGAGTGGTCAACTATCAGAAATGCAGCGAGGCAAGGTAAGCGAAAAGAGAGCGAAAATCCTTCAAGAGCCTATGTTACCATACGTTTACCTATCGCACTATAAGAACATAGGCAATCTATTTTTGCCCTAATGGCTCTTCAAGGCGGTTGCAAACGTTTCACAGGTCCCACAGTTTACTTAGAGCCCACACGCGTGGTTGTCAAGGATTCTAAAAAAAAAAAAAAAAAAAAAAAAAAAGACTTAAAAAGACTCGCTTATGCCACTGAATCGGCGGGGCGCACGACCTTTTGCACCTCTAGACTCTCCCTCTTTGTCTCTCTCACAAGGTCGTGTTCCTTTTTGTATCGCCTACTTTCCTTAACGACACAGGTGCATGAACTTCCAACACCTCGCGTGAAAATTACACTGGTAATAATAAGGCGTAGGTGAGAGTGTAGGTGCCATTCGTTAAAAGTGCAGGTTACAAAATATTGAAACTTGTCTTTTTAAGGTTATTTTCTTTTTAACCTTTTTCTCTTCTGACATACTTGATTCAAAACAAAGGGAATCTGACAGGAATTTACTTAGAGAAGTAACAGGTTACAAAAATAGAACTGTTTACCTGAAAAGACATCAAAAATCATTAGAAGAAAAGTGGAGTATTTTCATCACGTAAGCGTTTCTCTCTCGATTTTTTTTTTTTTTTGGCTTCTTTTTCTCCAAGAGCCTTTTTTCCATTACGCTCACAAGGTACAAAACACAATCGCCATTGCAAGCTTTTCCATACAACTAGCAGGAAGTCATAGATAATAATAATAATAATATAATATATATGGAGATGTATCAACAACCTCAAGGAAGCTACCACTCTTCAGATTCGTTGAGACGATTTTCTTCTAACAATCCATTCAGACAACAGCCATTCAGTGCACCGCAACATTCGAATCCGTCCAATGGATCGATCAGATCATCGAATGCTGCATTTGACGACTGGGTCGAAAGAAACAAAAAAATTATTAACGAGTCGTCAGACGAAGAAGATGGCGCAGTGACCGCTGATACAATTGTGAATTTCTACGGAAGTTCCATATCACCAGTAAAGCCAAACCGTGAAGAATTGGCCAAACCAGAGCTTCCACCGAAGCCAGTAAGAACAGGCAGTGATTCCACGGTGAACTATGCCCCAAGGATGGAAAGGTACGTATAATTTTTTGAATTGGAAAAGAACGAAAAAAGGAGGATCAAGAACAGCACGAAGGCACTGTGGATCGACCTATTTTGAATATCCTCTGTCTCACCTCTATAGCCCATTTTTTAGTAAGCCAGTGGTTCAGTCAGCTAGCTGAAAGAAAGGAAGATCAAAAAATAGTGCACGCCAAAGACAAGAAGAAAAAAAGCGCCAAGGGAGAATAGAACTCTCCGCTGAATAGGAAGCGAACATGACCCACCCCCTGCCACTCTCGTAGAGTGCCACTTTCGCTAGACCTCGTCCTGTGTGCATGCTGCTACACCGTATATGGTGATGACCCCGTGTGGTTTTGCCAAATTGTGGTATAGTCCAAAAATCGCTTACGCATAGGATGCTCCAGTGGAAGAAAGTGGTACATCACAGGCAAAGAACACGGAAAAAAGAAAAGGAACAGGAACAAGAAAGGGAAAGGGAAAGGGAGAAGGAAGAATCTCTAACTATCACAATGTATGATTCTGGAACATAAACCTTAAATTGTATCTACTACATAACTGGTTCTTGCACTTTGGGGAATTGTTTTAGATTACTGTGTAAGGTGCAACTGATAACCAACCACATATCCTTCGATCGTTGGTGGTTGTTTTGACGAAGCAAAGAAAAAAAAAAAAAAAAGAAAGAAAAAAAAAAAGACATTTCCCCTAAAAAGAATGACATTGTACTGCAGCAACCCTACTATGGCTATGCTTTCATCGCCATGTTTGCTTACAAAGAGTTCCAAATCAATGTGGTTAGCTTTAGCAATCTGCACCGATATGATTGCTGAGGATGGGGGTTGGATGGCTTGAAATGTTATAATTCTTTATTGAGGTTTGTTTTTCCTTTTTCCTGGCTATGCTTCCTTATCTTTATAGTGTGAAATCTCAATTTGCTTTGGTTGCGTTCACTAACAATTGCGACTGAAACGGAGTATTTTTTAGTGGAAACGCGTCAAAACATTTTTTCTGTAGGGCTTCAAAATTTCTGGAACCACCACCACTGCCGCCCCTTGGAGTAAATTCGATAGTGCTTAGATTGATGTTCTTTTTCTTGGAGTAGGGTGCTTTTCGTTTCTTATATTATAATACTAACCAACAAACAGAAAAATGTCTTCAAATAATCCGTTTGCTTCTGCAATGAACGATTCAGACTCGTACGTTCACCACCGTGAACCTCCTCCACCACCGGGGAACAGCAACGGCTCAACCACAAATAGATCTCGCACGCAGACCCCACCATCTCGCCCTCCTAAGGTTGCACCACCTTCTTACGAGGAGGCTGCGGGCCCAGAAGTGTCCAGAAGTGAATACCCAAGGGAGAAAGGCTCAGGTGTAAGAGTGAGTACCAGCAGCAGAGAAAGCAGCAACAACAACAATAACACTACTTCCAATGGAACGCATACCAGCAATCGCCTGGGCAATAGGGAACATAGCAGCAGGGAGCATGGTTCCAGAGACGAAAGGCCGCGTCGAACTCGTAGTGCGAACGAACATGTTTCTTCCCGCCATCACTCCTCATCCCATAGGCTGTCTGGCGATAGAGAGAAGGATAAGGAAAGAGAAAGGGAAAGAAGACGCAGAAAATCGCCTAGTAAGAAAACCCCACAACCAGTTAAGTCCAAGAATTTGGATACCATTGATAAATTGGACGTCACCGCATTCTTTGGTGGAGGTTTCCACCATGATGGCCCATTTGATGCCTGTACTCCACATCGTAATAAGAACGTGAAGGCAGCACCGGTAATGGCGTTCCCTGCTGACGGGCCAAACAACTCGATTAAGGGCACTGCTAACAAGGATAAGCATCTGCATATTGATTTAGCGTTTGGAAATTCTGACCTTGATCAAAATGAAATTGTTGGAAGAAGTGCAAGCCGTTCGAAGGGTAGAAGTTCGGTATCGGGCGCAGGAGGCGCAAGAAGTGGGTCTACTTCCAATGGAGGAGCTGCTTCTACGGGAGAAAATGGAGAAAACCCTGCATTCAAAATTGATGACCCAACTTCATCGTTATATATTCCCAAGCAGAACCCTTCGGTTATTAATTTCGATGCCAATCAGGTGGCTGTACCAGTCCATGGAGAGTTCACTCCAGGATTGGGGACTTCTACATTCCTAGACGGGGCACCTGCACCAAAGGCAGTTGTTCACGATGAATATTTGAATCCACCTAATGCGTTAGGTGGGGGACTAGGTAGAAAGAAGTCTCTTGCTCAAAGATTAAGGAAAAACAGTGGCAGTGAAAATACTTCAAGAAGAGCGTCCAACGATAATCAAATTGAACATACATATCTGGATGATCCTATTGAACCATCAGGAAATTCATTATTGAGAAGAGTGAAGAGTTTGAAAGTTGGAAGAAAGTAGTGACACAGGTCAGGGTGTGTTTGAAAAAGATATAGAGCCGATTCCTGAGAAAACTCCAAACTTCTTTTCTTGAGAATGAACTATGTATTAGGATCTACATGATGACAAAAAATTTGGAATAGACATGGGAGTAACTAAAAGGAAGGGACTGCCACGACAGATTTTGAATATATTTGAAGAATTTACTTTAACAACCAAAAAAATGCTAAAAAAATGGTCCAAGAAAGCTCCAAAGAAAAACCCCCAAAAAAAAAGAAAATGATCAAAGAGATATTTGATCAAGGTTATTTTTGTTTTATTTCCGTCTCTTTCGGTTTGTATAATAGAAGCTAAATTCAATGGAGGGTGTTAGTAGACGTTAGTTTTAATATAGGTAATTACATTGTACGCTTTTGTAGCCACTTCACTTCGAGTCTTTCGGTTCTCAATTCCAACAGGGGGTGTCATTATCATAGGTAATTAATTGCACACTATTGTCGCGCTCCACTTCGTCGTCTCCGTCGGTATGCATAATAGAATGGAGAGTGTAGTAGACGCAATAGGTGCCTACGTCGTACACCGTTGTCTTTCTCTTGGTGCAAAATCGTAGAGTGAAAAATTTAGGCACTTGTATATTAATGTCCTGCATATAGACGGTCGCATACACTGGGGCCAGTGAAAAATTTTGATCAGCGAGGGAAAGACCAAAGACGACGGTACCCACTGGCTAAGTGACTACGTTAATAGGTTAATTAGGGACTTTTCGAGTTGATTTCGTCCGTGAGCCGTTTTCGGAATACTATAGAACATGTTTAAATTGGTTGGAGCCAGTAGGCTTGCTCCTGTGTTGATCCAGAAGAGAGCCATCTCGTACACATTACCTGCCATCAAAACGTTGGACAACCTTCGATCATCAGAGAAAGAGTTCAAGGGGTTATTTTCTAATAGTACCGTCAACGAATTATGGTATAAGAGGGGTACCTACCTTGTAGAGAGCTTGAACCAATTATTGGAAGATAACAACGTGACCGAGCGTCCTTCAGACTTGAACCAATTGATCAAGATGACCTTCAACAAGCCAGACTTGTACGGGGTACATTCGTATGCCTCTATGTTGTACAATTTGCAGTTCTATTTGGAATCCTTGAAGCCCACTGTGGATGAGGCTTCCAACAGAAGGGTAAAGCAATATGGGCCAGAAGAGCTACTCAAGACTCCCTTGATAGCTGAGACCTATAACAACGAGCCAACCGATCCAGAGCTTAGAGATTGGATTAACTATTCGTTTGGATCCGTAGCGGAGTTCAGAACTTTGCTTTTGAACTCGGCCAAGGGTATTAAGGGGGATGGAAGTGTCTGGCTCGTGGCCCAAGCATCTTACAGCGATCTGACGGTGCACAAGGACGAAAACCAGTACAACACATTGGCTGTGATGAACACATACAACGCCGGGTTCGTGAACGACTCCATCAGGTCTGGCCAAGTGACCAAGTTGCAGCAGCAAAAGGAGGCCAAGGGTGAATTCTTGAGAAAGCAAGAGGCGGACGAAGGCAAGGACACCACCACCACCACCACCATAGACGCTAAGGTCACTCCAGACAGCACCAGCAACTCCAAGAATGGTTTGGAATTGGGTTCCGTAGAAGAAGCCGAAGCAGCAGCCTTGTTCATGGACAGAAGAATCATCCCCTTGGTTGCAATTGACGCATCTCCAAGAAACTACATCCTCGACTATGGTGTATTCGGCAAGCAGCCGTACTTGGACAATGTCTGGGACTGTATTGACTGGTCCATCGTGTCCGAGAGAGCACCAAAGAGAACTAAGCCAGCGGTTGACTTCTTTTAGATATGGTAGAAGCATGTACATAGGATAAAACACAACGTATTAATATATATAATATAAAAAAAATGGGGGCATCTCTGTGGAAGCACTGTGTAGCTAGTGTAAAGTATAGCCAAGGCATGGTGCTCATCCACTGTCCTACTTTATGTATTTACTAAACTAAAACTCTATTTTACTAATTCTTCATTGCCTTTTTGACAACCTTTTCAACTTCGTCCCAATCATCGGTAGGTAATCTGGTCATTTCAATGTCACCAAAGTACTTTCTGATGGCCACCAAGGTCTCGAAAGACTTTTTGTCGTGAACAAATGAAATAGACACACCCACTCTACCAAATCTACCTGTTCTTCCAATTCTGTGCAAGTAAGTAGATGGGTCTGGTCTGCCTTGAGCGTCTGTAGGCAAGTCGTAATTAACAACCATCGAAACGGAAGCAATGTCGATACCTCTAGCCAAAACGTTGGTGGTGATCAATACCTTGGATCTACCTTCACGGAAATCGTCTATTAATCTATCTCTGTCACCGGTATCTAATCCACCGTGTAATACTGAGACGGTGTGGCCCTCGCTCTTCATCTTCCCGTAAAGCAAGTCTGCAGTGCTCTTCTTAGCAACAAATATAATGGACGAACCGATGGTCAACAATCCGTACAATTCACACAACACCTCGAATTTATCGTTCTCACTCTTACAGTCCATGTACAACTGCTTTATACCATCCACGTTCAATTCTTCTTGCTTCAATTCTAAGGAATTGGCGTTGGGCACAAACTTCTCGGCGTACGCTCTCACTTCAGTTGGGAATGTGGCAGAGAACAACACCAATTGGGTGGTCTTCGGAAGCGTTTTCTTGACACGAACACACTGGTCTGCCAAACTTTGAGCTTCTAACATATTATCAGCTTCATCCAACACGAATACCTTGACCTGGCTGACATTGAGGAGCTTTCTTCTGATCATTTCAAGAACGGAACCTGGTGTACCCACCACGATGTGTGCGCTTGTCAGCTGGCCCTTAGGGATGGACTCAGGGACCACCAACTGGGTACTGATCTTAGTAAATTTACCCATAGTAGAGATGACTTCTAACGTCTGTCTTGCCAATTCTCTGGCTGGAGACAAACAGATGCACTGAGTTTGAGGCAAGTTTTCGTCAACCCTGGAAAGCATGGTCAACGAAAAGGCCGCAGTCTTACCGGTACCAGATTGAGACTGGCCGATCATATTCTTAGGAGGACTAGATATCAAGAGCGGCAATGCCTTTTCTTGAATTTTAGAAGGCTTATTGAACTTCATGGCGTACAACCCTTTCAAAAGCTCAGCGCTCAACCCTAACTCTTCGAACGACTTGACTGAGTAGAGAGGAGAGTTTGGATCTGCCTGTAAATCGGCCAATTTGACCTTGACTTCATATGTGGACTTAATAAGGTTGGTGTCTGGCTTTTCCTCATCTTCCTTTGCGGATTCATTGCTGGCTTCCTTGACGGGTACCTCTTTGGTTTCTTCCTTAGTATCTTCTTTAACTTCTACAGTCTCTTCCTTCGTTGGTTCAACGTCTTTTTTCTCTGTTTGTGGCTTGTTGATGTTCAATGATGATAACAAATCAGCGGCATCAAGGCCGTCCTTGGTATCCTTAGACATCGTTACTGTTTATCTGATTATACAGCACTCAATGGGGTCGCCGTCCTACTGAATGAAGTTTGAAAAATGTTGAAGCAAAAAAAAAAAAAAAAAAAAAGTTCGAAATCGATGTTTATATGCAGTACTTTATGCAGTGCATTAAGCATAGGAGGGAAGGGTGCCTACACTAGCAATAAAGGCCATAGATGTATATTCCGAGATGTTGGGTAGAAGAAGAGTATGGATTGGATACACATGTAGACATATACATATGTATAAACTAGCTCAAGAAAAAGCGAGCTCCGAAAAAGCTTGTCAAAAAAGTAATTGCGTATACCACTATAAATACAACAAGAAGGGCCCTAACTCTGCGCTTCCTTTCAAATTCACTTGTTAACTTCAAGTGATCTTCCGTTTCATAGACAAACAACTCAACCATCTTCCTTTCTAGCTTACGTTTATTTCTCTTGCAGCTTTTCTTATTGTGGAATTGGGAATTTATATAGAGCATGAATTCTTCATCACTGCTTATAGTGATCAAGTCTCTTCCATTAAGGTATCCCACCAAAAATGGGTTAAACTCGCTTGGAGCACCAGTGGTGGTTTCTCTAACCTTTTCAACTATTAAATCACGGAATTTTTGAAATCCATCCTTTGGAGAATACTTGAAAATAAATACCCTTTCTTCAACGAGACTGGATTTAATTCTGAAGGTGTAGGCCTTGTCTATTGTGAAAAAATTAATAATATTCTGTGCAAAAGATTTGGATTGCTTGGGTGGTTGTGGTGGCGAGAGAGCGATGCTAGAAAGAGGGGCTTGCTCTGGTTCGGATATGGGTGTAAGAACCTCAGAAGATCCCACAGGTGCAGCCTGCGTAGATGGTGAGACTAATTCATATGGAGGAAGATCCAGATCTTGGTCCACCAAGGGTGTGTATTTAGAAGACATGTTTCTGGATTGCAAGAAAGAAGAAATAAGTGGCTGTTACGAAACGATAAATTTACTAGAAACCCACTGCGGTTGAGGCAAAGTCAGGGAGTATGATTTAAGCTTCTGGTTACGTAAGAATATGAGAACTGGTGAAAAAAATATTTAGCGAGGTTGCAATTGACCACCAGGTGGGTATTGAAGACTACTTAGCAAGTAGCACCTTATATTAAAAGTCAGGGTGGTTTGTTTTCTTTATATGTTTATATTAAGCGGGGATATCCCTGTCGAGTCGCTTTGATTGAAGAATGCAACGTAGGAAGAATGCGAAACAGTGCTTAAACAGTGTGTAAACAGTGCTTTAACAGTGTGTAAACTGAGTGTAAACGGATGCACACATTCTGGGGAAGTGCTTGCCCCCTGATTTCAGCGTCTTGCTTTAGTTAAGTGGGCAGGACATCCATGCCATTTTGAGACATGGCTGATATATAATAATGAAGACGTAAGTATCTCTAGGAAAGCAGATTGCAATGTGCAGCATACATGCATTGATTTTTGAAAAGTACTCATTTTACTGCTAGTGACAGCACAAGTACGAGTAAAATGTACGAGGAATACACTATGGCAAATTCCCTATTCCCATCTATCAATAATCCTACTCTATAGTTGGAAATTCGACAAGTGACCACTCTGTATTGTCATCGCTTATCGAAGTTCCTAAGTCAAGCCTAACCGAGCACCACATAGCCCTTTGGTGCTATGGCGTCAATTTGAAATTTTTAAAACCAGGACCATCCTTATTAGCTCAGTTGGTAGAGCGTTCGGCTTTTAAGGAAATTTTCTTTCGACAATTTTAAAGAGTCGACCGAAATGTCCAGGGTTCGAGCCCCTGATGAGGAGTCCTTTCTTTTTTTTTCCAGATCGAATTCTTGATGTACCACCGAGAAGTTGTCCTGCATGGCCATCAGCAGTATGGATTGTAGGTGGTCAATGGAAGAGGACTGTCTTCTTTGATTGTATTCATTTGTAGAGGTTGCGCTTCTCGGTTTGTACTATTTATCATCCAATGGAAAAGCCTAGAGTCGAAAAGAAGGGACTGAAGAAAAAGAAGAAGTCTGTTCTGACTTCGGTTCGCTCACCTTCTCCTGTTCGGCCGACCATTTCAAGCCAAGGGCCTGATGAAGTGAAGCAATATTCTCTATTTAACATTTGGGGTGTGACATTTGCATTGAAGGCCCTACTTTTCTTTGGGTACCACTCTACAGACTTTGATGTGCATAGGAATTGGTTAGCTATAACCCATAATTTACCAGTCTCTAAGTGGTACGTCGAAGATACTAGTCAGTGGACGTTGGACTATCCACCGTTTTTCGCGTACTTTGAATGGGCATTGTCCCACTTGGTTCCAAAGTTTGTGGCTGATGATGGTTGCTTAGATATTGTAGAAGTCGGTCAGTATGGTAAACCTACCATTCTCTTCCAAAGAATATCAGTAATTGCGAGTGAATTGGTACTCTTCGCTGCGTTGCAGTGGTACATGAAATCCTCTGCCAATACCTACACTTCTAGAAGTAGAGCCTATGTAGTAGCGTCCAGTTTAGTACTATCCCCTGGGTTGCTTATTATTGACCATATTCATTTCCAATATAATGGGATGATGTATGGAATATTCATATTAATGCTTACCTGTGCCCGGTTGGAGAAATATTTGATGTGCGGTGCTTGGTTCTCTATCTTACTTTGCTTCAAGCATATATACCTTTACGTTGCCCCAGCGGTATTCATATTTTTGTTGAGGGCATATTGTCTTAACTTGAAATACGATAAATCTAAACCATTCTTGACCAATATACTTAGTCTCGTCAAGTGGTGGAACTTGATAAAATTGGGGCTGGTTGTTTTGTCCATCTTTGCAGTTGCATTTGGACCATTTGTTTACTATCAAGTTATTCCGCAATTGGTATCTAGATTATTCCCATTTAGTAGAGGATTGACCCATGCATACTGGGCACCCAATTTTTGGGCAATATATTCCTTCTTCGATAGGTTGTTGATTCACATTTACAAACAAATTCCGATTAGTAGGCTGGTATTGCTTAAAATATTCCAATTTAACCCAGAGTTGTTGAAAATGGACGAATTGGTCAATTCTACTACAAGAGGAATCGTGGGCGATATTGAGTTTTTGATTTTACCAGCTATATCACCTAAGTTAACCTTTTTATTGACTTTGTTCTACCAAATTATGGCCTTAATCCCATTATTTTTGCAACCAACGTACGGAAGATTCATTGGATCCATAACGTTGTGTGCATACGCTTCATTTTTGTTTGGGTGGCACGTTCATGAAAAGGCAATCTTATTGGTTATATTCCCCGTATCACTAATTGTTAGTAGAGATAAAAGATTATTGGGGCCCTTTAATTTATTGATAAGTTGTGGTTACGTGTCGCTCTTCCCTTTGATCTATACTTCCAGTGAGTGGGTAGTTAAGGTTTTCTATACTCTCTTGTGGTACATAATATATTACTTTAACTACAGGAAAGTTGTTAAAATACCAAAGAATACTACGGGTGAGTCAGGAGGGTTTATTTTAGAGAGAGTTACCAACGGGTATATTCTAGGATTAGGATTTATCATCATTTTGGTCAGTCTTATTGACTTGTTTGAGAGTAAGTTCGAGCTCTTGCGGAGATTAGAGTTCATGAAGTTGATGATAATGAGTGTTTACTGTGGAGTAGGGGTAATCAGTAGTTGGAATGGGTTCAGTTGGTTGTATTTTGTAGACGAGTCGATCTGGGAATAGTGAAGTGATAATTAGCCGCGTCAATATGCTAGAAGGAAGATCCCACTTCGAGATGATGTAGAGATGAGCGATCACTTGGAGATTGCCTAGAAATGAGAGCTGCAGCAGATGTTTTGAAAGAATGCATGAAAAGATGCTCTAAAGATGACCTCGACATGGGAGTTGGCTCAGAGACGCTGAACATATGCCCCTTGAGGTGCCCTAGAGACGCCCTAAGTACTCGCTCAATCTTGCGCTGCATAATTCTAATCTTTCACCTTAGATAACGCCGAGCTGGAAAAGGTTCCCCAGTAAATAGTAATCGAGCTGGAAAAGGCTCCCTAGTAAATAGCAGTTTTTATAAGTTTACGGAAGATATTCATAATCTAGGCCCCTTGATGCCCTAGGTATACCCTAGGGTTGTAGAGATACCCCAGTTGGCTCTAGGTGTGTCCCAGTGATGCACCAGCGATGCCCCACGAACGCAGTCTATCGCGGCTGCATATTCCTTATTTGACTTTTCAGCTAATAATAGTCCCGAGCTGGAAAAGTTCCACTGCTGAATAGCAATTGATACAGTTCAGTGAAATGTATTCTGTAGATCTCCTGTGAATACCCCTAGTGGTCCCGTCCCCAAAGCTGTCCCTTGCCCCAATGCTGTCCCATGCCCTAAAGCTTTCCCATGCCCCAAAGCTTTCTTATGCCCGAAGCTGTCCAGGAACTCACTCAACGGCGTGCTGCATACTCTTAATTTAATTTTTCACCCTAAAAAATAATTCCGAGCTGGAAAAGTTCCCCCAGGAAATAGCAACTTACACAATTCTATGGAATATATTCATAATCTAGGCCCCCTGTGTATAGACTGGCTACTAACACTGGCATTCTGCCTGCATTGCTCCCGTATTTTTCCACTCTACTTGTGTGTGAATTCTTCTGGGATCGCCAGTTGCATTTGCAGCCATTGTGCTTGCTCCCACCGGAGCCGCTCCGAGATTGCTTAAATGTGTTGGTCAAGTCCCGCTCCGCATGCACCCCTTGCAATGTGATTACCTAATACTTGCTAATATGCTAATCTGGGTGGGTCAGAATTGGTAATTTCTGGAGGAATATCATCCGGGCATAATTAGTAGTGCTATATAATAAACGAATTCTCTTTTCCACCAGTTTTCATTTAGGGGGCTATACATTTTTCCTATTGTGATTTCTGATTTAATCTTTTATACATTATAATACTTCAATAGTATAAAGATTTTATACTTCACACATCATAATTCTTCAATTGTATACGGCTATTATCCCTTATACATCATAATTCTTCAATTGTATACGGCTTTTATCCTTTATACTTCATAATACTTCAATAGTATACGCATCATGGGTAAAATATCATTAGGAAAGTACTTGTTTGAGAGAATCCACCAGCAAAACGTCGGCACCATCTTCGGAGTTCCTGGAGACTACAATTTGAATTTGCTAGACAAAGTCTACGAAGTGGACGGTTTGGAATGGAGGGGCAATTGTAATGAACTCAATGCTGCGTACGCCGTCGATGGGTACTCCAGAGTCAAGGGGTTTGGTGCCTTTGTCACTACCTTCGGTGTGGGGGAATTGTCTGCCATTAACGGAACCGCTGGTCTGTTTTCAGAGCATGTTGCTCTGATCCACGTTGTTGGTATTCCTGCAGTTTCCTCTCAGAAGAACCATTTACTCTTGCACCATACCTTGGGTAATGGGGACTTTACTGTTTTCCACAAGATGGCCTCAATGGTTACGCACAAGTCTTCCGTTATCACTGAAGGTTCAACTGCTGTCGCTGAAATCGATCTTTTAATCCGTGAAGCCATCATTCACCTGAAGCCTGTCTATTTGGCTTACCCTGCCAATTTGGTGGAATACGAGGTGGACGAATCGTTATTGGACACCCCATTGGACCTCTCATTGCCACCGAACAACGCTGACGCTGAAGAAGAGGTGTTGAATGGAGTGATTGACTTGATTTCCAAGGCTAAAAAGCCAGTGATTTTGATCGACAGTTGCTGCGCAAGACACAACTGTACTCCTGAAGCCAGACAATTGATTGAATTGACCAAGTTTGGGTTTGCTGTGACTCCAATGGCCAAAGGTGCTAAGGATATCTTTGAAGACCACGAGGGATATGCTGGTGTGTATGTAGGAGACTTGTCTTACCCTGATGTCAAGGAATACGTTGAATCTGCAGATCTTATCTTGTCGTTGGGTGCAATCTTGAGTGATTTCAACACAGGATCTTTCTCCTATTCTTATGCAACCAAGAACGTTGTTGAATTCCATCTGGATTACACTAAGATAAAGGCCGCTAGATACCCTGAAGTTCAAATGAAGCCTACCTTGCAAAAGTTATTAGCCTCCAGTGCTTTGAAGGAAGCTCTTACCAACTTTACGCCAGTTCCAGTCAAGAGAGTTCCTTTACCATTGGAAACTTTGGGTCCTGATGCAGACTTGACTCAACAATGGTTTTGGACTAAACTTTCCTCTTTCTTACAAGAAGGCGATGTAGTTATCTCAGAGACAGGTACCTCCTCCTTTGGTATCATTCAAACGGATTTCCCAAAAGACGTTTTAGGTATCAGTCAGGTGCTTTGGGGTTCTATTGGTTATTCTGTAGGTGCTGCCTTTGGAGCAGTTGTGGCAGCTGAGGAAATAGACCCAAACAAAAGAGTACTCTTGTTCGTAGGTGATGGTTCATTGCAGTTAACTGTACAAGAGATTTCGGCCATGGCACGTAATCACAAGAACCCATACTTGTTTGTTTTAAATAATGACGGATACACTATCGAAAGATTAATCCATGGTGAAACTGCCACTTACAATGACATTCAACCATGGGACCATCAAAAGCTTTTAGACACTTTCAAGGCCGACAATGCTGAGACTCTCAGGGTTTCTAAGGTAAAGGAAGCTGCTGATCTCTTCAAGGATGAAAAATTTGCCAAAAATGATAAGATCAGACTCATTGAAGTTATGTTGGGTAAAATGGATGCTCCAGTAAACTTGGTCAAGCAAGCTGAAAGAAGTGCCAATACAAATGCAGAAAATTAGCAAAGCTTTCTAATGATTATAATTATTGAAAGAAAAATGCAAAGAAATCAGTTTATATACATATAAAATACATAAATGATACAGTTTTGTTGAACTTAGTTGTGGGGGTTGAAAATGTAATCAGGGAACAAGGATTCCCAGTCTTCATTGAAGAGATCCGATGTCATAAGTACTGGAGGGCCACCAAAGAAGTCTAAGTTTTCATCTGCCTCGAGTGAAGAAGCCGTTTTGATGTCACTGGGGCTGTTATTAATGTTAGCGTTTGGCCCGCCTTGGTTGCTGGAAGTGGTGTTGTGTAGAGTTTGCACAAAGGGCTCATTCAAGTGGTTTTGGGGCATGTGTATATGGTTGTTTAAGATTTGATAGTTGACATTTTCAATCTCCTTTTCCCTGGTCAACTCATTTAGAAAGGCAATGGATGTTCTTCTGTTGATGTTGTAAGTTCTTGGAGAAGCTGCTCCATACTGAGGCGCTGAGTCTTCCACCTTGATGTCTGGAGACTGTGCTCTCGGCAATGTAAAGCTCAGATTTGTGAACGCAGTTGTAGAATGAACGTGGTTGTTATTGCTCTCTTCCTCTTCTCTGAGAGACTTCAATTTGATTTTAATGAGCTTGTAAGACTTCTCTGCCAAGTTCCAGGTCTTGGAGCACCTTTTTAGCACATTCATGAAGAAGTCAAGCTTTGTCTTTTTATCGTCCACCAACTGCTTGCTTGTGTTGGTGAGCAATAGTACTGAGATTGCCAAGATCGAGCAGTAGACTATGAATATTGAAGCCTTCCTCAATCCATGAACCTCTTGGAACCTAGATATCGCCTTATGTAAGTCGCCGATAGCAGCTTCGCATATATCTGAGGGCAGCGGCCTGCTACTGGAGGTGGGGCTGCTATTCTTCTTGTTCACCACTCCTATGAACGGTCTATTGAGACATAGGATCAAGATGTAGTAGTAGTATCTTATACACTGGAAGATCGGGTTATCTCCAGACTTCCCTAGCAGCTCTCTATCCCAAGACAAATCTTTGGGCAAGTCCTCTTTCCACTTCATTATCTTGTTGTTATACTGAGAGAGTTTCTCCAACCTCGACGATATATCAAGGTCCTCGTCAGTGTCTGCGGTTTCAGCTTCCGACCTCGTGAAGATATCTGTAAGCATGCTATCAGAAATGTTTATTAACTTGATGATATTCTTCAATGGCAGAGATATGTTGGACATTTCTTCTTTTACTTTATGTTTGTTTGTAGGGTCCTGGTACATGAACTCATCAATCCACTCTAAGTCTGGTAAGTAGTCAGTCTCGGGTATGGATGCTTCAGACATCTTCAATAGCGACGGTCTGCCAAGTAGAAGACTTATGAAATGATCTGCCATGTAGGACCCCCAGTAGATTCTGCTACGGATCGCAATATCAAGGTTGGAGAGTTTGTTGTCACCGTCCCTCGACTTCATGAACCACACCGAGGGGTTCAACTGAAATCCGATATCGTAGCCCATCCTAAAGGCATTCCCGGAGAGCATCCAGCTGGACGAGTTCGACCCGTTACAAATGTCGTAGAACGATAGCAACAAAAACCCTTGCAAGGATGTGATCAGCGGGTGGTCCAACTTGGATAGGAGCAAGCTTCGGGCCTCAGTGTAGTACAGGTGGGACTTCTCGAAGATCCTGTCGATCTCGGACATTCTGGAACCAAGTGCACAGATCGATAAGATGAGTGCCTTGGAACAGTACAAGGAGTTGGGCTTGGGGTTGAAGAAGTCAATTAAAAATGCTTCACGGAATAGGAACATGTTGTGGTCCGGGTACTGCCATGTAAAGAATGTCTTTATACAGTGGAGAATATCGGGGTCCTTGTTGAGCGACTTGATGGTAGAATCGTCGTGCTTCAAGTGCAAGGTGGGGTTTGTAATTAGGTCATTGTGGTACACGCTTGTTGGACCGTATACAGAGTTGTCAGGCTTCGTCGAGGAGGAACTGGAAGACGTAGCAGAAGCTGAAGCTGCCGCAGTGGCAGAGTTGGGTATGTCTATTTCTCTTTGCTGTGAGTCTTCAGTCTTGATCTTCCTTGACGGCACCTTCAGGAAATCCGTAACACTGCTCAACAACTTCTCTCTTTCGCTAGGGCTTGCACCTTTCAACCGCTCCCAAATGGATTGTAGCTTGGATATGTGAATTTCAAGCTCCGTCACATAGTTTGCTGCTGGTCTCTTACTACGTTTGTCATCAGTCACTGGAACACACTCCACACCTGCTTTAATGCAACTAGCACAAGGGTGCTCCTGAATGCACTTAATTTTTCTTATACGGCACCTCTGGCAGGACAAATGCTTGGTGATGCCCTCGTCGGACCTTTTCTTCGACATCCTGCTGCTGCTATGAGATGGTTCTTATCCCTACTGGACTGATGAGCTGGTATACACCAACCCTCTCAAAACAAGACAAAATTATTCACTAATAGGCGCGAAGAGCTCCATGTACGAAAAAACGGTGCATAAAAAATATTGAGTTGCAGCATCGTGAAGCAAGGAAGTGACAAAATGGAACAAGTGTATGGACAATTCAGAGTCATTCTGTACATGGAAGGCTTCGTAGTTTTTGGCGTTAAAGCTGGCTGGTCTACGGACTGATCTACGGACTAGACTACGGGTTGATCTAGGGGTCGTTCTAGGAGTTGTACGAGTTCTACATGACATACGTCGCATAGTCTTGCGAGTAGTAATAAATAAATATGTATTTAGTGCAAAGTGGAGGGAGGAAAATGCGTTAGAATCTCTATAAATATGTGTGGTATCTATGGGGGTGTTCTATTGTTGGGGCACGTTGTGTGTACTCGTGCTTTTCTCTAATCTAATTTAAGAACAAGATCTGATACGTGGTATAGAAAACACAGATTATACCTGTAAAAATTAATGCATAATCAAAAGTCTTCAACAACTTCCTGCGGAAACTCTCATCCTTATAGTCTCCAGTGTACGTTTTTAAATGAATCAACGGAGGGTAGATGTATACCAATGGGATACATGCGAAACATCCATTGAAGGAAATGAATTTATCGATGTTCTTGGAGTTGAGGTATGCAATAGTGCTAACTGCAGAAATTATTAAAGCACGAACTAAATTTTTCAACCACTTGATTCCCTTGTTGTATTTACCTGAAATTCGGTACAATTTTCCGTCCTCGTCCTTCTTCTTGGAACCATTCTGGCTAAAAAACAAGGAAGAATTGAAGATGGTAGATTCTACGATCTTGGTGACTGGGAAGATTTGCAAGGGGGCACTTAAAAAGACTGCAATTGAGTACAACACTTGAATCATTTGCACCGACACATGGTCCTGCGGTAAGTTCAAGATAATGATAGATTTAACCTGGTCTCCGAATGAAGTGTACCCCACTACACCGACACAGACAAAAAGCGAAGTGATCAAGGTCATACTGATACTTAAAACTTGGGGGAACTTCTCAGGGTTCTTCATAGATGCTTCAATAGGCAAGATTAACCCGATACCTTCGAACGACGTCACTGCAACTCCAATAAGCATGGACCAGGAATTTGGGTTAAAGGCAACTATATTTGGGCCCAAACCGTTATTCAACAATTGAACTCCAGAGTAGTAGAAGATAATAACCAATCCCACCACAATGAAGGCAGAAGAAATCAATGAAATCATAGATAACTTAGTTAAGTTTCTAATGAGGAATAAGGGGATCAACAAAATACATTGAATCAACACGATATTTCCTGTGGTAACCAAAGGACCATCCCACTTCAAAAAGTTGTTACAAAATGATATCATGTTCTCCGCCGTGAAAAGGATGTAGGTTGCTACGAACCCAATCTGTGACAAGATGATTGAGAACAAAATACTATACTTCAACGGCTTCCCGTAGGTCTTGAATCCTAACTCACCAAAGGAAGCTATTTTGAATATCGTCTTGGACTCAATGAGAACAAGATAACATAAGAATGTCAACAACCCGAATAGGGCCAATGCAAAGATAGAAAACCCGAGTCCACCGTTGTAGAATGCTCTTGGTAAGAAGAGAACACCGGAACCAACAAGTGCCTTGAATACGAGGAAATATGTTTTCGCCACAGTGGTTGTACCAGCTGCCTTAGCAGATCTCTTGCTCTTCTTTGATGGTGGAGGGGGAGGTGGGTGTACATAGATGCCTCTTCTGGCTTCGTTTGTCAATAATGAACTCTCTTCATCATAAAGTGCCTCGTCATCCACACCGTCTTCGCTCTGAGACTCTTCATCGTCATCAGAGAAGTCTTCACCTGCAAAGTGGCCATATATGGCTAAGAATTCTACGAAGTTAGCAGTCAAGAAATTAGGAGGCGTGGTGTTTTCTTGAAGAGCTTTGTTTATAATGAATTCCCTTCTAAATCCTCCGGGGACATTGATATCAGAGGCAGTGGATTCCCTACGCTGTTCTGAAAGATACGTGGAAAACGATGAGGATCTCGTCCTGCGTTTGCCACCAGCTCCGCTGGGACTCGAGACACCTGCGGATCCAGAGTTCGGTGAACTGCCAGAGTTCTCTATTTGGTGGTAGAGGTACCTTGCAACATCACCACCTTGCATTTTCAAGGTCTCCTCGGGAGAAACCATGTGTTTGGAGAGGTTTCTGTAGTCGATGTCCTTGTTCGAGGAGATCAGCGATATCTGTTCCTGATACGAAGAAACGTTATCGTTGTGAACTTGTGGCGAACTACCAGAGAATGATGAGCTTACGGATCCTGAAGACCGAAGTTGTTTGGAATGAGTATCCATCGAGGAGGGCGAGCTAGACTGAAAGCTAATTGGGGATCTCTTCGGCGCAGACATTGTAACAGGAAAGATAAAGTAGTACTCTTGGAAATTTAAGCGATACTAATCAGTGTGTAATTCTTGCAAGACTTATCGAAGCCACTTATTCGATAGGCAGCATGAATTTACCAAAGTGAAAAAAAAAAAATACTAGGAGAAGAATAATACTACGCTCGAGCAAAAGAGAAAGCAGCAACCGTGATCCACTGTGTCACGATTGAGAGCCAGAGGTCTCGAATTGTGGATCCTTCATATTGTATGGCCAGGACGTCCCCACGATGCCCATTCGTCCCGTAGTGAAAAGTGTTGGCTGGGTGTACAGATGTTTCGTTTCTTTTGTGAGAACTGAGCGATGAGCAAAGTGTGAATGGTAAAATGCGAATTGGAGATGACAATTGTCAATTTTAAGACTGGCAAAGGAGTGAGGGCGCACGGGATTCCTCACTAATTTTGCCGATCAGTACACCCAAGAGCACAACTACTTACTTTTTCAATTTGAAACATTTTTAAGCAGCGCACATGAAATTCTGGCCAGCCTGTATCCTCCTCTTTTTCTCCTCCCTAATAAAACCAACACTCTGCTGTTATACTCAACACACTGCTGTCGTACTCAAGTGTATCACTCGTGCGGTGTTCTCCGAAGTCCTATTTTTAGGCACCTCTTCTGGTCCCGCCATAAATGCTAAGTATCTGCAAGTCGTCACTCAAGCCTTAAGGCTTGACCAGATAAATGACGGGGAACTTCTTTTTTTGTCGCTGTCAGTTTCCGATAGATGCGTCTATCTACTCTGGGGAAGCTTAGGCAATTACTTTTCCCTATTTTTTTTGAGTGTCCTGTATGGAGCTACTGCAATCTCATACGCCGTGATTCTCGCTGAGTTTATTATCTGTGTCCTATCCAAAAGGAGCAACAAGAAAAGTTTAACCGTGGGTTAAAGGTCTCACTTGAAATCGAAAGCAAGAAGTCATGCCACTGGTTTTCACTTATTCAAAACGTATTCTTTCTAGGTATGATGTACAAGAACGCTCAGCTGATGCACACACTCCAATATTCTTGCATCATATCTATCTAGCTTTCATATTTTTTCTGTTATCATGGAACAATCACATCGAACAAAGACTATTCTTTATTTTAGCTTTTTTCCTCCACTCGGGCTTAGGCGCACACATTTTGTTCCCCAACTTGAGAAGAAATTGCGTCAAAAGTACACAGAGGAAGAATGTGGAAAGGTATCCCCCAAACAAACAAGATACAAACAACCCTCCTACTCTAGATAGGTTTTCTATTCTCAGTTCTCCTCCCATTTACGCACACTGCGCCAGTGTAGGTCATTGGTGTTTACTAGTTGGTCGCTTTTAGGACTATGCCCGCTATATGCAAAATCCTTCTACATGAGCCGTCAAGAATCTTACAGATGTGCGGCGAAACTACACTACATAAGCTCTGCCTTTCTTTTTTTTTTTTTCTTTTTTTTCATTCCTTGCATTGACAGTAATTTCAACAACTGCAATAAAGTCAACGTAGAGACAATGTAGAGTACAGAAGCTGGAACATTTAGTGATTACTTTGCTTTATGTATGTCACTGCTTGAGAGGTAAGAAGAATGCTTGTTTCATTTTGGTTCACGAAAGTATTCGATCGCTGCAAAGGTCGCTGCAATATTTCTCCAATTTTTTATTTTCTCCCTAGCGACTTTCCAAGCCCTCAAAATTTACTTTTTTCCTATTGGGACAGCTTGAGTTGTCGAATTCTTCCAAGCAAATTCAAGTAAAGAAGAGAACTTGTGAGTTCCCCGTACCACTCCTCCGAAAAGGTGGGTAAACTACAAACACCTCACTATCTTCCATTCCAGTCGTATATGTAGAGTGCAAAATAATATTATACACCTTATAGTGGCTTATATGTAGAACATACATAAATAGATATTAGTCGCTCAAGCCAAGCAAATCAAAGAGTCCGACTGCACCTTCCTACATTGACATATATGCTGTAGAACTGGAATTTAGGTTTTCCTTGTCATTTTTGGTTTCTTTTTTTTTTTTTCTTTTTATATTTTTTTATTACAGCCTCATGCTGGGTGTTCTTTCCTCTACCAAGCTCCCCGTACTAAGGTGAAATCAAGGCGGCTGTCATACATGCCATAGTATGGGCTTGAATCTTTGTAAAATAAGCCTGAATTGAAAATCCCCACTTAAATAAAATTGACAAGAAGTTTCTGTATTTGGTTAGCTTCTTCTCTTGAATCTCGTAGCACTAAGTCCTCTTCTTACTTTTACTCCTTTCCTGATCCTCCACTTATTTCCTCAATACACATCCAAAAACCTTGTCCCGTACTCCTCATTTCCAGCCCCATAGAATTTGAATTTTTCCGACGAGGGGAAAAATAGAAGAGGACAAAATAATAATTTCAAGGTGAGATCTTTTTAGCGCGCCAACAAATACCGTATGTGCGACTGGCTATACAAATTTCTCCTAATTATGCATGTTTCTGCAGAACTTGCATGGTGTATGACAAAAATTCCCCATGTCCCGGTGAAGTCAAGCCAATAAAATATGCAGAGAATACATTACGGAAATTAGTGTCGAAGTGATGCATCTAAACCCTATTTCTATACCTACGTATATATATATAAAGAGAGTGCCGTCTATCCTTCCATGCTTTTTTATTATTTAATTTTTATCACCACACCAATACCATTTTCAAAGACATTTACTTACTTATATAATGGATGATTTCTACTGTACGCCATCGCGTACGACTTTTAATCAAAATATAGATTATATGACAACTGAAGTTTCTCAGTATAACTTATACCAATGCTGGCGTCAAAATAACTGTGTAACTATAAAGAGCCATCATGACGATATCAGCGTTATAATACCTTCAACAGTCTCTAAGAGACTTGAAAACACCTGTTGGAGAAGATGGTACAAAGAAATAAAACAGTTGCCAGTTATACCTGCTAGTCAGATTAACTGGTACAAGGACCAAGACATCACATGGCTCTACGGGCCAAAATTTTCTGAGCACTCAGATTTTGAATTGCCCTCTCCTCTAATTGACCATCGTCTAACCACTGAGAACTTGGCACGCACTGAGGCCATCAACATCCCGGGACAGTGTGATGTTAAAAGCGAAGTAGATGACTACCTTTCCTCTTCGGTAGATTCCGGGGAAACGGATTTTTCCTTGGGAAGTCGCGGTAGCATTACTTCTTTGGATGAATCAGATGCTGAGGGTCAAGGACAGAAGGAAAAATCATCAAATAACATAAACAACTACAGTGGCAGCTTAAGGCTGGCTTTAAAAATGTCACAGGGCAAAACAGGTAAAAAGGTAAAATTCAATTATATTGTGAGTTCACGCGAGTATGTGAATGGGATGAGTTTTGATTATGATTTTTTAGATCATCTGTGTATATAAAAACGGCATGACTTTGGTACGGGATACCTACAAGACACTTAATATTTTACTACTTTTTTTAGAGACTTTTTTTTTTTTATTTATTTACTTCATACCATTAATAAAAAGTTTTATGTTGTACTTATTAATGTATTGGTGTAGGGAAGCGGTCTAGTGGAAGGGAGTCTTTATCTGTTTACTTTGTTTGAGAGTGTCAAACTCTTGAATTGCGGAGGGTTATGATAGCATGTGCGATTCAAAAAAATAAATCGTGGGGGATGAGATTTAAGATATGAGCTTGCATATGATAGGGGCCCAGGGCCAAGCATACATAGCAAAGTAGCTATTAGACGAAACTTTCACCAGACGAGGGTTATGTGAATAAGCAGGAGCAAGGTAGAAGGTAGGGAAAGTTGGGGTAAAAACTGCTTGTTTCATGTTGTTGGAAAAACTATCATGTTGCTCGGGGTTAAGGTCTAAGGGCATTGGAGAAACACTAAAACACTAGAAGCCCAGTACGAGAAGAAGCCAGAAGAAAGAAAATGTAAATAAACAATCTCTATATTCAGCAACAAAGCCAACGTAGTAGTAAGACGTCGACGTGAATAGTAAGCCCTACTAGCAATATGAAGGCAATTGGTATTGGTGCTGGCTAGTCTATATATTCAATCGAGAGTGAAATTCTAAATGGTGTACAAGAAACAACACATCATCACTGGTGTAACCAACAAAAAATGCAACACGGCTACTACACCTCAACTAAGCGAACTGTAATTTTTAGATACTGCTCGGTTACTGGATTGTTGCAATCGCAAACCGGTAAACACCTGCTCTAAGTGCAAAACTCACAATGCTAAAAAATGTTCCTACAGCGCCAGCAGATTCTCTCCAATTCGATCTAACCCCGTAATACAAACATATTCTACTCTAGTTTTAATGTAATTTGTACCTTACCAATCGCTTTATGGTCCTCTCACTGTGAACCTTCGGGAGAAAAAAAGTCAGATCGCGTACACAAACTTTAAAACACCATCGCCTAAGAAAAAAGCAAACACAAACAATACCCAGCTGTAGCGAGTTCCTTGGCTCATGTCTGACGTTCAGTTTAGCGATGAATCTGATGACGATATCTTTAACGACACTATAGATAATGAGACCATTGACCACATATTGAATAAGCCGAGCCTACAACAGCGAGATTTGTACGGTGCGGTGGTACCAGAGTACATCGACAATAGAGAGAAACAGAAGGCGCCACCTAGAGTAAAGACAGTGTTTCCCCCGACTCATCACTTCATAGACTATGACAACATTGGGCAATACATATATCCTACGAACTTTGAAGTCAGAGATTACCAATTTAATATAGTCAAGAATTCGTTCTATAGCAATATATTGGTTGCATTGCCAACAGGGCTAGGTAAAACATTCATCGCATCCACCGTGATATTGAATTTCAATAGGTGGTTCCCCAAGTCTAAAATCATATTTATGGCCCCTACTAGGCCCTTGGTAGCTCAGCAAATCAAGGCATGCTGCGGTACTACGGGGATCTCCACTTCCATTGTTGCAACACTCTTGGATAAGACCAAAAGGAATAGACAAGAAATTTGGGATCTGAAATCCATATTCTTCACCACCCCTCAAGTAGTTGAAAATGATTTATCAACAGGAGTTTTAGACCCTAAACTGATTGTACTTTTGGTAATTGATGAAGCGCATAGGTCTAAAGGTAATTATGCGTATAACAATGTGGTGAAATATTTGAATCGATTCCAAAATCACTCATTCAGAATATTATCACTTACAGCCACTCCAGCATCTGATATTGAAGGTGTGCAAGAGATAATTGATAATTTACAGATTTCCAAGGTTGAAATTAGAACTGAAAATAGCATAGACGTTTCCAGATATTTGATGAGGAAGAAAATAGAAAGATTTAACTTGGGAAATAGTGTGGAAATTGAACAATGTATTGAATACTTGAATAATGCTATAGAGCCAGTATTGAAATTAGCCAATGAAAGGAAAATTTATGACATGAGAGATCCACTGAAGATAAATGCTTTCCAGGTCATGGAGGCATCACAACGATTACTCAAGAACCCTAATATCCCAGAAGGTTTGAAGTGGCTGAACTATTTCATATTGCAATTGTTGAACATCGTGGGTCAGTCTTTAAGAAGATTGGTGGTTTACGGAGTGAGATCGTTTTATACATATTTTTTGGATAAACATAAGGCATTCGTAACCAAATTTAACAATAAGAAATCTAACAATAAAATGGCCGCTGGATTTTATTTCCATGATGATGTAAAAAGATTGCTAAACTATTGTGAAAATGCAATGAGGGATCCTAAATTTTTGGGGCATCCTAAGTTAGAAGTAATTGTCAGCCAATTAACTGATTTTTTTGGTGATCCGAATAATTCAGGTTCACGTTGCATCATTTTCACTGAATTCAGAGAGTCTGCATTAACAATTGTCAAGACCTTAGAAAATCAACATAATGAACACTTGAAACCTCATATTTTTATTGGTCAAGCTAAGGAAAAGGAAAAATTTGATGAAGTCAAGTTTATGTCGAAGAGCAAGAAAAAGAATACAGAAACTAAAAAGGGTAAAAAGAAAGATGATGATGATGGAGTTGACAGAACATCTTCGGAAGATGCACAGATGAAGGGAATGAACCAAAAGATTCAAAAAGAAGTAATTCATAATTTCAAGGAGGGGGAATATAATGTTTTAGTAGCAACATCTATTGGAGAAGAAGGTTTGGATATTGGGGAAGTAGATTTAATTATATGTTACGATTCCACTAGCTCTCCAATTAAAAATATTCAGAGAATGGGCAGAACGGGGCGTAAAAGGAACGGGAAAGTGATACTCTTGTTCTCGTCAAATGAAGAACAAAAATTTGACAAAGCTATGGGAGGGTACGAATATATTCAGCAACACATTATGAATAATAATCTTATAGAATTAAGGGATAGTGATCGAATTTTACCTAAGCAATATACCCCGATAGTGAAGAAAGCGTTTATTGAAATACCCGATGAGAATTTAGAGATCGTCAAGCAAGAAGATGAGGATGAAATTCTTCGGATTGCCACTCAGTACATGAAAAAGGGTACTAAAGTTTCTAATATAAAGAAACCCCAGAAGGCTCAAAAGAGGTTTTTTTTGCCTGAAAATGTGGATACTGGGTTTACGAAGGCTGCAAACTTAATAACAAAAGTGGGCCACACAAAAGATATTTTAGATAAAATTGTGAGTAGCCTGGACGAAGAAAATGAATTGGTAATAGTAGAAGAGAAGGAGGAAGATGAAGAGGAAGAGCATGCGCAAAGGAACAAATCTAAACTGGAAATCGTTAGCAAGAGATTTGCCCCAAAGCTTGATCTGGAGTTTGAACCAAGGAAAAGGGGAACATTAGGTTTGAAGCGGTATAAGCAGGGTCAAATTACTGACTTGATGTCCACGGCATTGCAAGAGAAAACTAGACCCTCTAGTCGAGAGTCAGACCCTACATCTGAAGGAGAAGATGTATTTGATGACGGTTTAGATGATGAATTGGTTACTATGGTTAGGGCCTCTTCAACTACTCCCATACCAACGTCTCAAGCAAATCTCGAAGCTACCCAGACGAATACGATATACGAAAACCTTCATGTGCACAAGAATGAATTTGGCAAAAACGAAGGATTTTTGAATGACAGTGAGCGGGCTCGCCTATATTCTTCCTACTATGTTTCAATGAATCCTTCGGAAATTCGTACTTCTTACGACCCATCGGATGGGTTGAAAAATTTTGTAAGCGGGTATATAGGACATAGCAAAGGTGGGATGAAGCTACAAATGTTTTCCGGTAACTATAGACTTACGAGAGAGAATTCCATAGAGGTACTCGATATGTACCGAAAGCATTCATATAGATAAAACAGGATAAGGAACAACGTTCCTTAGCATTAGCATCTTGACATATGTAGGATTCAGAGTTTCTGTATCATACTTAACAGCTTATCATCAGGACTATTAATCTTCAGCATTTTCAATCTCTATATCGTTACGATCATTGATGCTTCGGTATATCGAATCTCTATACCATAACGATCATGGACCTCCCAGCACAATTGCAGCCATTATACTCACAGTCAAAGGTTACCCGGACAGAAAATTTTGGTATGAGTATATAAGCGATTGGATATTCCTAACTTTTCATAAAATTTTCATTCTAGTTCTCCATCTTTATGCAGGGGCATTACGTGTATCAGTGAGGATTCGTCCGAGATCATGTTTTTGCTGGTTGAAAACTATAACCTGACAGCTCCTTTGTGGAATGGCTTGTCCATAGACACCTAGGGAATTTTTGGAAACTTTCTTAGACACTTCATTGAAGGTCATTTTTCTACTGAATGCCCTTCCTTGGAGAGGGCTGCAGTGAGGACACTGTAACTAGTAAAATGAGTTAAGTGAAAGGTTTAAACAATATCTTCCTTCTTGTATATAGTGCTGTCTCTCTCTCTCTTTAATTCCCTCTGTATCAGCCTTCTGCCTCGCTCGGTCAAACCTCTTGTGGATTAATCTTGAGCTGGATAGTGCATTTAGCGCATTAGCGCTTTAAGCATTTAATAGGCCATAGTAAATAGGTTTTTTTTTGAGTGCGCTATCGCCCTGACTACTATGTCGATGGCGATACTGCAATTATTAAACCTGACATTCCGTAGACGCATGTAGTAAATGGTACAGATTATGAGACTGAGACTAAGATTGTACCCTCAGTCTTGAAACCAACTAAATGCCCAGCTCTAGAGTGGCACCCTGATCAACCGGCGTCGCTGTTCCCATAGCTCAGTGCGCTTTCGCTGATTACATAATCATCAACAGCCTTTCCTTTTTTTTTTTAGCTAGCGATTTTTCCAGCTGGATTGCTTAATTTTTCACTATGGGTTGGATCACTATTCATCACTTACTAGCTCCATTATCATACAAATATGTTCAAAAAATTCACTAAGGAAGACGTCCATTCTCGTTCGAACATCAAGTCGTCGGTCCAAAGAGGTTTAAAAACCAAATTTGTCTCACAATTTGAAAAGTTGGAGCCCGTTATCGATGATATCATACCGAAGAAGTCCCAAGCTATTCTCATAAAATGTGAAGACAGAATCCAATTATATTCCATAGATGAAGAGGTTGTTTTGTTCCAACATTTTGATGACTTGATCCCAACCTTAAAGGTTGTACATAAATACCCAGACTGTTTTCCTAGAGTCCAAGTTGACAGAGGTGCAATCAAGTTTGTCTTATCTGGTGCTAACATCATGTGTCCAGGATTGACATCTGCAGGTGCAAAATTACCAGAAGAGAATTTGCCAGTGGATACTTATGTAACAGTCTACGCTGAAGGTAAGGAAAATGCATTGGCCATCGGTAAATTGTTAATGAGTACTGATGACATCAAATCTATTAACAAGAACATTGGTGTTGAGTTGGTTCATTATTTGGGTGATGGTTTATGGAACCTTACTGAGTAGATGAATGTAAATATATAAAAGATTGAAATATCTTCACGGCTACACACATAGAATTTACAAGTACATATTAATCTATATCAAACTATTTCAATATATATCTTTTGACCTTTCTCCAAGTCGTAAGTATCAATTATCGCAAAGTTATCGTCCATGATCTTTTCCATTTGACCCTCGTCTTCTGCTTCCGTGATGAAGTACTTGAGCCGAATGTTGATCACTGGAATTTTGATCAACCTTCCGATTATCCCTTTGATTTTCAAAACGGTGTTGGTTTTTAGAAAGGTTCTCTGTATTATTTTGTCTTCAATAACCACTTGTAGATTGAGAATCTTTGACTGTAGCTTAGTGATCTCCTCTACATCCCTAACTACAGTTTCTTGTTTCATGTTGTGCTTTCTTGTCAACTGCTTCCATCTTTTGCTCAGTAAATTGTACCTGTACGTTCCTTTTTGCACCATTGATATGAAATAGAGCTCAGAATTGGCTATTTCATCTTTGCTGAGGTAAGTCCCGTTCAATTTGGCTATGCCAGTACCGCTTCTTTCATGAGTGCAATCCAATCTCGCAATTAAGTTGATTGTCATATCATCTATCGACAAGTCCTGGAGTATGGGGTTTCCATTGATTCGTATTTCCAGCAAATTGGTGAAAGATAGATACACATGGTCTATCTCATCCCAAGAATCTATCTCATTGTACCTTAAATCTAGCCCTTTTACTTGGCTAGCGTTGTGAGGTACGGAACAATACTTGATTCGGTTGTTCGAAAGGTTTACTGTAGTTAGATGATGAAAGTCGGGAATCTTGGTCAACTCGTTGAATGAAAGGTCTAGCGACCTTAACGATGAGGGAAACATGCTTAAGACTATATCCTCGTCGCGATAGCCATTCGAACTTAGTGTCAATACCTGAAGGTTAGGGAATTTCTTGAGCATTTCACCAACTTGCACAAGACTCAATCCTGTGTCAATGAGATGCAATGCCCTCAAGTTTAGACAAGTAATGGGTGAACTCGCTTCATTCTTCTCTATCTCTGTTCCAGTAAACTTATTTCCGTTCAATGTCAACTCCTCTAAACCCTTCAATTGGTCCACAATTTGCCAAACTTGTTGGATATCGCTAAACAAATTATACCCAAGATCCAAAGTAGTAAGATGTTGAAGTTGAGCGAGCTGAACCTCCAATTCTTCTCTGGTTGTCGCTGCGAGAGATATGTTACATCTTTGCAAGGATACCACTCTCAAATTGCTAAAGTTCGATTGCATCTTGCTCAACTTCTCAAACCCCAAGCTCTGCGTCGTTTTGGTTCCAAATGAGATCTCCTTCTGTATCTCACTGGAACCGTACAGATAATGCATTGCAGAGACAAACGTCGATCTGCTGTGATCGAGCTTATTGCTACTACTCTTTAAGAATGACCCGGAGGTGGGCTTCTTTGTCTGGAAGTACCTGACTCCCTGCAAAGTTCCGTCGTTCTTCCCTCGTTCAGCTTGGTCCCATTCTATTCCGAACGCTACAGTCTGGCCCCACGCAGGAACCGTTCCAACGTACCGTATAGTACCAAAGAAACCTTCAGTGGTAATTACGCGATCGCCCACAGACATGGTATACAGGCAAGGTTCGTAATGTACAAAAACCTACGAGCACCGAAGAAAACATAAACGATCTCTACCCCATCGCTATCAATTTACGTTTCGCACATCTGTACTGGCATAATTTCCAGCTATGACAAATACGGTTGCACATTCAGTGCACACGTATAGTCCTTGATCTACAACTACTAGGTACTTCAATGCACACGTATAGTCTGCGATCCACAACCACTGAGTTTTATCAGCTATATTTTATTTTTCTTGCTTTCTTCTTTTTATTCTTTTTATTCTTTTTATAAAATTATATGTACTTAGTTACTACTTACTCATGCTTCCAATCCAAAGTTGTCACCCAATAATCCTTCTAAGTCAAATTCTTTGGCCCATTCAGTTACAATGGTGGTTTGCTCTTGCTTTGGTGGTTCTTTATCTCCTCTTAATGAACTCTTAGGTCCATCTACATTAGCCTCATCGACAGTTGTAGCACCACTAGTGCTTCTGGAAGCCTTTGGTAAAGTCCATCCGATGATTCTACCATCTCTCCAATCAGTTAAGACGGCTAATGCAGCAGATTCCAAGTTTGGAATACCACCCTTACCCAATCTTCCTCTACTTCTGGCAACATAGATTAAAAATTGCTTGGTAAACTCGTTAAGATCTTGGGATGGTAATGCAGGTAATTGGTAGAATTTCTTTAATCCGTCTGCCATGGTGGTGTCCTTGGATAACTTCTTCAAAAGTAATTGCACAGCTGGGAGTGGGTCTATTATTTGCTTTGGTGGCAAGGCCGATAACAAGGCCAACTTGGCTTCTTGTTGAGCCCTAGAGGTCTTCTTTGTGTTCATGATTTCGTCTGGGAATACTATACCCGGGGAATCCAAGATCTTCAACTTGTTGTCGATTTTAACTTCTCTCATAGCAGTGGTCACACCGGCTTGGTTCCCTACCGGACATGAAACGACACCCTTGTTACCGTGTCTATTTGTTAAAGCATTGATGATGGACGACTTACCAACGTTAGGGTATCCGATGACACCGACAATTAATGATCTCTTCAAGTTGGACTTGTTGGCGAAACTCTTCAATGCTTGCAACAAAGAGTTAGCTGTCATTGTGGAAGATAAGTTCTTGTTGAACAAGTTGGAGCCAGAAGAGCCTGGAAGAGCCTTGACTGGGACAGTTGGGAAGGAAGACTTCAAGACGTTAAGCCACTGGTTCAAGACGTCGGTAGGGATCAAATCAACCTTGTTCAACACCAAAATCAATCTCTTACCAGGGTTCTGCAAGACTGCTTGTTCCACCTTTCTAGAACGAGTCAGCTCTGGGTCTCTGGCATCCAAGACGTATAAAATGACATCAGCATGGTCTACCACGGTTTTGAAGATCTTATCGTAAGCCTTACGGGACTTATCCAACTCTGAGTTATCTTCATCATCATCATCATCAACACCAATGTCATACTCAACAGCTTCTTCATCGTCTTCATCCATATCCTCCTCGTCGTCATCCTCACCCTCATTGTTGTATTCCTTAGCGGCTCTTTGGGCAGATTCAAGCAAGGCACCTAATCCACCTTCATTCTCAGAGTCTTCTGCATCTTCATCATCGCTCATTCTATCGTCAATGTTCTCTCCTCTGGCTAACGCTTCAGCCTTTTCCTTTTGCCTTTGAGCTTTCAATGTCTCTCTCTTTTCCTTTTCAATTCTTCTGTTTTCCTCTAATTCAACAATAATCTTGTCTTTGTAAGGGAAACTAGATGGAATACCTGGGTCCTTCTTATTTCTTGATTTCCAGGTGACATCTTTCTTTGCAATTTTTCTATTTTTTCTATTCTGTGCTGCAGCCTTCTTCTTAATCCCTTCCCTCATACGGGTGGTGGATCTCTTGGATGTAGGCTTCTTAACTCTCATTGTTATATGCTAATACTGTTGTCCTACGATGAGTGTATGCTTTACAACCGTCTTCTACCTGCTTTCTTTCCTACGCTGCTTAATTTTTCACGTTTGTGTGCGATGAGTTTGATGAGCCAAAAAAAATGAGGAAAAAAAAAAAAAAAAGAAAGAATTTATAGTGCAGGTAGGATCCTGCGCATAGGCTTGTGCAACCAACATGCCTAGGCGGTGGTTCCACAGGTCTTAGAGAGTGGTGTAGGAGATGTGGAAGGAGTATCGTGCTTGACTTTGGAGGACAATGGGAGGAGGATGGGTGGCACATGAAAGAGGTATGAAAGGATGGCTTTGGAATTTTATGGGTGACAGCTTTATCTGTTCTCATGGGCTATCTTCTCTGCGGCTCTGGTCGCTCACCCAGCGCTGGAGAGTGGGTGCAAATGTCCCAGGTGTGCTAGCTTAGTCATGGCCCCCATGGCCAGTGTCCTGTAAGATGGGCTGTTCGTGTTAGATTGTGAAAAGCTTTTTGGCTAGGTGTATACATGTAAAGATGAAGATACTTTTGACGTTATTTACTTGGTTTGTACTCTGTTCAGCTAGCATCTCTCAGCTAGCTATGTCCTCAGCTACCCAGTTTTTGCATCTCTCAACTAACTTTTTATTCAGTTGCTGTCTACTCAGATTACTATTCATCTAGTTAGCTATATATTCATTACTATCTTCTCCAACTACCTAGTTTATTCATCTCTCATCTAGCCATCTATCAGCTCGCTCGCTTCGCCAGTCAGATTCCTACCACCATCGACCTCAAATTGACTGATACCCATCTCCTGAGCAGCTCTTAGTTGAGACATCTTACCAGCATTGTACCTATTCATAGGATTCTCGTTATCATAAATTTCCGCCTCCAATTCATCCTCATCGCTGCTGTCGTCCCCATTTTCATCAGCCTCGTCGTCTTCTTCAGCATTCAGCTCATCACTATTATCTTGTCCAGCTGAATCATCATTTTCATGTGGACTGCCATCTGAGAGCCCCTCCAATAGCTTGGCTTTGGCAGCATCCTTTACTACTTTGAAGAAATCAAGTGCATTGCTTCGTTTCTCATACTCTGGCCGTGTAATAGTTGATCCATAACTGAGAACAACTACAGTACAAATCAAGATGTGTAACTTCATTGAATTTTTTTATATATATAACAAGGCAAGTCTATTCAGTAGCAGTTAATGAACTGAAAAGCATGTGAAACACCCCTAGTTCCTACTTGCATTCTTTCTTATAATATTTCTCTATGATTGTACATATACATTTGTGTCAAAATATAAATTTATCTGTCCAAATGACGATCTTTCTTTATTATTCTATGCCCTTTGCTTTCCGTATAGAGCTACTACTTGTCGTTCTCTGAAGCGATTCTCGACTACCGTGATCTTGGAATAAAAATAGCCCATTACCTGGAGTTCTTTTTGGAATTGTAAATGGCTTGTTCAAAAAATTGGGTGTGTATCTACCTCCATTTTTGCTACCGGATGCACCGTCATATTCTTCAATGTCTGGTGAGCCTTCATTACTAGAAAGATTGGCAGTTGATCTGGTTCTTAAAACGGAAAGTTGGTTCCTTATCCCTTGGTCACCACCCATATTATTGTTGTTGCTATTATTATCGTGAGGGCTATCCTCATAGTCCGGATTTCCAGCTAAGCTGCTGTCCACATTATGGATTCCCTCTTCCAAGTTATAACTCATTTCTTCGTGATCTCTCATTTGCATGTACCCATTCATTCCTGGGATCTTGCTTATTGCAGATTCTCTTATCTTAGAAGGAATAAGATTTGCAAGCCTCTTGAATTTACTCCCACTGTACATTTTCTTGGAGTTGATCTTACGAACAAACCATGCTAAGAATATGAAAAGAAGAAGGAAAAATGGCAAATACACCAAAAGACCCTTTTCCGCTTTGCCCAGGTATCCAGGTTCGTCAGAGTCAGAGTCAGATTCGGCTAGTTGTAATCTAGTAGAACCTCCTCCAGGTACAAACTCTTTTCCAGAAATTTCACTTGGATAGATTCCGATATACTGGTCCTTATCGTCAGTAGGTGGTATCTGACTCAGTGCAAATAATAAGATCTTTCCCAAGGTCCAAGAAAGTTCATCCCCGTTAACAGAATTAGCTGACTTGAATGGGATGTGCTTAGTGGGGAGCTCATTTTTTAACTCTTCGTCTTCTTTGCTTGGCTCCGGAACGTTATCCAACTCTAATCTCGGTAACTCGAAGCCTTCATGTAATATATTCATCACCCAACTTGCCTTGAAACATGCTGATTTGAGAAATTTTTCAGGATCTAAATTAGAATACTTCCCCTGTTCAGCATTCTCTAAAATTGTAGACCAATCGCTTTCACAGAATTCTTTGACCTTTTCGTTAAATGCATTAAAATTATACTCTCCACCACTTTGGAAAATATCGTTGGCCGTGTACCAATATTCTGAAATCCCGATGAACTTATCCTTATTGAAGTTCAATTTGGGTCCATGGATTCCATTGAATAAGCATGGGGTGTCCTTACATGGCATATCTTTCATCAATAACGGGTATATACTCTTAACACACAGCTTATAATCACCCATTCCATGAATAATATAGTCTTTCTCATTAAAAGTGTAACTCAAATCAGTACCCTTTGGTAAACAAGGGTCGTTCACCGTAGGGTCTCCATTTGAATTGGGAGTCGATGCATACATATATATAAGTTGATTGAGGTACCTTCTCCTTGCCTCGTTAGCTCCAAATCCTAACCAAGTTTCCACAAAGACATTCCAAGTTTGAGTTTCTCCATTAATATTACGAAGAGTAACCTTAGATAAATCGTCTTGATGCTTGGCAATCTCCTCGTTCGAAGACGGTACGAAAGCGATTTGAGTCAGAGCACCACCCATATCCATAAAACCAATGGAATCTGATATTGTATCCTTCAGGGTTTTACCTATATTATTGAATTGGCCCATCAAGTAATTTAAACCTATCCAGCCATATAAACCTTCAGTTTCTCCATCAATGATCTGAACAAAGTTATGACAGTTGGGTAAGTAGAAGTCGGTATTTTGACGTAATATGCTACAAGTTTCATGCAAAATCAACTTTTGCTTGTCTTCTGGTAAAAGTCTCATACCAGCAGTGGCCAAGACGAATACTGGAGTCTCGGCTTGCTTATCTTTAGGGACAATGTTTTCAGCAAATTTCATCAATTCCAGGAAATGTTTCGACCAAAGATCCTTCACTTTCCGATCTTTGTTGTTATATGTGGAAATACCAGGACTTATCTTATGAGTCCAGCCGTCTTCCTGTGTAATTTTAGGCGGTGAATTCAATACCACACCATCTTGAGATCCACTCTCTTTGACGTGTTTTTGATCTTCCCATTTGTAAATTTGAATTCTTGATCCAGAAGACCCAGAGTCGATCACTATTCCAAATCTTTCACTACTAGGAACTATCATCTTCTCTCTACTAAACTACTACACGTTACTATGAATTACTGCTATATGAAAATGAACGGAATAAACGTTTCTAAAAAAAGAACACCACTGCTTAAATAAACGTTGCACCTACTTGAATTTTTCACCGGACTAGCATACGCTCGAAGCGCATTCCATGCAAGGAACAATTTCCATAGTGCACACATTTTAAAGAAAACGTTTCCATACAGCATAGACACACCGGTACACACATAGGTGATATCTTTAGTTGAGGAACTTTTCTTTCTTTCTTTCTTATTGAATCAGAACCAGTGCAGAGCCAGTATGATTGTCTTACCACATACACCCCCGCTTCCTAAGCAAATCTCAGTTGCATCAGATAGACTCAACTCTGAGATTATCTCCAAACGGTCATCGCTCATCAACGCACCGACCTCAAATTACAATGACATCATTAGGTTCGTGGTGTCCATGGAGGAATATCTCGAGCAATTGTTTGAATTTACTTACGAAAATACAGGATCTGGGCTCAACGGACTAATTAAGTTTGCTTCTAATTATCAGATTGGTTCCAGTGCAGAACCATGGACGATTAAGAAAGCGTCTAGCTCGCTATCGGATAAGAAGATAAATATTAAGGGAATTAAGGAAGCACCTCGCTCTCGCAGCTTGGAATGGAACTTATTCAATGAAATTGAACTCTCCATATTGTCCATATCATTTTCGTACACTTCAATTGGGTCCCAGTTGATAAACGAACTAATTGAGGAGTCTAGCGCTACCAAGGAAGTGGTTGAAAAGTGGAAACAGGTGGTGAATTTCTTCAAGAAAGCAATTTCTTTTACCCAGTTTGGAGCCCAAATTAACAGAATATCAGCTTCGCCAACTAAGATTAATGGTGTCCTATACAGTTTTTTGGAGAAGTTAAACAATATTAACATTCAATTGTCAATATTATCGAAATCTTCTTGGACCAATAGAGAAGACTTCTCAAGAAATGAATCGTTCAAAACAAATAATAATAGTACATTGGCAAGAGTAGCCATCTATATAGTTAACGAATTAAGTAATTCCCAAAGTATTCTAGTTCAATTGCAGGATGATGCTACAGGTAAAAAGAGAGAAGATAGTAATAACTCAATTAATCTAGATTATTCCTACTGGAAGGATTACCTAGGAGTTATTGAAAAATATGCCATAGCTAACGCTGGGTTATTTTTATCAATAGAAAACTATCAACAAGATAAATTGGGAGAAGCCATTGGTTTGGTCAACTTTAGTCTTTTGACCCTACAAAAAAAGAAGTTTGATGAAAAGGCGCTGACTTCCTCCTCGTCCTCTTCCTCGGGCAAGCCATCATTTAGAAAGCTTCAAGAGAAATTTAAGGCTCATAGAAATGAAGCGTACGTGAAAAATTTAGAATCGATAACTACGTTGAACATAAACAATCTGGCATTTCAGGAAAAGTCTTCGGGGATAATTTTAAAAGATTTGTCTTATCTTTTTGATCAGTTGATTCTATTGCACGTTAAGTTTACGAAGGTTAATGACAATTTAAACTTTGATCAGGTGGCTAGTTGGTCCAGTATCAATTCGGATTCCAGGTGGCCGTTAGGATGTCAAATCCCGGTATCAGCTGTGGAAAAGTACCAACCGCGGAGCATAAAGGTGCACCCAGATCAACAGGAACGAGATGCTGGACAATCCGGTAGAACGCAATACTACTAAAATGATACAATATACCTCTGTTATATCAACTGTGGTACTATTCATGTACAAGCCCTTAGTAGGAATTCGCAGAAGATATTATTTTCTCCGATTTAATTCGCTTGGCTTTCAACATGCTACTACGCAATCAGTACCCTACTGTTCTCCAATGTGTTAATTGGTTCAAATGGGTAATTACTAAGCATATCGGTATCTCATGGTGTCATATCAAGATACCGATCCGTATTCACTAGCTTTAAGGTTTCGCTCCACACTTTTATCTTGGTTATCTCCGATTTTGGCTGGGAGCCACAGCACCATTCGCAATGCGCATCACTTTGCAAGTGATCTAACCACCATGTTGGAGAGTTGATCTGGCAGTGTATAAATTAGATGACAATTGTCGTTTCTGAGTGCGTGGGGGTGATAATCTATATCAATTGCCGAAGAACCAATTTTTAAAAATGTCACCTTCCGCTGCCGTTGCTGCCCAAAATAAGCAAGATGCCCCATTGAATCTTGATGAACTAGTCACCAAAATTTCCCTCTTGAACACCTCGAAGGATCCAAGATCCACTGTCAAGGGAGGATTTGCTGATTCTTGGGTTGAAGCTTTACCTGAAACTACTAGAGGTAGATACGAAAAGTACGGAATTGATTTAAGTAAAGGTTACCCTCAAAGACCTCCTACCGAAAACATTCCAATTTTCGTAGATGAAGCTTTTGCTATTCGTGAAAAGGAACAACCTTTCGTCGAAAGAGGTAAGAATGCCGATCCAGAAAAGAAGGCTCTTTTCGGAGCTGCCAAGGAGGTCAAGAACTTGACGAAACACATTGGTACTGAAATTGTCGGTTTACAGTTGAATGACTTGAACGATAAGCAAAGGGACGAATTGGCACTCTTGATTGCTGAGAGAGTCGTTGTATTTTTCAGGGACCAGGACCTTGACCCTAAGGTGCAAGCTGAGTTGGGTGCCTACTACGGTAACGTCGAGTACCATCCACAGCAGGTGCACGTTCCTGGCCTCCCTGGTGCAACGGTTATCTGGCAAGATTTATTCCGCCATTTGGGTCTTAAAATCGGATTCAAGAACACTGTTAAGGCTGGTACGCTGCAGTGGCACACCGATTTAACTCACGAATTGCAACCTCCGGGTATTACTCATTTGCATAATGATGCAATTCCAGATGTTGGTGGTGATACTGTTTGGGCTTCGGGCTACGCCGCTTATGATAAGTTGTCACCAGCATTACAGCAGTTCTTAGATGGCAAGAAGGCAGTATACTTTTCAGCTCATAGCTACGTTGATCGTGAAAATCCTTTGAAAGGAAGAAAGCATGTAGAAAGAGAACATCCAATTATTAGAACTCACCCTGCAACTGGTTGGAAGTCTTTGTTTGTCAATAGAGCTATGACCAGTAGAATTGTCGGTTTAGAACCTGAAGAAAGCAAAGTTATCTTAGAGTACTTGTACAGTATCTTCGAGAAGAACTTAGATATTCAAGTGAGATTCAATTGGAAGCCAACGAAGCCTGGTTTGGGTACTTCTGCTCTTTGGGATAACAGAGTTTCTCAACACTTTGCGGTCTGGGACCACGAAGGTAAGGAACCAAGACACGGTGTTAGGGTATCGTCATTGGCTGAAGTTCCATATTTTGACCCTAACTCTAAGTCTCAAAGAGAGGCCTTAGGCTTATCTTTGGACTAAATGTAGGTGTCCAGGTGTTAAATTTATCTGGGTGTATGGGTGTTTCTTTTCTTTAAGAATTAACCGCTTTGAAGAGTTCTTACTATGAATTTAGAAGTATATATGTACATGAACATCATTTCTGATTAGTGTTGTGTGACTGAAGGTGTAGTTTGTAATAGATATTGTTGATTTAATGCATCAACTTTTGCTGATTTATATTTTATGTTTCTTGAATTTTTATACATTCGCAGTTTAAATCAAAAGTGGTGATGTATTGTGAAAGAGGTACTACTTACTATAGGTGTAAAGATGTAATAAAGAGAGTGCTCAATTAAACTTATTACTTGATGAATATAAATTCCTATTTAGTGAATTTGACTAAATATACTATGTATCTCATTTTTGCTAATATTGTACTCAATTTCTCTATCAAAATTTGACCTGACAATTTTACCTAATCTTTCGAAATAATCAGTTACTTGAGCTTCCATGTCTTTCCACAATCTGTCAAGTAGATCCTTTTCAAACATATCACCACCGGTAATAAAATGCTTTTCCAATTTCTTAAATATTTCATGTGCCTTCAAAGATATATCCTTATGGGTATAACTGCTGAGCAATGATTTAACCACCTTTTTGTTGTATTTCTTTTGGCCACCCATCTTACTCAATGCTTCATAGTTGTCAACAAATTCGACCAACTTACCTACATTTTTGTGCAAGAGTCTCTTGAAATAAGCCTCTTCAACCTTCTTAAATACAGATTCAAAGCTAGATTTCAGTTTCCTTAATCCATCCGAAGTGTTATTAAACACCGACAATTGTTCAGTGAGGTAGAAGATATTTTGCAAGATACTGACGTTTCTGTGCTGCTTCTCTTTCTCGTCAAACTCACTATTCTTCAATAAGGGATCGTCTCTCAAGAATAAGTGAATACTTGCCTCAGTTAAATCTTGATAGGACTGATCTAACATGCCTCTAATTAGAGTACTGCTGCCATTACCAACGTTAGAATTATCTAAGGAAGATTCAGTTATCAAAATTAACTGATTGAAACTCTTAATAGCAGGCAAAATTCCACACTTAGCAACAATAATGGAATGATTCAAAGAATCCACCTTATTTTTAATTAATTTAGTCCAAGTAGACTTAAACTTCTCCAGAGATCTCCTCAAGAAATTGAACACTAAAAATTCTTGATTAGTTGTTTTATTCTCTTCCAACAATACTTCCAAGTAGCTTAATATTAGTGGAATATGAGAGTCTTGTGGCACCAACCTTTTCATTAACAAGTTAATGTAACCCCCAAATATAGCATTTAAATTAGCAATGATCTCGTTAGAATAGCTTTTAGTCAAATCAAATGAAGGGCTATCAAGTAACTTACGCCTTTCTGAATATGAGTGAGCTTTCAAAAAGTCGTTGAAATTGATAATATTAGTATCATAGTGAAACATACTTCCAACAAAATATTGAATAATTGATATAAGTTCTTTGGAGTACGTTATTAATTCTATAATTGACTTTGAATCTTGGGATTCATTAATCTTTTCAGCAAAGGAAGTAGATGCATGTGGTGAAGAAGGCGAATTTACATTTGCTGTAGAAGACTCTGGAGTTTCGCTTCCTCTAAGCCTAAATTTCGTCTTCGTTGATAACCTAAGTGACCTTGAGGATCTTGAATTTTTCATACTCACATTAGTTGCCGATTGAAGATCAGAAATCGAGCCTGTAGCTGAAATTGGATTGGATTGCTTTAAATGAATCAATTTTTGAGTTAAAATTCTTTCTAACAAGTCGCTCATATGCTGATTGAAAAATCCATTCAATTCCAAGTAGTCATCCTTAGCAACATCTTTAACAAAGAACATGAACCCTGAATAGAATAAGACATTATTCAATTCTCTTGTTAAGGTATGAGGTGAGATTCTTTCAAGATCTCTGCTTAACATTTTTATTAAATTGGTAAATTCGCCTCTTATGAATGAGCCAAAGTGATAAGTGAATGATTCAGTTACCTGCTCATACGTTGCTCTGTATTGCTTCAAAGCCTTCATTGAACTCAAACCCTCAGAATTGCTGCTATCATTATTATTTGATCTCATTGCTCCTAAAGCGCTGAATAAGTTAGACAATTTCATTTCAATTGATTCCACCTTGTTCAATCTATCAAATGCAGTAAACGATTCAATAGCCTGCAAATCAGCCCCGTCAATATTAACATTGGTTAATATTTCCTTCAAATCGTTGTATAACAATTTCTTATTAACTGATTTCACTTGTAATCCTTGGGAATTATTTTCAATCGCATTAACTTCCGGTGATAGATATTGGAATTTAACCTCAGTCTTCTTAAAGATATGCAGTAAATTCTCAATTTCATTCAAAGAAGTTATTAAGTCGCTGGATACGGCATTATTTGAAAAATCTAAAGATATAACTTCATTCACATTATTGAACTTGACTCTATTCAATTCTTTGGTCAATTTTTTGATTAAAGCATCAGAGTCATCGGAGATATTCCAGTTAACTTCCTCTAAAAGCTCTTCAATCTCTGGATCCTTCTCCAATGATACCGATACGTCTGCACTATCATTTTTTATGATATTTAAGCCAAGATTGGAATCATTAGTGTAATCCAGAGTGAATACAGATTCATTATCTACCACGTTTAAATTGTTGTTATGAGGAATATCCAGATTGGAGCTAAAGATCAGCCTTGGTCCTCCTCTTGTGCCTTTTTTAACATCCATTTGTGATTCCATAAAGCTTTCAATTTCTTGGATTGATTCAGAAACCGTATCCAAATCTTCAATATTACTTGATTCTTCGAGTACTTCTGGGCTACTGGAGATCTTCTTCTGGTTAATTCCAAATCCATTTCCTTTCCTTGAGTCGCTGGTATTTGATCTGGCAAATAAAGGTTTTTCCTGATCTTGATCATCACTATATTCATCATCGTCGACTTCTTCAATGCCAAAATCCGGAGAGTCTACAGCCTTTGTTTTCGTCAATGAAAATCTATGAATTGGCTTCTCAAAGGAATCTCTATGAACATAATCCATATGATGTTCTAAGGACTCAGTTGACTCCACCTGAGGAACAGATTGTTTTCTGAATCTATTGTCTCCCATTGGAGATCCGCCATCTTGATGTTGAGCATTACTCTTCTCACTTGTAAATACAAAGCTCAGAGATTCTTGAGATGTATCAGCAGCATAATTTGGGTTTGGAGATCCACTTATTGCTGTATAAGGATGCGAATGGCGCTTTGTTTCTTGGTATTGATCCACATTGGTACTGCTTCCTGCTCTATCAACTTGCATTGGCATCATTGGCTTCATGGGTAATTTACCGTTTGCAGTAAAATCAATATCTTTATATTGTTTCTGTGCCTGTTGTTGGAGCTGCAAGCTCACCGGTTCTGGAGGTAATACTGGATTAGGCATATTTTTCCTCTTCAAAGATTTTGATTTCAATAATTGCGGATGAGCAATTGGCTCATTCAACACTATATCATTGGTTTGAGGACTGTCGCCCCCACGCCCAGTTGGGTTGACTTTCGCTGCTCCAGGAGGTTGTGGCGGAAGTTTCAAATCTTGAATGGTCCATCCCCTAATCTCAGGATACTTCCCAACGAAGTTTCCATAGGAAATCGCCAACACTCTGGTAAACTTCCAAATCCTTTCCACACCTTCATCTATATTCCAGTAGTAGTCCTTATTCAAGGTCAATACAAGACCCAGGTTGCCTACTCGAGATATCCTCTTCAATTCATCCATATCCCAGGTTCTACCGATTTGATACGACCCTTTGACTTCGTTGAACTTCCCCTTCTGAAGTAGAACTCTACCACTAGACTTGGCACAAACAACCAATATACGGTCTTTCACCGAGCCAACCTGAGACTCGTCCAATTCCTCTGGTGGTGGCTGTGAAGGGAACAGTGAATATTCTTTTATATTGATATGTGTCTGGTAAGACATGTCTAGGATCTTTCTACCATTGGCATCGATCAGAAATTTAGAATAGCAATCATGTATCAATTTGTCATATTCTTGTTTCCTAATTGCAGTGGAATCTCCACCACTACCTGAGCTGCTGTTATATTGTGCCTGTGCCTGTGCCTGTGCCTGCTGCTGATGTTGTTGTTGGTACTGATGTGACGGCGGCACACCGTTAACCGGAGGTTTGTTGTATCTATCGCCTCCTCTGCTCGCATACGGTGCCGATCCATACTGTTCTGATCCTGGTGCACCCCTATTCCCATACATCCCAGTAAGTGGTACTCCGCTCTGCGTAGCATATCCATATTGTCCGCTTGGTCCACTTCCTGCTGCACTTGGCGCCTGGCCCTGACCGCCATACTGCTTCTGTCCCGGATAATCCCTAGGAATTGCTTGATTTCTTCTAGGATAACTCATCTCAATGAACGAATAATATACTATCTAACAATTCGGAGCAAGAAAAGAACCCCTTTCCAGTAAAATCAGCCTTTAATTGAGCTCTGCTATGTGTGTGGGTGCTTGTAGCTTCTTTTCGATTTCTCCACGGTTTTTTTTTTTGTTTTTGTTGTTACAAAAAATGTACTGATCCTGCATATAATCCCAGGAACGACGCAAAACTCTAATGCCTTTAGTGCCAGAGGAGAGGAGACAGTTGATGAACGGGCATGGCTACAGGGCACAACTCCAGCTAGAATTAGCCTTTTCGGGTTCGTTAGCTTAGTATATATATTTATCTAATTAAAATATGTTTTGATATTTACGCCTTGACTTTGGCTTCCTCGGTTTTCTCTACCGTTGGCTCCTCTACCTTTTCCTTTTGATTCTCAATTGCATTTTTTTCCTTTTCCACTGGTGCTGGAGCAGCAGGAGCACCTTCACTCTTGTCAACAAAGTACTGCCATTGAATACTGAAAGTCTTGGATCTCTCGTCCATGGAGGCCAATCTTCTTCTTAAGGCCTCGTTGAAGCAAATTTCTTGAGCAACCGGGAAAAACTGGTTAACCCATCCTTTCTTGTAAGTCTCACACTCTTGTACAATATCCTTCAAGTCCATTTCTTGAAATTTGGCCTGGAACTGGAAATTCTTGAACATTTCATCTCCAATAAGTCCCTCTTGATAGAGTCTGTTGAAGCTAGGTTCGATTTCCTTTAATTTTAAAGATCTTCTAATGGCCTCTACACCTCTTCTTAAAAGAGCGGCCTTCATGACCTTTTCGTGTGGTTTACTTTCCTTGGTGGCGTCCGGGTTGGTATACTGTTGCTTTAAAAATAAATAGAGTGAGTGGGTGTGATTCTCAGGAAAAATAGGCTCTATTTTGGATAAATTCTCCACCTTTCTCCTTCTGTAAAGTACTGAAAATACAATGAAACAGGTCATGAGGACACCCACATAGAGCAATGGGGTCCAAATGGAGACCTTGATGATCTTTTCAGCGGTTTCTTCGTCCATTTTGCTTGTACTGTTGCTAGGCTCTTAAATCACTGAAGTGGAACTCTTCTTTTTTTTTTTCCACTTCTATTCAAAAATGCTCCACACTGAAAAAAAAATGCTAACGTGTTTAGAAAAGAGATTAATGTGCAGGATTACATTTACTATAGCTCAAATAAATTGTTCTAGTGCATTTGTTCCTATAGGGTAGTTGATACGCTCTTAGATATATATCTCTGTAAGGATCCATTCTTCAAAGAATGATCTATTTTAAAAGATAAACTGTTTCTATACCGTTATAAATTATTGTTATTATTAGTTTTTTCTTGTTTTTCATTCTGCTTTGCTTGCTAAATTTTCTTACATACTCACTCTTAGTGCATTGCTTTCTCACCATATTTGATACACACATATACGTTTATAAGGACCCAACATTCATAGAACAAACAATTTAAAACAGAACCTATTTCTATATATACCGTTATTTATTTATTAAATTTTTTTTTTTTTTTTTTGCTTTCGCTTTCCATTGCTTTGCTCTTTTACCATACGCCCTCTTGGGCTCTGAATTTTAATCCCATGTACCTGGCTAATTCGTCCTTTAACTCGTCCAACTGGCCCGGTGTCAATGATTCCACTCGCTCGTTGAGCGGTCTAGTCTCACTCAACTGCTTTTGTGCCTCTTCCAAGTTCTCGGCATTCTCCAAGTCAACAGGCTCATTGGATTGAACCAATTCGTAAAACTCACATAATAAAACTAAACTGCTTGCATCAAGATCTAAAAATTGCTGTACGGTTTTTGGGTATAACTCACCACTGGGTTCCTCACCATCGCGGTTGCTCAAAGGTGCTATAATGTTGGTAGAGTTTTCATCCAACGCAGAGTTGAAAAGTCTCTTGATACTTCTGTCTTCTAAGAAATCCAACTGGCCCTGTAATTCTCCCACCAATTGAACGATATCTTCGTTAGTTACAAAATCGTCAACGTCAATATTCGAGCTACTTTTTTTGTTCACATCAAAATCATCCATCTTAGACCTAACATTCTTCACCTGGATATCTAATACTTGTTGTCCAGTTTGAGCAATGACTTGAGATTGCTTTTCAACAATTGCCTTAAGGCTGTTTAATTGTGCCGTTAATTCTTCCAACAGCATGATCTAACGAGTATAGAAGAGATGCAAACCTAACCACAAAGAGTGTACTGCCTTCTTTCTGTCTCGATAGTTAAACGCACAATTAGTTGGGACAATCGAGACTCTCCTGCACAAAGGGAATGTTAGCATCTTTTATATTTTTTCTTTTGCTAATTACGTCATTGCTTAACCTGTAGATATGACATAGTCCACAATAGTCTGGGGAATTTAAGACTAAGCTTGCTTTTTTTTTTTTTTAAGTAGTATATATAGGCAAGCACTGTAGGCACGAAGTAAAGGCCAAAGCAAAAATCAGTAAAAGGAATTTTTACCGTTATTTGATTATTAGAAGCTTAAAACTTTAAAACATTAGTGACAATGGGAGATAAAATAGAATTGCAAACTCAACCTGAGAAAAATAGTGGAACTGAAGAACCCCAGCACACAATAGAGAAATTGAAGGAACTTGTCAAAGAATATCCCGCTGAAGACGATAAAGATGAAGCTGGCAATGACGGCGACAAAAAAGAGGATGAGGATGACTCGGAAAGTGAAGAGTATGACGAAGACGGGTTCAAAGTCCCAAGTGGGAAGATACCAATCGATGGACATTTCACATCTAAGGAAATTGAGCAGTTGGTTAGCGTAGCGCAGGATGAAGGACTTATCAAAGATGATGTCACCGTTGAGGTATTACTGCGAGATGAGAACTTTGGCGATAAGGTGGTGATAGAGGAGAAAAGTGAAGATGAGAGTGAAGATAAGGATGTGGCTGAGAAGAGCACACACAAGAAAGGGGACAAAGCAGAAGAAGAAGAAGAGGAGCCAAAGAACGACACCGAAAAAGAGAAGGAAAGGGAACTGTTCAAAGAACACTACTTAAAATAAAAAGCCTTCTCCTGTACTACTTAATTATCTAATTAAAAAAGAAATACACCTATTGCACCAGTTAACCTATTCTAGTATTCAGCTGTAGACCCCCCAGGTGACTATGTGTTGTGTATGATACGAACATAGCTTTTGCTTTCGACTCTATTCCCAAAACTGTGCCATGAAACGAACTTACGCACCGCCTTGATCGCTAAAATCTCCACGCCCACGCTAAATTGCGCAGCCTAGTTGGCGTGCATGCGAAATAGACGCACGGAATGCAAGGGAAATCGAAATTTCACTCACTAGAAATTTAACGCAGCGGTAAAAATAAATACGTTAATTAAAAATAATAAATACAGTTTACGCACTGAAATTTGATAGAACCAAGCCTATATCGTTAAAAGAAACCTTGGATGTGTGTGTAATTTGTACATGTGTATGAGAAAAACCCGTTATACAGAGCAACCACGCATACAGCATTGAAGAGCACCAACTTAGTTATTTAATTTAAGGTTAGGTAATTTACAAAATTGTTGTCATACACTAAATTAAAAAAAATCAGCATTATTTTGAGATTATAACACTTTATATTCTTCAAGCATCACCTTTACTCTTGCATAAATAGAACAAAAAAGTCATAGTGTTGATTGCTTCACGATTTTACATGCTGCAGTTCAATGGTAGGATACGTCTTGGACGTAATATACTACTGGTTGTGGCGGCGGTTGGTTTGATGCTACTATACTTAATGAGTTTCCTATACACCAAAGCGCGCCCTTGTGATGCAGACAGACCCGGTTGTCGCCAGGTATATATGTCACCGTCTTATGCACGGTTAAAGGCTTTGGATGAAAGCCATACTAAATTAGCTTCCAAGTACTCGTTATATCTATATAGAGAGCAGGGTCGAGATACTTTCCCTACTGATGATAACTATGAAAATTACTTGAGTGGCATTCCGATTTTATTTATCCCAGGAAACGCTGGGAGCTTCAAACAAGCAAGGCTGATAGCTGCCGAAACTGCTAACCAGTTTTATGGTGACGAGCACTCAAACCCATGGGCGAAGAACTTAGACTTCTTCACCGCCGATTTTAATGAAGACTTTACTGCCTTTCATGGCCGGACTGTTGTTGACCAAGCAGAATATTTAAATGATGCCATCAAGTTTATACTAGGATTGTATGAGCATAAACCTATACCCCCTCAATCGGTCATTTTATTGGGCCATTCGATGGGTGGAGTAGTTGCTAGAGCAATGCTTTCGTTACCTAACTACTTACCAAAATCTGTAAATACAATAATAACCTTAGCTACTCCGCATGCTGCTGCTCCATTAACCTTCGACGGTGACCTTTTGAAAATATACTCAGCTGTTGATAGATTTTGGTATGAGGGGTACAAACAAGGGAATAACAACAGCGATGTCAGCGAATTTACTAAGTTGGCTAGAGATACTCTTTCGGACGTGTCCTTGATTTCGATTACAGGAGGATTACTTGACAACACATTACCAGCAGATTATACCACTTTAGGGTACCTTGTCCCCCCAGATCATGGATTCACTGTGTATACCACAGGGATTCCCAACGTTTGGACTCCAATAGATCACCTTGCTATCGTATGGTGTGATCAATTGAGAAAAGTGGTACTGAGAAGCTTATTAGCCATTGCTGATAAGAATTCAGTCTTTCAGACATTGTCACTTAGCAAAAGAATGAAAATGTTCAGGAAGTACTATCTTTCTGGCTTTGAAGATTATTCCACTCAGGATTCGCTTGCTTTTCAACTGGACACGAAAGTGATTGATCTAAAACTAGATTCCAAGAAGATGAGATCGGTAAAAATTGGCGATAAGGTGCTAAGATTCAAACCAGGAAGCCCCCAAGCTAATGATATTGATGATAAATCCATTATGAACGTATTATATTTACCAGTGGATGAAGGTATTAGGACTAAGTTTTCTTTATTATCATCCCTTCCCATAGTTGATTGGCAAACGTATCAAGAGGATCCAGAAAATATATCACCATCAATCTTATTGTGCTCCAACTTAAACAGGAATATCATTGAGAAACAAGAGTTGGAAGGAAACATTTACGATTTTACGACTCAAGCAACAAGTGAGTACGTTGCACTTCGCTGTATAGATATCAAGGACGAAGCTAACATAGTGCCCAGGTCTTCAAAATCTTCCAAGTCATTGAGTGAATCAAGTATAGGAGGAGAATATAAGCCATTCAATGGCGTTCAATTGAATCTGACCATACTTAAAGATTATGATGTCATAATAGTGGCAGAGTCTACGACAAAATCTGACTCTATGACTGACCAGTTCGTTGTTGCTGAACTTTCGGAATTGTCCTCAACAGAATATGATTTAGGAAAAGATATGCTAACATTAATGAGAAGAGGTGCTGATCTTTCTTTGCCTTCCAAGAGGCCCTTGTCTACAAACATAAATATTCCCGGGGCATGGAGTAGTCTTTTAGCTTACAAAGTCAAGCTTGTTTATTCAAACGCTGAGATGGCTAGTACAGACAAAACAAAGGAGAAAAAATTACAGGACAGCTCAAATGCCCATAAAGGCGCATTTGCGCCATTCATCAGGCAATGGACATCTGAACCATATGAAACCAAATGGCATATAAACGTTGAAGAAAACAGTAACATTCTATTATCAATGCATGGAATTGCACCATTCACACCTTTTAGGATCAAGCCAGATGCTAACTATGGTGTGAATATCGAAATTTGGAGTGACTCCTCGAGAGATGAATCAACACTTGATATAATATTGTCAATAGATTATTTTAATAGTTTGAGATTATTGATCTTGAGATATAGATTGGCGTTGGTTTGCTATTGCGTTCTGATTGTTTTGTTAGCATTCTTATTCCAATTTAATTATTTCATTAATTCGAACAACTTTCCAAATATTGTTTATGGACTCAGCAAGATTTGTTTGCCAAAGAACTTGGGGATTATCTTGTTCACATTATCTGTGGCCTCACCGATCGTAAACATCACATTTGTACAGAAGATACTTAATTTAATTGATCCCGTGGTGTTGCAAGATTCAAATGAAATCAATTTGAGCCTACAGAAAGATTTTAAGTTAAATTCATTTTTTTTGGGATTAGAAGAGCCTTACCTTTGGCTAGTAGGACCAATATTTTTTATAATTGGCGTGTCAATTGTCCTAGCTACTTACTATGCCTTAATGGTCATTGGTATAATAGTATCAACTGTTGTCAAATTTGTGCAATTCAAGAAGAGCGTACTTGTACGCAGCAGGAATAAAGAGGAGGAAGAAGATGTAGAACGTGAGAAAGGAGGAGGCAAGACTAATAGTAGCGCATCTTCATCAAATACATCAACACCACTGCCAATTTCCAGAAGTGGACTGATATCTCCTGCCAAAACCTATACTGCTCCAAACTTAGCATCAGCGTCAACACCAACATTAGCATCAACATCAACAATAGCAGCATCTACGCCATCATGGTTGACTTCATTGAATGGTATATTTTCTGGTAAGAAGAATTCTACATTATCTATTCGAAGATTAACGGCAAATATTGTCATTTTAGGAACTATTCCATTCTTTTTGCCATACCAGTTTGCGTATATGATTTGCACCACCATTCAAATTATCACTACTATTAAAATATTGTGCTCCAATAACATCAATAAAAACGCATTTAACTATCACTTAACCATACTTGTCCTTATGCTTTGGGTTTTACCAATCAATGTACCGGTGTTAATTGTGTTTATCCATAATTTCACTGTAAACTGGAAGACTCCATTTTCATCGCATCACAATGTATTAGCTATATTGCCTATGCTTTTATTAATGGAACGCCATGCTTCAGGATACTACTTACCCAAGTTACCAGCTGCTGGCCATCATCACAGTCATTCTCGTAATTTGAATACTGTTGCGACCAACATCAGCAAATACATCACTAGGTCAATTATTGGGTACTTTATCTTCTATTGTATCATATATGGGATTCGCCACACATTTTGGCTTCATCATTTGCTAAATATCTTTTTTTGCTGGTTATTAATATTTTATTTTATAAACTGAGTAGGATTACAGGGTATCACCAATATAATAAAGAGTTGTATCAGTTGATTTCTCCGAGAGTAGTCACTGAAAAAGGTTTACAGTGAGATTGAAGGGTAAACGTAGGCTAGACGTAGACTAGACTTCGGTACTCTATCATCAATTGATGTAAGAAAGCAATAAATGATCTCCTATATACGGAATAAGGAATTTCTTCTACAGTTTTCCAATTTTTTTTTATTTCATATTCATTAACACTAATATACATACAACTAAATCAAATAATCTAGTTAGCAGCGGAAGAGTACTTGGTAACAGCTCTAGTACCTTCGGAAACAGCGTGCTTAGCTAATTCACCTGGTAAGATCAATCTAACAGCTGTTTGGATTTCTCTAGCAGAAATGGTAGACTTCTTGTTGTAGGCAGCCAACTTAGAAGCTTCACCAGCGATTCTTTCAAAGATATCGTTAACGAAGGAGTTCATGATAGACATAGCCTTTTGAGAAATACCAGTGTCTGGGTGAGTTTGCTTCAAAACCTTGTAGATGTAAGAAGAGTAAGTTTCCTTTCTGGTCTTAGATCTCTTCTTTGGTTCAGAGGAAGCGGTCTTCTTGGCAGCTGGTTTCTTTTCAGCTGGAGCTTTGGAAGCTGGTTTCTTTTCTGCTTTTGGGGCCATTTTAAATTTACTAGTTTATTAGATTATATACTTTAACACAATAACAAAAGGGAAAAAGAAAGAACCAAAAAAAATTCTCAAACTTGTATCCTGATTGATTGAAAAAGGGATTACACTTTATTTATATGAATTGCCTCTCTGTCCCCATACAGGACGGAGGAGGGACGTTTGTTATTTTGAAGCTTTGGCTTGTGGAGAGCGCTCGCTCGCTATCTAAAATTTGTTTTGAAAACAATTCTGAGAATTACCGGAGAGGGCACGTAAATTGTGGCACGTACTGTTCCTGCACGGGGTGCACTTTTACTTAGGGCCCAGAGTTACGCGGCCTTAGTGTAAACGACTCCAGGAGCGCTCTGAGTAGAAACTGCACTACAAAACAAAGAGATCCCGTACTGGCACCTACTGCCGCGCGATTGCCTCACTGCACTGTTGCCCCCCGTACACACTCTCCCTACCCTTCCTAGTTTGTTATTACTAGATTGTTTTTGTTTTGGTTATCTTTGTAGTGAGGAAAACTGCCGCTAATCCAGCAAAACTGTGAGGGAAAAACAAAAGAGTCTTTGCACATTAAATCTTATAAAAAGATTGAGGGTTCCTTTGAATTGATAAACAGAACTTTGATTTAGAATTTTTTTTTTCTTCTTCTTTTCCTTTCTTCTTTTCTTACTTCATATATTTATTCATATAATTATAATAATAATACTTCATAATGTCAGGTAAAGGAAAGGCCGGTTCATCCGAAAAAGCTTCAACATCAAGATCCTCCAAGGCTGGTTTATCATTCCCAGTCGGTAGAGTCCACAGACTCTTGAGAAAGGGTAACTACGCTCAAAGAGTTGGTTCTGGTGCTCCAGTTTACTTAACTGCTGTCTTAGAATATTTAGCTGCTGAAATCTTGGAATTGGCTGGTAACGCTGCCAGAGACAACAAGAAGTCCAGAATTATCCCAAGACACTTACAATTAGCCATCAGAAATGATGAAGAATTAAACAAGTTGTTAGGTCACGTTACTATTGCTCAAGGTGGTGTTTTACCAAACATCCACCAATCCTTATTGCCAGCCAAGAAGGCTGCCAAGGCTGGTGCTTCCCAAGAATTGTAGTTAATATAACTACGTGTATATTAGTTATGAACAGAGAATGAAAAAAAATTAAAAAAAAAAGTTAATGATAACTTGTAGATCCACTGTATTGTAAATGTATTGAGAATGTAATGAATATTGTATTGCTCCTCAATCCTTAACGTATTTTTCTAGTATTAGGGGGCTTCCCTATTTTTCAAACTAAAGGTGCTGACTGTTCGGTGGTGGGAGGTGCGCACTGACCTGGAAAATGAAAAAGGTTATCACCACGCTCATTTCGACGATGTCTCTCTTTCTTATAACACCGTCTGCCTAAATGGAAAAGTTTTCTACTTGGAGGGATAAGGGTACTGGGATTTCTCCCTTCATGCCTGTCGATGCTCCTCCCAGCTCGATTGCAAGCAAATACTTGGCTCAACCTGTTTTGTATGTGTTCAAGTTCCCGATCTTGATCATCACTTTGGCGTTGTACTATGCCCTCATCCCATTCCCAGCAGTTGCCAATTTCATAGTGACCAAGCTTTACGGTTTTAGAAGAATCGAAACCACTGTAGATGGACTCAAAAGGTCCAAGGTTGCTGAAATTCAGGCTGCTAAGCCAAAGGTCAATGACATTGTCGTGGTGAACTATGTTGCACCCATCAACGGCTTGATCTTAGCAAGTATTGCGCAATGTTCTTGGAGGAGCATTGTTATACTTATACCCGCTGCAAATGGAGAGTATTACTCCTACTCCATTTGGGATGTGTTCACCAGGGCCATGGATGAAATTAGCACACCTAATCCAAGTGCCCAACCGATCACTGATTTGACAGCTCTTAAGGGTAAACTTGTATTTATATTCCCAGAAGGGACACCATCTAACAATAGGTCTATTTTACCATTTGTTACCCTGAAAACCAATAAATTGAAAGTGAACAACGTATTCACCTTTAAGACCTTGCTGTTGAAGATCTCACCGCTCCATTTCACCACTCCGTTACCCTTGACTTCGAAATTTGCTTATGTGTATTCCTTGTTAACGAATTTACATAACAAAAGCGTAATATCTGTAAAGATCTTTGAGCATGGCCAAAGCAATGAATTAGACTTCAATTTATCAAAAAGGTCTTTTGAAACGAATCAATTGAACTCGGTAGGTGACTACTTAGACATCCAAATGAAAGAAAAGTTCTACGCTGAGTACATTAAAGTAAAGCGATAGCTATTATCGTCAAGTGAATAATAAAAATACAATATAAGCAAACTATTAATATATGGTATGTGATGATGTATAGAGTATATAATACAAATAGAATACAAGGTAGAAGTAAGTTTTGCTTAACCATTTTATGAGTCCTTAATTTCGAATGGGAATAGAGCTCCCGTAAAAATATATATTTCTCATGGTAGGCAATATTGATGGGAGCATATAATGCAGATAGGACTTAACGTAAGGTAAAACTAAGTCATCCTTAATTGTTCTCTGAGTCCTTTGATTTCGAATGCAAGGAGCTTCCATGAGACGAGCTTCCATGAGACGAGCTTCTATGAGACGAGCTTCTGTGGGACGAGCTTCTGTGGGACGAGCTTCCACGGGAAGAACTCCCATGGGAAGAGCTCCTACGAGTAGAGCTCTGCGAGGATGATGTCCTATGAGAGCTTGACTTAGACCCACTTGATTTACTTGACTTATGTCTCTTCCTATCTCTCATGTATTCCTCCATTGGATCTTTAAAGTCTTCAATCGGATCCTTAAATTCATCTATGGGGTCTTTGGATTCGTCTGAGCCATCAGCTTTGCTGAGCGATGCGAGGGCACCATGTCCATTATTCTTAGAATCAGCATAAGTCAACAACTTCTTCTCTTTGCCTTCAACTTGTTTTTTCTCCTTAGCTTGCTTCTTGGCATCTCTGTAGTCTACTATAAAGTCGTCCTCATTCTGGCCATCTTTCAATTGAAAATAAACATGATCCACCTTCAACTTCTTGTCCAACACCGATATCCCATTAAAATTGTCAATGGCCAAGACGCATGATCTATAGTCTTCGTATTTCAAGTAGCAAAACCCCTTGGATTTGCCACTTTCTTTATCTTTTATTAAATTTATATGAGTCGGTATCCCGTACTGAGAGAATATAGCTAGAATATCTGGTTCCAGAAGTTCTTGGGGCAAGAATCCTATATATATATAAGGCGTATCTCTGTAATCTGCATGCCAGGATGCTGAATCTGTAACATTGCTATCAAGCTCCTTCTGATTTATAGAGTTTATCTTCTGAATCGAGTTCATTTCTCTGATACCAGCAATAAGTAATAGTATGAACGATGAGCACAGATGGGAACTAAATTGCCTAGACAATTATCGAGAGCCATAGTGCGTGAGCCGCACAAACACTATGCGATGCCTTCAAGGTCGTCCTTCTGAAGATGTCCCAGTACTTCCAATTAATAGTCGATAATTATGGGCGAGTCTCTATGGTTGCTACATTCTATTGATATCTTAGATACTTACTTTTCAATTTGTGTATTTGGTTCAGGTTGTATACGTATTTATTTCAATATATCTTAAACTCTTTCAGTATGGAACACTTTTCGTTTACTTAATTCGCAGCCATTATCTTAGTCCAAGGATAAGCCTAATGATTCCCTTTGGGACTTGGAATTAGGATCTAAGTATGGTACCTCAGCCAATGTACTCACTCTCGTTCCATGTCTAGGTTCCAAACCTTCATGATCCCACACAGCATAATGCTGGGAAATTCTATTGTCCCAAAGAGCAGAAGTACCCAATCCCTTCTTACTTGGTTTCCAGTTGAATCTCACTTGAATATCCAAGTTCTTTTCAAAAACGGAGAACAAATACTCCAAAATAACCTTGCTTTCCTCTGCTTCCAAGCCGACAATTCCAGTTGTGTATGCTCTGTTAATAAACAAGGATTTCCACCCAGTTACAGGATGTGTTCTAATAATTGGATGTTCTCTAACTACAGGCTTTCTACCCTTCAATGGATTCTCGCGGTCTAAGTAAGTATGGAGAGATCTGTAGGTTGCCTTCTTACCCTCTAAAAACTTTTGGAGAGAAGGGGACAACTTGTCAAATGCTGCATACCCAGAAACCCAAACAGTATCACCTCCAACATCGGGGATTGCATCGTTGTGCAAGTGAGTGATACCTGGAGGTTGAAGCTCGTGGGTCAAATCGGTGTGCCAATGTGCTGTTCCTCCACCCCTCTTGAAGGAAAGATCTAAACCTTTGGACTTTGCTAAATCCATCCAAATAACGCTAATACCACCTTCTCCCACAGGTACTCTTGGGGCTTGGGGGTGGATCTCGACCGGTCCAAAGTACTTACCCAATTCGAGTTGTTTCCTTGGATCAAGGTCTTGGTCTCTGAAATACACAACCACTCTTTCAGCAATCAAGAGAGCCAATTCGTCCTTTTGCTTATCGTTCAATTCGCTTAATTGCAAACCGACTATTTCAGTACCGATGTGCTTAGTTAAGTGCTTAACTTCCTTTGCTGCACCAAAGAGGGCCTTCTTCTCTGGATCGGCATATTTACCCCTATCATCGACTTCAAAGAGTTCGTTTCTGAACTGTTCCGCTTCGTCTACGAAGATAGGGATCTTTTCAGTAACAGGGATTTCAGGGTATCCTCTGGCGTAGTCTACCCCATATTTCTCGAATCTCACCTTAGTCGATTCAGGTAATTGAAGGGCACCGGCCTGATCCAAACCTCCCTTTACTTGAGGTTTTAAAGTTGCAAGCTTACGAACTGTTTGTTCTAATTCTGTAGTCATGATTCAATATATTGATATGCTTGGGAAAACAAGGTAAAAATGATCGAATACAAAGATCTTTACCCTTTATATACCTTAAATTATGACACTTCTTGCACTAATATTAGCCACAGTGTGGATACCTTTGCAATAACCAACGTGAAAATGGCAATAATTAGTAAGCTAATAATATCCGATTACTGCTTGTCTTTCGGTGTTATCAAGGCTTTCATCAACAACAAAGAACCTATTATGTACTGAAGCAATTCCTTGCCTTCTAGTATGTGGAGCTGTCATAGTTCTTACATTTTTTGCATTAAATTGATTTTGTATATTTACATATCAGTATTTTTATATATAGAGGTTATATAAACACATTCTATAGGTCAATGGCTCTTTAGTCCAATGACAATCCTAATGCTTGTCTCTGGGACTTAGAATTAGGGTCAAAGTATGGGATTTCAGCTAATGAAGTGACTCTGGTTCCGTGTCTTGGTTCTAAACCTTCGTGGTCCCAGACTGCATTATGCTGGGAAATTCTGTTATCCCAAATAGCAGAAGTACCTAAACCAGGCTTGGATGGCTTCCAATTGAATCTCACTTGAATATCCAAGTTCTTCTCGTAGATGCTAAACAAGTAGTCCAAGATAAGCTTACTTTCTTCAGGTTCTAAACCTACAATTCTGACAGTCATTGCCTTGTTGACATACAAAGACTTCCAACCAGTTGCTGGATGGGTTCTGACGAGCGCATGTTCTCTCAAAATTGGCTTTGGACCTCTAAGTGGGTTTTCACGATCAATGTATTGATGAGCTGAACGGTAAATAGCAGTCTTACCATCCAAGAATTGTTGAAGAGCTGGAGACAACTTATCGTAAGCGGCATAACCAGATGACCAAACGGTGTCACCACCAACTTCAGGAATGGTATCATTGTGTAAATGAGTAATACCAGCCGGTTGATGCTCATGGACTAAATCAGTGTGCCATTGAGAATTACCACCAATGGCATGCTTGAAAGACAAGTCTAATCCATTAACTGCTCTAGAGTAATCTTGCCAAATGACAGTGATACCGTTCAAGTCATCACCGTTAACTCCATTTGGAACTCTTGGAACTTGAGGATGGATTTCAACTTGACCCCAGTACTTACCCAATTCCAATTGCTTTTGAGGAGCTAAATCTTGATCTCTGAAGAAGACAACAACTCTTTCGGCAACCAAAAGAGCCAATTCATCTTTCTGCTTGTCGTTTAAGTCACTCAATTGCAAACCAACGATTTCAGTACCGAGATGCTTAGTCAAGTGCTTGACTTCCTTAGCAGCGCCGAAAAGAGCCTTCTTTTCTGGGTCGGCGTTCTTTCCTCTTTCGATATAAGCGTAGTCTTCATTTCTGACAGCAAATGCTTCATCAACAAACTTAGGGATCAAGTCTGGATCTGGGGTAATTGGGTATCCACCAGATAAATCAATGCCGTGTCTCTCAAATCTCTGTCTAGCAGGTTCTGGAAGCAGCTCTATCCATGAAGCCTCCTTACCAAACTTCGTTCTACCATCTTTATGGTTAGTGTGGCCAAGTGGCTTCAAAGATGCGAGCTTGGCAATAGTCTTCTGAAGTTCCTCTTCAGTGGTTGGAGCAGAACCAGCAGGTGTAACGGTAGCAGCAGTTGGGGCCATATTTTTTTTTTTTTATTCTTCCGTGCAGATTAATCTAAAAAATATTTCAAAATACGACAGATAAGAACAATCAGCTAGTGGTACTATTCTTCGTTGTACTTTGGGTATAACAATGTAAATTATTAAACTCCAGTCACCGAACTTCGATCTAGTAGCCTACTTTTATAGTCCACGAGTGTCGGAGAAATTTAGTAATTGCTTACTCATACTGATGCCACAGTGTTGTATTAGTTGATAAGAAACCTTAAGCCAGAGTTTAAACATGGTGAATTTGCGCATAAAATTAAAAATTTGTGTGGCTCACTTTCTTCTTTGGGCATGGTAATTGGTGATCGGATCAGATCACAATGTTTCCACCAATGATTTCAAAGGCCGAGAGAGGTTAGGATTCTGTGAATATGTAGGTGCTACTAAGCTCCCCGCCTGTGCTGATAAATTGGTAGAGCAAGCCTAGAAGGTGGGAAAGGTGTGCCCGACTTGGTGTGCCCGATTTGGTGAGTGATTGCAGTTCGAAGTACGAAGTGAAAAATTGTATAGCAGCAGCACTGCGCCGCACTGCGTTTGTTGTGCTTTCTTAGTATTAGCATCTAGAGTACAGTGTTCCTCAGTAGATTGTCTTTTGATTTGAGCTGCAGGTGTGTATGAGCTTAAGTAAGAGCAGGTATACTGTTATTGTGATTGGAGCAGCGCTTATTTTTTTTTTTTAGTACGAACTGTAGTTACGTGAAGAGCTGAGAACGAGCACCGCACTATATCAAGTGTATTCTAATACATTGATACAGATAGTGATTACATTGATATATATGAAGCGCAGTGTTACATTGAAGTAGCGATTGTCTTCTACGAACTGTAGCGATATATTGAAATCTATCTAAGAAAGCTAGCGAATTTTTGAAGTTAAGATACTCTTATTTTATACAGGTTTAGATAGTATACCCTTATTTTATACCGATAGAGATAGCATACTCTTGTTTTATACTGATATAGATAGTATAGCTTTAGCACTAGCGTAATCTTCGATGGTGCTTTTAGACTGATGTCTAGCTAAAGAGTTTTACTGCAGTGATAAACACTGCAGCCTCGCCAGCATACCTTCATCCAACTGTTGTACACCAGTTTAGCCAATACACTTAAGTGACAATTTGCTTGACCTAGGTACCACAGTACCATATATTGAAATATAGCTAACGGAATCTTACTGCAGCACTACGGTATAACTTTACCTAGACTTGAACTTAGCTAATGCAAAGAGATGACCCTTTGGTACTTTCACACACTGAAATCAGTACCAGTCGTATCTAATACACACCCTCCAGCTTATGTCCATATTGCTTGATCCACGTTCCCATACAGTTTTGGTCGTTCAAGTTCTCCCATAAACTAAACTTTGCCGGAGTGCAACCTTCTACCAAGGGGCTGTTTGGACAGTTGAAGTAAGGATCGTGGAAGTATCCGATATCTTGGAACCAGTGTACGTCCTTTTCCAAATCTGCAAAAAGTGCCACACCAATTGAATGGACTGGAGCATCACCCCACCTCTCATAGTAAAACTTTCCTGTAGAGTCTAAATGTTTAAACCATTCGTTATAGGGTTCCAGTCTGAAGAAATCCATGTCAGCGATTTCGAAATTGGACCAAAAGTGGCAGGTAGAATAGCCTCCTGCCACCTGGGCCTTGATCGGCTGCTGCTCGTCATAGAGGAGCCATTGGAAGGCACCATTTGGATTGACATACTTATAATTGTCGCCCTTGTTCAAAAATTTCATCGTTTCTGGCCACAAACTAGCAATAGATTCATCAATGTCATACAAATTGATGGTGAATCCGTACTTCTTTTTCTTTTCACTCATATACTTGAAGATGTCGTAGTTAACATCGGTATAGAAGTCCACGTTGGGTTCAATTCTCCAGTAGTACTTGTATTTTTGTAATTCAGGCACGTTATAGAAATTACCCAGATAAAACCTACACATGTTATGATAACTTGCCAACTTGGCGTACGCAACGTTGTGATCATGCATCACTTGCATAGCTTTGCTCTCCTTTTCATGGTCAATCCAATCTGGCTTGTCCCAGAGCTTCTCTGAGATGGTGACGAACTCCATCTTGGCTTTAGACAAGCCCCTCATTTTCTCTTTGAACTTTTCGCTGAATGGCTGGTCATTGATGAAAGTGTAAGGGTACTGGAACTTGGAATTGAACTTGGCTTCCAATCTCTGGATGGTCTTCTTGATTTTGTTGGCTTCCTGTTCACGGACAAGCGAAAGGATCGTAGCGTTGGCTCTCACGTAAGTTTCCAAGTCTTTTGGCGGTCTAATCGACTCCATATCGAAATCCTTAGGCTCCTTAACTTCCACCTTAAGCGTGGACTCGTAGAGATGCTGGTTATCTCTCAAAGCGTCTTCGGGTGTCTGTTTCGTGTCCCCTCCATTACCCAAGTACTTGAACTCAACCTTTCCCTTTTCGAGCTGGAAACCTGCCTTGTTCAACGAACTTCCAGTGTATTGACCTTCATCTACAACTTCAGGTTGAGACAGAAGGTAATTGAACTCAATCTTGGACAACCCACTGCGTAACCCATCTGTCACGGTCTTAACATGCTCCGCAGGGATAGTTTCCATGTAGAACAACATAAATATCAAAAGTATAAAGTTTGCAAACACAAGAAGGATGATCTTGCGCTTAGTAAGACGAACCCCAGCATTCATCATGATAAAATAACTGGTCTACGCTGTATATTCCAGGCCTCCTTACTCTTGTCTTATCGACTACAAAGAATCAAATGAAAAGGTCCATGTCCCCTTCGAGGTCACGTGACAAACTCTGCCTCGCTGCTCGTATTTTTTTTCCTCCTGATATTTTCCACGCTGATGGTCATCGGTGCACCCAGACGTGCAAGAGAAGGAAGACGGCACACTCTTAAGAGGTGGGAGGGAGGGAGAGTAGCGATTCCATAATCTTGAGCGCCGTGCTATAAAGATCCAAAGCAAAACCAAGTAAAGTGAAAAAGACGCGTTCTTTTAGGTGTTTGCTGTGGCCTACATCTATCTCCCATACATATTCTCTTCCCCACAAAAAAGACAGAGACACAGGGCAGTTGAGAGCATTTCTGCCCAAAGCATTTCTGCCACTTCGATATCTTTCACATATCGTTTTTTATTTCAGTCAATGGTCTCCTTTCCTCTCTATCATTCTATATATTATTAATATTGTAATACAGCTATCTTATTTCTACTAGAATTCGTGCATGGTGTGACATGATTAGGGTATTTAGCACTAGATTTTGTGATGTAACATGACTAAGTCATACAGCTTCTGGTCCTTTAGCACTAGATTTCGTGACGTAACATGACTAGGGTAGGTCGTATAGCTTATGGTCCTTCGTTTGGTAGTGGTACCTAAATACCTTTCTCACAGCTTGACATCAATCTCTCACTTGTCTTTCTCCATTGCATGTCCTGCCACGCTCTGTACAATGCTGCACCTGCTTGGATGAATTACCTGAGCATGCAGTTTTGGACCTTGGCACGGCACCAGCTGGATATTCGTCTAGCAAGATACACCAATACAAATTCCTCTTATGCTTTCTTAACAGTCTCCTACTTGGTTTACCACACCTTCTTCAACGAATCGCCAACCTGGTTGATCCATGTGGCCATACAGTTTTGATCATTGCCATGCGCAAAATTGCAAAACTTACCAGCTTCACATCCTTCCACGAATGGACTTGTGGGGCAGTTATAATATGGATTGTGCACATATCCAATATCTTTAAACCAGTGGACTTCTTTCTCAGAGTCTAAGAACAATCCGACTGCTACAGAGTGAACAGGCGCATCACCCCATCTTTCATAGTAGAACTTCCCGGTCTGCTCTAAATGGTCCATCCACTTGGTATATGCTTCACCTCTATAGAAATCCAAATCAGCAATCTCAAAATTAGACCAGAAGTGACAACACGAGTATCCGTTAGCCACCTTAGCCTTCTTGGGCAATTGTTCATTATATGTCAACCACTGGAAGGCTCCCTTTGGGTTAACGTACTTGTAATTGTCATCCTTATTCAAAAAGTCCAAAGTTTCTGGCCATAAAGTTTCCACAGTCTCGTCGATATCGTAAATATTGACAGTAAATCCGTACTTTTTACCAGTATTCTGCAAGTACTTGAAGGGATCATAGTTCATATCAGTGAAAAATTGAACGTCAGGTTCAATTCTCCAGTAATACTTGTATTTCTGCAATTCAGGAACATTATAGAACTTCCCCAGGTAGAACCTACACATATTATGGTACAGGGCCATTCTAGCGTATGGGATATTCAAATCGGCAAGGGCCTTCATCGCAGTGGTTTCCCTTTCTTTATCGATCCAATCAGGTTTATCCCAAAGTTCAGCAGGGATCACTACAAACTCACATTGTGCATTAGTCAAGGACAACATTCTTTCCTTAAATTCTTCAGAAAATTGATCATTGTTCAAAAATGTGTAAGGGTATTGGAATTTGGAGTTGAACTTGGTTTCAAATTGCTTAATGGTGTATGTAATGGAGTCGATTTCCTGGTTTCTTACCAACGAGACAATGGTGGCACTCACTCTGTCATAGTCATCGATCTTGTCCACCGGTGGTGGCCTAATAGTGTGCATGTTAAAGTCCTTTGGTTCCAGGGCATCCTTGGCCATTTCAGCTAAATAGATCTTCTCGTTTTTCAAGAATGCATCTTCTTTGGAGATGGATGGGTCATCGCTTATGTATTTGAACTGAACGTCATTTGGTTGAATTCTGAAGCCATACTCCTCCAATGTATCCTTCACCTCAGGCTTAACCTCAGGCTTAACCTCAGGCTTAATCTCAGGCTCCACATCGGGCTTCACATCGGGCTTCACTTCAGGCTCTATATCAGGCTTCACTTCAAGCTCCAGTTCAGGCTTCAGCTCTGGCCCTGAGTCGGTACCGGCATGAGGGGGAGGAGTAGTTGAAAACGTAGGGCTGGTATTTGGGGTCTTGAAGTACGAAGTCAACGCCTTGGTATGTTGCGATGGAATGCTTTCCAAATATAATAATACAAAGAACAAGAACACCAAATTGACAGGAATGAGGAATATGATAGTCCTCCTAGAGAAGCGGAAGTTTTTCAAGGTAATCATGGTAGGTATGAGCTAGATCCCAAAATATCAAGTGACCAAAAAAAAAGAGTTCAAAAAGGGAATATTCTGAAAGCTATATACTCATACAAAACAAACAGAAAGATTTATGCCGGGAAAATTACGCAACTGAGTGGACCTTAGAAATTAGATACAACACCAGGCATAAAGTTTCATGTAGAGTCTGTAAGGGTCCTTCACAAAGTAGCGCTCATTGACACGAAGAGTGAAAAAATAAAAAAAAAAAAAAAAAAAAAAAAAAGAGAAAGAAACCAGAGATACAAGGCTCAAGTCAAAGGGCTATATAGCAAAGCAAAAGCATAAAAACGCGGTGTAAATAAACAGGCATTGTTGTGGGTAGTGGAAAGAAAGGAAAATAGGCTTGTGAAAGTGGAACGGAAACGTAGAATAAAGTATTAGGAGTGTAGCTTATGGAATCAGGGTGAAATTAGCATTACGATTACGATAAGAATTAAGCTTTTGTCGAGCGCTCCCAGCGCATGAATTGCAACCTCGTGCTCACTAATTTTGGGGGCAGAAGTGCTCACTAGCGCCTAATTCTCAGATCTTGGGAAAGTGTTGCACGTCAATAAAAAACGGTCAGAGAAAAAAAATTACAGAGAGGGAGACATGAATGCGATGAAATGGAGTGGGAACAGAGGTAAATAGCGAAACCTAGATGTTGTTGGCTATTTAAAGATAACCATAGACTTCCATGAGTTTATTCTTCGTGTTCTTTGAAGTCCCACGGTGGGAGTCCACGGTGGGAGCTGGAGCTCTAACCAGGGCAGGGCGGGCGGCGCAGTGAACTGTGGTCTTTTTTAGTGCACTAATTTTACTTGATTTGATTATTTTATTTTTAATTTTATTTTTATTTTTATTTTCTAATTTTGTTTTTTGCATTTTCCACTAACTTCATTTCTCTAGTAATGTTGGTTTTAACCCTTCGCTACAGAGCTTGATGGCTCTGTCCTTCTAGCTGACTTTCGAAGCCCCATGAACTACAGAAAAGCCGATTTTTTGAACCTCTAGTCGCTTAGTGCCGAAATTGGTGCAGTGAGCGTAGATTGAACTGGTGCTATACTTTATTCTATTTCGCTGTATTTTATTTTTAGCTTTATTTTATACCCTCATTGATTTCTCGTATTGGCCAGTTCAGAACACAACTTGGATAGCCGTCAGCCCGTCTCCAGTATTCTGTGGCCCAATGCCGCTGGAGGAAGCAATCCTCTTGAAAATGGGGCCCTCTTCTCCAACATTGGACTAAGATAAATTGAACTGTTGCGCATGCTAGTCTATCAATCTCTCATCATCTTTCTCTATATTTTACTTTATTTTTTGTTCTTTTTTGCACTTTTTATTTTCTACACTTGATTATTTTCTCTAGTCTGTCGCTGTGGCCCTTCACAACTGAACTCTAAATGGCCGCCTGCCCTTATCACTGACTACTATGTGGACTAATGCAGCCAAGGAAAGCAGCACTCATACAGAATGGGAAAATTACCATCGTATTTAGAGAACGCGTCGCTCTCCCTCTATCTTCTGCCTTCTCACCGTGCTGAACGCTACTATTCCTTAACGCTACTGAATCAGGCGTAGCTTGCGCTACAAGATTCTTGCATAAAATAACGAACAATAAATAGGAATGACTTTTTGGCAAGCTCTAGGTGGTTTCCGGGGCTGAAGGACCGATACGATGCAGTCCCATCGTACTTATCGTACTCCCTGGTACTTATGAAGCTTCTGAAGCACTGATCTGTTGCAGTCTTTATAAGAGTCCTTAACAACCTGCACATAGGCGAATCATACATGCAGGAACATCAACATTCGATTTTACATCTGAAAAACGAACTGCTGCTCAAGAGTTTGCAGTTCGTATGATTTCAAACCACCGCCCACAAAGACCTATGAGAAGTGGAAGGCTCTTCTTCAGAACGTACTCTTCCAGAGGAACCAGGCTACCTTCTCTTGGAACAACATTGCCGAAATTCTCGTTCCCTGAATCGACTGCGGACATCAAATCCATCACCTCGTCTTTGGACTCACTCTTGAACTCGTCTAAAGATGTCACAATATATGGACATCTCAATAGAAAGCCCAGAAAAATGTCAGTTAACACCTTTGGTGAGCTTAGAGATCACAATGGAGACTTGACGCAGATTATTATGACCCCTCAGCTGACGTCACTGGAGCTCATTGAAGAGTTGAGAAGTGGGATACCTGAAGATTCCATCTGTGTCACAGGGAAAGTCCAGCTTAAAGTGCCCAAAGCGGGCGAAGAGCACTTAAGGAGCTGGGAGTTGATTGTGGAGAAATTCCAGGTGCTCAATAAATCAAACGAAGCGGCCTCGCAGTTGGACAAATTAAAGCATTCCAACCCTGAAAGCTTACCACCTCATTTACGCTACTTGCAATTGAGAACGCCAAAGTTGCAAGATGCCTTGAGGAAAAGGAGCCAAGCTGCCAACGTAGCTCGCCAGACTTTGATAGAGAACCATAATTTCGTGGAAATAGAGACCCCACTCTTGTTTAAGTCTACTCCTGAAGGTGCAAGAGAATTCCTCGTCCCTACAAGAACTCCCAGCAAGTTCTACGCATTACCACAATCTCCACAGCAATATAAACAGATATTGATGCTGTCTGGATTCACTAGGTATTTCCAGATTGCTAAATGCTTCAGAGATGAGGATCTTAGAGCGGATAGACAGCCTGAATTCACACAGATTGATTTGGAGATGAGTTTCATAAGCGACAGCGATCAAGTTGGAGCTGTGGTTGAAGATGTAGTGAAAAGCATCTGGGAGAAAGTGGCAGTCAAACCAATATACAGGCCATTGGGCGACGACTTGTTGGAAGAAGTGAAGAAAACTGATAATACCAACCTGTTGTCATTCCCCAAGATTTCATATATTGACGCTATGACCAAGTATGGAATTGACAAGCCAGACTTAAGATCTACATTAAAGTTTGTAGAGTTGTCCAAAATTTTCAAATCGAGCAACTCACGCTTTCCGATCGTAGAAGCATGTGTTCTCAAAAATGCTCTCAGCAATGGAACTAAGATCCCACATAGCTTTAAGGACAATAGTAAGTATCCCGGAAGAAAGCCAATAGTCATTGGCATTAGCACTGAAGAATTGAAAACTGGCTGGTTCGAAAAGTTTATCGAGAAGGGTGTGCTACAATTTCAAGAGGGTGCCAGTCAGGGTCAATTGGCAGAAGTGTTAAACGTTGAAGTAGGTGATATTCTAGCATTTTCCACCAGGGAGGAATTACCGTATGAGAACCCAACTTCTTTAGGAAGGTTCAGACAATTGGCTATCGAAGAATATCCCAACCATTGGCGCAGAAAGATTAAAGAAAGCTCAGATGGAACGATAAGAGAGGTCCAGGACCCATCTACTTTATTCGTAGCCAGTTGGGTGGTTGATTTCCCATTGTTTAACCCACCGGAAGAAGAGGGATCCGAACGCCTTCAATCGACGCACCATCCATTTACCATGGTAAAGTTGGAGGATTACAAATTACTTGAAAGTGATCCTTTGAAAGCACGAGGTGAGCATTATGACTTGGTCATTAATGGTGTTGAAGTAGGAGGGGGTTCAAGAAGAGTTCATGATCCGGAGTTACAGATGTTCATCTTGAAACTGTTACTCAAGATTGAAAATCACGAAGAGCTCTTCGGCCATTTGATTCAAGCTTTGAGCATGGGCTGCCCACCACATGCTGGGTTGGCTTTAGGCTTCGATAGATTATGCTCCATGTTGATTGGGAGTAATTCGATTAGAGACGTCATTGCTTTCCCAAAGAACCAAGCTGGCGCAGACCCAATGGTCGAAAGCCCTACATCTGTTCCAGCCGATGTGTTAGGCAATTATCATATCAAATTAGAGGAGAGCAAACAGTCTTAGACCTAAAAATTGTACATAGTATAGATGACTATATTGTAAATAGAATACACTTGGAACTTAAATCTTACCGTCTTTCTTTATACTTTTACTGATAATAAGCACTCTCTACATTCTACATTACAGGCTTGGTAAAATAATGCTATTATTTCTATTAACTATCATACACGGTTACGACCTCTAACCTTTTGCTTCTTGTTGTTATCATTGAAGACGTCTTCAACCTTGAAGTCTCCAAGACCAGCAAATTGCTTTTGTTGATTGTGACCACCATTCTTTCTTTTCAAGTACCACTCCTCATTTTGTCTACTTTTCTCTTCTTTCAATTGCTTCTCTCTTAAAAGTTGCTCCATTTTAAGTTCAATTGGTTTCTTTATCTTCTCCGCATCTTCTCTGTTGTTTCTGTTATTATTATTATTGTCATTGTTATCACCCTCATTGTTGTAGTATTCCTCTTCCTGTTGTTTAATTAAGCTCTTCCAGTCATACTTCTTTCTTGCAAATAATTCCATTTTCCAATTTTTCCAAACCATTTTCCCATAGGTACTTTCCTTTACTTTCTTTGATTCTGACATTAATTCAGATCCAATACGATCCTTATACATATTCAATAACACTGTGAAGTCCCATAATTTATCAACAATGTGAGAACCATATGAGTTACAGGACATGTTAGCTACCTCACCTTGGAAGATATTCAAGAATCTTTTTCTCAAGATTGTGATATTTTTAGGTTCACCTCCTAAGCTTATAGGCAATACAACCAAAGAGCTTTCAACAACATGAGAGAAGACTCCATGGAAACACATTTGAATGAATCTAGCTTGTGGAAGAGCTAAGAAGTTGTACCAGACACAAATGACAAACGAAAAGTCGTATTCCATCAATTTTTCTAAGAATAAGGATCTTCTTCTTTCCTCGGCTGTTGGCCAGTCATCTCTTGTATTACCCAATGTAGATCCAGTCAATTGTAACGTGTTTTCCAAGAATTCCACAGAGCTATCGCTTGGGTTCTTATAGTCATAGTTTGGAGCAAACTTTAAGAACAATTGTTGAATGATTTCATCTCTTCTGTAGTTTCCTCTAGTCAAAGAAGCGTCAATTACACTTCTTCCTAAATCCAAGTTTTGATTCTCGGAAATTGAAATCAAGTTCGACAATTCTGGAATCAACTGGTCTAAGATGTGCTCAACTTCAACTGGTTTCAATTTCATCAACAATGCTTGGATAATATAGACACCGGTAGTGGCTCTTTTGGAAAGTTTGAGAACTCTATCCTTCATGTATAGCTTGTAGAGCCTTTCAAGGTACTTCATTCTAGCACCACCCCTCTTTATACAATTTTCTAAGAAATGGGAACCAACGGAGTCACTTAACAAATATTCTACGAAAGCTTCCTCTTGTTGCTCCTTTTCTGCATTGTCCTTAGCGAAAATCAAGTGCCACACGGTTCTTTCGTTATCGAATATTCCTTCAACTTGAATAATCAATTGTAAGACTGGAGAAGCGATCTTATGAATTGCCAACTCTCTCAACTTCTTCATATCGCTCCGGGAGTATTTTGCACTAATTGACGTAATGACGTCTCTTAATTCGTTTTTGAAACTAGGAGGAACTTGGAAAGAACGATTGAAATCGTCATTGTCCTTGATTTCAATCATCTTTCTAGCGATCTTAGACTTCTTGGATCTCAAGGTTGAGTTTGAAGTTGTACTGGAGGGTAAATCCTTTCCAGCAAGGATTAAGAGCAAAAGTCTAAGGGTATGCGAAGAGTATTGGTGGTCAATCATAGCGTTGACATGTGGCTTGTATTCATTGACCATTTGAATGAAAAGTTCTTCCATGGTGACTGAAACATTTTCATCTTCATCGTCTTCGTCTGCGTCTTCTACTTCTTCCTTGACTTCGTCGATCAATTCCTTTTCGATTAATGCAGCTGCTCTGACAAATAATGTCTCAAGAACATGGGAGGAATATTTGTGGTGAGCCAAGGCTACAAAATGATTAGAAAAGGCCTTGAAAAGGTTCTTAAGTTGCCTGTCAGTTGCGGACAAGATCAATCTTTCCATCAACTTAGAGCAGATCTGATTTGTCACAAGTTTCAATTCTTTCCCGCGTGCTTCCTCCAATACAGATCTAATAAAGCCCTCTCTTTCCTCTGGGCTCTCAAATGCATTGATATTGAGTGTGGCTTCTGCTTGCTTGAAATAGTCGATTTCGTTGGCATCTACAAGACCAAAAAACGTGGTGGTGTTCTGTTGCTTGTTAGACTCGGCTGCAGCTTGGTTTTGCACATCGGCTTGCTCATCTTCATCTTGCTTATCCTCGCCCCCAAATTTTTTCAAACTGTCCTTTTTGATCGCTTCTGGATCAATTTCTTTGGCAGATTTCTTCTCTGCCCTTCTGCCTCTTACTTTAGCCATGATATCAGTCCTTGATGTATGGGAAATGTGTTGTGAATGCTCCTCTACTGATGCGCTTCTGTGGTGAAGTTTTAATTTTTTTTTTTGAGATGAGCATTGGATTTTTCAGTACTGCATACAGTGTCTTATCTCGTATATTTATAGGCATGTGTGGGACCAGCTTGTGAAGATGATGGGAGATTAGAGTGTAGTTGGAAGAGTATAGAGGACGACGGGTGGGTCGGAGAGTGGATGTGGAGTTGTCTTAGGTATGGAAATTGAAGAAATGTTTATATAAAATCAACTATTTTTTGCAGAAAAATGGGTATTACTACAGTGTTGTGCTGTGTTGTGGGGACTTCTTTGCTTTATTGTTACCTATCTAAATTGATTCTTTGCTCAGCAGTGGTGCACTACTGTAAAGCGTTGGATAAAGTTGCGTGGAGATGTGCTGCCTTCTTGCTCTTTCATTGCCGCTCTTGGGCAGTGCTACGGGAGGACACCTCTTTGCCCTTCATTACTCTTTCATTGCCGCTCTTGGGCAGTGCTACGGGATGGCACCTCTTTGCCCTTCATTACTCTTTCATCGCCTAGCTTATTAGACTCTTTGAACTAACGCAATTGTACGCGTTAGGCTCCTCCTTGTGTGCATACTGTACAACAGTACTTGTGATAAGTTCTCTCCTCCTTCATTATCTAACTGACTTGGTTGTCTGATCAACTGTGTTGTACAGGCTGGCTCCTGTTCATGTGCTTCCCTTTTGCCTTCTTACCATATGGAGACCCATAATGAGATGCTCGTGGACCACTCACACAGTCGTTACCTCCTCTCTGAACTCCTTCAACTGATCAATATACCTCCCTTTTCTGAGCAGATCGAGTTCAATCAATTTCTCAAAGGCTTCTTTAATTTCCAGCTCCACCCTATACTTTTGCTCTTTGTCCACTAATTCCTTGGCTATTAACTTTTTGATCACAATTATACTCTTTAAGCACCAAACATGGTCCTTGTTTTCCGGGTGATCGTCTTTCTCCAATTCGTTCAATTCTTCAATGATGTCCAATTCCTCATCTAAAATGGATCTAAATGATTTCTTCCCGTCACTTCCATCCTCACGCTTATTCAAATCATCCACAAACAACTGGTCAGTGAGCAACCACTGCAAGTACAACCAGATTGAAGTATCGTCCGCATCCATGTACATTCCTGTTTTGATTAGTTCCAATTCGTGAATCAAGATCGAGTAAGGTGATTGGAAAGTGGTCACGAGTTCCCTATACTGGTCAGAGTTTTGCCCGTGCAGTTTCCATAGCCTGTACAACTTCGGAATGACTTTAGATCTATTGTGCCACGCAGAGAAATTGGATATATTGTTGTTTATCTTGGCGGTAGTGTACTGATATTCTTTGAAGGTTATCTCCAATAATTCAGTGGCATATTCGTCGCTATTGCTGGCATTGTGCTTTTTGCTATCCTCCATGGATTCCACCACGAATCTTCTGTACTGCCAACCATGGTAGTTCCTGGCATCCATTTCCAACAACTTCGACACTATGCCCAACTCAAACGCCCAGTTGGCCTCGTTAGAAGTAGCTAGCTCCTGAAGGCACCACACACGATGGTTCCAGATCCAGTAGCATTTCGGGTACCTCCTCAAAAACGCCATAATCATCTTCAAATCGTACTCCAAACGGGTCTTCTTGGATCCCGGCTCCTTCTTTATCAAATCCAAGAGGATTTCTCTCCGGTAGTTCCATACCGAGTAGAATTCCGGGTTCAAATTAAGTAAATTGGTGGCCAATTCTAATGCTTCTGTGGAAAAGTCCAGCTCTGCTCTTCTCTGGAATATTGTAGCCGTTAAATTACGGTACGTGGAGATCTTTATAGCGTCTCGTTCATACTTGTCCTGTCTTGCCTCTTTGGAAAGAATCGTACGTTTGATGCCGTGTTGCTGTTCAGTTAGAATTAAGTCATATGATGCGATATATCTACACGTATACTTACCATGCTTGGCCACAGGATGTAATATCAACCGATTCAACACTGGTGTAGGTTGAAGTATGGCAAATGTGTACTCTGGCGAAAGAAGAACTCGGTTGTCTTTTCCACCCCGCCAAAGTTTAGCGGCCGGAGCTGTGCGCACCAGTTTTTTGCACGCTGTTCTAGGGGCTCTGGACGCAGACGGTGCTGTGCGCACCAGCTTGGGCACGCTGTTCTAGGGGCTCTGGACCCAGACAGTGCGAGTTTAGCGCATTTTGGAACGCTAATTTTAGCGCCTTTGATCACGCGCGCATTCGCTAGCGATATGGAACTCGCTACATCACAGCTGGAAAATCACAAACAAAGCACCGTTCACGTAGGTTCCTCTGCTTAGGAGCTTATTGTTGCACCTATTTTTGCCGTTTTTTTTGCCTTCTCGATGCCGTCTAAGCTAGCCATAAAGGGATCGTCGAAAATCGTGGCAGATTACTTCGAATTCGCCATAAATAACATCCTCTTCCAGCGTGGGATATACCCCCCCGAAGATTTCCAAACAGTGCGCAAGTATGGGCTCCCCATGCTATTGACTTCCGACGACGAAGTGAAACAGTACATCGAGGCCATAATGATCCAGGTGAAGAAATGGATATACGGTGGGAAAATCAACAAGTTGGTGGTGGTAATTGTGTCCAAATCGACGGTGGAGTCTGTAGAGAAGTGGGAGTTTGATCTACAGGTGCTAAACTCAGGTCAACAAAACCAACAAGATGAGCTCGAAGAGCTCGACAGCAAAACGAAGGAGGAAACTCAGAGAGAGATCCAGTCTCTTATCAGACAAATAACGTCGCTGGTGTCGTACTTGCCGATGCTCAAAGATGACGAATATACGTTCAATGTCTTGGTACATACAGACCCGACGGACCCATACACACCTAAAGAGTGGTGTGAGGGAGAAGACAGAGGATTGCAAGGCCCTAATGTGGAAAATGTTCAATTCAGGTCGTTCAGCACCAACATTCATCAAATTGGAACCCAGGTAACCTACAATTACGAGAAATAGAATATACTCATTCTTGTGTATTACTGGTGGATACAGGGTGCACTACAGACCACGCCGGACGTCTTTTCGTTCCTTGTATTGTACCTAATTAATGCTTCTATAAAAACAGCAACCGCTTACTCACTTTGTTACACGCTGCTCACTTCACTGACTTTCTTCTTCTTATACTCCTGCTCAAACTGCAACTCCAACTCAAACCTTGCCCTTTTGTTTCCCAACATAAACCTGCTGCACCCCTTGGCACTTAAACTATAATCCCATGGCTTCAAGTAGTAATCTTGGCGCAACATATCTCTTTCACTGCAAGAAGCTTCGTCCAAGATCTTCAAGTCGTTGAACCTCGACTTCAAATCCATAAACTTAAATATTTGTTCCTTTCCAGTGTCGGCATCTATGGCTGGCATGTACTCATTCAAGATCAGGTAGTTCATATTATGTACATAGTAGTCTAATACATATATTATCCCCTCGTTTACCAATGTTTCTGGGCACCTGAACTGAGAGTAACAGTCCAAGCTCTCCAAGATGACGTTTAAATCGTGCGATGAGAGCTGCTGCTCTCCTCGGTTGAACTTGTGCACTATGTCTTTAGGCTTCACGTTCAAGGTAATGATTATGATAGCCACGGCAATGCAATGCGATGGGATCATCAAACACAATGGCGTTGACATGATGTCAAAACTCACGAGCCACGAGTACATGGTATGGATGTAGTCAATCCCCAACTTCTTACAAAACTGAACAAGCAACTGGTCTACACTCGTGTTCATGGTGGATCCATTCAAGAAGTCAAACTTGATCACCTGTAAGATCTTGAATTCGATATTTAGAATGGCTTTCCTTTGGAAATCCAAATACAACCCCTTAGAGTCTTGGTCGTCTATATCTCTTAGTTTATTCCCGACAACTTGTATATCTTTCAATTTCTTGATGCAGTCCTCGTTCTTGGAAGCCAAGAGAAGACAACTCATGGCAATCACGAATGGGTCTCTCTCATGCTGTTTGATTATGAGTTCATGTGCCTCTTGCACCGATGTTGGTGTGCCTGTGGTACCGTTGGTCCCACTGGAAGTAGATTCCTCCCACTTGTTGAACAAGAAATATCGTTGGTAGTAGTTCATGGTAGTGGCCAACACCCGAAGCGGGAACTTCACGGTTTTTATCAATTGGAATACAAATTGAAACACCTGGTGCTTCTTTTGGGAATACAACACCTTTTTGGACTCTGGGATGGTTTGTTGAAGGAGATACTTCAATTCTGAAGATGTGAAAAACGGACGTGACACTTGAGTAACCGCCACTATCGGAGGCGGTGCCTTGCTCGACGGTGGGTGCTGCTGCTGAGAGCCTGTTTTCGCACCAGACTGACTCACATGCGGTATAGGACCGTCGCTAGCTGACATTTACGGGAAATAGCGATAAAATGAGCCCAAATAAGTGATGAATACAGCAAGAGGGTGTGGTGCTGCTTCGTTTTGGACTTGAGCTTTTTTTTTGATACCCATGATGGGCTATATGCAGTCTCAGTAAGAATTTGATGTTTAGTGTTATATGCAGTACCGGTTTAGTTTCAAATTTGTTTTGTGCAGGACGGTGATTTAGAAGAAAAAAGAAAAGAAGACAGAATGCCACTATTCACGTGCCCTCCATCAGAGTGTCCATGTAGAGATGGAACACAGTGCAGCACCATGCCCCAGCAGCATCGCTGACAGGAGTCCGAATAATCCCTCAACCAGACCAACATTTGAGCTAATAAACGCAAAGAGGAGAATAAAACACCCAGTCGTTTATTTACGTTTCAGTCTTTTGCTTTCTTTTCACTTCTGGTCTATTGTTTACTTAAGCTTAATTACGTCTTTTTTTGGCATTTTTCTTCGCTTGAGCGCTGCAGATTTGCTTACTCTTCACGCTAAAGGGTGGGGGTTCATCGTAAGCAAGAAAAGAAAAGCAATTTGCATAGTACTACAAGGTTGTGTTTCTTAAACGACCAATTGTTCTATTTACCAATTGTTCTACTTCTGTAAGCAGGGCCAACACACCCTATACTTTCATATACTTTCAACACACCCCTATACTCTGGTTTCACCGGGTCCATCTCTTATCTTGAACTTTGAATCCCCCTCCGGTTCGTAGCGTGGGCCACTTTTAAAACTTGACTATGGCGCAACCTTGTTGCTCAGGCACCTACAGAATTCTCGGAAAGTTTGATTTGTGCCGAAAATTTCATCGCCCAGCGAACACCCCCATCGTCCCACTAAAGCCGCCACACATGCCAGTCCAAACGGTTTTTCCACTTTCCGATCGTCTGGGGCACATCACTGATAAAGTTTCAGGCGGGCCCGGCACCCCAGGAAAATCATCATTTGTAAGTCATAGTTTTGGGGGGTGGGTGTGTATGTAGCAAAAAAACATTATGATCGATGGTCATCATCGAGTACAGCCCTCAACTAACCAACCAGCTAAACTCAAAGCAAGGGGTCCGAGCTACCGGTACCTATAATGCATAAACGCTCTTGAAAGTTGCTCTCATAACCTACAGGCACCTTCTTGATCCTTCTACTACTCCGAGCTTCAGTAGCCCGAGAAACAAGCACCGAAAAAAAAAGAAAAGATTATGCACCAACAAAACTAAGAAAAAAAAAAAAAAAAATTAAAAATAAACCCGCCGTCCCCACACGCGCTAAGTCAAGTCACTAATTTCCTTCTCCTGCATCAAAATCTCCCGCCTTTTGCTGAGAAAAGAAACGGTGACAGGCGGGAATGGTTTGGGTCACTGTAAAAACAAACGATGCGATGATTACAAACTGGTACTATTTAAGTAGGCATTTGGGAGAGCATTTCGAAATTGTTGATTTGGGAAAGGTTTTTTTTTTCTTCTTCTTTAGTTTAAGTATATCGCAACGCAAAACTCATTGAAAAGTATCCGGTTCACCCCTGGATTACCAATTACACACTAAAAGTAGAATCCAGTTACTCCCTTTCCCTGGTTTAGGTACAGGAAGCATTACAGGAAAACAAAACGGAAATTAGTAAACAGCAATTAAACTAAACGTATCCTAGTTTAACCCAGTTTACTTCACCACGAAATAGATTTATAGATAGAATATGTCAGACTTCACTTTAGACAACATTGTTCCAAACTTCCGTCTTGACGGTAAGTTGGCCATCCTTACTGGAGGATCCGGTGGGCTTGCCTCGGTCATCTCACGTGCTCTCATTGCTCAGGGTGCCGACGTTGCCTTGGTGGACATGAACTTGGAAAGAACCACCGCCGCCGCCAAAGATGTCGTTCTTTGGGCAGAAGAGCACTTGAAGGGTTCCCCCAATGCCATTGGTAAGGTATCCGCTTGGGCCTGTAACATTGGAGACGCTGCCTCCGTGGAAGAGTCTTTCGCTTCCATTAACGAACACCACGGCCAACCAGCAAACATCTTGATCAACTCTGCTGGATACTGTGAAAACTACCCAGCTGAAGAGTACCCATCCTTAAACGCCGAGGGAATCATGAAGGTCAATGCTTTAGGTGCCTTCTACGTATCACAATCGTTTGCCAGACCATTAATTGCCGGTAACTTGCCAGGTTCCATCATCTTGATTGGTTCCATGTCCGGTACCATTGTCAACGACCCACAACCACAGGCCTTATACAACATGTCCAAGGCCGGTGTTATCCACTTGGGAAGATCCTTGGCTGTGGAATGGGCCAAATATAACATCAAGGTTAATGTATTATCTCCAGGATACATCTTGACTCCATTAACCAGAAACGTCATTTCTGGCCACACAGAAATGAAGGACGCCTGGGAAAGCAAGATCCCATTAAAGAGAATGGCTGAACCAAAGGAATTCATTGGTTCTATCTTGTACTTGGCTTCTGATACTGCCTCAAGTTACACCACCGGTCACAATTTAGTTGTTGACGGAGGTTACGAGTGTTGGTAGTTTGATCCGGAGAAGGTGATCTACCAACTATTCAAAATTCATATAAAAATCTTTTAAAGTCCTTTCAAAGGAAGAGCAAAAAAATGTACATGAGATGATCCATATATATATATATATATATATATATATTTATATTACATATTTAATGAAACTGTTACACGGAACTGAACTTATATATACATATTATTACTGTAGTTGTCGATAGTCTAGTCTATCTGCTTAATTGTTACTCTATTCTATTAATGTTCACCAGCATTTCTATTATCATTCTGGGGTATATTTATCAACGTGGAGTCATAAACTAGTTCATAAGCGCACAGAGACGGGAAGCCAGTACTTCTTCAGCCGATGCAAGAGTGCTAGTGCCGGCAAGTTAGTACGCCTTCTATCCTTAGCGCTATTGACAGGTAGTGCTCTTGTGCAAACATAACATTACACCATGGGGGCAGGAACCATTACCTCTTGTTCAAACCCCGCTGTGGCAGCTGCTCTATCTCAGTTCAAATACTTGCAACGGTGGCTCTCTTTGATGAGATTTCTGTTCCATCTCCGGCGCCTTACCTTGTCGTATCTCTGTCATGTGGCAAGTATCCACAAGCCACCGTCTCGGCCACGGGCCTCCATATTCGAATGGGAATCCTCTTCTGCCTCACCTCTTCACTCGCCTACTTGCCCGTCTAGATCATAAACCAACCGTGACCTTTCCCGCATACCGTCTCGGTCACTGGGCACTTGCCTTCCAATGGGAATCCTCTTCTGCCTTCACCTCCTCACTCGCCTACTTGTCCGTCTTGATCGTAGACCAACCTCGAGTTTTCCCACATCTTCATTAACGATTTCTTAAAATGGTTCACATTATAGTCAATGATGGCCAAAGTTGAGTCCAACGAGAGGTTGTTGACTTCGTCATTTCTAATCAATGCAACGAGCGCCAATCCTCTTATCATCTGCTTGAGATATAAACTAGATCCGTTTGACAAGTGGGACACAGATTTGAGGTCCTTACCGCCGCTTCTGTTGTTATTGCTCTGGCCACCGCCGTAAGTAGACTCATTCACATCGTCCACGTACAAGTCCTCCAAGTCGATCGTTATATCGATAAACTCGGCACAAACTTCATAGGTCTGGATATCTACAGGCGAGGAGTCCGTGGCTACGTAGATTTTCAGGTTGGCGTCGAAAAGGAACACCTTATCAATCAGAGAGTGCTGTACCAAGTTATCCAACATGTTCTCCAACAGGGGCAACTCTGGGATCAATTTCTGTACGATACGGGAGAACGCCTCGTAGATGGAGTGGTCGAAGATAGACGTCAAGTAGAAGCTCACCTGTACGCCTTCCAAACCCAAGTCCAAGAGCTCGTCCCCTGTTCTCTGCATGATATCTCTCTGGGCATCCATCCGGTAGTCTTCCAGGAGCCCATCGATCTTATGTATCAACACCTCGATGTGAATCTTCGGGTTCACCAGGTATGCAAATTCGATAATCATCGACAAATTGGTCAACGCATTCAAGTACTCGTCTTGCGAGTCGATCACGTAAACCAACGCCCCTACCGAGGAAAACAATCTCTCGGAGTCTACATTGGGCTCAAAGTAGTTCAACTGGCCGGGGAGTTCCATCACAGACAAGTCGATAAGCGACGAAAACTGCTCCGTCGTTGGTTTGGATGTCAGCTCCAAGTATAACGTGTCCAACGGTTGCATATTGTGGAACACAACCTTACATATGGACGACTTTCCGCCTCGACGGAGTCCCATCAACAAAATGGTAGCGTTGGAGTCCTTCGGGTTGGGTATAAGCGTGGCTTCCATAATGAATGTATAAAGTGAATTTAAAAATCTGGCTACCTCAAGCAATTATGCACCTCAGTTACTGCAACGAATAATAATCCCTCGAATGCTATGCCGTTGCTCTACAGCTGTCGTTTGTTTATTTTAATTCACCTTCTCGCCATTTGGTGGAATGTAATCCATGGGTTTCTTGCTTCCTGCATGTGTATGGTACTGCATGTAGTGCGTCCTTTATCTTGCATGTTGCGATGGGAATGCGTGAGTGGGACCGATGGGATGTCTAGTGTGTGAATGTTTGACGAGGGATAGTTTAAACAATGGAGAGGGCTGGGGTAGGGGGAGTGTGATTATGGTGTAGGAATTGTTTTGCAGAGCGACGGGGAGAAAGGGAGCGATAAAGAGCTGTAAGAAGATGGTGAATTGAGCTGTGAGTGGTAGATAGCAGGGCTGTCGCATTTGTTTCACATTCGTTTCATATTCGGTTGTAGATAGCTAGAGAGTTGATGGGAAGGTTGCACTTTTCAAAAGATGTAAGCAAATTTTGAGTGACTCTTTGTAAAGTTAGAGTGATAATTGTTCATTGGTAGTTTTTAGGTAGTCGACTTGTCAATTGCTAATTTGTTTAGTTCTTGAGTTCTGGGCTCCTGTTCTGGACTGTATGTTCTACATTCCATGTACTGTGTTCTACGTTGTACCCGCTTCTTGCTTTCTTTCTCTCTTCCCTCTCTCTTCCCTCTTACACAACATCACACCTCCTTTGATCTCTCCACTTTATTCTCCTCTCTCCTTACTACACACACTCCTTTCGCTGGTTTTCTTTATTACTAACTACATACCCTCTATGGTCTTAATCTTCTGGGGTCTCTTGGGAACAATGAAGCTCTTCTAATGTTCTTTAAATCCAAAAAGAACATAACAACTCTTTCTAATCCAATACCACCACCGGCGTGTGGAGGACATCCGTAAGAGAATGCATCAATGTAATCGTTCAATCCTGGTACATCTGGGTCAACTTCGTGTGCCTTGATTCTTTCTGTCAACAAATCTGGGTCGTGGATACGTTGAGCTCCTGACAAGATTTCCTCACCTCTCATGAAGAAATCATAAGAGTTAGAGTAGTTGGCATCTTCCGCATCTGGCATGGTGTAGAATGGTCTAATAGCCAATGGGAACTTGTCCAAGATATAGAAATCGGTGTCGTACTTCTCACGGACTAACTTACCCAAGAACTTTTCGTTCTCTGTCAGTAAATCTTCGTATTCGTCAACATCCTTACCTGCTTCTCTCAACATGGCAATACCTTCCTTGAAGTGCAATCTAACCATCTTTCCATCTGCTGGAAGCTTGAATTCTTCCACTGGGTACTGCTTTCTGACAGTGGCGATTTCCTTACCGTATCTCTTCTTCAATTCGGTGAAGATGAAAACGAATAAATCACCCAAGACGTCCAAGACTTCGTGGTAATGGTTTTCAAAGGCCATTTCCAAATCTAAACCTATGAATTCGGTCATATGACGGTGAGTGTTGGAGTTTTCAGCTCTGAAGACTGGAGCAATCTCGAAAACCTTTTCGAAATCGGCGGCAATCACTTGCTGCTTGTAAAATTGAGGAGATTGCGCCAAGTAGGCGGCCTTCTTAAAATATGACACTTCGAAAACGTTACCACCACCTTCTGAGGCAGCTGCGATAATCTTAGGGGTGTGGATTTCAATGAAACCCCTGTTCATAAGAAATTCTCTGAATAATTCACAAACACCGGATTGGATTCTGAAAATGGCCTGGTTTGTTGGGGTTCTCAAATCAATGACTCTAGCATCTAATCTGGTGTCCAAGTTAACGTTGGTGTCAGTTCTTGAAGCGTCTTCAATAAGCATTGGCAATTGTTCTGGTGTCTCAACAATGGTGTAGAACTTGGTAACATGAATTTCGATGTCACCAACTGTAGCTGACTTGATCTCTTCGTCAACCTTTCTAACTACACCGTGGACAAGGACAATGGATTCCAAGTTAACTCCTCCAACCCACTTGACCATTTGCTTCGAGATAGATCCCTCAGAGTTAGCCTTGATCAATGCCTGGATGGTGTCTGACTGTTGTCTCAAGTTCCAGAAACACATAGTGGCACCTTGTTGTCTGGAATTGTGAGCTCTGGCTCTGAAGATGACTTCTTCACCATCGTTCTTAGCGGATAAGTCCTTGAAGAGCACTCTCTTCTCACCTTCGTTGTGGGAAGAAGAATTATTCAATGGGAGCTTCCCGTAGTTGGCCTTGGCAGGATCGTTGGCCAACTTGGCTTCCTTTTCTGCCTTTTCCTTGGCCAATTGTGCTTCTCTTTCGGCCTTCTTCTTGGCCTTTTCCTTTTCCTTCTCTAACTTCTTCAATGCTTTCTTAGATAAAGGTAACCCATCTTCACCCAAGATAATCTCAGCTGGAGCGGCTTCGGCGGCGCTTTCAACGGCTGGTGCCGCTTCTGCCTTTTCTTCTATCTTCAACAGTTGAATATTTTGAATTTCTTCAGACATCTCGATACTATTACTGGCTTGTTAAGAGGAGTAGTGGTGCTGAAAGTGGAATGCTTCTTCACTTTGAGCGCACGAACGAATGCGAAAAATTTTTGTGGTAAAAAAAATGGAAAATGGTTGGGGGCCCTGTGTAAGAGTCATGATCAGTGCAACCTATGACTAGGGTAGGTGAGTGGCAGGGAAGGAGAGGAAGGTAAACGATAGGATAAGAGAAAGGTAGTTATGAGTAGAGGCGGCAGTTTGAGGTGATGAGTGGATTTACGCTGTTTTACTCTGCGCTGTTCTATTTTCCTGGTATATTTGCGTTTATTGGTTGGTAATGGCCCTGTTATTGTGAGGCTGTATGTTCTGAGGTCAAGAGTCACATTTTGCACCCAAGTGTATATCACTCCAAGGGACTGGGATGTGGTAACATGCACAGCGTTCGAAATATAGAATTGCAGGGCATTGCGCTTGATTTTTGCTTACTTGCGTTTACTAGTTGGTATTTGTTCTACTACTCTTCTTCTTATTGAATACTGAGGTGCACATTCTGCACCCAAGCGTACACCACTTCAACGAACTAGGGCTTGGTGGACAAAAGAGGCTGCTTAATTCCTAAATGTTCGAAGGATAAAAGTTCAAATGAGCTCTAACATATACTAGGATCGGATCTATGGAGATCAATGCAATTTGGAGTAAGCGGGCCACCAAATAATAGCCACTGAGCCAGGTAGACCTAACTTTCAAATATTTCAGTACAATTTCTTGGACCCTCTTTAAATAGAAAAGGTTTTCGAAGCACATCACTGATCTAAATCTTTGCCAATTCAAAGGTGGTAGATTAAGTAAGACTTCAGCCTCTCACTATATACATGGACAGTTATCGCAGTTATGCTCTACAGCTGAGCTGGAGCAGATGCTCCTACTGCTGTTGCCGCTACTGCTGCAGCCTTTTCCTGCTTCTTCTGCTCCTTCTCTGCTCTCACGCCTTCCCTTCTAGCCAATCCCTCTCTTCTCTTTCTCTCTTGCCTTTCTTCCTTACTCTCCTCCTGTTTCTTAGCACTTTTGGCACCTCCTTGTTTCATAAGCGCAATTGCATCTTCAAGCACCTTTATTTTCCTTTCATTCTCTTGAAATCTGTCCAATGATAACTTCGTGATCATCTTCAAGTAATTTTTATCTACAATCAGCACTAAAGAATCGCTGGCAGAATTATAGTATCCAATAGGTATATCCAACTTTATTGAAATACGAATGGCTACAATGTTATTGGTTCCAATCCCCGACTCTCTGAATCCACACCCCATGGCTGTAGTATAGAGCGCATTGGCTGATTCCAAACTACGACACTTTACGTGTAATATCAACGGCTCGAATTTATATAGAATGTACCTGGTATTAGCGTCAACTTCTGTGGGAGTACCATACTTGAATTGCACATTTTCATACCAGTCAGCAAGGTCGCTGGAGTCATGCGTTACGAATATCCACCTACCTTCATTTCCCTTGGCTCCAATTTGGAGATCTGCTTTATTTTTTATACCTTCAAGGAACACTGATACTCTTCCTGAGCATGAAGAAGTCGTGACCATGTCAGCATCAGTATTTATGATGCGCATTATTGGAAGGCACTTCTCATCGATGGTTCCCTTTGGTGACGCATCTGGCGTATCAACGTCAGTTATTCCAATTTCCTTTAAAATAGAAGCTTTCTTCTGGTCAAATGGGTCTTGCATTGTTCCTCAGAATAAGACTTACTTCGCCTATTTGAGCTTTCTCGTAATGCTGTAAACAAACAGATGGAGAGTTTAAGGTATTTCATTTTTTTATTTTCCAGATCTTCCCTCATCGCGATGACTTTAACTTTAATGTATGGATGAGCTATCTTTACGTTCAAGATGTGGACGAATAATGCTTAATGTTTCAGAAACTCCACTTCTTTTGATGGGGCGGCAACTATCTACGTAAGGACAGCTCACTCGTTGTTCCTCTGGAACTAAGAACATTTCAATTGACTTACTTTGAAATCGTACTACAGTATCTACAGTTACATGCTTGCTTCGCACCTACATCTAATCATTCTGCAACACTTCTATATGTATTAGTGAAAGAGCTCTTTCTAATCGTGAGTTGCAACTCGACTTAATACCTGTATTATTTAGTAGCTTATTTAACAGCTTGCGTGAATTTCATTTCATCTTCGGGGCTAAGCTGAAATAACATCTTAAGCACTGGTAAAAGCATTTCTCGCTGGTCTTTATGTTCAAAGTAACCAAGCAAGACATTCTTCAAATATGCTATATTTTGTTGTGAATTGCCATTGCCCTTTTCTCCATCTTCACTTCCGTCCAAGGATCTCTTACCTTCCAAATCCGCAGCCGTAGCTTTGAGTGCACCATTACTTCCTCTACTGCTTATGCTGCTCGTACTCTCTCTTCTTGAATTGTTGGCATCATCTTTAGCTTGCTTATACTGTTGTGTGACAATCTTATAATTTTTGGATAGCCTTTCAAACTTTAGGTTGGCCTCTTCATTAAGTTTCTTCAATATATTATTTAAGTTTTCAAATTCTTTGACTCTTTTACTTGAATTTTGTAACGAACTCCTTAAGGTTTCGATAGTTTGCTGAGCATCTTCAAAATCAGCACTATCTCCTGCACCATTAGCGAATTTGGATTTACTAGTGCCCTGCTCTTGAAGATCGTCATATTTAGCCTTCAACTCATTACATCTGACCTCTAATTCTTGAATTTTCAATAAATAATTTGAAGTGATCGATTTGCTCTCATCGATTTCCCTTTGCTTCTTCTTAATTAATGTTTGGAAATTACTCTCAATCATAAACTTTTCTTCTTTCCATTTCTTCAACTCTGCTTTGAATTCAGAGGCTTTCAATTTATTTTGATCTTCTGAGTCAAGTAATGCTCTCCTTATGCTTGAGCCTTCTCTCGTACGTTCTTGAAGCATATTCCTAGCTTCATTAAGCTCGTCTTCCAAACTGTCTATTCTAGACAATGACTCTTTTGATTTCATGCTAAGCTCTTCATATTGTTGTTTGAATGATTGGAAATCTTCGCTTGACGAGGATTTCTGCTTTAGTAACAAATCATATTTAGTCTTGACGTTGTCTAGCTCCGTCTTTACTAAATGCTTTTCAGTTTGGAGTTTCGAAAGTTCCAGACTTAAAGATTGAGCTCTCTCAAATGACAATTCTTGCTTATTTACTAATTCATTCTTTTCATTGATTAATGTTTTGTTGCTATATTGTAATTCCTGTTGACCATTCTTAAGGAATTGAATCGTTTCCCTTTGCTCCTCTTTCAACTTGGTCAATTCTTCAACCTTACTACTTAAATCTTTAATTTTGGTATCTTTATGATTAATGGAAACTTGGAGAGTCGATATTTCAAGTTTTAATGAAGAATCATTGGCCTTATATTTGGTAAGTTCATTGATTCTGTTATTCAAGGCAATTTTCTCTTCCTTTACGCTGTCAAGTTCTTTCGTGAGCGAAGTGATTCTTAATTTCAATTTTTCTTGGTCTTCCAATTTAGATTTTTGACTAGCGATTTCTTTTGATTGTTGTTCTACTGTTCCTGAAAGTTTTTGAACTTCCAGTACATTTTCCTTTAATTGAATCTTAAGGCCACTCAATTCATCGTCATTCGATGAATTACTTTTCAAGTCTTTTATTTCTTCTCTAGCTTGAACTAAGTCATTGCCAATATTCTTTAACAGATCTCTCAAGTTTTCCAAATCTTCTTCTTTCAGCTCCAATTTGGACTTAGTTGACGTGTACTTAGCGTACAATTCATCGTGTTCCTTAACGAGTGCTTCGTATTTCATTGTCAAGGTTGATAATTCAGCTTCATCAACCGCCTGCTTTGCAGCAGGAACAGTGGTGGCAACGTTGCCGCCTTTATTACCTCCCTTTTTGTTCTTTTTCTTTTTGTTATTGCTCAGATTGTTCTCATTGCTAGCAGAACTTGCAGGGATTACTGTCTCTTGCTTAGAGTCGTGGGTGGAAGCAGTGGATAGCACTGCGGATGCTGTTTTATCCTTAAGTTCTTCAATTTTTTCATTCAATAATTTAATCTCCTTAGTGAAGTCAGACTCCTTTGACTCGAGCTCTTCTGTTAGCTTGGTGTTATCTGCTTTCAACGTATCATTCTCTTTACGGATCGATTGGACTTTCTCTTCATTATCAACACTCTCTTTCAACTTAGATTCCACTTCTTTCAATTCGAATTCCTTCTTTTCAAGCTTAGCTTCAAGCTCCTCAATAACTGACAGATCTACTGTAGTCGATTCATTCGCTTTGAGACTTTCAATCTCAGTCGTCAAGGCATCGATTTTGCTCTCTAATTCCTTAATATCTCCTTTACTCTTTGCCTGTGATCTTTCGAATTCAACTAAGCTCAGCTCGAGCTGCTTTTTCTCCTTCAACAACTTGGCGTTTTCGCCTGTAACTTTCCTAAACTCGCTGTTTAGCATGCTTGTCTTTTCGTTCAACCCGTTCAAGTACTCAACGAGCAGTCCAGCATCCGATATGCTCGTAACAGGGGTGTGCTCTTGCAAGATTTTCTCGAAGATCGCTATCAAGTCTGTCTTTCTCTTTTCTGTTTTGTAAGCATCAAGTAACACTGGATATTTCTCCTCATACTTGGCAAACTTTTTCATTTTGGATCTTATTCCAGTTGGGAGGGACTCTATATCAATGCCAATGGTCGATGAAGGGACGGGTGACCGACTTTGCTGGGGAACGGGCGTGGCAGTTTTCGATCTAGCGACTGGGTCTCCGCCTTCCTTCTTCTCTGCACCGTCTTGGCCAACCTTCTCGCCTTTTTCGTCTACTTTACCGATTTCGTTTCCTTCTCTTGCCTTGTCCGCATCTCCTACTTCTTGTTCTTCCGGTTCGTCCTCCGGTTGGGTCAATTCACTCGCAGCTGGCGTACTAGTTTGAAGCACCTGGTCCCCATTCTTCAACTCTTTGATCGCGGCAGCCTGGCGTCTCTGGTTGATTGCATTCTTTCCACCATTGGTCCCCTCCGCCGCTATTAAATCCTGGTTGATGGTCTTAGCAAGATCCTCGGAGAAGTTCTTTAACTTGGAGAACATCGCTGAAGAATCCTCTTGCTTACCTACTCTACCTCTAAGAGAATGATCTCTCTGTTGGCTGAAAAAATATCCGACTGCCACAAACTACCGAATTGGGCTTAGTAGGGTGTGATCTATGCAGGATGGTATTGAACATGGTATCATTAGATTGTCTGCAGTCCGTGGTTAGGATAGATGGGATGGCGGTGGTGTGTGGGGGGGGGACGAAGGGAAGAGAGGAAGAATGAGAAACTAGATATGCGTTTTTAGTTGGGGCTCCATGTTTAGTGGAAAGGGCGGCAGAGGTCTTGGGTTAAATTCGTCTTTCAGACATTTTCTTTTTGGTAATATTGTGTATTGTCTACTTATCTTTTATGGCTGTGGTGAGGTTGTGGTGAGGTAATGGAGTGGATTGGTTTGGTTTGTTACATTATCTTATTGGCAATATTGTGTATTGTCCACTTATCTTTTATTGTTGTGGTGAGGTTATGGTGAGGGTTTGGAGTGGATTGGTTGGTTTGGTGCACTCCTTCATGTCTGAAATTGTGTGTACAGGAATTTATATATGGGAATGGTATATGGTTTCTTCCTTTTTGTATCTTTGTATCTTTAGCTTCTTTCATATCCTGGTTTTGCATTTGTTCCAGATATTAGCGCCTAGCATCTTATCTCAGTTTGCTTAAGCGGAAATTACCCCCTGGCTTCACAACTTCTTTTGGCTCCAAGTTCAATGACAATTGATACTGTGCATCGATCGTCGGACACTTGCCAAACCAAGAATCAAGGTACTGCTGGATTTCTTTCACAACTAAGAAATTGTACCCATTATACTTAAATCTCTCCATGGCTGTGACTATTTCAAAAGTCTTTGCTCTCTTGGCAAAATTGACCATTCTGGATCTATTCATCAAGATGTCCAGATTCCCATGGAAAATAAACGTCAAATCACTTAAATAAACCCCAAAGAATGGAACACATGGTTCTGATCCAATGAATTTTAATACATCTCTGTACTCGTTGAAATTTCTACTTGAATTCATCAACTTGTTCATGTTTTGCAAATGAGATAAAGTATCTGGTGAGACTAATTTCCATGTCTTTTTCAATCTATGGATAGGAGAGGAGTACAACGCTGATATGATGGCCGTCATCGAAGAATAATTGTTGTACTGTCTACATTTCTCAGCCACTTGGACAAAGAAACGGATTAACTGCACTCTTTTCCTGATTTCTTGCTTTCTCAAGATCATATAGGCAGCGTAATTGGTCAATTGATTTGAAGACTTGATAAAATTGGTAATATCCTCAATACTCTCGTTAATTCCTGATTTTCTTCCCCACACTTTTGAAAGACAAGTGTATTTGTTTATCTTAGCATACAACTTGAATTCTCTGATCGTCAATTGTCTTGCCAATTCAATATAGTCAATGTCCAATAACTTCATTTTCTTTGGAATTAAAGATCCTTTAACCAACGGAGCGGGAGGCTTTGTGTTGGGAATTATAGGTTCTCTTTCTATATAAATAATGTCCCCTTGTAACAATTTTTGTAAATGTGACAGAACAAGTTTACCTGTACTAATGTTTTGAACGGTGGGTGTAGTTTGAATGAATTGAAGCCATTTCTTGAGTACAGATTTATTCTTCGAAAAGGAAGCTGCCCAAAATTTTTCAATTAAGACTTTCATCAAAGTCAACACACGATTTCTTATCGGGATTTGTTTCTTATTAATCCAAGTGTTATACTCTTCATAACTTAAGCCTTCTGGTGCTTCAATGTTATATCTTACTATCAACAAGCTTATGAGTTCACTTAAGCTCATGATTGTTGGGAAAGTAAATAAAAATGCGGAGTTGAAATTCACATCATACAAGTCATGTCTAGTCAAGTGTGCTATAAGAGCTTCTTTACTACCTCCCTTGATGTTGCCCTTAATATCTAAAAGTAAGTCATATTCCTCATCCCCTTCCAAAAACCACGGAGTGTTATCTCTCTTCTTATTACCGGATGACATCACCGCAGCACCTTGTTCAGCTTGTCCACCTCCAGAAAAGTACTCGTCAGATTTATCGCTCAGAATGGTATTATTCCTTTCAATCACCAATAATTGAACGTTGAAATCATCATGCATTACTCTTGTTGCATAATTTAATATAGTTTCTCTTTCATCAATTAATTGTTGAATCAATGATAAAATACTATCAAGAAAGTTGATTCCATCATCTAGACTTTTGGACATCAAAACATCTGCATTCAATGATATTGCATCTCCTTTAACTTTAGTGGTCTCTTCTAGCAAAATATTGAGAAGAAGTTTTGCTGCCTTTTCCTTAGGGTCCCTCATTATGTCTCTATCATACAATAGTTCATCTTCTCCATGCATTCCCTTGAACACTTCTGGATCTTCAAGCGTCAACAGTTGAGTGGCCATCACAATTTCACTAATTAAATCATGGAAATGTTGTTTGTATTGGAAAAATTCCAAGACAACAGGGTAATCGAAAGTCAAATTACTATTGTTTTTGTTACTATTACTGTCATTGTTGTTGCTAGGGATTCCAACATCTTCTTCATTAGATTTATACCTCTTAATCAAACAAAATACAGTGAAATCAAATGCTTCCAAGATATCGACTACCAGTCCAGCATAGTACAAAAACTTATATATCAATCTCAAAATGTGAGTATTCCTTTCTCCTTTTAATTGGTCATTAAAATAGTTGTGCTGAACTTTAGGATCCAAGTACTTCATAGTGTCCTCACTTAATTTTTTCATCTCTTGGCTGAAATTTAATATGGACTTGTAGGCATCTCTGTCAATGATAATTTTCAGGTGATATCTATTCTTCAACTCATCACCACTGGCATTTAATACTGGGTTAGACTGACTGAAAAATGGATTACACCAATTACCCCCATTGAATTCCCCAGCGATGAATCTTGGATATATCTGAGGCAAAGTGTTGGATCGGTCTTCGCCTTCATCATCAGATGTATCAGAGCCGCCATTGTAATCATGCTTCCAAACTCTCTTTTCTTCGGTAATCTTAACGAAAATCTTCACCAATTGCTTTATATTGCTTCGTAAGGAAATAACATCTTCTTCTAGTTGATTTGTATACGATTCAGAAGAATGGTCGTTCGCTTGTGGATCATGAGTCAATTCTTTCAACTTGCTTGTCATGATTTCTTCATTTTCAAGTTGGCTCACTGTGACAGACTGATTGCTTACCACTTGGGAAGTAGGCGAAAGTGGTTGTGTCGCTTGCGATAAGCTTCGCAATGACCTGTTGTTATTGGGTACGACTGTTGTCTGAGAAGAAACTGAATTCATAGCAGTTTCCGCTGGACTTGTCGACTTATTTAACTTCGTCATATCCAAGCTGAACAATTTACTATCCAACGAGGAGTTGTAATGCATAACACTCAAATGTAATAATCCATTGGTGTAAATTCTTGTGTAGCACGCCGCTATCTTTTTCAACTTTCTCCTAATTGTTCTTTCATATTTCGTTCCCACATAGTCATTGTGTTGTAATCTTAAGCAACTGAATAAAATAGATATCATTTTATTCAAACGAGTAAAATGCGTACTGAACAACTGTTTATTGTTTTCTTGTAATGCTCTCCACGATAAATCCAACAAGAACTGAAATTTCTCACCCAAAGCGGTCCAACTCGAGATGTCACCAGGATGTTTGTAAAAGAGGTTCTCCATGGCAAAGAATGGTTGATGGAAATGATGGTACAAACTATTCCCACTGCCCTGAGAATTCACTGACGATGCATTTGATTCTCTTTTCAAATCTTCTCTCGAATTATGTGAGTGTCTTGATTTTAAACTAGACGAGCCTACTCCATCCTCTGAAGTAGTATGGGCAGCTCCAGTCCCCCCTGGAATGTTTTCACTGACGGTGAAGACACTGCTGTTGCTGCCTGATCTATGGTTGGGTTCGTTTTGAGACAACGGATTCTCACCGTATGGCAGAGTTGATATCACTGAAACGTCAAGAAGATTTTTCATGGAGGGTATTTCAAGATGCAAGTCGAAATCTCTTTTGCTATCGTATGTTGAAAGTGGTAGATTAGATGAATAAATATCCAACTTTTCGTTATAGTAGACCCAATTCCCCTCTGAGGTAATTTTACCTATCCAGGTCAACTGACCCTCAAAGTCTTTATCGTTTTCTCTGAAGTCTTCAATAATTTTTTCAACGTCATCTACAGTGTTGAAGACACTATCCTCGCCCTTGAAATCTGACGTAATAGTTGTCACGGATTGTTGATGGTAGGACAGTGACAGGGTCAGCGGAAGGTGAGTTTGCGGAGCAGGTTGCAAAGAGTTATTCTGGCTCTGGTTCAGTGACTGGCTCGTTGATGCAGATGTAGGGAAAGAAGTAAGATTAAGGGTTGGCGGTGCCAGAGACTGGATTTGCTGTGATTGTAGCTGAGATTGGGGTTGTGATTGAGACAGGGATTGCTTGTCACTAGTATCAGAACTGGCAAAACTGACCACCGAGTTCTTTCTTGTGTTACTGCCAGTAGAACTCTTCTCCGACTCTATCAAGTTTTTCTGAAGTAAGGTGGTAAACAGGGGTATCAATACATTGGCTGCAGTGTTGGCTGCAGTTATCGAGTCAATTTCCTTGTTACTCTTCAACTTGTTCAACACCGGCTGGACATAGTTCACAGATCTGACGTAATTCTTGGGGAACCAGCCCCTTAAGAGTTCACCGTTCTGCGCTACAATTACTCCGTCCCACCATCCCGAGGGGGATTTAGATAGCACGAACACAGTGTCGCCCAAGTTCAATGGTAAATGTGAGTTTTGGGTTCCTGGGAAATCGTACAATGCCACGACAGTATCAAGGTGCTTTAGCGGACGATCCGGTGTTGTGTTGAGGCCGCTGGTGAAGTCGCCTGGAGATATAGCATCTGGTGCAATCTCATCGTACGACGACATTATCAATTAATAAGGGTTTCACAAGGAGAATGGTTCGTATTAGTTGTTTCTGCGCCAAAAAGTAATACAACAAATAACAACTAGTCAATTGGCCCTCTAAAACGTTAATAAACTTATAAAATGCGACTACAGTCCACTTAGCAGCTTCAAGGTATACGGATCTGAAGGGAATGCCTGTTGGATGTAAGAAAAGCCAATTGTGTTTTTGATTTTTATTTAATTTTTTTTTCCTGAACCTTTTTTTGGCTTATTCAGGATTTTTTTTTGAGTTAAAAGCTAAAGCTAAGTCCGGAAGAAGACGGTTCCCCAGAGTTTAGTGACAAGGAGATGGAGAGATTTTACAGTATACGAAGGAAGAGCCCGAGAAATCTCAGTGAAGGGCTGAAAGAGGCAAAAAAATATTCAGGGCAAAAGATCCTGCCAGTGTTGTTGAGCTACCACAGGTGAAGCTGGTATCGGTATCACACTCGGATAGGACCTTGTTTCTGATGAATTATTTTTTCGCAGTTAAGATCAGTAGTAATTTCTTGCATAGAGCAGAGATCTACGGCGGCATTAGTGCTGTGGGTGTGCGGTATTTTGAACGCTGGTCGCTGACAGTGACAGGATAGAGAAGGAAATGAGTGCGCAAGGGGAGAAGTACGCTGCAGAGTATTTTTGTGCTGGAACTTGTTATGTGGGCGGTAGCGGCCTGGTTTCTTGTGTGCGTAGTGGAGGTGCGGCCTCTGTTTTTGTTCTTTTTTTGACGGTTAATTGCTCAATGGCCGGCTGATTGTCGTCGTCAGAGGGCCGTCTGGTCTGCTCTCCCACTGCATCATGCAGATCGAACACACATCATTATATGCACGCGCACGAGAGGAGAAAAGAGCGTTTCTGGAAATTCGAAGTACGTTAGCTTGAACGTGCAGTTGGGCGAGCTACTTAGGCTGGCAGCTTTGAAAACATGGATGGATATGGGGGTGAACCCGCTTTTTTCCCCTTACCTGGCTTATTTTTTCTTCGTCTCTCCTCTTGGGCATCTCTTCCTTTGTTTTCCACATGCAAGCGACTGCTGGAGTCAGTTTTCTTGCCCTCATCCGATCCTGCTGTTATATGCAAGCAGTAGCATTCTCTGCAGCAGAGCTCGCCTGTTTCGGGAGCATCGCACGCACTACTGCAAGCTGATCATACTAACCTCTGCCCTTCCATGAAAAGCTTCCTGGGCTCTCTGCGTAAAAAATAAACGTACTGTACGAAGTGTTGCAGTTTACACTACTGCAAGCTGAGCACACTAACCTTTGCCCTTCCATGAATAGCTTCCTGCTCTCTCTGCGTATAAAATAAACGTACTGTACGAAGTGTTGCAGGCTACATGCAAAGGAGAAGAAGTCATAATCATTTTTCATTTATTCTTCGTTTTTAATAGTAACTAATTAGTTAAATCCTATAGCTTGTGGCTTATAAGTTGGCAACGTGCTCTAATAAGTCAACAACTCTGGTGGAGTAACCGTATTCGTTATCGTACCAAGCAATTAACTTAACGAATTGTGGAGATAACAAGATACCGGCCTTGGAATCAAATACTGATGAGTATTGGGATGTTAAGAAATCGGAGGATACAACGGCATCTTCGGTGTAGCCTAAGACACCCTTTAACTTACCTTCAGAGGCCTTCTTGACAACAGCAGCGATTTCGGCGTAAGTGGCTGGGGTCTTCAATTTGACAGTCAAGTCAACAACGGAAACATCGACAGTTGGAACTCTAAGAGACATACCAGTAAGCTTACCGTTTAATTCTGGAATAACCTTACCAACAGCCTTGGCAGCACCAGTGGATGATGGGATGATGTTACCGGAAGCGGTTCTACCACCTCTCCAGTCTTTGTGGGATGGACCATCAACAGTCTTTTGGGTGGCAGTGATGGAGTGAACGGTGGTCATTAAACCTTCCTCAATTCCAAAGGCATCGTTGATAACCTTGGCCAATGGGGCCAAACAATTGGTGGTACATGATGCATTAGAGATGATGTTTAAGTCTGGGGTGTATTTGTCTTCGTTGACACCAACAACGAACATTGGAGCATCGGCAGATGGGGCGGTAATGATAACCTTCTTGGCACCAGCGTCAATGTGCTTTTGTGCACCTTCCAACTTGGTGAAAATACCGGTAGATTCGATAACGAAATCAACACCGTCTTTACCCCATGGAATGTTAACTGGGTCTCTTTCCTGGTAAACCTTGATAACCTTACCGTCAATGACTAAGTCACCATCCTTGTGGGTAACTTCACCCTCGTATTGACCGTGGGTAGAATCATACTTGAACATGTATGCAGCATAGTCAGCTCCAATAAATGGATCGTTGACAGCAACAACTGTAATGTCCTTTCTAGATAAGGCGATTCTCAAGACTAAACGTCCAATACGTCCAAATCCGTTAATTCCGATAGTAACCATTGTAAATTATTTAATTTCTGTTTGTTAGTGTGTGTATTCAAATTCCTTTTGCAATTGAATGATGTAGAACAAAATTCAATATTCAAAGTCCAAACGGAAAAGGTTCCATTGCTTCCTTTAAATATAACAATTCTGCACCTTTCCCCTTATTTTTTAGCCCACACCACCAGACATTTCACCCACACCTGACCTTGTCCCACAACATCCGATCTTTGAATAATTTTCATCTGGTGATGTTGCATATGCGTGCCGGTTGTGAGCCCGCGCACAGTAACCACTGTGAAGGTTACCCAGGACTTACTGTCAAGAGGTACACCTAGGGGGCACGTATTGGTTGCGATCAGCCCCTAGGTTGTGGCAATTGACCGCTTGTGTTGGGGCTACAGAGCATAGGTACGGTATCAACAGCCATAAAAGTGTAAAAATAGGAAAAACAGCGCAGGCAACGCCGAAGTTCGTTGTGCCTGTGTGACTAGTATGCCATGGAATTACCCTACCACTGGTGTAAGTGCATACATGCAGATATAGCTTCTGAAATCTGACGGATCGTGATATTTTTTGGGCCAAAATGGTTCTTTGGGAATGTTCGAAGCTCTGCCGGAGTTCATTTGACAAATTCAATCAATGCCAGCTAGCTGAATGTGCTGACTGTGCTGTTCTTAGGCTGTAAGATTTCCAAAAAAATCGATAAATACAAAAAAAAAATGCACAGGGTGCAACTTTTCACACATCCTCACACCCGCACAAACTGATTAAAAGGAATTGTTGCTGTAGACATGTAGAGAGGGGCCCAGTGTAGAGCTGTACGACACTTTAACTGGCTCCATTTCTGGAGAGAAGTACCGCCATGACCCAGGTACTGGGTTCTCTGTTCTCTGGTTGGAAAATTCCACCCTCGGTGCTCAACAACTTCGTGGGTACTCTATTGCATTATGTTACAATCAACATGCAGCATTATATTTTCACTCTCAGTTTTGGTGAAGTCAGCTAAAAATCCCATATACTACAGCAATTGGCTCCAAAATAACCAGATAGACGCAGTTACAGCATGAAAACCACTGTCGTTCAATACAGCACAATTCCTTCTACACTCACCTCAATACACTACCCACTACACTACCCCAGTACACTTCTTGTCACCTCTGCGCTAACAACCGAGCACCACCGCTATCCAAGTCGAACCTGCATATAGCCCACTATCAAAGGCGACAACAAGCCGAAAACCAAATGAACTTCGTCAGAGGCAAGGGCTGTCTTTAGGCAAGCATATAGCACGCTAGAAGCACAATGTCACTCTTTTTCAAGGCCCCTCTTGACATTGAAATACGTCTTGATAATGAAGAATCACGCAAACACGTAGATGTGAAGACTCCGCAAGGGAGACTCGAAAAGCTTCCGATATATAAGGACGGTGAATCGGTGAAGGGGACTGTCACTGTAAGAACCAGAGATGGGAGGAAGGTCGAGCACTTGGGTATAAGGGTACAGTTACTAGGATCAATTGAGACGAATATTGACGGTGTGGTACTGGATGATTTTCTTTCGTTGGCAACTGAGTTGGCTGCTCCTTCTCAGTTGACCCATCCAGAGACATTCCCATTCGAGTTCAAGAATGTGGAGAAGCAATACGAAAGTTATAGGGGAAAGGCCGCTAGATTGAGGTACTACATCAAGGTGTGCGTGAATAGAAAGTCGGGCTCCGAAATCACGAGAGAAAAGGAATTGTGGGTGTACCAAATAGTCAACAGTACTGGAACCACGGCGGTGAGTTCCACTGCTTCGGCTGTAGTCAAGACTACTCCAGATGGCGACAAGAAGGCAGCCGGCACAGGATCGAGAACTGGAGGAGGAGCTGGCACTGGTGCTGGTGCAGTGACGGCCACAGGAACGCCGATACCTACCACTGTCAAAATGGATGTGGGGATTGAAGACTGTCTTCACATCGAATTTGAGTACCTGAAGTCGAGATTTTCCTTGAAGGATGTGATAGTGGGAAGGATCTATTTTCTACTTGTGAGGTTGAAGATCAAGCACATGGAGTTGTCGTTAATCAGGAGAGAAACCGTTGGTGCCCCTCCGAATCAAATCACCGACAGCGAGACCGTCGTGAGGTTTGAGATTATGGATGGTGCTCCCGTGAGGGGTGAGGCTATCCCTATCAGGCTATTTTTGGGAGGATTCGACTTGACCCCGACATACAGGGACGTCAATAAAAAGTTCAGCGCTAGGACGTACCTATCGTTGGTGTTAATTGATGAGGACGCCAGAAGGTATTTTAAGCAAAGCGAGATTATACTTTATAGAGATCAGTAGGGCAGTGGAGGAGAAGAAATAGGAAAGACAGCCTGGGCCTCCTCTGTGATTTCGGTGTATCTATTGAATTCCAGGGCCAGGTCTAATTGGTACACATTGAACCCGGGAGTTACTAAACTATACTAAACTAGACGAGCTCGAGGGCTACGGCGGAGCATTTCGCCTCACCCCTTTGTATACATAGGATAATATATGTCATTGCATTTAGAGAGATGTCAGCCGTGTAAGAATCAAGCCCGCAAGCCAAAGCGGCAGCGATGGTGCTAGTATTCCTCTAAGCTAGCTCGGAGCGAAAGCCAGGCGTCTCAGGGTTCGTCTAAAGGAACCAGAAAGATCCCGATTTTGGTACTTTAATTGCAGATTAACATACCGTGCACTACAAGCGTGCCATCCTGTCGGTTTCGACCTGCTGGGTGCCCCATGGAGCCTCCCAGACCGCTCCCCTCTACCATCTTCATCGCTCTTGGTTTGCACCCAAATTTCACGTCCGTGCGGCTCAAAAATTTGGGCCATCAAAAAAAAAAAAACACACACACAGATCAAAGGCAAACGGAAAGGAAGAGCACAAGAGGCGACGGTACTGGATAGAAACAGGTGAAAGTGATCAAGATAGTTAGGCGCGGAGGTTCAGATATATCGACAGTTAACATGTCTTCAATACCGCGGTCGGAAGACCAAGTAGCAGCCACTCACAAGTCTTCTAACCAGGCAGTGTCTGTGTCCACAGCTGGTATCAGAGCCCTTATCTATCAGCTACAGGCGCTATACCTTAGAACACCGGTCAAATTGTTCCGTCCTTCGCGGTTTGACTACCTTGCGTACGTCAGAGAATTGGCAAACAAGCACGATAACTTGGACGGGAAGCCGTACTCGGTGAGAACACACTCATCTCTTGCGATGCTCATCAATGTGATCCGCAAGGAAGGCTGGAAATTCATTCCAGAGAAGGTGCTACCGCCCCTTTTGGCCAATTCGGCGACGGGTTTGATATTGTACGGAACGTACTTGACCGTGCTAGATCTGTATGAAAGTAAAAGAGTAAGAAAGCTGGAATTGGAAAGCGCTGGCACTGGTGGTGGCGGGTTCCTCCAGAGGAAGCACGATGAGTTTTACTTTTACTCGCCCATAGACACCTGGAGGGCTGGGTTTATAGCGGGGGCTGCGCAGTCGTTTGCTGCTGCCCCTGTGGATGCGATATACACCAGACTGACTGCCGCAGAGATGCTTAATGGGAAGCATCAGAACTTCTGGGTGTACGGAGCAATGAAGCTTCGAGAAATTGGACTTACGGGAGTCTTCGCAGGCTACAGCTTTTCCCTTATCAAGGAGAGTTTGGGCTTTGCGTTCTACTTTTCCACATTTGAAATCATCAAGACTCAGGGCTATAACCTCACCTACAAGCTAATTGCATCTTATAGAAAGTTTAAGATGAGGATCCTGAGTACCTTCGACTTGATTCTTCCCCTGTCCGGCAAGGAGCCCGAAATAGACCCGGAACTAGTCAAGCTAGAAAAGACCCGACTGACCAAGATCTTGAAGTCTTCATTCGTGTTACTAGCCGGGGCCTCGGCGGCCTTCTCCCTACTTGCTGTCCAATATCCTATTTCCAAGATACAGAAGATTCACTTATCGAGATTGGAAATGTTGGACAACTACAACGCTTCACACGCCGCCCAGTTCCCTACGAGACGGAAGAGACCCTTCATAAAACTCTACTACAACTCTTACATCGATACTTACTACCAAATAGTCAAGTACAAGAGGAAGTCCAAGCTCACATGGTTCCAGTTGGGGTACAAGGGATTCGTCAGGAACGCCCTAACCGCTATACCTGCAACATCTGTTGGATTGCTAGTGTTTGAAATCATGAGAACCAAAATGTCAGATGACCTAGATGAACCATTGGCCTAAGGTTGCATTCCACAGACGAATTGTATATAAAAACTTTATTTATTTATTACAAATGTACATAGCTAAGCTATTCTCTTTTCGTATGCCTTCCAACCAGCATCTCTATATCTTGCACCTTCCACAGTTGGGTCTCTTCCCTTACCAAACAATCCTCTTCCAACGATAATGATGTCGGTTCCGGTGGAGACAACCTCGTCTACGGTTCTGTACTGTTGGCCCAATCCGTCTCCCTTGTCGTCCAAACCTACACCTGGGGTCATGACTATCCAGTCAAAGCCTTCTTCGCGGCCTCCCATATCTCTTTGCGCAATAAACCCGATGACAAATTCCTTATCGGTCTTGGCAATGTCTACAGTCTTGTCGGTGTATTCACCATAGGCAATGGAGCCCTTGGAGGACAACTCTGCCAACATTAACAAACCTCTAGGTTCATCAGTGGTTTCTTTAGCAGCTTCTTTTAAACCTTGCACAATACCAGCACCAGTAACTCCATGGGCGTTGGTGATATCGGACCACTTAGCGATCTTGTAGACCCCACCAGAATATTGTGACTTGACAGTATTACCAATATCTGCAAACTTTCTGTCTTCAAAGATTAAAAAGTTGTGTTTTTTCGAAAGCTCAAGCAATGGAAGGATAGTACCTTCGTATGAGAAGTCATCTATGATGTCAATGTGGGTCTTGACAAGACAAATGTAGGGACCTAATTGCTCAATTAAATCGAGAAACTCTTTGGTGGTCTTAACATCTACAGAAGCGCACAAGTTGGTCTTCTTCGCGTCCATCAACTTGAAAAGACGCTGGGCCACAGGTGAAGGGTGGGTGGAAGCCCTCTCTGTGTAAGATTGTGATTTAGACATGGTATTGGCGAGATAAAGCAGCTCTAGTGCAAAAGAAGAGTGAGGCAATGAAAAACGCTGAAAGCTTTTGATGCTCATCTTAGTCATCTCTATATGCAGGAAAATCATTACAAGGTGGGGCATGCCACTTCATTGACATTGTACTTCCCAAGCTACAGTGTACCATTTCATTAAACTAGTCTATAATATTATAATCTATGAAGTAGAAATAATGTGCTTAATATAATATGTATGGGTAATTTCGGTATCTTCTCATCTATTTCTCTGAGGTCTTGGAATCCTCTTCGGAAGCTGGAGCAGGAACAGCAGAGGGAGTAGCAACAGTTTCATCAGGTAATAGCAGTTTCTTTAACTCAGGATCCAATACGTGTATCCTCTTTGAACTCTCATCCCATAATTCTTTTCTCTCCCTAGTCAAAACGCCGTTATTCTGCAATACAAGAATTAGATTCTTCAAAACTTCTAACTCAGTTTCATCTTCAGAACCTCCATCTGCAGCAGGAGAGGCGCTCTTACCTCTTTCCCTCTGCCTTTGTTCCTGGTCTAGCTCCTTTTGTCTCTGGTTGAGCTCCTTGTAGGAAATCATGTGGTCCAAAATTCCTAGCCAAATATTCTCAGTCTCTCCCTCTTGGAAATTATTGGTGAAATTTAAGTAAACCTTACTGACAACGGATAAAACCTCTACTCTTGTCTTGTTGAACCCAGTAGGGTCTGTCAATAATACCTCATCTTTATATAATTCAGAAAGTAATGGGAATAAGACAAACTCGAAAATACCTTCGGATGTTATGTGTAATTTATTATCTTCGATTTGAATTTGAAGAATGGACAGTTGAAGCACCCCAATGGCAAATGTTCTAATCTCTCTACAGGGGTTGAAACACTGATGAGCCAATGCTTGGTACAATGAATAGGACATGTCCTTACCAATAAATTCATCCTTGGATGTAATCGAACTTAATTCTGAAGTCAAAGTTATTGACTTTTTGGAGCATTCGATAAGATCTTTAGGGTATTCAATAGGATTATTAGAATTGCTCTGGATCTGTTGCTCAAATTGAGATCCAATTGCGCCCAAGGAGCTCAATTCATCCAATAATCCTAAGAATACCATGAAATTACCAGGATGTACAGCCTTTAATCCATCGTCTTCCTTTAAGTTGAAAATAAATTCAGTAATCTGTCTCGAATGAGTCGCAACGGTCGAAAGTATTCTGAATATGGTCCAATAGGTTGCTAAACTTAACACCTTTTCTTGACACCATGAATCATGGTCAGCCAAAGATATCAAGACTGGGATTAATTGAAGTCCATTCTTAACTAATGCCTCGTTATCAAATTCACTTAGATCTTTGATTGTTTTGACCAACGTTTCCTCATCCTTAGAATCACCCTTTCTGAATAATAATAACTTATAAGTTGCAAGTCTTAATTGCCCCTTCTTGGAAATATGCTCATTGTAGTTCTGTAACTTTTGAAGGACACTCTCTATAAGTTCCTTCTCATTGACTAACAATGAAAAGCAAACCGCAATTTCAAATATGAAAAGTACTTCACTTTCATAAAATCTTTTGGTCTTGACTTCATGATAAACTGGCAATAAGTTCAAAAAGAAGTTACAGAATTTAGCCAAATCTTCGGGCAACAGTTTAGTGGCAACAATTTCGAATATGCTAGGTATATTAATACTCTTTACACAATCAATTGTTGACAAAGTACTTTCCACTTCTTGATCGGTAGGCTCAGGTGGAACATCCAGATATCCCTTTAGGAATGAACTGAAGGTAGACAACAAACCAGAATCCTTCATTGGCTTACTTCTATTGATAACATACTTAGGCTTTACCTTTGGCAAAGCAGTCATGTTCAACTTCTTCTGGAAGTCTCCAAACAAGTTTGGATTAATTAAACAGTTTTCAAATAAAGTAAGAATAATTTTCACAATGCTGTTCCAAGATGAAGTGACTTTGAAACCTACTTTCTTAATGAGCCTAAAAAGGACAACCATTGAAATCTGGGCCTTAAATTCTCTACCGAACCAAACTGCCATTTCACTAACAGTTATTACATCGGCTTTACCCTTATCGATTTGAATTTGAGTAATCGGAATTTCATCACGATCTGAAGCAGCATCTCCCATAGAAAAACTTGATTCATCATTGGTATTGTCATTAGTGGTAGAATCTGAGGCAGTATTTCCAGCGACTGTACCATCTACTCCTGAAGCAATTTCTGATCCGGCTCTGTACTTTTTATCAACTAATCTAGTCTGATCAGCTAGCTCATTAATTAACTTATCAATACTGTCAGTCAAATTGAAGTAAATACAAATACTGGCACACTTATCAATGGAACTCATAAGTCTTGTTATTATATGATCATCACTTGCCTCTTTGAATACTCTGATTAATGTACTAATGATATTATCAACAGTTTCTTTGAAGATTTCCTTGTCAAACTGAATTATCAATTCTAAGTCCTTAAATTCCTCTTCATCAACTTGCTCATTGTCGATCTGGTCGCCTTGTGAGGAAATTAAGTTGTGCCAAACATCATCGAACCATTTATCAGTTCCATGATGCTCTTCAGGCATAATGATTTCACGATCTCTAATAGAAGAGTAAATTTTCGAAAGGTACCACGCAGGGAAGTCTCTTCTATGATAAATACCTCTCAAATTTCTCTTGTAACTATCTAAGGTCATTTGTTGCTTGACTTGAGGGTTATGCTGGTCAGTGTTTAACATGATAATCGAATAAGATAAAATGAAAACCGCATCTTTGTCGGGCCTCACAAGTTCTTCTTCGTTTTCATCTTCCACACCTTCTTCTTTTTCAGTACTTACACCTACTTTCTTATCCTTTTCACCCTTTTCTGCCAAGTTTGCTTCCGATTGAGCCAATTTTTTGTCTTCTTCTTCTTGACATTTGACATACTTTTCAGCAAAAGTTTCCACAATTCTTTCAATCTGTTGAGATTCTCCTGGTAACCTGAAAGTCTTCAATAATATTCTTAACGCTTCATCGACTCTTAAACCTTCAAACTCAAAAAGATCAATAAATTTCCTCAAGAGTTCGCTATTAGAGGGTTTTGCAAGATATTCACCCAACACTTTCTTGTTAAGTCTTCCGGATTTGGTGAAGAAGAATTGTGAAATTTCATCAATATTGTCAAGATCTTTAATAAATCCCTTTTCGTTTAATGCCTTAATACCTTGTTTTGGGTTCTTGTTTAATAATTCTGTACACTTGACAAATGACATTTTTTGATCTTTGTCTGCAATCAATTTATGTGATTTTTGAGCAGAAGATGAGGTGGCTTGCACCAGACCTTTCTTGATTCTGTCATTAATAGAGCTGACGAAACTCAAAACAGACTCAAGACATATTGGTGGAACGTTATCGGTGGTGACAGACGCGGATTCAGGTAATGATAACTCACATAAATAGTTCAATACTAAAGTAGATAAATCAGATCTATCAAACTCACAATCATAGTTAATAAATAAATTGGTGAAGAACAAGGGAGATGTGGTCCAAAGTAAGGAAACAGATTCAATTAGCATTTCCTTTGACGATGCAAGACGTTCTACCGGGTTGTTGCCTCCATTAGTAGTTGCTTTTTTAGCAGAAGACTCATTTTTCACCTCAGATGGCAAAATGGATCTAAAGATTAAAGTTAAGGCTAACTCAATTTGTGATTTCAAATGTTTACCTAACACTATTGCTATGGTGGTAAACAATTGTAAGGAAGCTTGAAGTAAAGCTGGGGAATCAGAAGTGGTCATGATTTGTAAATCATGCTTACAAATGGAATCACTTACCAAGCTCATTAAAGAAGGATGAGAGACGATTTCTTCACCTGAAACTTCAATAGCCGTTGTGATAAGTGATAATGCGAAAACACGGGTACTTTCCATATGTTGGTATTGATTTGTTGGAGATATCATTGAAATCAATATTCCCAAAAATTCATTGATGCAAACAATTCCAAAGGAAGGAACAACCAGGATACTATTTACTGAAGTCTCACTTTCTGCAACGGCAGTAGCAGTGGTGGCAGAAGACGATACACCTCCTTCTTCCATTGAATCCTTCCTACTTTCAGTTCGACTCAAGTCAATCTTGCTTCCATTTTCAGTACCTCCAATGATATCTTCTGGTAACTGAGTATTTTGGAAATTGGTTTGTAAATCATCGTCAACATTCTCCAAAGGTAAGCCCTTCAATTGGCTGAAAATCCTAAATGTGATCAGAAACATGGACATTTCAGCGGATTTCCTCAACACTTCACTTCTCTTCTTATTACACGCTAAAGATAAACATGTCTGTACGACTTCGGATACTACTTCATTGGGTAATAAGTTCGACAAGTCGGATTCCAAGATTTGTTCCAAAAGCCTTAACACCTTCAACAAAACAGCATCGTCAGAGTTCTGATCTGCAGCCTCGAATCTACAGTGAGTTAAGCTTGAAATGATTTGAATAGCGGAGTTTTGGATATTTATCGAATCCATGGAGATAATGTTATAGTTTAAAAACTTGGAAATGGAATTAAGCGCCAACAGTGTGATATGGCCGGATGTCGACGAAGACTTGATGACCAACAAAAATGGTTGCAACAAGGTTAAGCTGTCTAGCGCATCAATGGTAGTAGAAGAACCGTTGCTAGGCTCACTTAATATGGATCTAAGTTGAAAGAATGATGATAAAAGTGGACTATCAGACTTGATGCGTGTGTTTGAAGACGATGAATTTCCACCTCCGATGTTGGAAGAGCCATTTGCACCCGCACCGCTTGCACCTCCCATAGCTCCATTGAGAGAGTGGATGTCTATGTCAAAGTCGTTATTCCCATTACTATGACTTCCAAACATGTCTCCTGCCCCAAGGATAGCGGCAACACCACTCTGAGACCATCTGCTCAGTTTGCGCATGGCTGACGAAATAATCATACACTCGTTGATCACCAACGTGACTGGGTCAATGCACACGTTAACATGGGGACGAGGTTGTACCGTTGCGTGCAGATTTGTGTGCCTTTGATACGATGGTGTACTCACGCTGGGAGCTGGACTGCCCCCGATCCTGGGACTAGCGCCTGGGGCCGGCGAGGCCATCAACAGACGAATCATCACGAATCAAATAACAGCTTGTAGGGTGAAGAAAAAATGTAAAACGATAAAAAATAAATGTCCGCTGCGTCGAAGTCTGTATTTTTCTGTATTCTATTGTCTCAATTTATCAACAGAAAATGCGCTACAACAAGATACAGACACTACTACGAATATTTTCCCACAAATGTTAGCTCTATACAAGTGGCTTCTTCTCTGTGGGTACCTCTGATTATTTTTTTGTTGATACGTAACGCGCGAGAGAAGCGAAGCGAGCGCAACTGAGGGAAAAGATCTAAATAAGCTTTGTGTAATGACTATGTACAGGATACGAGAGTAGGGTATATGGTGGGTGGTGGAAAGCTGGGGTAGGATGTGCAACAGGGTGACTATTGATGTTTCAAAGGGGGAAGGGGTTGTAAGAAGGGGGGGTATGGGTTGAGTTGTGGGATAAAAAGGGAAGTTTAGTGGGAACCAGTGGAGAATCATGTGTAGTAGTTGATGTGTAGTGAGTAGTAATTGGTAGCCTAGGTGCAGGGTGCTAGCTACAACATAGTGGGAGGGAGTTAGCTAGGACAGCGTAGAGGGAAGGAGCTAGCTAGGACAGCCTAGTGGAGGAAACAGGTAGGTGTAATTGGCATCTCGTAGTATCTCAAATCCAGTTGTTTTCTGTACCATCTTTCTTGTCCAGAATATCTCCAAGAGTGTGATTACATCAGCCTTCCTATCAGTATCAGTAGTTCTAAGTAAACCCAAGGTTATATTCTCCTCTTCTGGTTCCCATGTATGGCATGCAAGCCATTTACCATTTTGTTGCACTTAATGTAGACTCATTTTATAATCTCCTCCTATGGTACCCCATGTATGGCCCTCCTCTCCTTTGTTGCACTTAATGAAGACTCATCTTATATTCTCCTCCTATGGTACCCCATGTATGGCCATCCACTCCTTTGTTGCACTTAATGAAGACTCATCTTATATTCTCCTCTTATGGTACCCCATGTATGGCCCTCCACTCCTTTGTTGCACTTAATGAAGACTCATCTTATATTCTCCTCCTATGGTACCCCATGTATGGCCTTCCACTCCTTTGTTGCACTTAATGAAGACTCATCTTATATTCTCCTCTTATGGTACCCCATGTATGACCTGTAAGCCAATTTCCACTCCTTTTGTTGCATCTTCTTGTTCAAAATGTCAAAATCGCACTTCTCCAACTTCTCCAAATACAAACTAGTGGGAATACTGACCAAAAACGGCGTGAAAATAACATCTGGAATACCAGCCTTCCATTTCTTACTGAATTCCCTCAATTTACTATTCTTCGATGCATTTTCTTTGACCACCTCTTTTATTTCATCCCTGACCTGGCCCAATTTGGATCTGGCAGTCAATATATGGTCATTGGCAACGATAGCTGTATCATACACTACAGACTTCAACTTTTCACGAACGTCTTCCAGATCACTGGAACTGTGACCCTGAGTGATTCTGAAAACATCTTCCTGGGACAATTCGTATTTGGTCATCAAATCCACTGGGAGAGTCACCTGGTTACGACTCTTGGAGTAGTACTCAACCCCCAAGATCATCGAACTAATAGCTGTTGCCTGGCCAATATGGGCGGCAATGTCTGTCACCTTCAGTTGCAACGTGGGAGAATACTCCAATAAACTGATGGTAGAAGGTGATATAGATGGGGATAATAAGAGTCCCTGAGTAAGATAGTTCAATTGAGAGTAGGTACCCTCACCAAAAGAGCAGATATCCTGCGCAGTTTGGAAAGTTTTCGTCTTCAAGAAATGTCTTCTGGTTTGCAAGAACTGATGGAAATATACTATATCCAAATTTAAATCGTTCCTAAGAGCTTCTCTCAACAATATAGCAATTGGCTCACCAATGGTTGTCTCAGAGTAAGGATCTTGAAAAATTTTACTAAGTAAGTCTGACCAAAACTTAAACTTCACATCGATGGTGGAGATCCCCAAAGTCAGCGAAAGTTGCGACGAAGCCTTCGATGCCGTCGATTGGCGATTGGACCCTCCGTCGTTAATCTTGTTTATTTCCAAGTTAAATGCGCGGATAGCAAGGAACGCATCTCTGGCGGGCTCAGGTATGTACTGAGCTAGTATGTAGGATGACCGGTCTGAGACTTCAAGCAACTGGTTTACATTCTCACGAGCGTTGTAGACACTGGAGGAGAACCTGATGGAAACACAGCTTTGCGATGGTCTTTTGAAACTTCTTTTCAACGGAATTGAAGCAAGATTGGCACCAGATAGCATTTTAGTTCGAATATGTAAGAACTCAGCACAATGGATGCCCAATAGCTGGAAAGATGGTGTGTTGCTGGAGCTCAAATCAACGGCAGCCATCACGGAGAATCATATGGCGATGCTTACGTAAGCAGCACAAACCTCACAAACTGCAGTGATGGGGTGCTATATGCAGTGCAACGACAGACTCATCGCTGAAAAAGTCACCTCGGCGACACCATGGCGTTGCTACAGCTCATTGTTAAGGCCCTAGATCTGCTATCTTGAGCATAATGATCGTAGAAGCCGTAAGACCATGTGCATACCTAGACATTGATATTGATTCCAAGCCGGTGGGCCGCATAGTCGTAGAGTTAAAGGACGACTTGGCCCCCATCGCTTGCAAGAACTTTCTTGCCCTGTGCAACCACAAACTGTACCAGCACAACCACTTCCACAGAACGATAAAGAATTTCGTGATACAGGCAGGTGATCTTGTGTACGGCCAGAGCAGCAACCTAGATGTGTCAAAAATCGGACAGGGAAGCAAGGGAGGACCCTTTGAGGACGAGAATGCATCGGAGCCCTTGGATCTGCCCTTCATGCTCTGCATGGCCAACGATGGGACTCCCAACAACAACGGCTCGCAGTTCTTTATCACGACGTATCCACAACCCCACTTGACTGGCAAACACACCGTATTCGGTAGGGTAATACACGGAAAGTCCGTAGTTCGAGAAATCGAGAGAGTGGACACCGACTCCAAGAACTTCCCCACGTTACCGGTGGTTATTACGGACTGTGGTGAGTGGGAAGAGGGAATGCCAGTCCCAATTTTCAACGCTTCCTATGACCAGAGAGGTGGAGACATCTACGAAGAATACCCGGACGATGACGTTCACATCGACAAGGAATCATCTAAGAGCGTGTATGAAGCTTCCTCTAAGATCAAGCAGAGTGGGACCCTCCTCTTCCAGGCCGGTGATAAGGAAGCTGCCATGCTTAAGTATAAGAAGTGCTTGAGGTACGTAATGGAGTACATCCCGGATCAAGACCAAGAGCCCGAGTGGTACAAGCTCTACTTTGAGCTCAAAATCAAGCTCTACTTGAACTTATCCCTAGTCTACCTACAGCTCAAGAATTACACCTCTGCTGTGGCATACTCCACGTATTTGATAGAGATGGATGAGCTGGTGAATCTTATTTCGAAGACAGACTATGCTAAAGCACACTCCCGTAAGGGTACTGCACTTATAGAGTTGAAGAAGTACACAGAGGCGGCCAGAGAGCTTACTACAGCGTTGAAGTATCTTCCTAACGACAAGGGTATTGCCAAGGAACTCGAGAGAGCCGAGCTCTTGTTGCAGAAGAAGAAGGATGGAGAGAAGGCCAAGTACGCCAACTTCTTTAAGTAGTGGTAGTGGTAGTAGGGGTAGTAGTAGGGGTGGTAGTAGGGGTAGTAGTAGGGGTAGTAGTAGGGGTAGTAGTAGGGGTAGTAGTAGGGGTAGTAGTAGGGGTAGTAGTAGCAATATTACTACTTACAGTAGGACGACATCATCTCATTAATAGAATAAATATGCATAACATTATTATCAACTTCTAAATTATCTATATACGTGATTGACTGGGTATCATTAGTTTCCACTATCTCCATGCACTCCATCTCTATCTCCATTTACGCTTCTACTCCCACTATCGTTTTCATGATTAGTATTGCTATCACTGCTTCTATCATCATTTGGTATGTCATTATTAGTAGATTGGGTCTCAGTCGTTGTAGTTGTCGTAGTGGTCTGGTCATCCGTCAAGCTTCTCAAATTCAAATAATCTATTATTTCATTAGTGTCTCTCTCGTTGGTCTGCCTCGTAATCACTCCATTGGCACTACGCCTGCTTGATACTCCAGAGGGAAATAAACCTTCATGCGATGCTGGTGGTCTTCTTAAAAATGCAAAAAGTTGAGATAATACTCCTTCGTCGCTTCTCCTGATGCCCGTTCCTGTGGTCGCTCCTGTGGCTTGTTGTGGAGGGGTATGTCTCATAGGTCCTGCGTGATCTATTCGGTTGAGCGAGTTGTAAGCTGCGAAGCTATTTCTAGCGCGCAAGCCGGCGGTGGTCCCACGAGGTCCGGCGCCATTAGCGGGGTTGGGAGGAGAAGCTCCAGTGGCATCTTCAGTTCCCTCCGTTCTCGTCCTGTTAGGATGGCGGAAATTCAAAAGATTTGTGAAAGTTTGAGAGGCATTAGTAGTGATGGAAGGGACATCCCTGACTAATGGCTGCCCCACGGGTTGTTCTGCTACCGAATCTCTGCAAAGTGGGCAAGTAGCGTGATCTTTGAGCCATTCACAGAGGCAGCTCTTCCCAAAAATATGTCCACAGGGCATCTCCACGGGACAGTGAGTGAAGGACCCGGTAAACTCAGATACGTACTTTGGAAGTTGATCCGTAGAAGTGTGATCAGAATGAATACCACCAGTGGTTTCTACATTGTTCACCGTGACTCTACGTTTCTTTCTCCTGGGGCCATCTGCGTGTGATACCTCTTCGTCCTTGTCGTAGTCTACGTCTTCAGTTTCGCCTGTACTAGACTTTTCTATACCCTCAGTGTAATCCTCAAAGCAGATCGAACATGACTTGGAATCGATGAGACTGTCAATGGATTTGGTGGGGAAACTGTTGAATTTCTCCATCGTGGTGCCCTGGGACTTTTTGATCCCGCTTACTATAGTGGAGTAGGCCATTTGTGTGGCCAAGGATATTATCTCCTGGATGGTGGAGGGGTCTCTGTTAGCTGGAGTGTTGGGGAGACTCATCACGAGTGAACCAGATCGGTTAGGGGACAGAGGGTTGTTCTCGTCAGAGAACACATAGCTCACCGTGATAATGATGGCACCTCCTGCGTGACTTGTGTCAGCAGAAGTAGCAGCAGCGGTAGCTCCAGGCAAACTAGAGGTGTTGCCCGTCGTCGTCCCGGACGAGCTCGATTCCAGGCTGGGTCTGTTCCCCGTGAACACGTCCATGAACCTCTCGAACAAGTTCAACTCGTCTCTGCTGGATTCAGTGGTGAGGTCTTCAGTAAGGTTGGATAGCTCAGGACCGGTGTCTGTTGATTCATTTGAATTCTGTGGTTGCCCTTCTTGTGCCTCCCGCAGGCTGTTCTCTGTGCGAGTGCCCTGTTCTTCGAGAGGTTGCTGGTCATCCTCGGACCGCACCTGCTCTGTTGGAGTCAGATTATGGTTGTCCATCTCAAACTCTGTTGTTCCTAGCTGAAAGGTGCAAAAATAGCTGTAAACTGTGCAAGTAAGAAGAAAACCACAGGTGTGTTTTTGCTTTTATGATAACTAAGCAAGTGTGCCTTAGAGGATCGGTGACGCACAGAGAGAATCGTCCTGCACAAAGCGAGTGTAATGGTTACAATTATCGGCGTGAAGAGGGAGGTTAGGCCAAGAGAACAGTGGAAAAAAGATCCAATATAAATGAAAGGGTAACAAAATGCGCAGAAGGGTCCAAAGTGGGGACAGCTCGATGACACTCAGATCGGGGTAACTAGGAAGACTATTTGGTGGCCACCCACTGCTGAGATCATTCGTGTGTGTATTCAGTGACGGCTCAGGCCTGCACAAGTCGCACAGGCTCAGCTCACGCTCCGGGGCCACCCCATCGTTCCCATAACCGTATCCTGTCCTGCACGACATGCAGGAAATACGCACTGGTGGACTAATTGGGAATCGCTTAACATGCATCGTCTATCAGAACGGTCAAAAGCATATCTAGGAGAAAGCTTAAAAGATAGGCGATGGGAGAAGTCCACACCTAGATTGGGGGTTCCTATCGCACTAAGAGAAGCTGTCCAAGAGAGGAGATGCTCCTGAAAAGCTTGAAAGTAGAGTTGGGATGGGGTTGATACGCTACATACAGCCTCAATCGTAGCTGAAGCAAAAAAGTAAGTTAAAACATACAGCTCCATCGTAGCTGACGCTAGTGGGAAAGTTAAAATGTGTATGAAAAATAAAAAACGGTGCAAACTGTAATTAAATAATATATCGTGTGTAGATCGCAGCAGTCGAGTGCAGGCGTCTACTACCCCGTACAATTATATGGATTTCTCGTTCCGGAGTTCCATTGTGGGTCTCTCGTAGCAGCTTCCCATGCGTACCCCCTCGTTAGTGAATCCGTACATGACCGTACTAAACCGCAATATGCCACTTCCCCGGGTAGGTAGGTACCCCAGCTCGTAAGTTCACCCTGTACGAGATTGTCCTATCCTTTGTCGTTGTTCCTCATATCGTAGCCTCCACTTCAATTTTGGTGACAGGACGCATGATCCTTAGATGATCTAATAAGCCTTTCTTCCCTTTCCATCTTTTTTGGTGTATCCTTTTAATCTTATCTTGATTATTTACATATTTAATCCCTTGGCTCTTTTAAAAATAGCAAAGGGTGAGTGCTATAGCGACACCTACCACGGTGATAGAGGTCAAGTTCTCGAGAAGTCTACTTGCTCCCGATGACTTTGAATCACTCGAGCCCGAATTTGAGCTTGAACTTGAGCCTGAGGAACTGGTACCGTTACTGGAACCACCAGTGGCACTGCTATCAACACTGACGGCAGTCCCAATGTAGGCGGTGGTCGCGGTCAATGTACCAGTACTGTATGTAATAGTTGTGGCAGCACTGGCTTCAGTGACAGAAGAGTCGTAGGATGTAGAAGAATAGCCAGATGCCTCAACTGCTCCGGGAATTGTGGAGGTGACGATTTCAATATCTTCTTCGTCAGTGTAGTTAACTTGTGCGAATGAAACAGTGTAATCGTCAAGATCGTACACTATGTACCCATGTCTTAAGATGTTGTCTCCAAACAAGACGTAGTCCGATGATTGCTCCAAGACTCCTAATTGACATTGTGTTCCTCTATAGTTAAGTAAAATTGAAGAATATGGGAAGGAAATGGTGGCACCACTAAAATTCAACGTAATGGTGTAATCTGTATCCGAAGTACAAGGTACGATATAAGTTCCATATGCACTTGAGTAAGTACCCCCAAGCATTTCTCCAAGTTTTTCGAAAAGAGTAGTAGGCATGTATGACAATGTGGATCCTGAATCCAAAATAGCTGTGTAACTGTTATCAGAAATGGTAACCGCTGAGCCGGAGCCGTTAAATGAGATACTACTGAGCAATACCTCCAATCTAACAGGATCTGCGTACCCCGAACTTTTGTAAGAGTTAATGATTTGTACGGTCTCTAATGTGCCCAGGTACTTGGCGTGGTCGACAGCACCAAACAAAACTGAACCCTCAGATGCTGAAGCCGAGTTTAAGTAGAGTGAATAGACGTTTTTATTTATGAACCCTTCCGATTTCAACTTCATTGGCAAGTTTTCGTACATGTAGGAATTACTGCTACCACTGGAGTATGTAGTTTCCAAGCCTGGCAAACCGATCCCCAAGACACCGATGTTGGATGAGGTGTAGTTGGCAATGGCGAAGGAAAGCGAAGAGAGCGAAGCAGATCCGACAACGACGGTATCGTAACCCCAGGTACCCAGGGCACTGGTACCATCGGCATACTCAATGGAGAACAGATCTGCAGAGCTGTTTGTGTTGAATGATGTGGACGATTCAGTAGCAAATGAACCGTACAGGGTGCAGGTATTGGTTTCAGCTCCGTCTGCAGTGGCATAGCTACCACCATTGCTTTGACCACCACCGCTTCCGCCGCCTCCGCCACCAATAGTGATGGTGATATCAGAACCAAACAACCACTTGTTTTCGACCTTCGAAGGGGTGGTGTCTCTGATTTCGTTCACAGTTGGTGCCACGTTCTTGTTCATGATCGGATTACTTCTCCTCTTGTATTCTCTCTTCTTGGTAGTTGACACGGAAACACAGTCAACATCGTGAGACATGAGCCAAAGATCCGAAGACCCAGTGTCGACAAGAACGGTGACTTCGTTTTCATTAGAGCCCACTACCAACGTCGTCAAATAGAACGTGGCAGCATTTCCGAGAACCATCTCAACGCTGGATCTCTTCATGATGTATGGCTGTGCGTTTCTGGCCATAGTCAGGGAGTCATCACCTCTGTGGACTTCAAAGTCAAGCTTTAAGGGCATAATGTTCTTTGCTGAGGCCAAGCCAGCAGCAACCATCAAAAGACAGAGCAATTTCATTGATAGTACTTGAAACATCATATGAAAAAATCGTTTTACTGTATAAAAAATCAAACAAATATAGATGAAGAGTCTATGAACTGATCAAGAAAAAAAAAAAACGAATTCAAACGATGAACTAGCAATATATAAGTCTTGAAAAAGAATATGAAACGCTTATTCTGAAAAACAGATGACAGTAATGTTTCGTCTTCAGATTATAAGCCCGTACCGAAATCGAAGTGGGGCGTAGTCAAATTGAAAAACTTGGCAGTGGCATTTTGGCAGCTTTAGGCAAGAAAAAATAATAAAGGCACCGATTTAGCGTGTACGTGCTAGACGAAGGCTCATGGGACACAGGGAAACGGTGAGCAGAAACGCATGTGTTTTAGGCCAGATCCAGCAAGTGGAAGGGCGAGGTGCTTTATTTTGGTAGGTTGGACATTTGGCATCCACTCTGATGATCCAGAAAGAAGAACGGATCCAGTAAATTTCAGATTCTCGAAAGCTTATTTTGGGTAAGTTCCGTTACCACTGTGCCTCTACTTGCCTGAGATGGACGTTATTTTTTCCGCAATTGCGTTGATTTTCCCTAAAAATAGTGCTGGTGGGGGGTATGCTGCGGAAGAAACGTAGTTGTTCCTGAAGGTTGCACGTAGCGCCAAAAATCAGGAAGCTTCGGGCTAAGGCATTCTAGACTGGTGACGAACGTGGCAATGGGCTTCTAGATGCACCGTACCCGTTTACGAAAGGAAATAAAGTCATCTTCCCTTTCTGAATAGACGGGGTGGGGCCATGAAGAGAGAGAAAAAGCAATTATACTTGGCATATTTTATTACTTGCATTAAGCGTGCATACAGATGATATCATCTCCGAGCATGGGATTCCTGGAACCTACACCAAGTGGCATTAGCTGGATAGCACATCTACAACTACACTTACGCTGTTATGCTTCTACACGCACACTAGATAGATAAGGTTGTGGTTCTCACTTAGTTGCACCATTGTGGGTTTTAGTTTTATGAGTAATGTCAATATACATATTCTAATTTTGTTTATGTAGTCATATAGCCGTGAAATTGAAACTAGTTTGAGGTTACATGACCTTCAAGCTAAGCCACCAGTAGGGCCTGGTAACACTTAACTTTGCTGCAATATTGCCAAACAGATAAGCTTCAGACATATAAGTTCATTGGACTGCTGACAACCCCTCGAACAGGACTAGGCTTTTAGCCTTTCCACCTTAGTAATTTCGACTTCCATCTATGTTTCAACCTTTCTGCCCTCGTAATTTTGTAGTACATCCAGTTATTTGTCATTCTTCTCCCCATACATAGACCCCAAATTCTCTCCGCCTATTCCAAATCACATTCGAACCATCTCGTTCAAAACTCGAGGTTAAGATTGTGCAAGGTTGGGCTCGGAAACATCCCTCATGTAATCATTGACTAGGTTTTTAGTGAATACTATCCCATTAAACTTGTCTTTGCAGTCATTAATTAAATCCATATCCAAGTATAACTCCTTCGTTATCATAATTTTATCCTTTCCTTGTTCCTCTTTCGTCAAATAACTGAACAAATCCCAAACTTTTTCAAGATACCGTTTAAATGCATCTTCAGATCCAAATTGTCTTTGCACAATAAACTTCCTCATATTGGAATCGAATTTGCTATTGATTACTTCAATGAACTCATGGAAAGTCATGCATCTTTTCTTAATTAAGCCAGGTGCTATCTCAATCAATACTTCTACTATACCGATTGGTGCAGTATGAGTTTGGACTTTACTCAAATACTGGGTGTAAATTGAAGACCTTTTGAAATTATCCACAGTAAATTTCAAGTTGTCCAAATTTTTATCATATATTTCTTGTAAATTCAAGATGTTGTTCGAAGTGGGCAAGTCTAAGAAATTGCATAGTGTGGCATTGAATATAGCCTGGAAGATCATACAAATTTGGAAGTAATGGAATATAAATAGCCCAAACTCATCGGATATAAGCTTGATGATATCATCGTTTGGACACAGTTCCGCTACAAATCGGAAGTGATTGAAAAGGGAAAGTATGGAGGTGATATAGGAAGCATACCTCAACAGAGGGAAGTAAGTTGACTCAATTCGGACAAAACTTAACCATCTAGTGAATAACGATAGTGTGACTTGGTTTTTGATTAACATTAGTAAACTCAGTTTCAGCGTCAATGTAGCTCTAGATATATCGTTTCTCTTTTTCATAGCTTCATATTTAGCTAGTTCCTTACTGGTCAAATTATATACTTCACCATATAATTCCAAATAAGACCTAACAATATCCTTAATAAGAGTTGACTGTTCAGCTCTTTTGTAATATACAGCCCAGATATCAATGAAGAATTTAGTTGCGCCATGGGCTAGTTCGGGTCCAAATCCGGGCCCAATCATAACTTCTTCATGGGCAAATGCAGCCGAATCATTTCCGCAATAAAATGCATAGTTTATAACTTCTCTATGAGGTAAAATCAGATCTTTGAATTGCCAAAGAGAGAGCAACGTGCCCCTAGATTCAAAGTAGGGAAATTCAATCTGAATCGCTCTTAGTTTAGTCCATGACCTTATTGCCAATCTATTTGCTGAATATATCGGTCTCTCTGTGATTAAATCCATGAATTCATCATTCAATAAGATGCAACCCAACAATTGGTTGAATTCAAGGAAATGCTCCAGTACCAAATCTTGTTGATAAAAATAGTCTCTAATTGAAAAATAGAAATCTATCAAGTACTGAATTTCTTCCACTGTATCATATCTAGAGAGTATCAGCTTGAGATGCTTGGCAAACTCAATTCTATCCAAGAGAAGATCCTTACCTGTGAATAGAGAGCCAACAGCCAAATAAACCAATAAAATACTAATGTTTCTAGCAGTATGTATATTGAAATCTGTTAGTGGCTGTAGCACCTGTTGGTTTTTGTATAAGTTGATAAACCTGGTGTACTCTTCCATTAGAATATCCTTATCATAGCGAAACAATGGACTTTGGCTAGAAATAGCAATATCCACCAAGCTCTTGCATTCTTCAAATGTTGAGGGAAACAAAGCAATCAAGGTAGTGAGATCAGAAGAGGTCATAGACAATGTAAACTCATGGAGAGTTGTCCTATTGTGAAGTTTTTTTGGTTGAGCAGGAGGTATTATAGGATCTCCCACCGGTATTGGAGGTTGGTTTGGGTAGTCGTACCTGATTATGGGAGCAGGGAAGTAAACAGGCTTGTTTTGGGTCATCAGTTGCGGTTGCAGTGGCGGTTGTTGTGGCTGCTGCTGCTGTTGTATTTGGTGAACATTAAGATGAGGGTAAGCAGGAGACGGATGGGAATTTATCGGAGCCTGTCCAGATGGTGCCAGGGGAAGGGCATGCACGTATGGGTACTTCTGGCTGTACTGGTAGGGGTACTGCTGAGGGAATGCAGAAGGGCTCGCCTGATGGACTGGGCGATGATGTATTCGAGGCAACTTGTTATTGACTATGGGCAAGGGACTAGGCTGCTGCGGGCTCGACTGGCCAATCGAGGAAGCAATCAGTGGCATAACACCCTGGGGATGAGATGGTAGATGGTGGTCCTGCGAGTCTGGTGGACTCTGCCCGTAGGCCCTCTTTGTTTCTCCCGAAGAAGTCGAGTCTGTCGGCAGCAGCTGCTTCCTGTTCATCGACTTCTTCTTTCTCTCAAGTGTTTTGGATAATTCTTCTGCTGACGGAGGTTGGGGTGGGTCTTCCAAACATTTTTCAGCTCTCTTGAACTTGAGGCACCCACTGCACGGAGTTTGCAAGTCGCACTTGATCTTTAACAACTTGCACGGACCGCAGGCATAGCTACGTCGTTGACGTTTTGGCTTAATGGAGTCCATGGCACTATGAAATACATACACTTAGGAGACCGACAGATTATAGTAAAGTTAGCTCTAGAGTAAGGTTGGGGATGGGTGTGTTTTTCTTACTTAGGGTCCGCGCTCATGGTAGAAAAAGAGAGAGCATAAAAAATAAAGAGAGTCGCCTTAAGAGAAAACCAATTGGGGTAGCTGGCATGAGGTCAATGACAATACAGATATGGCATAGAGTGAGTAGCAGGGAAGCAGAAAATAGAATATGTTTTTTTTTTCACCTTTGTGTGAGAGTAATAACGGTCATTTAGAAACTTCTCTACGTCTTCGGACATAGATGAAATTTGGACCATGAGGCATTGGTTCGCAGTGGGTGAGATGGTAGAGGATAAGTCCGCACAAGAGGTTTGAGAAGCGGAATATTTTGTTGCAGGGTAGCTATCGCCAGATGGGTATCTTTTCTGGTTATCCAGGGGCCTGAGAAATCAGACAATAGTACCATCGGTACTATTCACACACCCGGTCAAAGTGTGATGGGCTCATCAAGGGCAGTTGATGATAGCCTGCTTGCTGGTACAGATCCGCGGTTCAGTATTTAGCCTGGCGCATCCGGATTTGCACACTGGCGCACGTTATTTTTTCTTATGGTGTGGGAGTCTGCTGCGCGGGTTTACGGTGGTGCAAGCTGCGCACTTGATAAGGAAAGAGGAATCTTTCGTTGCATTGAGGAGCAGATCAAGTGATCTTCGGAGTGGGTAGACTGCTGGAATTGCATCTGGGGGACCGAATGCTGTCTCTGGGGGTATTTCCTAGAAGTAGGCGCTCCGACCGCCCCAGAGTGATCAGTCTGTTATGGTCATCCTGGATCTCTTCAAGAATGGCTCAGCCAGAAAATATTTCGGGCTCGAGAAACTTAAGAAATATCGAGATGTACAAGACGTGCAGCAGCAAGACAACATTAGCCGTACACCAGGCAAATGTAAAAGCAACACGCCTGGTGTCTTAGTTGCGTAGATGAATAAGATGAAACTCAAGAATTATCTGATCCGAGTACCACACGCGTTATTTGTTTTAACTTTATTTTTTTGTATGTTTTTTCAGTTTTCTTTTTTTGGTATTTTCATCATTATTACTAATTATTTTCTTTTTTTTTCCTTTCTTTTTTTTTTTTTTTTATTTTGGAATTATCACTCTTCGTTTTATATTATTTTTTCATATATGCTTTTCCATTTCTTAATTTCCCCTCTGCATTTTCATTACCTTGTTGTATTGTAAGGCTACTTTCCTCCTTGAAAGGATTCTCAGAATTGCATTAGAATTGCAAATGGTATGCTTCATGCAGGCGAATTGATGCATTGTCCGTAAAATATTTGTATTATAACCACTTGTGCAGAAGATGGGTTTTCTGCAGGCACAAGAAGCATCACTCTTGTTGGACACCGCATGCACTGAAGTACGACCTACAGGTGGAAAAAAAAAATCCAAAATGTTATTGTTTTCTTATTTTCTTTTTTTTTTATAGCCTATAGGTTGAACATACTCAACTCAATTGCCTCTATTCTGTTACAATGGCAAGGCAAAATTCATCTTCTGTCTCTGTGAATAGAAACGAGAAACGTTAAGTTAGGCTTTCCCTTTTCGTTTAACTTTTTATCGAATTCCAGCCTTTTTCCATCTACATTTCTTAATTATTAAAAATTTTCGCTATTTTTTTTTTTAATTTTGGTCAACAATTTGAATTGCATAATCTTCAATAAGCACATACATTATTTTTTTGTTTGAAAAAAAAAAGGTGGATCTCTATACTGGGATGCACACCACCATTGCGGTGTTCATACATTCTCTCCTCAAATCTAAAAACAGGTCGACGTCGTCTCTGGAAATGTCAATGGCTGACTCCTAAGCGTCACCTGCGTATTACTCTCTGCGGTAATCTTTTTTTTTTTTTTTGTGTGTTGTGCTTCGTATTTATTTAAGCTTTTCACTTTTTAACACTGAAGCTTAATTTGCGTGGTTTCCATTTAAAAATTTTGATCTTCATGCACAAATAACCACCAAATATAGAATCCATTGCTTTTTTTTTTTTTCTTTTTTTTTTTTTTTATTTTTATTGCCCCTAATTGGTTGTCAGTCTAATATAGGACAACTTGTCCACTCGTTTGACGGCAAAGTTTTGTATATGCCGACCCCAGTGTAATAGAGCAACTCAACGGTTGCTTGCTGTATGGCACTTCAATTGTCCCCCTTCCCCTACCTACAGTGATCTGACATGAAGTGCAAGTGCTACATGCAGTTGCTCCTATTGTGTGTTGATCTTTATTTGACAATGACGGAATTTGGCATACGGAACTATTAGGAAATAAATCCTAGACAACCGGAGATTGAAGCGCGCGCACAAATTGCATGTCCAAAAGTTTCGGTAAAGAAATTGTCTTCCTCCACTATGGTTCAAATTCATTGCTATACATCTTTATGGACTTGCTTTTTCATATATGTTGCGTAGAATGGTCAGGCAGGTGATTACAGACTGGGATGAAACTGTTACAAAAGTCGATACCATTCGTTTTTTGGCAGAGGCTGCGTACATAAAGAAGCCTCACTATACACCACCCTTTTCGTATTTCTCAGATGTCTACCAAGCGGCTTTGGACAATTTTAATGCGGACAAAAATATGGTTGCATTTTCTGAGTTGCAATATCAACAACACATCAAGTCTGTAGAACTAACGTCCATTAGGGAAATTGAGAGGTTGAATCTCTTTCAGGGATTGTCTAAGAGTGACTTTCGAGCTGTCTCTGAAAGAGTGGAAATTCATGCTGACTTTCTCGAGTTCTTGGAGGCTTGTAACAATTTGAATATTCCGGTTGCAATATTGAGCGTTAACTGGACAAAGACCGTAATCGAAGAAGTGCTAAGGAAGAACGGTGTAGATCCTACTGATATGAAGATCTTGGTCAATGAGTTTGTATTTGATGGTAACAATGTGTGCACTGGTAGATTTGACGACGGAATTTCCATCAGAACTGGATATGATAAACTTAAATTGGTCCAGTCATTCGAAGAGAAAGACTACATGTATATAGGCGATAGTAGAACAGATTTGTTATCTATTTTTGACAGTAAGGTCGGTGTAATCTTCAAGAAAGAGTCTACCCGGGAAAAAGCGAGATCTATGGGTGTTAAGGTCTTGGAGAAAGGAGAAACAGGAGACACAGGGGTGCCATATGTTTACTACGCTGAAGGTTGGCGTGAGCTTATTGCTTTACTTAAGACTGATTGAGGTAGCAGGACACTAATGTATATGTATATATATACGTATAATAAACGCTGCATTGTTTTGTATATATATATAAACCCTGCATGTATATGTCCTACTAGTAGAGGTAGAAGTGCTCTTGAAGATTCCATTTACACGATTCCATAATAGAGCTGTAGAAGTGTTCTTGTGGATTCCATTTCCTTATCTCTAGATGGTATGAGTTGTGTTCTCGAATGAGTTATTCTCTTGCTTGCACTAGGATGAGTATCTGCTTCTTTGCACAGAAACTCTAAGGATGAGAGCTCTTCTTTTGGGTTAGTGTTTTCGAGCTTCGAGCTTTTGTTGAATACATCAAGGATCCTACATCTCTGTGCATACGTACATACTTTGTTACACAGATTCTTACATCTCTGTGAGTATAATTACTTTGTTCTACAGCTTCCTACACTTTCTAAACATATAAATTAATAATTTAATTTAAATAGTAATGTACATATAGTGATGCTTTTGACTGCCCTTCAACTTTTTGTTTCGTTTATCTTCTCCAAGTGTTGACTGGAGGTGCGTATTGCAGAATGTGAGTAACAACATTACCTTGAACTGGTACATATTGTCCATATGCGTATCCTGGAGGTGGTGGGGGCGGAGGTCCTTGGAAGTAGTTTCCGTTTGGTTGACGGTGATGCAAAAGTGGCGACTGATGTGGTTGTTGAGGGCTATGGGCTTGTCCAACATTTGGTGGAGGTGGGCCCCCACTACCATGTGGCCCAGGACCTGGATAGAAATATTGAGGTTGCCCGACAGGTTGCGGAGGTGGAACTTGTTGGGGTGGTTGACCTCCTTGGTGTATACCTTGTTGCTGTCTAGGTGACTTTTGAAGTGGGTAGAGATGAGGTTGGTTACCGGGTTGGAAGTATACCGGTGAAGCGCTGGATCCATTTTGACGCATTGGTGGCAGTGGACCAAGTACAGGTTGGTGTGGAGCAACTGGAGTTTGAATGTTGGAGGGAGGTCCCTGCTGGTGATTTTGCGGTGGTCCCTGTTGATGGGGAGGAGGGAGTTGATGAGGAGGAGGAACGGGGTGTGATTGGTGCTGAGGATGGGACTGTTGCTGATGAGCTTGAAGCTGTTGCTGCTGTTGCTGTTGGTGCTGTTGAGCTTGTTGCTGAGCCTGTTGTTGCTGGGCCTGTTGAGCTTGTTGTTGCTGCTGCTGTTGAGCTTGCTGTTGCTGTTGAGCTTGCTGCTGCTGCTGAGCTTGTGCCTGCTGCTGTTGAGCCTGCTGTTGCTGAGCCTGCTGCTGTTGAGCTTGTTGCTGACCCTCGCCGCTGCCCTCTTCAATTCTGCCTTGTACATAGGTAATCCTTTCATGTGGTAACAATGCAACCAAATCTCTTAACATAGTACTAGGAACTTCCGGTGGATTCCTGAGACTTGGCGGAGCAGTTCCTCCCTCTTTTCTACTTGCTTCAGCCAATAAACTAGCTCTTTTCTCTAATTCCAAAGAATTTTTAGTGTCTCCGATTGCTCTGAAGCATACAGCAGAACGTTGACAAGCATCTGATGCATCCATCAACTGATCGTCACATCTTTCATACACACATGACAATCCTTCCCATGCTGTGGCTGTGCCTAGCGAGCCTTCATCCACCTGTAATCTCAAAGCTTGCGAATAAGCAGCAAGAGCGTCTGGCAATTGCTTCAATTCCAAGTAAAGCTTTCCTACAGCCAACCAAGTGATGGGGGAAATCGAGGCTCTCCTCAAGGCAACTTGGTACGAATCGTACGCTGCTCTGGGCAGGTCTAATAACAGATATGCCTTACCCAAAAGATACCAAGGTAAAAAGTCTCCATCATTGTTGGGCTCTTCACCCTTTGGATTTTCAATAGCAATTGCCTTCTCTAATAAGTGAATTGCGTGGTAAGCTTCCCGTTGTTGATTGTTCAACAATAAGAGATATGCATGAGTCATGAGGATACGAGGGCTGTCACCGACTGCTCTCTCGGCACCTTCACAGGCCTGGAGTGCACCTTCAACGTCATTGGCTCTTTCTTTGGCAGTGGCCAAGGCACACCATAAGGCAACGTGCTCTTCGATTCTGGAAATGGGTGGAGGAGGTAATGACAAGGTAGCAGTCAACTCTGCAATGGATAATTCAATGTTACCGTCAGCGGCCAGGATAGCGGCCAACTCAGCGTGTGCCGCCCTGGCAGTTTCAACATCGCTAGAACTGAATTGGTTTAAGGAGTCCGGCAAAATAGACAAGCAGTAGGTGAGTGCACCAGCGGCGTGGTTTCTTGCACCCGCCCTGATCAAAGTCTGTGCACTGAGCAACCATAAGCTAGGGTCATGGGGTGACAACTGAATGGCAGTCTGGATGGACTGGTGAGCCTGGTCATTCAATCCAATCAATAAATAGCATTCCGCCAACTCCTTAAACACCTGGGAGTTCTTGCTCAAGTCTGGGTACTTCTCCAAGGACTTTGTCAATTGGTCTATCGATTTTTGAGACCCTACGGTTTCGTTCAAGTTGATGTCGTTAATCCTCAAGCTAGACAGCAACCCACACAAGGCCGCCAGGTTGGATGGAGTATGCAAAAGGGCCAGATCATAGGACTTGATGGCGGCCGTGGTGAGTCCCAAGGTGGTGGCGCAACTTCCGATTGCTATCCACGTTTCAGTGACACTCACTTCATAAGATTGTTCTATGAGAGTATCCGAGTGAGCCCGTTTTACTTTGCCCTCAATGCTGCCATTTGGTGATGATAATCGTTTTACCATGATCTACTATCTTTCCCGTCAGTTTTATTGATCCTGATCAATAAAGGTCGGTGAGCTGAAGTTTTTGTCTTGTCTGTCTTTTTTGCCTGTCGTTGAGCACAAAAATAAAGAAATTTGTCGAAGGTCGTTTCTTTTGCTGATTCAAAATTATTCGACAGAACGCTTCTGATTCCAAAATGCCACAGAATGTAATATGCTACGTAAACGAGTTAAAATAACACTTCCACTAACTATATGGTAAAAAAAAAAGTGGTATCACTGTTAGGAAGAGAAGGAAGAGAAAAAAATAACAAAGTTACGGGAAATCCTCCAAGACAAGGAAAGCCCAGTTTGACAAAATTATTACTAGTTAACGATCTCTGTAAAAGACGCCGGAATATGCAAGCTTTAAAAAATAAAGTACAGTGCCGCATTGCAGCTGAGTAGAGCGTTAAAATAGAAAAAAAGCTTACATGGAAATAAGTAACATGCCGGCGGAAAAAAAAATAAAAGAAGAGAAGTACTAGAAGAAAGTTTTTGAGACTGAAAAATAGACTGTATTGCTATTTGAGGCAAATTGAGCTGCATTGGATAGTTGCATTCATGAATTCTTAATCCAGAGCCCGCCACTACGGATTTATAGTTTTATTTTTCTTTTTGGTTGCTCTTCCTTTTCTTATACCTATATATCCAAATCATAAATGGCAAGGAACATTAGTCTTTTTATGCATTGCATTGCATTGCATCATGTAATCAGAACCTGACATCAAGTACGCAATTGTACATGACCCGCATTCAGCACATAAGGTAGCATGAAAAAGTTTACTGCATAGTCTCGTATTCATTTTATAATCTGCAGTGTTCAGCGCATCTTCATTCCGAAAGTTTAATTATACATGTAATCTTCGTTTCTTTTTTTTTTTGCTAGCTTTCTTTAGAAAAAAGTATGTTGGGCAAAAAAAGGAGAGTCAAGAACACTAGGTCCAATAAAAAACGGTTTTTAGACTTCTTCTTTCAATTACATAACTTAAAACATGATTGGAATCCAAAGGAAGCTGACATAATTTTTTTTGGTTTCAAGGGGCCGTTAAAATGTGTATATTTGTCAAAATAAAGATGATATTTTTTACCACTCCCAACTTTCAGTTTTTACCACATCTTACACTCTCGTATTATAGATAATTTCTATGTGGACAAAAAAGTTCAAAAACTAAAAAAATCAAGAAACCAAAAATACCGAAATAACAAAAAATGGCAAAGAAAAAGGAATTCTCAGAAAAAATAATTCGCTTAAATAACGTTATTCAATCACATGAGGCTTAAGTAAACGAGTACTTGCAGGTAATATATGTGAAATTCTCCTGCAAGTGAAGAGGGTAAGATGAGTAGCTTTATTTTCTTGAATTTGATGTAAAATAAATTCATTATTATTTTTTACGGGGTTATTCCCGATGAAACTCTTAGTATGGTGTAGCAGTTTAGTACGAGAGGCTTATCATTTTAGAGTACGGCTTCTAACAACAGGATTCAAGGCATACAATAGTACAATTAAAATATGCAAGAGAGGTATTAATAACAATACATCGCCATGACTTTGAAACTACCTACACTATAAATTTGGAGAGCTGCGCATGATATTTTAAGCTAGGAATATAGTGAAAATTCACCATCACCCTTCACCCTTCGCCGCCATGTGTATGCTTGATTGGAAAATATTGCTGAGGCAAGTAAAAAATAATATCAAACTCAACTGAAGGTAAATGAAATTGATGGATCGTGGGTTTAATCACGAATGTACTACTGAAGAAGACACTTTTCCATTTTATTTACTACTACCCAAAATAGGGGAAATGCTTCCCACCACCGACATGGAATCCTCAAACGGCCAGTTTCTCAGTTTCTCATAATTTCTTACATTATTCTAAAGATGCTTTGCCCGCTTTACATTCATTTACTTTGTTTCCACTTCAAAGGTTACACTCTTTTTATTGCATCCTATGGTTCGCTTACCTTTGTGCGTCCTGCAGGCAATGAATTTATCACACCATATTTGTTTTAAGGTACCTGTCGGCTGTGCGTTATTTTCAGCAAAAAAATCGCACAAATACGCGCGGGGTTGGCATTACAAAGTGATTAAATAACTTTTCGAAACAATAGAGAATGGAAATAGTATAAATGTAACTCAATTTTTAAGCTTTTAGTTTTTAATGCATGATGTGAGGACGCCTATTGGTGACAGAAGATTTTCGGTTCCTTATGCAAGTGGGGGAGCGAGGGAGAGGAGGGGGACGGATAGTCAATCGATGTATCGGAAAAAGGAAATATGCTAAGATTTGACGATCGTGGAAATATACAATTTCCCATTCCACTTGCTTCCACAGATTTTTAGTTCTGGATTTACGAATAAAGTAGTCAAGAGAAATGTCAATAATAATATTTCTGTCAGCGACGCAGAATTAGTTTCTGCCAGCGTTCAAAAAATAAAATAATTATTCAGTAAGGCATCTAGGCGCATTACTTCAAGATCGAATGTGGCTACATAACCTTATGCATAAGCAGTTCGTGAATATGTGCATTGTGTGTACAGTGCTGCAGGTCATTCGACAAAGAAAAAAGCTGAAGCATGAGAGCAATCTTAAAGTAACACATGAATCAAAAGTGACATGTCGGTTGAGTTTTGAAAAAGAATTTGACACACAGAGAACGGTCTCACCACTTTTAGGGTAATGGGACTGTTTCACATATTCTGAAGCTAGAACAGTTGACAACTTTAGAGCGAAAATTGTGCTGGCACGGCGTTAGCCACATCCTACATCTGGTAAGCCTCTGCAGGAATGGTAAATGTGTACTGTAGTGTTGTACCTGGATTTCACTCATTTTCTTTGTATCATCGTCAACTTTTCCCACATTCTACATTCTTCAAAGTATTACTCTGGACCAAGTATATTTAAGTAATTGCCAGGCATTATCTGTGTCTAATTCGTTTAGTTTTGCTTACTTCTGTTGCTGGTGCTGGAATGATATTCCGATTAAGCAGCACTTGAAATTGGTCACATTGTGATCGTAAGAGCAAAATTCCGAACTGTTTAAGTATTCTATCTTTTTGGATAGTGCCACGTTTTAAGCGTCACTACGCTATTCTTATTGCTCTACTTGTGATTCTTTGGAGTTCTCTCTCTTCACGTCCTCTCAATGTTTCCCATCTAAAGGGCTCTCCAACTGCGTCCTGCACTTGACTTGATACCCATGTCCTGCACCTTGCTCATCTCATCAGTATGGATCCAGTGATGCTCTGGTACTTTACGTTTGCAACATCTTTATACTATCAGTCAGCATCAATAGCCCCCCCAGTATATGTGCAGATATGCGTAAATGTATGCTGTTATTCTCCTTGAGTTCGAGACTTTTATTTCGAACCACACCGGTAAGGAGCGTATTCTCAACCTTTGTAAGAAAGAGTTCCATTCTAGGCAACCTTTTGCCAGCTTGCTCAACTTGTGGGATCAACCTTCAAAATGTAGACAAGAATAGGCCCGGATATTACTATATTGCAGAATCCAATGAAAAACCGATAAAAGAAGCCGATAAAAACTTTGCCAACATATACAAAAATTTAGACCAAGAAGATAAATTACTCTTGTTGAATGATTCCCAAAGTTCAATCGTCCCAGATCAAACCTTCAGGCGTGCTGCATCCCACAATCATGATGATCCCAACCACATTTCCTGTCTAAGATGTAGAGACGCTTTGTTTAGACTGAAGTTCAATCCTGATGAATTTCCTGTAGAATCTGCGGAATCAATATTATCACAGGTTGATCCACTAGGAAATATTGTGCATCTAGTCAGTGCTTTCGATTTCCCACTCACCTTAAATCCAGCCCTTTTCAAGTTTAAAGAGACCAGGGATATTAAAGTTATTATTACAAAGGCAGATTTACTATTTGCTCACTCTAAAACTGCAAATAACTATGGATTAAAGTTTTACAGAGACTACTTGTTCAGAAAGTATGGTATATTACCCGAGAATGTCTTATTGAGTAGTGGTAAAGTTGATTGGAACATCAAGGAATTACTTGATAGTTTGCTGGATAATTCTTATTTCATTGGAGATGTAAATGTAGGTAAATCATCGTTGATTAAATCACTCTTGTATGGAGACGAGAAGTTTCATTTGAAGAAACAAAAACACCAGCAGCTAATGAGCAAGAAAGAGAAAGTGAAATTGGAAAAAGAGGAAGATTATCTTATAAACAATGCAGACTTGAGTTATTCGAAAACAACCTTCAAAACAAAGAAGTTAGAAAGGAGTAGAGAGCAAAATTTTAAGGCTAAACATGGACCGGGTGTTTCTTACATGCCTGCATTTACTAGAGGTGTAATCAAGTTTGACTTGAAGAATTTTGGAAAGTCAATATACGACGTTCCTGGGATCGGACTGGAAGACCACGGAATTTATCGCTGGATAAAGGAACCTAGTGCTATCAAGCAGTTAGGAAAGGGAACCAGCATTCCTCGAACTGGGAACTATGACTCGCATTACACGACAGTCAAAGGTGGGCAGATTTACACAGTTGGAGGAATATTCTGCTTGAGAATCCCCCCCGAACTGATGGTACAAGTCAGGAATTGTATAAACTTTGAGGATGTTATATTCAAAAACATAGAAAAAGCAAAGCAAGTTATTCGAGAGCAGAGTGGGAATAGTGCAATTGATAATAAACTCTTAGTATCACCTGAAACCGCAGACAACTTTATCAAATATGTATTTCCTCCTTTCTATGGGAATATAGACCTAGTCATCAAGGGAATTGGACATATCAACATCAAGCCAGTTGGGAAATATGTTACTGACGTTGACCCATTTGTCGTATATCTACCCAAGGGTGCCGAGGTAGTTATAAGGAAACCGATAATGAAATACATATCAAAAACCATTGTTGGAAGAGACAAGAAGGGAAATCCGCTTTCCAAGAAGCATCGGGTAAGCAAGGGGGTTAAGGAAGTACATCCATACACTGGGGAAGTATTCTACAGTAGACTAGTTCCTGTGAAAGAAGAGGTAGAGAATTTGAACCAGTATGTTAGAGCCTATTGTGAAAATATGAATGGGAGAAAGGTTGGCGATGAAATAGACGAAGAGAGTATACTGAAGGAATATTGGATAGAGGCCTAGACGAAAAGTGGAACATTTCTTAAAATACATTGAAGTAGCAGCTGCAAATTCCGGTTAGGATATGGAGAGAGCAGAGCAAAAGTTGGACACAGCGACTGTAATGAGCTTAATAATGGCATAGAGACAAGGTAAAAGTTGAAATGGAACTCGACATTACGTCTTTTGGCCTTTCTATGCCATGGCTTTGACGATGAAAATATAATGGACTATCAAATGGTACGGATAGGGCGAATTTTTAGACGAATGCACAACTCTGGGGTCGTCCCATAGTTACTTTGTTTCATAGTTCCCATATGCCATTGTTAGCAGGCTATTATTATGCGGAAGCAAGAAATACTGTATATATCACAAGTTATTTTATCATCTTTACACCATTGTTTGAATGGATGTACATAGTAGACAGGTAGAGAATAATAAAATGAAGAAGAACAATCCATCTCGCGTAAATGTATGTACCTGTAGTGAAAAATTCCCCATTCCGATCAGCTCATTCTACAATACAGTATTCCACGCAGACTCACACGCTTGCATGCTTGCAGGCTTGACGGAAGCCTAATACTGTATAACTACGAGGAGGGCTTCTAAGGGTCACGTTCATCAGGAGTGATCTTTAGAAACGGGTGGTTTACGATATGTCTCAGCTCTTTGTTCGCCCCAGTATGAGAGACTTGTTAGAGAGCTAAATTTACAGAAACAGGCACTTCACCAAACACCACTCCTTCCCTGTCCCAGACCCATATCCTGCTCAAACATAAGCACATTACACACGCACGAGCAACCGGTCAACAATAGCTAAGTGGCTCTTTTCACGCATTTTTTTACTTATTATGCTTGGATGTGTGAAAGGGATGAGATACGGTTCCAAAATGTACATGTAAAAGCGATGCTTCTTCGAAGGAGTGCATGAAATCGCGAATCACGAATCTTTTTGTTTTCGATAGAAATTTCCCAATTGGGCCAGATGTGATGCGCTTCACCGTCTGTGGGGAGCCCTAGCCCAGTTAAGCTAGTGAGGGATATAGCAATATAGAGCCAGCGTTTGGAGCATTGGATATGTCGCAGGTTCCAAGGCTGACGCATAATGCTCAATGAGATCGTGCTAAGCGCGACATGGGCATTTGGGTATAACGTTGATCCTGGAAAGTGTTGCAACAAGGCACCTCTTTGGTTGCACTGCTCGTAGATCACCTAGGCTCTCGAGATCATTTCCTCATGCTCATGCTCATCTGCTTGTCTACCACCGTCTTGTCGTACGCACTCTCTCGATAATCTTTTTCGTGGTCGATGTACATGCTCTCGCTCTGCCAGTCTTCTCCCAATTGTTTATCAATTAACCATTTCCGTAGTTTTGTTGACATTTTGACGTTTTCTTTTTATTAAATGAAATTTTTTATTATTATTTTTTTTTTTGCTTAAATCTAGACGATTTTTTCATTTTAGTTTATAAATAAATAAGATTCACTTTAAACTTTGCAGATTGTTTCAAGAAGAGTATTTTTCTCCTAATTAGATCCATTTCTAGTGTTATTTGAGTTGGTTACCAAATATTGCGATTCACAACATTCTAGTTGCAAACGGGACTCGTAACGAATTAGATATAACGTCGAGAAGAACTGCTTCTACCTACATGACTACACAGAAGTACTAGACGCATCACCCATTATTCAACTAAACGCTGACACACATAGTTATATATATTCAAGATGTTGCGCTCTTCATCCATTACCAATTTGCAAGACAGAAAGAGTAACAGTTTCTTGAGCTCCTTCAGAAGTAAAAGGGGAGAAACAACCACTGCTACAACCGCTGCCACTCCTCGTAAACATAGACCGTTATCACAATCGTTCTCATCGATAAATTTGAACCAGAAGTACAACATATCTCTTGAGAAGACCTCATACCTGTCTACTGTCAGAAGAGAAAGGAACGGAAAGGACAAGGAAAACGAGCTCACCACAAAGAGATCAAATACCCAGAGCACTTCCATTCCAACAACAAGCCATACCGGCACTACAGCCAATTCCAGTACTAGCAGTAAAGGTCATAGTACTAGTGGCACAAGCTCAAACAGTACACCGGGTCATAGCCGCAAACTTAATACAAGATCTTCAGCTCCAAATCTCAAATCAAGTAAGAGACATTCAATGCTATTTTCAGGCAACTACAATTACAACTCTGTCCTAGGACCAATGCAAGGAATAAACTCTACGCCTCCCATCATAGATATCCTCCCAGATGAAATTGCAGCCGACAAAAATAATTCATATGAATCTTCTGAATCATCATTGGATGACTCAAGCCATTCTCCATATACCCCAGATGATTTCCATAGTATGTTGGATCCTTTAATGGACCAATCTCCTATTATCATAGATACAGATTTTGAGTTCGACTATATACCAGAGAACGAATCGTCCTACCTATATGAAAAACAGCACCATCATACCTTATCCACTGGATCCACTGCGTCTAGCTTCTCCAGGAGAAGGATAAATGCCCAAGAACTGGGTCTTGGAGATATTATCAAATTGATCGATGACGATGAAAACAGTGCCCGTTTACCAATAAACAACCGTAAATCTTTGGAATACGAGAACTTGGAAAGAATAAAAATCATGGAAACCTTACAAAGGGTTAACAAAGACAATGGGGTACTTGCAGACAGTTATGTAACTACAGTGAGATTAATTTCCAATGCCGTATTTGTTGGAATTGAAGAGAAGGGAAACCAGAATAATACCGGCGCTCAAATTCACCACGATGAGTACATGAGCGTTCTTATGGAAGAATCTTATGAAAACAACAGTGAAGATTTCTACATGGACTTGTAATTATTGGACCCCGCCTACAATGTTATAGAAGATGTGTAGGAGAGAAAGTGGAATTAAGAGCATTCCTTGATCGCGAGATTTCTTTCACCATTTTATGTAATGAACTTGTATAATGAGATAATGAACGAAATTAATAAAAAGACATTAAGCTTAACCAAAGATGTAACGGGAGCGAGGGCGGTAAGAATTTACACAGTCCACCGTAGGCCCGATAATGGATGTTTCATCTCTCGCTGGTGTGATGTCTTTCAACTTATTTATAGCCCAGTTTCATAATTCCCTACCCTTTTAAGTTTCGTGAAATCGGCAAGATCGGTTGTCACCTAGCAATACTTAAAGATGCAAAAAATATATGCGATCTCTGTGGATCGAACACAGGACCTTCAGATTAACTGTGACTGATGTTTAAACTTCAGTCTGACGCTCTCCCAACTGAGCTAAGACCGCATATTAAAGAACCCATGCCGGGAGTCGAACCCGGAATCTTTTGATTAGAAGTCAAACGCGTTAACCATTACGCTACACAGGCAATTTCTTATGTGGTGAAATGCAGCAGTTCGTGGCACCGACCGACAATCCCAGAAGTGTGCTAAATGGACTGATAAGCCCTTGCGGTGTACCGTGTTGTACTGACTGGTGTATACACTGGCGCAGAGCAGTGCTTTTCAAATGTATGAGCCTCACAGTGAAAAATCTCTGAATTTAACCCACGATCGAATGCGGCAGCTACTAAATAGACAACCCAAAACTCACCCCATGTAACATTTGCTCTGATGGAAAGTTGGGACTACAAAATTTGCTAATAGCCGATATGCCCTCCCTCTCTTCTTCTCATGAGAATGACTTATTCGTCCTTTACACTTGTTTTGTTATCTGACTCGATCAAAAGGTGAATGACTCTTATCTCGGAGGTTTCAAAATTTTCCGAGATAGAGAAGATTACGCAATTTGGGTAGATCTTCAAGTAAGAGCCAAAGTGAAAAAAAGAAAATAAAAATTATGCTGAACAATATACTCCAGTCTTCAAACAAGTCAGACAAAATAGATGTTCACACTAGCTAAACGGAGAGCAGCTTCCTCACTGCGAGCTCTAACCAAAATTGGGAAGTTTTCAGGCTCACACAGGACGCTTAGTACCAAAGTTGGCTCACCATCCACCAGGAACTGGTTGTATGTAGGAGGTGTGGGCTCATTGGCTACAGCTATTGGTGCATTCTATTATGGTAAGAAATCTATAGTGGACAGTCCACCCTCCGATCTATTCCCATTTGAGTCTACCACTGCTTTGCAAGATATAGCCCCCCCACAATATTGTACTGGAGATGAGTTGAAAACAGCAATCAGTGAAATTTCCAAAATTATCTCTCAGAACCAGATTGTGTCTTCTGGTCCTGAGCTAGATGGTCACAGTAGAAATGGATTCGCTACACACCCACCAGAAGCCGATCAGATACCTAAGTACATAGTGTACCCCTTATCAACCGAAGAAGTCTCTTCCATTATGAAAATTGCCCACAAGTATAATGTACCCATTGTTCCATATTGTGGGGGAACCTCATTAGAAGGACATTTTTATTCGACCAGGCCCGGAATTGTATTGGATACGCTGCGAATGGATAAAGTTTTAAAGGTGCATTACGAGGATTTAGACGTTGTAGTTCAAAGCGGAGTGAATTGGGTAGAATTGAACGAACAACTAGATGGCTCTGGATTACTCATGGGATGCGATTGTGGTCCTAATGCTAAGATCGGCGGAATGGTAGCTACCAATGCTTCTGGTATAAATGCTACTAGATACGGAGCAATGATTCAAAATGTCATATCGTTAACTGCGGTATTGGCAGATGGTACTATTGTTAAAACAAAGCAGAGACCAAGAAAATCAAGCGCAGGCTACAATTTGACTCACTTATTTATTGGGAGCGAAGGCACGTTGGGAATTGTAACTGAAGCTACAGTCAAGCTTCACGTTAGACCCAAGTTTGAAACAGTAGTGGTGGGTCAATTTCCTACAATTTTAGATTCAACCAATACTGTAGCGGAGTTATTTCAAAATGGAATTCAACCTGGTGCGATAGAATTGTTAGACCAGCATTCGATGCATTGTATTAACTACAGTGGATACACCTCGAAGCCCTGGCTAGAAGTTCCCACCATATTCTTCAAAGTTGGTGGAATTAATGAAAAGGTCGTAAACGAAAACGTAAAGGCCATGAAAGCAATCGCTTTGAAAAATAATTGTGAGGCATTTATATTCGCCAAAGACAAAGCAGAACAAGAAGAGTTGTTCTCTGCTAGAAAGAACATTTTCTATTCAATTTTAGAGTACGGAAAAAACGAAATCCACGAAGACGTTGGGTTATGGGTGACAGATATTGCGGTGCCGTTATCTAAACTCTCACCAGTATTAGAGACAGTCAACCAACTTATTATTGATCTGGGGTTGCAGTACATCATTGTGGGACATGTTGGGGATGGAAATTTTCATGCTGACATCTTCTATAAACCTGAAGAGAAAGCTAAATGCGAGGCAGTGGTCAATAAAATGATGGAGATTGGTCTCGCTAATGAAGGTACATCCAGCGGAGAACATGGTATAGGAAATGGAAAGCGTAACTTTCTCCAATTGGAATTGGGAGAGGAGGCAATTAATCTCATGAGGAAGATCAAAATGGCAGTAGACCCCAAGCGAATTCTTAACCCTGACAAAGTATTTAAAATTGATCCGGAAGACAAGGGAACAAATTGAGGGATGATGAAAGCTAAAAGATGGTAGCTAGTTGCTAATGTGAAATTTTCACCTTGTGAATAATTCCTTTTGTATATATCTTGCAGATACTAATCGATGCACTGCGTCAATCGAGTAGGTAGTTATTTATTACAATATAGATTGTTAGAGCATCTTGTACTGTAACAATATTGGTTGCAAGTTCACATTCGTGCATATAACCGAGCCCTTCCTATTGACCTATTTGACCGATCGAGGTGAGCCAAATTAACTAATTGCCATAGAAAGTATTCTATATGCAGCCTTGCGTGACGTATGCATTGTTGCCAATTTCATGCCCGAGTTTATTTTCTATATTTTATTGTAGGATTTTTTGGCTCAAGCGACTTCACCATGTGATCGACGAAATGTGGAGTAAGCAATTATTTATAATAGGGGAATTATCAGTACCTACAGAAGCGATTTCAAATGAGTCACGGAGCAGCGGGATTGAAGAATATTCAAACCCGACAGCTTAATTCAATTGAAGACAATCTTAGCTTGGAGAGTTGCAATGCCAGTGTAACGCATAGATAACGTTACTTTGAGCTTGAACAATATGAAGTGACTGCGAAATTAATAAAGTTCCGGAGTTTGGTCGGCTGCATAGATAGATGTGGGACAATTGCTGGGGAAATGCAACAGCAAAGAAAAGAAAAAACAAGAAAAAAGAAAAAACATTAATTGCAATAAAAAGTGAAAAGAAAACAACAGTGTACAGAGACAGGGTTAACCCACCTTTCTCCATAACTGTGAACGTTCTTCAGCTATCTCATGCATTTTTAACTCTCTTTTCTGTAGCCATTTCCATAAATTGGCTTAGGTAAATGATTCACTGTTCCATTTTTCGCCACTAATTGTGGGGCATTTCTTTATTCTTTTGTCAAGAAAGTTTAAGATGAATGATACGCCATATTTTATTCCAGAACACCCCAATCACCAGAAATGACGAATTGGCTGATACTGCTTCAAGATTAAACTTACTCATTGCTCTATTTGTTCTATTTTTTTTTTTTTTTTATTTTTTTATTCTTTTACGATCATTCACTATCTGTTTTATCTTAAAAACACCCTAGTTTAGGCAATACACTACCGCATTTGCGCGATAGCATATCTGAGATAGGAGATGAAGATTTTTCATTTACAGAAAATTTTTAACTCCTTTGTGCGCAAGATAACAGACAATCAAAGTTTTCTGATCTTTTAATTTCTGCTATTCTGCTAACATCCACATAATTTTATAGTAGTAATCACCATAACCGTTTGAGTGTAGTACTTCCAGGACGACTTAAATATCACTTTAACCCTTCATATATTTGAGTCGATCTTAATTTGAAAATTAACTAAGATAAAGTTCCGTGATTTCAAGTTTCAGTTATGAGTGATCTTGATCGTAAACTAGATAACTTGACTTTAACAGAAACCAAACCAAAGTCACTTTTGTCCAGCTCCTTAGCTGGAGAACGTAGTAAGGGCTCATTTTATCTCGAAGAAAACAGTAATAACAACAGTAATAATAACTTGGATCCTTTACGAAATGGCACCAATATTGACAGTAACAACTTCACCGACGATCACCCCGAGCCCGAACTTTTGGCATCTTCCGTAGGGAAAGAAATGGACGGAAGAATGATACCTTCATCATCAACCATCTCACTTCTTTCATTGTCTGTGCATCCGGAGACGACTAAAGTGACCACCGGGTTCAATCCACTGCCTCAACAGCCACCACACCAGCATCAACAACACTACCCCACTCATCCTCATATACATCCTCAAGGGCAAGTTTCTCAATTTGGGTTCTCTGCTTTAGATAGAAAGAATTCCTTTAATAACATCTCCTCAAGGAATTCACTTACGCATTTATATCAAAAGAGAGGTGTAGTAGCACCGCTCACACCGACCAATACGCAGTCACCTACAAATAATGTACCTTCAATGTTCTCAAGCACAAGCACTACACAAAGTATCCCAATAAACAACAGAATTCCAGTTTCAATACCGGACTCACCTAATCTCGACCCAACTTCGCTTGGAGGTTCTCCTTCTCGGTTTTGGTTGTCGTCGCAAACCCCACCAAGATCACTCGGAAATTCATTAAATAGCAGTTCTCGCCAACTATACTACATGCTGCAGCACAGCCAGCAGCAAAACCAACCTGTGGTGGTTGCTCCGCCTCAGGACCGTTCCAACTACATAGCATCAAGCGCACATACGACTACTGGCCCTATTTCGATAAATAGGAAGAGAAGCGACGATGCGTCGCCGGTTTTGATACCCGTTCTGACTCCCACTGAAGAACCTCCCATGACTCCGTTATATTTGAATGGTCAACAGTACAACCAAGAGTACTTCGAAGTACGAGAGGATGTAGACGAAAACATGGAATCATGAGAGAGATTGCTGAAAAGACTCACTGATACATAAGTTCACTTGTATACGCTTATATATATGTATATATATACACACTCACGCCCACACACAATTAATAAAATAAACAAAGAGAGTACTAACGAAGAAGCTACTATTGACTGTAGAGATTATAATCCACTTGGAAGAGGGAAGGTTCCACTCTTGGGCAGCCTGGCTCCCTTTTATAGTGTGGCCAAAAATGGCAGCCAATTTTTTTGCAACAGAAAAAAAAAAAACGAACTGGCGGCAAAAAAGCGAAATCAAAATTGGCAGCTAAGGAACACCACTAAAGCAGTAGACTAACTAGAATATACACCAGTACGGCTCAAAATGTCGACTTATGAGGGTAAGTATGACCTTAACAGTATTGCAATGACACATTAATTATACTAACAGGAAAAAGACGATCACAATTTGAGGGAAAACACCCCTCCAAGGTCAGGTAGGAACAATCGATCTGGTGGTAGATCGGGCCAACCTCAAAGAAACCACCGAACACTCTCTGCTGCGATCGATTCGTTTATAGAACTGAACAATCCGCACTCTTCTGCGCAAGTACCTTCGCAAACGGTGCACGATACGTTCCTGCAGGCGCTTCTGTTGTTAGCAACAGAGGAAGGGTCAGAACTAGCCCTCCAGTTACTCGATACGATAAACCTGGAGGCCAACGGAGGAGCCGGCGGCGAGAAGCATCAGGGTGTTACAGACGAGTTTTTGGACTCCTTGGAAAGGGTTAAGCTTAAGGATGTCCCTAATAAGGAGACCGCTGACTGCCCCATCTGCACGAACTTGTTCGTAGATAACGAGTACCCGCTCTTGGTTAGGTTGCCTTGTAACGTGCAACATGTCAGTGGGAAGAAGTCAAAGGGCCACATCTTTGACATGGAGTGCATTGCTCCTTGGTTGAAGATGAATTCGACATGTCCCTTGTGCCGGTTTGACGTTGTAGCAGCTGACAAGACAAGAAGAGAAAAGCTAGAGGAAGAGTTAAGGAAATTGAAGGAGGAAGACGAAGAGGAGGAGGAAGAAGGGTGGGACGTCTATGGATAGTGCTCTTGTTTTGGGTGTATTACTATGTAATGATTTATATATACAGAATGGTAGACTTTATAGTCTGATTGACATTTTCTAGTTCTTTTTAGGTAAATTTAGTACTTTGGGGGAAGATCTAGGCAGATTTTTCCGATTTTGGTGCTTGTTCAGGTTGTTCCTCGTCGAAGAATTTCTTGAATTCTTCAGATTTCAACAATTCAGCAACCTTCTGTGACACTGGGTCAGCAGCACCTGCGTATGAGTCTGGAAGCTCCAAATCACCAGCGGTCAAGGCATCTAATTCCTTTACGAAGTCGCCCGATTCTCTGGTGTAAACAAATGCCTTATATTTGATATCATCAAATTTGTGCTTATTTATGAAGGAAAGCCATGTATCCACGACTTCAGGATTGGCATCGTACGCAACAATGTTTCTTCCATAGGTGTACTTCTTGAAATTCTCCTTGGATTTAGCTTGAGCGAAGGGAGAACGGATCACGGTGATAAGCTTTTCCTGAACTCTCTGTGGTGAAGGCTCTCCACATGGAATGCCCAAATAGAAGGCTGCTCTAGCTGCGAACTCTGCGGCATGGTCAAGCTCCTTTGGGTCGAATCCCTTGAACGTAATCAGGGCTACTTTGTGGCCGTGTGTCTTGGGTAACTTGATGGCCTTGTACTTCAAAAGTTCTACATTTAATGGGATAGGTCTCTTAGAGACTGGGTCTATGGCTTCCTTGCTCAAGATCTGTGGGGAGTATGTGAATTTTTCACTCAAAAGATCCTGCTTGTACTCTTGTTCTGCCAATGCATCTGCCTTCTTCTTTTCAATGAGCTCCGCAGGAGAGAGATATTTGGCGCTGGCATTCGACGTAGAGTTCCATCTGAATCCCAAGATTCGTATGGATTTAGAGCCTCTGGCCAACATGTTCTTGTTCGTTATTGTCAACAGGTCTCTGGAGGATGGCACCCTGAAGACTCACCATGAACACCAGTGGTTGAAGTTTTTCAATCTGGTGCTAGCCTGAATATTGCGAAGCGCACGACCTTTGATTTGGCTAAAATTTTTCTCGATTTTTAGGTGAAAAGATCACACTATATGCAGTACAAACATAAGTGAGTGTGAGATGAATGCGATGGAGGAGAGAGTCAGAGCGTTTGTGAGTGTCAAGAGATCTTCTGACAAGGTTAGTAGTAGCAGATATTCACATATAGAGGAGGATTTCAATATTTAGCAAATAAGGAACGAATATGGGAAAGTCATCTAAAGACAAGCGTGATCTCTACTATCGTAGGGCCAAAGAAGAAGGATGGAGAGCTAGATCCGCTTTCAAGCTTCTCCAATTAAACGAACAGTTTCAGCTCTTTAAAGATGTGAAAAGAGTGGTTGATCTATGTGCAGCTCCAGGGTCTTGGTCTCAGGTTTTGTCTCGAGAATTGTACCAAACGCAGAAGAATTCACACGACGAAGCTAAGATAGTGGCCGTCGACCTTCAGCCAATGACTCCAATCGACGGAGTAACGACATTGCAAGCAGACATTACGCATCCCAAGACGTTGGTCAAGATCATGGACATTTTCGGTGGAGAACCTGCGGATTTTGTCTGCTCCGATGGGGCACCCGATGTCACTGGGTTGCATGACTTGGACGAATACCTCCAAGCTCAGTTAATTTTATCAGCATTACAGTTAACCACATGTCTCTTGAAACCTGGTGGAACGTTTGTAGCAAAAATCTTCAGAGGAAGAGATATCGACCTTTTGTACGCCCAACTCAGCTATTTGTTCGACAAAGTTGTGTGCGCCAAGCCCAGGTCATCCAGAGGGACGTCATTGGAAGCGTTCATCGTGTGCATTGGTTACAAACCGAGAGAGGGCTGGACTCCAAAGCTCGAGTTGAACAAATCCGCTGAAGAATTCTTCGAGGGTGCTAATATAGGAAGATCTGACAATTTGAAGTTCTTTGAGTTGCCAGACCCGGAAGAGAGAGTCATTGCGAACTTCATTGCGTGTGGTGACTTATCGGATGTCGACTCTGATGCTACATACACACTTGATGCCAGCGAGAGCAGAGTAGTGCTAGACCCGGTGCAGATGCCAACGTCTCCGCCCTATAAACTTGCGTTAGAAATGAAGAGACGAGGAGACCTTGTGCGCAGGTGAAGCGCCGATACACCCCAGTTTACACGATAGAAGCTTTTTAGTTAGCCCCCCCTTACACTTCATACCTAATATATACGTTCATTCAGAATATTACTACTATCTACTCTAGTTGTCCTTTGAATCTGGCTTCAAAGTTGGGAACAACAAGACTTCTCTAATGGTGTTGGAGTTGGTCAAGAACATGGCCAATCTATCGATACCACAACCCCATCCAGCGGTTGGTGGTAAACCGTACTCTAAGGCGTTACAGAAGGTTTCATCAACCATCTGTGCTTCGTCATCACCTTGGTCCTTTTGTCTGGCTTGCTCTTCGAATCTCTGTCTTTGGTCGAAAGGATCGTTCAATTCTGTGTAGGCGTTACAGATTTCCTTGGTGGCAACGAAAACCTCGAATCTTTCACATAACCCTGGCTGGTTTCTGTCCTTCTTGGCCAATGGAGACATCATTTGTGGGTGACCAAAGATGAAGGTTGGGTTGATAGACATGTCTTCCAATTCTCCGACCAACTTGTCCAACATTCTGGCGTTGGTCAATGGAGGGGAGCAGTCCAACTTGTGCTTGATAAGAATACTCTTTAAGAATTCACCGGTTTCAGCGGTGTGTAATTGTTCACCAGGTGGGAACTTGACCTCGAAAACCTTTTCCAATTCTTCGATCATGTTGATTCTCTTCCACGGTCTGGTGAAGTCCAAGGTTAATTCCTTCCCTTCTGGGCCGTCCGGGTGGTAAGGTATCTTGTAAGAACCGGTGATTTCCTTGACCATTTCAGAGAACAACAATTCAGTGGTGTCCATCAAGTCGTAGACATCAGCGTACGCTTGATAGAACTCACAGGTGGTGAATTCTGGGTTGTGGGTCATGTCAATACCTTCGTTTCTGAACTGTCTTCCGATCTCGTAGACTCTGTCCATACCACCAACAACCAATTCCTTCAAGAACAATTCTGGAGCAATTCTCATGTACATGTCCATGTCCAAGTCGTTATGGTGGGTGATGAATGGCTTGGCAGTGGCACCTCCAGCAATGACGTTCATCATTGGAGTTTCCACCTCAACGAAGTCTCTGGTGTCCAAAAACCTACGGATGTAACTGATGATCTTCGATCTGACCTTGAAACGGTCTCTGGTCAGCTCGTTCATGATAAGATCCAAGTAACGCTTTCTGTATCTGGCTTCTTGGTCCTTGAAACCGTAGTGTTCTGTTGGTAACATGTGCAAACATGGGGTCAACAATTGCACAGAAGTAGCAAACACAGACACTTCACCTTCTCCACCCTTGGCTGGGCTGGTTCTACCTGGGTAACCGGTGATACCAATGACATCACCTCTTCTGAGGTACTCGTGCATCTTTTCGTACTCTTCCACACCACCGGCAACGTCTTGGGCCTGGGCCATTATTTGCACTTCAACACCGTCACCCTTCAAGGAGTAAAACTTCAACTTGGATCCGGACTCTCTCTTTCTCATGATTCTACCGGTGACCTTGACTTCGATGTCGGTCAATGTTTCACCCTTCTTCAAGTCCTTGTAGGTCTTGGTGAACTCAGGCAAGGACAAAGACACATGAAACTTGTGAGGGTATGGGTTGAACTTGGTGGAGTCCTCGTTGTTGGCAGCTCTCAACTCTTCAATTTGTCTAGATCTGATTTCAAAGTACTGGTTGGGAGTCAAGTCGTTCAATTCGTCCTTCTTCTTACCAACCTTTGGAGCAGTGGCAGCTCCCTTGGCAGCCTTTTCGGCCTTCTTGGCTTCGTTAGCTCTGGCCTTTTGACGCTTTTTCAACTCGGTCTTGGAAACTTGCTCACCGGTGACATCGTCAAGGTATGTCTTTTGCACTTGTTCGGTTACTTCAGCAACAGGATCACTCATGGTGTTGGTGTTGTTGTTGGTTGGCTAGTTGGAAGAAGAAAAACGCTGTCTGAAATTTTTTTTTGGCGATAACAGAGTCATAGCAGGACAAGATGCGGACAAAAAATTGAAAAAAAAAAGTAGACCGAAAGTGACAAAAAAAAAAAAATAAAAAAGTTGTTAGCCATTTTGGTTCCTGCACGCTGCTTACATAACCACGTCCATGAAAATAGAAAAAGTGAAAAAAAACTAGACAGAGAAGAAGGAGGCGATAGAGGTAGATTAAGCACAGAGTTAACAGTATAATGGCCACCAAAAAGTATGTAACACGACGGAGCGGGGGAGGCTGGACTGGAGTTCGAAGAGCGGGACGAATTCCGAGCAGTTTGGGGTGATTTAGGGGGAGGTAGCTGGAGCTGGAGCGCGATGGATGAGGAGGAAGGAGACGATCGAGGGTTAGCGTGGCGTGGCGTGCCGTAGAGTGCCGTTGTTGTCTGTAGAGCGGTCAGAATTGGTGTAGCGCAGTAGTGATAGTGTCAGGTTTGGGCTAGCGAAGCAGTCAAAGTATCAGATTTGATGTAGTGCAGCAGGTACACCCCTATTGGAACACAGCAGACGACTACCCACAGACTGGACAAGATCCAAGCGGCCAGAACGAAGCGCCAGAACGAAGCGCCAGAACGAAGCGCCAGAACGAAGCGCCAGAACGAAGCGCCAGAACGAAGCAGAACGAAGCGCCAGAACGAAGCGCCAGAACGAAGCAGAACGAAGCGCCAGAACGAAGCGCCAGAACGAAGCGCCAGAACGAAGCAGAACGAAGCACCAGAACGAAGCAGAACGAAGCGCCAGAACACCAGAACAACCAGAACAATCCCCCATAGATGTATCTCTCTCTTTTCTTGATCCCGTACTAACAATCTTAGCAAAACTTATCAGCAACCTACTGCCACCACCATCGAAGTGGAAGCTTCTGTGTTGTTGTCTTTGGTTAGACACACATCAGAACACTACCCAGCCTTGTACTCGGGAGCTCTTCTCGGATTTGAAGACGAAGAAGGTGGTGTTGACATCACCCACGCCTTCCCATACCCTTACCCAGATCAGTATGAGGGTGGATCTCTTAGATCCAAGAGTGGATCCAAGTATCAACAGGATATCTTAGACTCGTTGAGAAACCTTGGCTACGGTATCGATTTCCAAGGTTGGTTCCAATCCACTATCAGTGGTAACTTTGTAACCACTCAATTGGTTGACGCTTTAGTGCAACAGCAATTGACCAACAAGAACGCTTTCGTCTTGGTTCACAACATGGCCTCCATCGGTAAGGAATTGGACTTGAAGGCATTGAGATTGAGTGAAAACTTTGTCAACACATACATAAGCGGCAAGTGGAGATCCAAGAACTTAGAGCTCAACAGATTGTCGTACCTTAACTTGTTTGACGAGTTGGAAATCAAGATCCACAACCAACAGTTGATCAACTTATACTTGGCAGGAAACGAAGACACCCTTGCCAAGCCAATGGAAAAGGAATTTGATATCTTGAACTTGTCCTCCAACCAAAACGTCACTGCCCAGTTATTAGAGTCCTTGTACAGTCAGGTTGATTCTTACAACTACGACCAGAACAACTTCAACTACTACCAAAGACAATTACAGAAGGAAAACAGCAAGATCACCCAATGGAAGCAACAGAGAAAGGTGGACAACATTGAAAGAGCCAAGAAGGGTGAAAGTGAATTGGATACCACCGAGTGGGAGACCATTTTCAAGTTGCCAGCCGAGCCATCCAGATACAATAACATGTTACATTCTCACAGCATTGACGTATTAGCTGACGATATTTTAAAGAAGTGTGACGAGGAGTTGACCAAGAGTTTCGCCATCGAGAGAAAGCTTGTTGCAGAGTAAGCGAGGTGTGCTGAAGGTGAATGTGTGTAGAGGGAGATGTAAGTAGATCAAAGCAGGAAGAAAGAATAAAAGAATGAAGAAGAAGAAGAGGAAGAAGAAGAAGAAGGCGATGAAGATGGAGTGGTCTGCAACAGAGTGCTAGCAGCTGCCAGCCAACAGCTATCGGCTACAGCTAGCAGCTCCAGCTGAAGCCCATCGCAGCCCATCGCCCGCTCACAACTGAAGGTTTGCATATAAGTCAGGTGACCTAGCCATGCTGGTCTACCCCACACAGTGGGTGTGAAACAATACATAGATAGCTATGTCAAGAGTATAAATAGTCTGTAATAGATGACAATGAATAGAGTATCTGTGTAGCGTATATTTGAACCCCATTTTGCCCTCCCTCCACTTTGGCTTCCCGGCTTACTTTTCATCGGCCGCTCATTGGCTTTTCGGTGATGGCTAATTTTTCAATCCGCAACGCTAAACTGCGAAACAGCTGATCTGCGAACTGCACTCGATGGTTTAAAAACCTAATTGCTTATCTCGGGGCTAGTGGAGCATCGATATTTTCTCAGGGTTATTAATTTTTATTGGTCTCACTCTCTTCTTGTGCACACAGCGAAGTAACAGAGAGGTAGCCGCGGAATATACGCCAGAGAATCCGAATATTATAGACACATCTGATTGCAATGGGTAAACCGACAGTAAGTAGACGACACGATTTTAGGAAGGGTACATGGATGCCGCAAACAGGTATAGGGGAGCACTGGGGACTCGTTCCGGTGGTGGAAATGACTATTTTTTTTTTTTTTTTTTGCTTAGTGTTCTTGCTTTTTACTTTGCTTTCTTACTAACAGCCGTGTAGTACATCTTGCTCGTCAGGCATGGTGAGTCCGAGGGGAACTGCGACAAATCTGTCAACAGGTACACGCCGAACCACATGGTGCCACTAACACCGCAGGGCCACAACCAGGCCAAGCTTGCTGGAACGGTACTTCGAAACTTTCTCAGTCAGGAGTGCTTCGATACCAAGGATAGGTCTGTCCTATTCTACACATCGCCGTATCGTAGAGCCAGAGAAACATGCCACAACATCGTTGAGGGCATCAAGGATATACCGAACATTAAGTACAAGACCCACGAAGAGCCCAGGTTAAGAGAACAGGACTTCGGCAACTTCCAGTCTACACCAGATGAGATGGAGGAGATTTGGCAAGAAAGGGCCCACTACGGTCACTTTTTCTACAGAATCCCCCATGGAGAGAGTGCAGCTGATGTTTACGATAGAGTAGCCTCTTTCAACGAGACTTTATTCAGACAGTTCCAGTCAGACGACTTTCCAGATGTCCTCGTATTGGTTACCCATGGAATCTGGGCCCGAGTGTTTTTGATGAAATGGTTCAGATGGAGCTACGAGGAATTCGAATCTTTGAGGAATATCCCCCACTGTCAGTATCTAATTATGAAGAGACTGGAAGAGACCGATCGCTTTCAATTGAAAACGCCTTTGAAGACTTGGGACGACTTACCCGAGGATGAAGTCGACGGAGAAGTGGAAAAGGAATTTGGAAGTGAAGTATGCTTTAACTCCAAGGATAAATTGAATAACCCTAATGATATGGACATAACTCATATAATAGATGCCCAGAAGGATGCCATCAGACTTCAACGGGCGAAGGATAAGTTGATAAAGGAAATGTATGAGAAGAAGAACGGAAATAGCTATATCAATATGCTGATGGAGACCAGACGACTTGAAAGAAGCGGTAGTGCAAAATTCACTGACAACCAGAGTTTGACCAATAGTCTGACAAACCTCTTAGAAGGGAAAGAAGAAAAGTAAGAACTAGCAGAGGATCAAGATTGATAGCAGAACACAGGCGTTTGTGCAAAAGCAGGAAACTTATTCATACCTTAGCTTAAATATAGCACAATATTAATTAAATCTATTGAAGTCTTAAGACTAATTTCACATGCTTGTGTGTAGCTATCACCATAGCACCTTGTGGTCGTTTATGGCGGTATGTGGCGAGGCGGTGACCATATCATTCCTCGAAGTTTTATATTTCAACCTTTTAGCCGTTGATGCCTAGATTTTTCAAATATCGCTCTTTTAAGCTAAGATCACTAAACTCAGCTCAAGCCATAACTGCGGCATTGATGACAATGTGAGATGCCTGAAATACCTACAGCATTAGATGCTATGCACAAGAAGAATCTTCCTAAAGAGATGCAATGTCAAAAATCTAGTGAGCCAAATTATTTACATTGATGATCAAGCCCCATATATAAAACTGTTGAAGTTACCTGATCTCTTCTCATGAGCAAGATCCATGTGTGGGAGTGCCTTCAAAATATGATCGGGTGACATCATGCAACAGTGCTAATAAGATGTAAACTCGCCACAGTAATTAGACAATGATGGACGTTTTGTTCAATGACGAAGAATCTTTTACTTCTGAATAGTCTATTGTTCATTTCAAAATACTATATTCATACGGTTGAAACAATTTTCCAAGGAAGCGGTAATATGCAATTGTTCTTAAGTATGAAAAGGAAGTTATTTAAAAGAACCATATTCTTAACTCAATCCAACCTTTTCAAATCATCAGCAAGGCAATGTCATCAGTGAAGAATATTTCAGTGGTCAACGTTGAAGTTCTCGACACTGAAACTAGTATCAACGAATTCTGTTATTTCGATAAACCGTGGTACAGATATCGTCATCTTCAAAAACTTTGTTTGCATATATTTGTGACAACTTTAGCATCTACTAACAATGGTTATGATGGAAGTATGCTTAATGGTTTGCAGGTATTTGAGCGCTGGAATAAAGCTATGTCTTATCCCTCTGGAGCGGTTCTAGGAGCATTATCTAATGGTACGACCTTCGGCGCAATCTTAGCATATTTTGTTGCAAGTTGGCTATCTGATAAGATAGGTAGGAAAAATGCAACTATAGCTGGTTCAACTATTACCTTCATCGGGTCAATATTGCAAGCTAACTCTACCAATTATGCTTTCTTTTTGATCACAAGAATCATTCTCGGATTTGGTAATGGAATCACAGCAGTTTCCTGCCCGCTACTTATTGCAGAGATTTCCTTTCCAGATATGAAGAAGGAAAGTGAACCTAATACTACGAGTTTAAAGTATAAGCTATCTGCTTTTAGGTCAACAGCTACAACTTCATATGGAGTATTTTGGTATTTAGGAGCCCTAGTTGCTGCATGGGTCACATACGGGACTAGAGTTATGCATACAAGTTACTGTTGGAGAATTCCCTCATACATGCAAGGATTCTTCCCTATAGTTCAAATAATTGGCACTTGGTTTTCTCCGGAATCTCCTAGATATTTAATTTCCAAGGGAAGGACTGAGGAGGCAAGGAAAGTAATCAAGTACTACCACACCGGTGACTCTGATGACGAAAGATCCCGTAGATTTGTCGAATTTCAAATTAAAGAAATTCAAGCTTCGATTGAATTAGACAAAGCTTCAAATTTATCTTCCTATGTTGACTTTATCAAAATTCCTTCCTTCAGAAAGAGACTATTTCTTATCGTCATAGTCGGGATCATGGTAAATTTATCCGGGAATGGATTAGTTTCTTACTACTTAAATCTAGTTTTGGACTCTATCGGAATCAAGAGCGAAGATATGAAACTACAGATCAATGGTTATCTAATGACGTACAATTTTGTTATTTCATTAGTTATTGCATTTACTGTGGGTAGATTTAGGCGTAGAACTATCTTCCTATTGTCGACTGCCTTGATGCTAATATTTTATGTCATCTGGACTATTTTATCAGCCCTAAATCAAAAGAGCAACTTTGAACACAAGTCTCTTTCAAATGGTGTACTTGCTATGATATTCTTGTACTACTTTGGCTATAATCTAGCTCTCAATGGATTATGCAGTCTTTATATTACCGAACTTCTCCCATATTCTCATAGAGCAAAAGGTGTTAATATTTTCCAGTTCTTTGTCAATGCACTTATCATCTTTAATGGCTTTGTCAATCCTGTTGCAATGAAGGCCATTGAGTGGAAATATTACATCGTTTACTGCTGTGTACTAGCTGTGGAGTTTATTGTAGTATACTTCACATTTGTCGAGACATCCGGTTATACGTTAGAGGAAGCTTCAGAAATCTTCAACGAAACTGCAAGATCTGAATCAATAGCTTCTAGTGATGTGAAAGAGGTCCATGCAGAAGTTATTCTTTCGAAAGTCTAGTATCTGATCTCAGTTATTTATTGTCAAACAGAAGTCCTACACAAAACATGATGTAGTGTATTACCGTCGTTACTAAACGGATTTAAGAATATAGATTACATAGTATAAATAATAGTTAATATGAAAGAAAAGTTAGTTACTGATATTGTTCTACCATATACACCATATATAATAGTCTTAATAGTTTCTTCAATATTTTGCATTGTTCAAGCTATTCTGTTGAATTAATTTCTTTCAAGAATTTTGGCAAATCAAAATGACCATTCTTCAAAGCTTCATTGGCAACAAGTCTGATCTTCTTTTGAGGTAAAGTAAGGTCATCCTTAATTTCAAAAGGCAATAATCCCAAAGAGCGTTTAGATTCGTCAGATTGTACATTTTTAATATCAGCACCTTGATTTTCTTTGGTACCAGGAGCTTGAGTATGCCTGTAGTCAAAAGGCGAAACATTTCTTGTCCAGGAGTCCTTGGTGTCAAGTAATGTTTCTATATTTCCTGGAGAAAGTGGGGCAATTGCATAGTAGAAGACACTTGAATGACTTGAGCCGTGGTGCTCAGGATCAACATCATGAGGCAAATCTGTATGCCAGAATATAAAATCACCTTTGTTAACCTCTGGAATCTTCACCACGTTTTGACTTGGATTAAGGTGAGGGAAATCTTCAACATCAAGAATAATCTGACCGGTCCCCGGTTTCGTGCCTGGAAATCTAGTTGTTTCAAGATCTATCTCATAATCTTCGATGTTACCCAGCTCAGGGTCTCTCCAGAAGAAAGGGCGCAATAAAACATAACTTATAGCCAATTTAAGAGAAGGAAGCACTCTCAAAGTTCCTCCTACTTCGTTATCTGATAAGCTTAGCCAGCCTTGTAGGGTTCTGAAAGACGTGCAAATCGACTTAGATGATCGGGTAGTATCAAACTTATATAAATCCTCTTGGGCAAATTGCTTGTCATCTAGCTTCCAAGGATCCCATTCCTCCCATCTACCTTCAAATATTTCCTTGTAGGACAGGCGAAACTTCAAGTCTTCCCATCTTTCAACGGACGAACTGTCCAAATGCAAGGGCAATAGAGCCTCTTGGCCCAGCTGTCTAATACGAATTCTGTCACCGTATACCACCTGGGTATCTAAATCAATGTAGGAGTTTTCTTTATCTTCCACATAGAATTGATTTCCAAAAACTTTGACTAGCCTTTCAACCTCTGGATGGGACCTTGCTTCTGCTTGAGGCTTGGTCCAGAAGAGATTAAACATAGCAGCTGTACCTTTGTATGCCCCGGCAGTCTCTGGATTCTCTTTGATAAAGTCAACCAACTCTTCAAACCATCTGTCAGCCTGAGAAGCATCAACTACCCCCTTGACCAATACCGTGCCTCTTTGCTTGAATATCTTACTCTGCTCTTCAGTCAACTGGTAGTCATTAGCGACAATTTCAGCCCAGTCAAATACGGGTACCCTACTAGAGCCCTCTTCTTGAATTGACTTAGTTTCCTGCTCAAGAGCAACTAGTAACCTTTTCCATGATTCCGTGACTACTTCTATATTTCCTTCCTTGACCAAGTCTCTTTTAAGCTGAAGAAAACGAGGTTCCAAATATTCTGGTAGACCAGGGAAGCCCATTCTGATGTTAACTTTCTACACAAGAAGGTTAGCCACTATACGCACCGAGAATCAAGCTTATATATGTACCCTAACCTCTCTAAGCGATGCCACAATTTCGTCTTTAAGCCTCTTGACTTATCTAAATCGGTAGGTTTAGGCGCTAAGAGCTCTCAACCACACTATCAACGGAAAAAATGTTGAGGTGCTTCGGACTCTCAACCACACCATCATGAAAAGTATTATTTATGCGCTATCAACACACAACCACACTACCATCTGAATTGTTGAGACTATGAACATCCCGTGGAAATATATTTACCTACAAGCATAATTTTAATTACAAAAGTGTTATACCCATATACATAAAAGTTTTTTTTTTTTATTGGTGTGGGCCAAGATAATGCCTATTGGTCAATCATATATATAAATAAACCAAAACCTATACACCTATGTTCATTTCTTACTTGAAAAACTTGTCGTAGCCAGTAAGTACAAATCTGAATTGGACGTCACCGTCCGTCATTCTTTGCCATGCTGTAGATACATTTTCTTCGGAGATGTCAATTGTTTCAATCCAAGGCTTGATGTCATGTTTGGCAGCGAAGTCCAACATATATTCGATTTCCTTGGGAGATCCAATATGAGAACCTTCAATTGAAACAGCAGAAGCGAGAAGTGCACCCGGCTCTAATTCCAAGCTTTCGTCATTAGGTGGTGCAGTGATGAAGATCATTCTTCCGTGCGGCCTAATGAGGTTGAGGAGCTTTTTGAAGCTTCCTTCAGTAAAGGAGGAACCAGTGTTAACAATTACGTCCAAGTCCGTGTAACCCTCATCGAAGCCTTCTTCATCTGTAGCAATGTAGTTGTCTGCGCCGAGTTTCTCGGCAAGAGCCTTCTTTTTGTTATTTCTGGAAATAGCCGTTACTTCAGCTCCCATGGCCTTAGCGAACAAGATCGTCATATGACCAATACCGCCAATACCACTTACACCGACTTTGGTTCCCTTAGTTACACCAGCAGTCAATAATGGAAGGAATCCTGTGATACCACCACACAACAAAGGTGCAGCGACAACACTGGAGAGCGCATCAGGAATCTTGAAAGCAAACGTGGAGTTGAGCCTCACGTAGTTGGCATAACCACCTTGGGTGGGAGTGTTGTCGTCCTTATAGTAGGAAAGATACGTTCCAACTTCTTTTCTACAATGGTTTTCAATACCTTTATTGCATCTGATACAATCTCCACACGAATCACATTGCGCACCAACACCAACTCTGTCACCAACCTTCAACTTGGTCACCTTTGGACCAACCCGAGCTACCTTTCCGACAATTTCATGTCCAACAGCTAATGGAGCGTAAGGTCTGCCCCAGTCACCATTGGCGCCGTGAATATCGCTACCACAAATACCGCAAGCTTCTACTTCAATGTCAACATCGTTGTCTCTCAATGCTTTGGGAGTATGCTGGAAGCGCTTTGGTTCAAGCCACTTATCGTAGTCAATAACTCCGACTGCATCAAATTTTTCTGGAATACTCATTTTTTTACTGTGTATTTTTTTGTTCTTAAGGAAGATACCTTCACAATATTCGAATGTTGAGCAATGGGGAATTTATCTCTCCTATATACCCCACCTCGAGCTATATGATCTGAGAATGAAATATTCAACGCAACCCATCTCTCGGAACCCCACCTTGAGCTTATTTTATGCAATATCCAAGCACGAATCATGCATGGCATCCCAGTGCTCATAATATATTGCTGATTAATTGTGTATGGAGGATGAGTCGAAGGATATAGGACTTGATCACTTCATTGGTTGAATAGCCTTTTCCACAAGAGTTTAGGCACCGAAGAACACCACAAAACCTATTTTTATCTTTATTTATGCATTAACTGGTGGCAAATGGCAGAGTCTGCTAACACGTTGTGCCTTTCTAGAGAGTAATTGATAGTAGCCTGCTTAGGTACCCCACTACGATGATTCTCGAGTTTCCAATTAAACGAAGTGGAGAAAAATCAGAGTTGGGTTTTTGTAGACTTGGAGAGGGGCGTGAGAGTATTTCAGCCATGCTTTATTACAGGTTGAAGTCTATCGACTTGAATTCAAGTTTTGCGCATTTTCAGCCTCTAGTTGGTCAGTATATTTCGCTTCAGGAGTTGCGAAAATATTGATAGAGGAAGCTTGGCAATTGTACTGAAGATGTAGTTCCATCAATGGTATCGTAGGCACAAACTTAGTTCTCTCGGTCACAAGTAGTTACCTCAATGAATTTGTAAACACGAATTTAGTTCTTTGGTCATTGCTCATTATGGAACTCTGAGAAGAACTATTGGCACTTTAGAGCGTGACTTCAAAGTACCATTTTCTTGCTCTGTTGTCCCCATAGAGTTGACCGAATTGGTTCGAAATTCAAATTTTTTTTTACTTTTTCAAAACTCTCCTAATTTTCCTGGAGATTGAAGTATATAACAATAGCAGCAGATAGTGAATCTCCCTTGAGATTTAATTCAATCCGTACCTTCTCATCTACATTCTAACGACTATATGTCGAAGCACTTTTCGTCTGCAGGTTTATGCATGCTTATGCGAAAGCGGAACTCAAAATCGAGATTGCTGCAACTTTGAGGCTCATTGACCGTTTTTTCCACGAAAGATTCCTCTACTACAGCCGTACAGACCAATGCCTGCTTTGCAAAGAATAGTTACACTGTCTGATAAATATTCAGGCTCGAAGCGCTTTTAGTTACATTTCAACACTTGCAGTTTGGTTTTCTACAATTGAGAACTGTCAGTCAGTCTTTTTGTCAGATTTTTAAACCACGCTAAATGTGTATTCAATTACAATTATTTCTTGAAATACTTGTCGTATCCCGTAAGCACAAATCTGAATCTAACATCGCCATCGGTCATTCTTTTCCATGCGGTAGCAACATTTTCCTCAGAGATGTCGATTGTTTCAATGTAAGGCTTGATCTTATGTTTGGCAGCGAAGTCCAACATATATTCGATGTCTTTTGGAGATCCAATGTGGGAACCTCCAATGGAAACAGCAGAAGAAAGAAGTATTCCAGGGTCAATCTCCAAAGTTTCATCATTAGGTGGTGCAGTAATGTATATCATCCTACCATGTGGCTTAATAAGGTTTAGAAGCTGCTTGAAGCTTCCTTCTGAAAATGATGAAGTAGTGTTTACAATTACGTCCAATTCAGTTAAACCTTCATCGAAGCCTTCTTCATCTGTAGCAATGTAATGTTCTGCACCAAGTTCCTTAGCCAATGACTTCTTCTTATCATTTCTGGAAATAGCAGTTACTTCAGCTCCCAAGGCTTTAGCAAATAAGATCGTCATATGACCAATTCCACCGATACCACAAACACCAACTTTCGTACCCTTACTTACGCCTGCTTCCAACAAAGGACTGAACCCTGTCATTCCACCACATAGCAATGGAGCAGCATCAATACTTGAAAGTCCATCAGGAATTTTGAAAGTAAAATTGGAACTGACTCTCACATAGTTAGCATAGCCACCTTGAGTTGGTGTGTTGGTTTCCTTGTAGAAGGATAGATATGTTTCAACTTCTTCTCTGCAATAGTTTTCATTATCATTTTGACATCTGACACAATCTCCACACGAATCACATTGGGCACCAACTCCAACTCTGTCACCAACCCTAAACTTTGTTACCTTTGGACCAACCCGAGCTACCTTTCCGACAATTTCATGTCCAACAGCTAATGGAGCGTAGGGCCTACCCCAGTCACCATTAGCACCATGGATATCACTACCACAAATACCACAAGCTTCAACTTCGATATCGACATCATTGTCTCTCAATTCTTGAGGGGTGTGTTGAAAATGTTTTGGTTCAAGCCACTTATCGTAGTCAATAACTCCAATGGCATCAAATTTTTCGGGAACACTCATAATTCAAACTTGCTATTTTATTCCTATATAATATACTGATGTAGGATCGGAAACTTGGACAATGTTGGGGAGTTGAGCTCACTTAAATACTTCGACTTGAGTTACATGGAACGCAATGATTCGAAACTGTATGCGATGTGCCCCTGAGTTCATAATTTGCCTTTGTCACTAAAGTAGGATGGATTCGGATGCGGAGTATTCATATAAATTTAGTAGTCAAACTAACCTGTGAGCGCAATATAAGTATTTTCGAATTTATCCGATAGCAACTTAATTGAAAGGTGCATAAAATAGCCTGATAAACTAACAAGTTTGAGATGCATATAAGTTATATCTCAGTAATCTAACAAGCATTAGCTGAACATTTAACACTGGCATAACCAGAGCCATACTTCAAAATATTCAATGAAGTGTGAGTGAGCTGCGATATTGTAGTTCACTTTTAGTCCTAAAGCCGAGCCTGTCCATCCATCAGCTATTTAATTCCCAACATCTGGTGGACTAGATTTAGCAATCTTAAACTTCGTTTATGTCCTCTAGCAACGTCAAGCTCCGGAATATGAGATGTGAATGGCTAATGGACAGTGTGGGCAATTATATCTGAGAACATTGCTTTAACGGAACTGCAAGAAGATGTAGCTTCTACTCTTTGCATGTAAAATCTCTATCGGCATAATTGCTGCGCATTTGGGACCCTAAAAAGGCTAGAATCACATCTTCCGGAATTCCAGTTCTGGAGAAGTAACCGTTGAATTTTACCAAAAGAAAATCCTTTCACTTTTGAAGATAGCTATTAATATATAGCGTGTGGAAAGAAGGTTATATATAACAGTTGTGCAACCACCTTGCAAGTTACGTAGTCATGAGTCTACCCTAGCAGTTCTGGTTTGTAGTGCATTTCCCGTCCGCGTATATATGCATGCAGAGAAAAACGCTTTACTTAAAAGGAACGCATTTGCAGCAATTTTGAACGCTTGATTTTTAGGCTGCTTTCCTACGACAATCACTACCCTCCACACTGTGTATGTACGAGTACTGGTATAAATGAGAAATGCATTCTGAGGTATGAATCTTGATTGTTTATATCTTAAACACACTGCAAATGCACGAGTACTGGTATAAATGAGCAATGCTTAAGAGGTGAGAATTTTATTGTTTGTATCTAAATACCTTCCAAGAAAATCTTCTACAGATGAGAGATCATGTGTACCTGTTTAAAAAAATATTGGTGAAATGTGTATTTAAATTCGCCTATTTCTTGAAATACTTGTCGTAACCTGTGAGTACAAATCTGAATTTAACATCACCATCGACCATTCTTTGCCAAGCCGTAGCAACATTCTCTTCAGAGATGTCAATTGTTTCAATCCAAGGCTTGATCTTATGTTCAGCAATGAATTCCAACATGTATTCAATATCTTTTGGTGATCCAATGGCGGAGCCCTCAATGGAAACACCAGACAAAAGGAAAGTGAAAGGATCGATCACCAATTTTTCGTCAGCCGGTGGGCCAGTAATACTAATCAATTTACCACCTGGTCTGATAAGCTTTAACATACTGTTAACACTACCTTCACTAAAGGATGAACCAGTGTTAACAATGACGTCCAATTCATAAGCATGCTTTTCTTCAAAGCCCTCTTCACTAGTAGAAATATAATGGTCAGCACCAAGTTCCTTGGCCAATCCTTGCTTCTTATCATTTCTAGAAATTGCTGTAACTTCAGCACCCATGGCCTTGGCGAATAAGATCGTCATATGGCCAATACCACCGATACTATTAACACCAACCTTAGTCCCCTTCTTGACATCAGCAGTCATCAATGGACGGAATCCTGTAATACCACCACACAATAAAGGAGCTGCATCAGCACTCGAAATTGCATCAGGAATCTTGAAGGTAAACCTGGAATTAAGTCTCACAAAGTTAGAGTATCCACCTTGGGTAGGAGTATTAGTTTCCTTGTAGAAACCCTGATAAGTTCCAATCATTGACTTACAGTAATTTTCCTTACCATCGTGACATATGAGACATTTCCCACAGGAATCACATTGAGCACCAACTCCAACTCTGTCACCAACCTTAAATTTGGTAACGTTTGGACCAACTGCGGCAATCTTTCCAACAATTTCGTGTCCAACGGCTAATGGAACGTAAGGTCTACCCCAATCACCGTTAGCGGCATGGATGTCACTACCACAGATACCACAAGCTTCCACTTCAATGTCAACATCATCATCTCTTAATGCTTGAGGCGTGTGTTGGAAGTGCTTTGGTTCAAGCCACTTATCGTAGTCAAGAACTCCAATTGAGTCAAATTTTTCTGGAACGCTCATATTTAAATGCTTCTCGGGATTTATTAAGAATACTGGAGAATTCAAAGAGAAATTTAACAAACATCACTAGCTTTCACTCCACTTATATACTGCGAAGGTACCGATATGACCGTCTTTAAGGTTCCAAAAATCAACAGTGCTCAAAACCCCTTGATATGCTTCATGGAAGTGGGTTGCTGCATAAACGAGCTCAACTGTTGAGTTTCCATCCTAACACCCACACATAGTCGGGTGATGAGTGTACTCGGAAGATAATTAAGATCCGAAATCCTAGCTCCCATGAGTTAAGATATTGATTGCCTCTATTATTACTAATATTCATGTCGGCATTATTCCATTTTCACTCTACAGCGGTATCCCCATTCGGTAAGACCGAAAATTTACGTGCAATGTGGTACATCTAAGGACCAGTGATATCATCAAGCCTAGCTTTAACAGAACATGTGTTAGTTTTCAAACCCGACAAAGGAATGAAGTTCATTTAGCATGACTTGAATAAATCCACTAAGATGCTTCTTATACACTGGACACGAAAATTACTAATTAATGGCTTTGGATTTTAGCAGAGTTTACTCTCCAATTTTGGATTAAATGATGAGAATTTTTCACACCTACGCAGGCTTATGTCTGGTGAAGAAGTGGAAATACGTATAGTACACTTTCCTAATATGGCATGCGGAGATGGTAGACCAACTAAAGTCAAAATCCCATTACATTGTTAGTACAGATCTATGCTGATTTTGTATGATAACTTGACTGTTGGAGGGCCTTGCAAGTTGTGTAGTTATTAGCAAATGACCACAGGAGCCTGCATTATAGGTATGAGTGTATATAACTGAGTCAATAGTACCACAGGAGCCTGTACTTTAGGTATGAGTGTATATAGCTGAGCCAATAGTACTACTTTGAAGCATTGTAAGTATTGGAAAGACAGATGACCTCAGGTGCCTATATTTTGGGAATAGGTGTATATAGCTGGATAATTATTGCCCTTTGACAGCATCGTAACCATTTGGAAGGTAAATGCAACTACCTGAATCAGCGGCAGCGGTATCCCCTAATTCAAGTTACAACTAGCCGAATACCTATTCAACTCTATTAAAGTTTCAGGCATTGTAAGCAGCTATTACTGAAGGTAAAACAATTCTTAAGCAAGTCACGTAAAGCAGCTAATTCAAAGTTTGCAGTTAGTACATGAATGCATGGCCGAATAAGACAAGAACAATTTCTATAAGGTACAGAACTGAAACTAGTGGCCTAAAAGTAAGACATGCAAGAGAACTAAACAAATAACCATAAACACTTGAAATGTAACATGACTTATTATTATGTCGTAGTTTAAGCTTTGTAGATGTGAAATGCTCTGTGAACATGTCATGCATCTGCTGCATGGGGTATCCATAGAGATAATACAACAACCAGTGCATTAAAATACCACTGTGTGCTTGACGCACTTTAGGCGATTTTACATGCGTTAGCTTAACACGGCTTGCACCGAGATGCAGAGAGACATTAAACTAAAATCTTGCATAGAAAATATCTGCTCATATTAAATCATAGAGAGGGAACAACTGATATCAATAACGTAGCCTTGAGTAATGCAACCAGAGAAAATTGGAGGCAGCGAGAGGGAGAAAGAATTGTTTATGCGTGTAGTGTCAAGTGCAAGGGATCCTAAACTCTGGAAATATCGCACGGATGGGTCATAGGTGGGACATTGGTGGAATACGGTGTTAAGTTCCTTCTCCCCGGTGGTGCAACTAGACAAGTGCACGAAAAATGGAATGAATTCATGTAACCGAAATAATTTACCGAAGAAAGCTGAACTCAAGTAACCACCAAGTAAACCGAGCCCAAATACACCCAGCCCAAATACACCGAACTCAAATGCATTCACACAACATCCTACCGTATGATTGTAGTCACCAAATACACCCATTCTCTAACCGCATAGATGTCACATGTATTGACTACTATACTCAAGAGTGGTATGGTTCCACTTCCGCTGTAGCGCATAACTTCCCCCGGAACTTCTCCAGACATCACGTGAGTTACACAAAATCACTGAAAATTAACCCTTATAAAGTAAGAGAAAAAATTGTCGGGCGGTGGAGTGTTTCTTCTACTCCATACGACTTCAATTCTCCTCAAGTATAGTTATTTACTCTACAAAGATCAATTGAAACTCTACAGCATCTATTAATAGAAGAAACCCACGCAAAAAAACATCCAAAATGGCTCGTCAATTCTTTGTTGGAGGAAACTTCAAAATGAACGGAACAAAGGAATCCGTTAAGAAGATTATCGGATACTTGAACGACTCTGACTTGCCAGCTCAAGTTGAAGTTGTCATTGCTCCTCCAGCCTTATACTTGGGACTCGCTGTTGAAGTTAACACCCAAAAGACCGTCGCTATAGCCGCACAGAATGTCTTTGACAAGGATGCCGGTGCCTTCACTGGTGAAATCTGCCCAGCCCAAGTCAAGGACCTTGGTGCTACCTGGACCTTAACCGGACACTCTGAAAGAAGAACCATTATCAAGGAATCTGACGAATTCGTTGCCAACAAGACCAAGTTTGCCTTGGAACAAGGTTTATCCGTCATCTTGTGTATTGGTGAAACCTTAGAGGAAAGAAAGGCTGGTATCACCTTGGATGTCTGTGCCAGACAATTGGATGCTGCTTCCAAGATCATCTCCGACTGGACCAACATTGTTGTTGCCTACGAACCAGTCTGGGCCATTGGTACTGGTTTAGCTGCTACTCCAGATGATGCTCAAGAGACCCACAAGGCCATCAGAGCTCACTTAGCCACCACCATCGGTGAAAAGCAAGCTGCTGAAGTCAGAATCTTGTACGGTGGATCCGTTAACGGTAAGAACGCCAAGGAATTCAAGGACAAGGCCGATGTGGATGGTTTCTTAGTCGGTGGTGCTTCCTTAAAGCCAGAATTCGTTGACATCATCAAGTCAAGATTGTAGATTAACGGTAGCGAGACTATAGCAATATAAGTATTATTTAGTTCTAAAGGTGTAGAGAGTGTTTGGGAGCTGTAGATAGCATTTGAAGAGTGTAGACACTGAAGAAAGCTGGACGTAGCTCGTACCTTAGTCTAGGTGAAGGGATCTGTTCGTAGCTCGCAGATACAGTGATTAAAGAACTGTGGGCGTAGAAAGCTGGACGTAGCTCGTACCTTTAAGTCTACGTGAAGGGATCTGTTTATCAGGGATCGCGTAGCTCGTACCTTAGTCTAGGTGAAGGGATCTGTCTATCAGGGATCACGTCGCTCTGATGCACCGGTCCCAGTTTTCTCTTAGCACATTTCGGGCTCTCTCCTCATTCCAGTCCCTGGCTTCACATATCTTCGTAAAGATGCCCTCTAAGTGTACATAGCACTCCAGTAGACGTCGGTCAATGCCTATATCTGTCTCTATCAACACATTCGAGTCTGAGAGCGACCTCACCAACTGCGTGAATGCCTCAGCTTTCTCTTCAGCGCCATTGATCCAGTTGGATAGCGAGAAGAACACCTGCTGCTCTGCACTACCGCTTTTCAACCAAAGCTTCGCCTGGTCGAGAGACCCGGAGTACGAGTGTAGAACGGTCGACTTCAAGGCAAACCTGTGGCACACTTCAAAGAGAACCCCGTGCGCCTTGACACAGTGTAGCGAGACAGGCAACGAGAACTCCTGCGCCAACTCCAACTGCCCCGCCAAAAGCTCCACCTGGTGGTCGAGCTTGACTCGGCAGGGCGAGAGCTTGTTGGGGATGTCTTCAGCAATGGGCTGCTCAACGTTCCCATAGAATCCATTGACTGGGATCCGGAATGGCTTGTCCAACCCGATTTCTCCCACACCGACGCCCACGCAACCGCGAGCAGAGGCACCGCTACCACCTCCATACTCCGCGAGCAAGCTCCTCAACTTCTTCAAGTGGTCCCTCCATAGAACCGGAGCAGGAAGGGCATCGATCAACTCCTGCGTGGGTGCAGGATACAACACCGTCCTGTAGTGGCGCACCTTGTACGACTCAGTGGATTCCTCGACCCCTGGTTCTACACTAGCAAAGAGGTGGGAGTACCAGGGGTGTACACCAAAGAAAGGGAACACAACACCCAGCAGTTGCACCCTCTTCAGCATCGCATCGATGATGTCCACATCCAAATGGTTCGTAGACATCACCGCAAAATGGCGAAGCGCGTGGCTCCTCGGGCCCTCATCCGCCGCCCTACTTAGCATCTCGCTCACCTCTAGGCCCCGCTCCAACGTACAGCTCGTGTCTAGATGGCAATGGCTATCAGTTAGTCCTTCCAAGCTCATCTGCCCTATAGTTAGCACAGGTTTATGGCACAATTGTCACTTCCGGTCTAATGCATCACCATGATTCCACTGCATCAGGTGTCCTGCAGGCGGCTGCCGGATTAATTATGCATGCAAGTCATTTGGCTTGCTACTTGTTTGAAAATCCACCGATGCCAAAAAGCAACAGCACCTTCACCCTTCTTCTTGGAAGGATACCTATTGCTAGATAAATTGATAGACACACACGGAATGACTGTTATAGTAGCATCATTGTAAGTATGACTTGAAGCGGTGGAGCGCCGGAATTGGAAGAGCGGGGGCTCATGAGACCCACTGGATGAACGGAACCGCAATTTCTCCTGGAACCATTGAACCATACTAACGCCATCTTTAAGATTTCTTCCCTATACGGTGAAGTTTGAGGTCAATTCGCAGGATATACCACTGGTGCCTGCACTGGAGCAGCCCGTTCAAAGAAGGTTGACTGACCCGACCAATAAGGCGCCTCAGTCGATCATCCCGTTGACGCAGCTGACTCCTCCGGTTGATTCACCGTTGGACCTCAGTAGGTCCAGCACCAACACATCTACACCTGTTACGATAGGCTCTTCTGTTGCCAGTGTTGCTTCTCGTCCGGGTGCCGGGAGCAGAAAGCCCTCGTACCAGGATCCCTCAGCTGAACCAAAGAACTCCGCAGAGGAGTTCTTCTACAAGCACAACAGGCGCAGAAACACCAATGTGGGAGGCACTCCAGATTTTGCTGGAAACGCTCGTGAGACCTTCAATGAGAGTATTCTCAACGAAAAGGTGGCCAGTTCCATGGGTTCTGGGTTCATTCAACCCAGGGCCAGGACGGTACACCAGCCGCAATCTACCGTCATTGACAAGAAGAAGAAGCTGGACTCCGACTATGGGTTGCCCAGTTTGAAGATTAATCGGTCTTCCAACAACCTTTCATCCTTGGGGATGTCAGCTGCAAGCAGCAGCACCAATTTGGCGTCTATGAACAGTTCAAGTTCCACCAACATCGGAGCTCTTAGAGGAACCGCCAGCGGAGGTAATAACCAGTTCAAGAGGGCTAATGGGTCCGGCAGTGGTGGTACTTCTGGGGGAGCCTTTTCAGGGTTTACGTTGAACCAAAACCAGTCTTCGTCGTCTTTAACAGAACATCCTGACGAAGAGTCAGCCGTAGATGTTTCATTTGAAGATGGAGTGAAAGAGATAGACGCTGACGACTGGTCTAACAATTTCAACGATATGATTCATGGCAGAGCTGCCAGCAAGTTGGCTCCATTTGGAGGTTTCTCCAATCCTGGGGTCGAAGCTGACTTGCTTGCAGAAGTGAATATCTTCGATACAGCACCCTGGAAAGTCGTTTTCACTGACAAGGGAAACGTTTCCTTGACCAAAGCAGTGAAGACCTCGTTTGAATCAGGGATTATTTCCAAGAGAAAGTGGGTTGGTACCATTGCTATGCCAAGTGATTCAGTTTCAGACAGAGTAATTGGCAACATTGCAGACAAGTTGAGCGAAGATTATAACTGTGAGGCTGTCTTTCCTGATGATGAGACTTTCCATGGTCATTACAATTCGTTTTGCAAGGAGATTTTGTGGCCCACGCTTCATTATCAAGTTCCAGATGATCCTAAATCTAGGGCATTTGAAGCCCATTCTTGGGATCAGTACAAAGCTTTGAATCAAATGGTTGCTGATAAGGTTGTTGAGGTCTATAAGAAAGAACATGGTGATGCCAGTGATGCGGATGACCCCAATAACATGATATGGGTTCATGACTACCATTTATTATTGGTCCCACAGATGATTAGAGATCAATTACCCAACGCAAGGATCGGGTTCTTTCTTCACGTTTCATTTCCTTCTTCGGAGATCTTCAGGGTATTCGCTGAAAGGAAAGAATTGCTTCAAGGAATGCTAGGAGCAAATTGTGTATCTATGCAAACTGATGAGTATGTTAGGCATTTCTTACAAACATGTCTGAGATTATTACTTGCAGATACCAACGAGATAGGTATATCATACAATAGTAAGTATACTGTGGTAAATACTATCCCAGTGGGTATTGATGTGCCATCTTTGGAAGCATTAATTGCTAGCGAAGAGGTGTTGGAATGGAAGCAGATGATTAGAGAGAGATGGGGTGGTCAAAAGCTATTGGTTCTGAGAGATAAAGTTGATAGATTAAGAGGGATCAAGCAAAAATTGTTGGCTTACGAAATGTTCTTAAAGGACAATCCAAGTTTTGTGGATAAGACTGTTTTGATCCAGATATGCATGGGTTCGGTTCAAGATTCTGACTACGAGGCTGAAGTTCTGCAAATAGTTTCAAGAATCAATTCACTAGCTGAAAACATATCTGTTTCTCAGCCAGTTATCTTACTTCAACAAGATATTGATTTTGAGCAGTATTTGGCCTTGTTATGCGAACTGGATGTCTTTGTAGTATCATCCATGAGAGAGGGTCTTAATTTAACTTGCCATGAATTTGTTACATGCCAGAGGGAGAAGAAGTCTCCATTAGTTTTATCGGAATTCACCGGTTCCTCACCATTATTGGAATGTAATGGTAAAGGTGCCTTATTGATAAACCCCTGGGATATACACCGCTTATCTGAAACCTTGAAACATCTGTTGCAGATGGACTCCGCTGAGAAGAAGGAAAGGTGGGAAAATTGCTATGAAATAGTCTTGGAACATGACTCAAAGAATTGGGTAAGAAATTGCTTAAAGAGTATAGAGGAAGCTTGGTTATATGACCAGAGAAAGACCTCAAACAACATTGAGCCCTTTAGCAAAGAAGTATTGAACAAGTTCTACTACAAATATGGTAACAGTAATGATAATAGAAGACTTGTATTTCTAAACTTGGAAACTCCACTGGCCATATCGTCAATTTACGACTCTTCATCTGCTTCAAATACCACTCCAGCAGTTGGTAAGACTGATAGTTTTTCGGAGCCTTCCAGGATATTAAAGTTACTCAATGACTTACTTACTGATGAGTCTAACCATGTTTATTTGATCTCATTCTTGAAAAGATCAGATTTAGATATCTTGTACAGAACCAGTCCTAATTTAGGACTTATAGCAGAAAATGGAGGATACATTAAGTTAATCGGATCTAAGTCGTGGATATCAATTGGAGATGAGAAAGAATTGACATCGTGGATGCCACAGGTGAAACAGTTGATCGATTCGAAGGTTGTTAGATTACCTGGATCACACATCGAGGTGGAAGACTGTACCATCAGATTCCACCCAGGTAGAGCATTTTTGGAAAATCGTGAAAGAAGCTTAGACGTCATGGGAGATTGCATTCAGCACATTAATGAAATATTTCAAGAGCTGGAAGGAATTCATGCCAGTTTGATCCGAAACGTTGTTATTGTACAACAAAACCACCTAACCTTGAAGGCATTCAAGTTTGTCCTATCATTCTACAATAACGAGTCTATTGCTGAATTCAAGTTGAAGAAGGTGCCATCTAGGCCCAATACTGCCATGTCGACTTCGAATTCGACTGCCTCTATCGTTTCCTTGGACGGCGACAAGCCAGAAGGATCCAAGATCAAGTCGATTTTCGTTGGTGGAGGTTCAACTCTAATTGACGAACCTACATTTGAGTATGCCAATGAGCTTAAAGCAGATGGAGTGATTGATAATGTGTTGACAGTTGCGGTACTTGGATCCGATACTAGCTCGAGAACCAGCGCAAACTACGGGGTTTTAGGTAAGAATGTACTTTTAAGTGTTTTGTCGAAGGTAAAGGAACTTAAAGAGTAAAGAGGTTCATAAACAAAGGGAAACGAGGAAAAAAGAGATAAAAGAGAGAAACATATAAAGATAATGGAAACAGGCAGATGTGCTGCTACATTGGTAAGCTAATAAATTAATTGCTAAAGCTTGAGCTGAAGTCATTGACGACTTGAAACTAATATTACAAAACGAACTACATATACATATTTATCCAGATATACATTGAAATAGATATAGACGACGAAGTACTTGTGCTTTAGAAGTGCTTATCTTTGTAGCTCAAGGCCATCTAATCTAATTATTCTACTTCTAATTTAATAGACTCTCCTGCTATACTACTGCTTATCTCAGTACTGTTTACATTTTAGCCTATGGCTGCCAACCGATTCAACTCTTGAAGATCTGCAATAGAGTTTTTTCTTTCTCCATTGATAGGCACCTTCTGCTTTAGAACTGTTTGTTTGTATAAATCATGGTCACCAACTGATTTACTCTTCAAGATCTGTAATTGAGTTTCCTCCTCTCTTGACCGATAGGAACCTTCTACCCTAATACTGCTTGTCTTTGAACTAATTTTCTTTATAGCTCATGGCCACCAACTGATCTAACTTTTCAAGATCTGTAACAGAGTGTCCACCTCTCTTGACCGGTAGGTACCTTCTACCCTAATACTGCGTGTCTTTATAGCTCATGGCCATCAACTGATCTAACTTTTCAAGATCTGTAACAGAGTGTCCACCTCTCTTGACCGATAGGCACCTTCTACCCTAATACTGTTCGATTTAAAACTGCTTATCTTTATAGCTCATGGCCACCAACTGATTTACTCTTCAAGACCTGTAACAGAGTGTCCTCCTCTCTTGACCGATAGGCACCTTCTACCCTAATACTGTTCGATTTAAAACTGCTTATCTTTATAACTCATGGCCACCAACTGATTCAACTCTTCAAGATCTGCAAATAGAGTTTTCTCCTCGTCTTCATTCATCACCTTATATTTATTCCAGTACGATGTCAAGAATTCATCTTCAGTTACCCCATTCACGTCTCTAGGTCTAGACACCATCCACAAGTGTTCCTTAGATCTCTTGTGCGATTCTCTATCGTCTTCCATCCGGGCCAATATTTGGCGCTTTGTAAGTAGTTGTGGATCAGCTTCCTTCTTCTGAACGCCTCCCTGAGACTTCTCGCCTAGTCTTATGTTGAACATCTCATCTTCCTCGATCAACTTACCACTACAGAGCTCCTTGTGCCTCAAGAGCCTCAACCTTTCGTACTGACTTTGCTTCTTTTTCTTTATTAACAAGTTCCACGTCGTTATAAGCGGCTCTTGTGTCTCTACTTCGTCGTCTTCGTTCACCTGAGGGAACTCTACATTCGCTATTATGTTCTCTTCGTCTTCCAAGGTGAAGGACTCATTGATGGAGTTGAACCTGATATCGTACTCTTCGAAGTTAAACTTCAACGTCTTGGAGATGCTCTTTAAGTTACAGTAGACATTGTACAAGCTCGAGCAGTTGGACCCCGGCAACGTCTGGAGCAACACCTTGGGCAACAACAGCTTCAAGGCAGTCACGTATGGGTAGTTGTACACGCTCTTGGGCTGCTCAGAGACGGTGTACGATTCGTGGACCAACACCTCTATAAACTGGAAGATCGTGGACTTGGTGTTGAGATCCACCTTCGGGTCGTCCACCACCTCAACGATCGTATGAACTAGATAGTCTTCCGACTGGTAGTATTTCAATGCAAAGTGAGCTCCTCGTATCAACGACTGCATAGACGGAGTCAAAGTCCTCAATATCTGGGAGAACTGTGTGCTTGTTTCGAACGAATCCATGATGCAGCTATTCTGGGGGCAACAGCGAAACGAATATGACTAGTTCGAACCTACAAATACTACAGAACAGCCCCTATTGAACAACCATCTGCTCTCCATCAACCACAAGTGCAGCACTGGAAACCTCACGCTCGCATATCCTGCTTACGTACGCGCTTACGTAAGAATCTTCGAAGAAAAATTTTTGATGAAGAAAAAAAAAAAGAAGCAAAACGGAGCAAGTCTGGCGGTGGGTTTCTCTTCACAAAACCTTTCGTAAACAGTCAAATATGGGTAAATCAGGTAAAGGAAAGGGAGGAAGAAATAGAAGAAGAGGAAAGAACGACAATGGTGGTCAAAAAAGAGAATTAATTTACAAGGAAGACGGCCAAGAGTACGCCCAAATCACCAAGATGCTTGGGAACGGTAGAATCGAAGTCTCCTGTTTCGATGGGATCAAGAGAATGGGACATATCAGAGGTAAATTGAGAAAGAAGGTCTGGATGGGTCAAGGTGACATCATCTTGGTCTCATTGAGAGATTTCGAAGACGAAAAGTGTGATGTAGTCCACAAGTACAACTCTGATGAAGCCAGAACCTTGAAGAATGTTGGAGAATTGCCAGAAAATGCTAAGATTAACGAGACTGATACCTTCGGAGCCGACGAAGACGAAGACGTCAACTTCGAGTTCGGTGCTGAAGACTCTGACGACGACGATGAAGACGATGACGAGTTGGATATCGACGATATTTAAATAGACCGAGAGCAACACCGGATGGCCAGCACAAGAGCTTGCCGAGCAGCTATGCCAGTACACAGCTACTTCAGCTACAGCTGCTTCGGCCACTACAGCTACCATAGCAGCTCGTGCCGCTAGGAGAATAGAACATGCGTGGAACAGGTGGGCATTACATGTATTTTAGTCTGGAAGCCTGACAAAGCTTCAGAGAACTAGCAATAGAGGTGAAGCACTATATAATATTCTTTAGTAATCTCTACAATGAAACAACATTTAAAAATACTTTCATGTTCTATGTAAAGGGATTCTCCCTATCCTTTTCTGTCAAAATGAGTCCTCACGTTCCTCTCACACCCTCGTTCTTCCCTCCGTCGTACTAATACACACACTGTTTTCATGGTTTTTCTCTCTCTTCGTGACATCGGTGGGCCATACTGTGGTCCCCTGTTGCATAAGGACCCTACCTCCTGTCATCGTCACTGCCCAACTCAAAGCTATCGAATCTCCTCAACCCCACGGTCTCCTCCTCGTGGTAGTCGTTCCTGTTGACCTGCATGGACCTTCTCATCGATGAGAAACCTCCTACACCGTTGTCTAGCGGTGCCATGTCCTTGCTGTTGTGAACTCCAAACAACTCTCTGTTTCTGCCTTCGTTTTCCTTTCTTGAAATGTTCAACAAGTAAACTCCACTAAAGATAATCAAGAACCCAATCAAGAGGGAAATCACATTGACAGCAGAGGCGGTGTTGAAACCTCTGAACAAGATGAACGAAGCACACAAAGTGAATGTGGTGAACGTGACATAGTACAATGGGTTGACAATAGACGTGTCGAACAGGTCCAAGGCCTTGTTGAAGTAGTTCATCTGCGTCACTATGCACAACACAACGATCAAGATAAACAAGTAAGTGGAGAGGTGAGTGAACTGATTGTTACCACCCATGGTCAACTTCAACGCAATTCCAAACGCCTTGATGGACATCACAGAGATGGACCCCACCAGCGAGCAGATAGAAATGTAGATCATAGGGTTGGTGCTACCGTACTTGGGAACAATCTTGTAGATCATAAACAACGCATACAACGCAACCATGAAACAGTAAAACAAGAACCCTGGTTTGGTAGCGTAGCCCAAGATTTCATCAACGGTCTCGATTTCCTTGTCAGGAGGAGCGTGCAAAACAATAATAACGGCACCCATGAGACAGATGGCACACCCCATCTTCCCTAAGGTTCCCAACTCTTCTTTCAAGAAGATGGCTGCCAAAACAGCTCCAATAATAACAGAAAGGGCCCCCAAGGGAGTGACCAAGATTGCAGGTGCAAACGTGTACGCAGCGAAGTTGGCAATTTCCCCGATGGCCATAGTGATGATCCCAGCCCACCAGATAGGATTCTGAAGGTACTCGCTGGCCTGAACTGACTCTCCACCGTTTCTGGCGGAAGCGTCCAAGAGACCCTTCTTGGTTATGATGAAAGAGGTTCCGATAGCCAATGATGAGGACATGGCCAACGCCAACCCTATATATTTATCGTCCACGACACTAGATAGCATGTCTGAAGTATGTCTGTAATGAAACGTGGATCAGTCTTGGGAAAGAAGTAAACTAAACTCTGCCAAAAATAAAAAAAAAAGAATTAGAAACACAAAACGTATCTAATTATCTCGCCTAGAAAATCAACAAGTCTCTTAATCAACTTAGCCAGTCTTACAGAATGAAAAGTGCTAAGTACTGCTATGTTGATTTCTTTTTCCTGACTTTGTTTTTTTTTTTATTTGCGTTTCTGGCGCATACCGCCTGGAAGGCGGTAACTTTAGCGGGCCATGGGCGCAGAAGAGCCCCCAAGAGGGAAAAAAGAGGGCCGCAATTAGGGAGCCGCTATTTTTAGAGCAGTCTGCTACTGAGGAGGAAAAACGATGAGGAATGCAGATTTTGACATGGTTGTGCATGGAAAGCAGTCAGTTCTGAGAGAGGTGCTTTTTGCAGTGCTTTTGGTCTTCCTGGCACATGTTTGACCGTATTTGTAGCTCTACTCTTACCGGCTTCTGGTGTCTCTCTGCTGGCCCTCTGCTGCCCCTCTGCAGGTCTTCTGCGTCGATTTAGGGGCTGCAGCTGAAAAATAGTGCCTAGTTGGGACGCGATTCTGATTCCGGTCGTGTTTTGGCTAAGTGCGTTTAACTTTTCTAGGAAAAATAGAGAGGCTGTGCCTGGCGATGTGCAGGTTGGTGCACGTGAGTGTGCAAGGGAATGTGCAGCCCAAGGTTAAGGTTAGGAGGCTAATACTGGCAGTCGTAGGCTTCAACTGGTCAAAGATATCGATCTGGGCCAAGAAACCGTTCATTCAGTGATATTACGGCCAGGAAGTACTAACTAGGTGTTTTTTTTTTCTGTTTTAGTTTTCTTTAGGAAGGGTCTGTTTAACGTGCATTCTTTTGAGATTATAGTACACTCAACACCCGCTGTATATTCATCATCCGCTGGGCATTACAGTCATTTATTGAAAGATAGATGGCTGCAAAACTGGACTGTGTGCCCTGCAAGGGTATTGACTTTGGTAGCAGGTCTGGGTTTAGATGAACCTGCTATTCTGTGCCCGGACCTCCTCTCTGTGTCAGCTAAGCAAACCACTGAAAATGGCTGCGAAAAGTAAATGGTTGCACAGGGTGTAGCCCCACCTTCCCTTTCTAACCCTATTCCAACCAGTATTTGCTATAAGGGGCACTCTATGATCAAAGTGAAGCCAATTACCCCGAATGCTATCCTATGGTACGCTTTTAATTCTGTGCCTGAATTCCGAGTGGTAAAAGACCATACCATTAACTTCTACGAGCATCAGAGATGGACAACATCCACAAAGGGCGATTTCAAAAGCTTTGCGCTTTCCCTTAGAAGCGACTCGACGGTTATCAGATGCACTACACATTCCCTAAGAAGAAGCACTCTACTAATTCAAAGTCTTGCACGCTCCATTCAAAAGAATTCGATAAATATCCAGAGTCTTCACTTCCCGGTGAGCCTTCAAACGTTGTGGTTGATTTCCCACACAACTACATTATTGGGAACATCCATGTACCATTACCATATCACATTCAAGGGTTACAACATAGGCTATTCACTTGCAAGTCTCTCGGCAATTTTGACGTACTCACTAATACTCTATCGAAAGCTTATTGCACTTCCCCACTTGACTTTGTCCATATTGAATTCTGAGAATACCCACTTGCTAATAATGGCATTCCTTACGGCTACTAGTGCCAGGAACTTTTTGAGGTTGGTATCATTTTCAATATACCTGTTCATGAATTTAACCAACCACTTTGCTGGAGGTAATCAAAAGTTGCATTTAAATCCATCGTTGGTTACTTTCGAATATCCACTACTCTTGGCGGCTGCATACTCTGAAATGATAATGTGCACTAGTGAACTTATAGACGCTCTACTTAATAGAGTTTCGCATAAAGTTATCTTTTACTCAATATTTATTTCATTGAGGTTGGCATCTTCAGAATACTTCTATTCCTCTTTCAGTGGCATTTCATGGATATGTATGAAAACGCTAAACGAAATCAAGAGTCAATATTCTAAGAGATCGATAACAAGCGAAATAAAAGGAGCAGAAAAGTCTGAAATACATCGGGTTGAAGTAATGTGTCCTCAGAAGAAGATTTTGGAGAATAGCCAAATTGATGATGATTTCCAATACATTTTTGAAGTGTATTAGTCTATTTTATTTAAAGTCTACCTGAAATATAAAATTGCTCTATTAGTTTTTGAATTCCTCTTTCATTTCCTGTAATCTTTCCCACCCCTCTGAGTCTTCCCACATAGCTTTTCCCTTGGACAATAATGATCTTACTGTTGATCTAGATTTGTATTTCCAATCTTTACAAACGACGTCTCCAGCACCATGTTTACCAGGGAGTTCACCAAGTGATTCGTATGCTGCAATCAAATCAGAACAAGCTTCAACAGCTTCATTCCATGCAACTTCGTCAATTTCCAACTCCGGTCTGTGAGTGACAGCTCTGAATGCCTTTTCATGGCACTCTAGCGCAACCCATGGCCTTTTCCTCCATAATTCAACCTTAGCCACAATCCTCCAGCATCTAGCAGACGTAGTAATGACATTAGGAAGTAATACACATACAAAGTCAATACATGATGACTGATAGTAAGTCAATGTTTGATCGTCGCCAGTTGGATATTCTGTTGCGACCAATATATCAACAAGCTTTTCCACCACTGGTATATCTATGGAACCTTCACCTGAATTGTCCCTCTTAATATTGATTAACTCCCTACAAGCAATTAACACATCACTCCACTCATTCAATTTAGCAGCAACAATCAAGTAATTTTCATAAATTCTCCAAGATTGTTTAGAATCACCTTGACACCTGATAGCCTTCTTTAAAGCATTGAACGCTGGTCTGGTTTTGTCTGTTCTTAATAAAGCAGATGCCAAATTAGACCAAGCATGAGAATTTGTCTCGTCCAATGAGACACACCTTGTGAAAGCTTCAGATGCTAAGTTGTATTGCTGACTCTCCAATCCACAGCATCCATAGAAGAACCAATTTTCATAATTCAAAGGATTTGCAGTCAAACATACGTTCATATGCTTAATTGCTAACTCAATGTTTGGTTTCAAACCAGAATCTCTGGGAGGATTATAGTAATAATGCGATAAGGAGCCTTGTGCCTTGTAATATTTGCCGACTTCCCACGCCTTTTCCCACATTGAAGGATCTTGTCTTATATCTCCAAGAATTGAAATAGCTCTTGCATCCTTTGGATTCACTTCCAATCTTTCCAATATTAACTTTTCAGCTTCACCCTCTTCACCAACTGCTGCATAACACAATGCAGCTTCACAAACCATATTCAATCTTAAATAAATCTCAACTGCAGATCTTAATACACCCAAACTCATATACTTTTCTGCCAATTTAGCATCCATCGTCCACTGAGGCATCAATGGTAATTGATGAATAAATCTTAGTCTGAAGGAGGCTGGCAATGATCCAGTACTGTTATTTGCAGATTCATCTTCCATGGCTTGGGGGATAATTCTTGTTTTAATTTTAATGCCCATTTCTTCCACTAATGATGTCATTTGCAATATACCTCTTTCAATTGTACGTGCTTTAGTGGTTTCTAATATAGATCTTTCCCATAATGCTCTAGAAAAGATAGACCAATTAGTCTGTTTGGAACTAGTGTACAACGCTCTACTAACTAAAGCAATTAATTCTTCATCCACCATGGAGTTTCCGGATGGAGATGTCTGCCTCAAAGTAGTTAATCTCAAAAGAAGCTGTAAGTTATCTAAATCTGAGAGTCCTGGTTGGTTATTTGGATCCAAACTTCTTAATTCTTCTGGGATATTCTCAGTTCTGAATGCTATTGGTAGGAGCTTTTCTTCACTATCACTAGCTGCACTTTGCAGGCCATCATCTGCAAAACTGTCAAGCTTGATCCTTTTCTTGTCAGAATCTTCTTCCTTGAATTCAAGATCCTCCAAGGATTCATATTGTGGTTTTTCCAATAACAAGTCTGAGTCCAAAGCAAAGCTTTCAGGGTTTTCCTTTCCGTCTTCCTCAGTTCTCGTGACACTAAACAACTTTGATTCTTGGCTCTTTGCTAACACAATTAAGGCAGAAGTGTGATATTTTTGGAACTTGGTTCTCTTTGCCTTTGCACCAGACAAAATGAACTGGAAATTAGAAAGCTTACGGGCCTTTCCAAGCAATGGGATGGATAAATGCTCAGTCTGGTTATGAATACCAGTTCTGGCACATTCCAAATAGTAGATCATTTGAACAGTCCTCTGTAATTCTGCGTTTCCATCTATAGCTGGGGACAAACAGTTAGATACTGAAGGATTTAACAACAAGGACGATACAGATGATAAAATACTGGCAGGTTCAAAGAGAAGCGAGATGTGAACCTGGAGAGCTCTGGCCATCCACCATTGCACTGAAGCCTTTAAAGCTGCCGAGTTCGAAGTTTCAGCTGAGCAGTTATTATTATTACTGTAGTAGTCGATCAATTCATCTGTCTTCAACTCACTATCAAGTATTGATGAAGTTACCTTCGTTAGCCTCTCAAATATCAACTCAGCAACGATAAAGTAAATAGCACCCTCCATTAATTCGTACGTTTGTTGACCTGAGATGTTCAAAATCTGAATGGATTCTAGCTGTATCATCTTTACGTCTACACCAGGGAAGAATTCTTCACTTGAATTGTGCTCAAGAGCTGGCCCAGTGAAATTAATTTGAATGAAGGTTTGTAAAAACGCAATTGCAACAAGATGCAAATGGAAGTTTGCAAGTTCTTCCAGATGGCACTTTTCGGTGAAGTTTTCGTCTATAACGTTGACATAATCTTTCAATACTGCTAATAAATCATTTTTAGGGTAAACGTGTAAAGAGTCTTTTGCTTTCGGACTAAAAAGGAGATCCGAGTATCTTTTAAGCACTTCTGGATATTGGCCCTGGAGCAAAAGGCGAACAGGTTCTTTGAAATCGTCAGAAAGCCCTTCCCCTTCGAAATTTTCTACAGGAAGAGAAATTACAAGTTGAGAAAGAAGCACTCTAAGATCTTTTTCCGAGATACTCATATTCCTTACGTTATTTGCTTACTAACTTGGTCTCTGAAGGTTGTTGCAATTTTTTTTGAAGCTCATCATGAAAAATTATGATGCACTATATGTTGGTACTGCATATAGTGAGAAATCGAAGCTTCTAAGAAGGTAAGCATTTGCACCCAAGGCCAATTATGTAATCAATATAAATAGTACTATTAAGTTTGAATATAGGTATATACATATATATATCTTTATGTGTACATGTGCTTATGTACGTGTGCTTATGTGCGTGTGTAAATATGTATACGTGTTTATGTCTATTTATGCAACGGATCTTCTACGAATTGGAGTGGAAAAGTGACATTCTTTTTTTGGAAGTGCTCGTATCTTTGCTTCCTGAACCAGAAGTACTTCCACTTCCACTTCCACCTCCACTCACACTACTACCACCTCCATGCTTGGTGTCAGCGTCAGAACTATCAGATCCAGCCCTTTCAGATCTTTCAGATCGTTTGATTTCTCCCGATCTGCGTTCTCTCTCTCCTCCACTTCTTCGGGGTTTAGGATTCTTAAGAGAGTGTCTAATCGATAGTCTATTTAACTTAGAACTATTTTCTGGGTTTTCGTCGTCAGATGCCCAATCGATAACCTCTTCTTGGAAATTTATGTTGTTTGGTATGTTAACTCCAGATGATATTCTTTTCTTAAACCTAGGCTCATTATTATTCTGCTTTATTCCAAACTTTTCCTCTTCATTTAAATTCAAGTCAAGTAGTGATTCGCCCTGGCTCTCATTCTTATACACCTTATGAGGGTTTAATGCTGGAGTGGAGGCCGAAGATGAAGACTCGAGTCCCACCTCCAAATCAATCAAATTGATCTGATCGCTAATGTTCCTGATATGATCTACATTATTCGAGACTGCCTTCAGAGCTTCCTGGTTATTCTTTTCAGGAGAAGATGACAAAAGTAAAGAATCTGCAGGATACGAATAGTGAGCAATGGGCTGAGAGTTTTTGGGTCTTTGATTAACGAGTGAGGCGTTTCCGTTTGAAGGCTCTACACCATTAACCATAAATGGTTGGAAACCTGGATTCGACTGCGAGGTACCAATATGAGGTGGCACGATATGTGGAGAAAATACTTGTTCCGTTTGAGCTTTCTCTTGGAGAGGCTTCTGTCTAAATTCACCCCAAGGGTTTCCACTCTTTTTTTCCAGCATATTTTTTGAATAGTTCTCAATCAATTCAGGTTCTTTTTGGAATACCTTCTCGGTTTGAGTTGGGAAAGGGTTGTTGTTCACAACTGCTCTCGTAGAAGATTCTTCTTGCTGAGGTATACTGGGCAATGCTTTGATGTTATCTTTCTCTAACTTAGATGGTTGTTCCTGTTGCTGTTTTTGGTTCAGGGTTGGGATCTCGGGAGCTCCATCAGTATTCTTCTTCCCATGATCATCGACAAATTTACCGTCAGCAATTTCATCTGGTAAAGTTTCAGGGAATTGATTCTCAAATTCAATTAAGTCATTGGCATCAAGTAAATTACTTGTATCTAAGCTCTGATCTGCTTCAGCATTATCATCATCATCATCACTACTATCTTTCTCTTTAGTTGAAGTGATTAGATCAGCTCCAAAAGATGACTCTGCAACATCTTTTATCTTATGAGATTCATCTTTGGGTTTCGCCAAAGAAGCGTTAATATCTTCTCTAGATTTTGAATGATGCTGACTTCTGTCCGATTTAGAGCTTTGACGAGTGGGTGCAACCGAAAGCTGGTTCAAATCATCCTCAGTAGCTATTGAACTTGATCCGGAAATTCCTGTTCCGAAAATATCACTCACCAACTTTTCTGTATCTCCATCAATACTTTTAGTGGTAACATGCTTTTCCCAAGCTTCCTTCTTTTCTAATTCTCCAGGCTCTGAGGATTTTCTGCTTTTAGAGCGTGACAACGAGTATTGCAGATCGTGAGTTTTGTTCGCTGCTAATTGCTGGGGCGAATTCTCATAATACGGAACAGACAGATTAGGAGGTTGTTGTTGAGGCTGTTGTTGAGGCTGTTGTTGACTTTGGGGCCGGTGCTGCTGCTGTTGCTGTGGTTGTTGTTGTTGATAATAAGATTGTTGATATTGTTGCTGCTGCTGGAAGTATTGCTGTTGTTGATATTGGAACTTACTGATTTCATACTGGTATAGTTGATGCTGGTAATTATAAGCGTTTTGTTGCTCTGGAGTGAGCTTTTGGATTTCTGCAACACTCAAGACTTGGGGTGGTGGAATCGTTGGAGGTATTGGAGCCTTCATTTGTGGCGGAGCCGGCTGCACTGGTACTTGGGACGCAGATCTTGAAGTTTGGTTGGCTTGAATTTTAGCTTGAGGATCAACACTCAAGCTTTCGAGTGACGGGTACCTTTCTTCGACATCATCCAAATTCTCAAACTCACCTTGAATTTCTAAACTTGAGCGATTAGAGCCCCTTGACACAGGAGCTAACTTCTCAGACGAATTGGTTTGGGAGTATGTCGGTAATCTGGATGGAATTTGAAGCTGGTTGGTAGATTGGGCAGTTGCTGGACCAGCTCCCGGTTCAGATGCTCCAGGTAATACTTGTTGAGCATTTTGAACGTTGACATTACTTGTTGTTCTGGAAATGCTCGATGATTGTTGTTGCTGTTGCTGTTGTTGTTGTTGATGTTGTTGTTTAGCAACTTGATATGCGTGCAATGCCTTAAAGTTATATGATCCGACATTATAAATGTCTTTGATTCGAAGATCATTGAACTCCACGCCAATCATCTTGCATATCAACATTATGACTTGCACTATATTTGGTCTGAATAATGGATTTTCTTGCAACATTATTATAATCAAATTCATTAAATCACCAGAATAGACTGGCTTAGGAGGAAATTGGAATGAAGCATGTAAAATAGCAATGTCTCCATTGGCTTCAAACGGAGTAGTATAGTAGCATAATTTGTATAAAAAGCAACCAAAAGCCCAGATATCCGCTTTTTCATTAATGGGGAAACCTCTGTATAAATCGATCATTTCTGGTGATCTGTATTGGGGTGTTGTCTGATACAAAATGTCATGACTTATCGTTTGGAATTCCTGAGGGTTTGTTGGAGCCATTATTGGGCCTGAAGTGGAACCGAAATCGCATAACTTAAATCTATGTTTAGCGTCGATCAAAACGTTCTCAATCTTAATGTCCCTATGAATCAAGTGGATGGTATGCATTTCGTATATCCCAATGGATATGTCCAAGATAATCTGTAAAATTTCCTGTTCAGTCAACTTTGTTTTTATCTTAGCATTCATATAGTCGAGCAATGACTTATTCGGGCACAATTCCATAAGCACAAGAACTTGATAGGTACCATTATCCAACCTTTCGGCATGCGAGTCGTAGTACCTTACTATATTTCTACCATGTGCCAAGGTCTTCATCACATCCACTTCCTTTCGAAGCTGGTCCAAACCCGGCTTATCGGGTACAATGACTCTCTTCAAACATGCTATATCTGAACCATTTTCAGGAGGCTCAATCTGAACTTTGTATATGTGTGCAAACCCACCCTCTGATAGGTATTTTAATACTGTCACCTGGTGGCTCCCTACCGGCAATTGAGTACCTTCGGGTAATTTTGGAAAGTTTCCCATTCCTCCTCAGTGTGATCAGGTCAATTCTCTGACTAATGTACTTCTGTATAGATTTTAGGCGTATCTATATTATATCTGGACACTACAAAAGATAATAAAAGACGCTATGTAAACCGACTAAGGTACTGCGATCAACCAATGGCGGGGGCGTAACTTTTGTATGATCGTGTACTCTTTGGTGGAAGTGCAGGAACAAGGTTTATCTCTCCTATTCTATTGAATTGTGTATTCAAATGTGTAACACCCAGCTGCAAAGTGTAATGAAACAATCTTTTCAAGTGCGAATTTACTTACTCTACGAGCTCCTGAACGTTTAACTTTGGTTCTATGTATTTAGAAAGGGTGAGAGGTGCTCGAACTTGATCTATTCGTTAAACAAAAATTAAAGTTGCCCTCCTTTAGGCTAAAAAAAATAAAAAAAAAAAAAATAAATAAATAAAAATATTTTGGTGAGCTGCTCCATCTACGTCATACAAGAATGTTGGAACGTTTAGCGAAGCGCTAGTGGAAAGCACCAGGTGCATCATTGGTGGGACTTAAACACTATTTTAGTCGGCAAGAGTAGATTAAATGTCTTCCAATATGTATTTTCCATTTCACTTTGATCGGAATGAAGACAATATGGTTGGACCACTGTTGTTCTAGATGATATTTCACTGTTCATCGGTAGGACTGCGGTCCATCGAATTGCATATTGAATGATCCACGAATCCGCATAGGACTTGACCTAGATACTATTTTACTCGGCCAGTGCAGTTTTAAAGCTCTTGAAATAACTTTTAGACATTTGAACTCGCTATAGGAAACGTGTGAAATACAATCTCGAATACAATCTCGGTAGGACTGTAGTCCGCTACCACATGGCACATTTGATCTGAATAATATTTTGTTCGATAGGACTGCGATCCACTACCAAACTGCGTATTTATGATCTATGAATTCGCCCAGGACTCGATCTGAATAATATTTGACTCAACAAGTGTAGTTTTAAAACTCTTGTAACAACTTTTCCATCTCACTGTAGGAAAAGGGTATAAAGACAATCTCTGTTCCACTGTCATCCTTTACCAAATTGCACATTTTATGTTCCATGAATTCGCTTAGGATAGTTCTAAAACTGATTTCGTTTGAGGTGATGAACTCCTCTAAACATGCATTGTAGAAACTCTTAAACTCTATTCCGAGTTTTATTGTACCCTTCAAGATATTTCTAGCTGCGTTGCTTCCTGGTTGTTCCTTCATAACCGCCAATTGCTTTGTCAATAAGACCCTGTACAAATTCTTTGCATTCATGGTTAATGAACTCAAAACATATTTGGCACCCTTGTTTCCATTGTGCTTGGTGGATCTACCCATGCTTAAGATATCTTTGAAAGAAACCTCAGTATTGAAAGAGTCATATGTGGTAAGATCATGGAATATGAAGTTGAAATTCTTTAACTTGTATAAATCCCACAATAATGATACATTGATGTTGTCAGACGACGAGATCAACCATATTTCTGGAATGGAACAAAGCTGCGAGAGCAAACTTTGTGTCTTCTCGTCTCTTAAACCTGGCCCGTCAATACTATGTATTGCTAATATCACCTTGGGGGAAATCTTCTTGGAGCTGGTTCCTCTCTTGCTTTCAATGTAATTCACCAAAAATGGTACAGTTTCCAGCACATGCTTAGGGAACCTAATATTATCCTTCTTCCTTTTTTCTTGTGGGATAAATACTGATACAATGTCACCAACAATCTGCTTAAATTTCACTGCAGGGTTATATCCATTAACTACCAATACCTGGGGCTCATTAGTTCTATCCCAGCAATCTTCGTACCACTTGAAAAAGAAATCTTCCAAGAATGAAAGCATTAATTCTCGCTTGGAACCTGTTCCATAGAAGTTCAAGTTGAACCCTTGCGATAATTCAAAGCACCACTGGTGGTATAGCAAGGTGTGCAACTTGTACAAAATCTTCTTCTCATTATTCTGAAATAGTTGTCCTAGCTTCACGTATGGAATAAACTCTGAGTATTCTAGTGGGGGAGCAAATTGAGAGAGTGAATTTCCACTGGCCCTACTTCTAACTGAATGCTGCTCAAAGTAGCCTTCTGTACCTTCCATAAAAATGGCTCCATCGTCCGCTAACCTGAAGTGTTTGATATCCGCCATTGGTTTTATATATTTATTAATAAAGTCTTCATCCTGGATTGTACCGTCTACATTTACTTTCGGTATAGGCATCGGTTCGAACTTCTTTGCAAATGAATTGTCATCCGCCTCCTTTCCATCAATCTTCCTGGAGATACCACTTATTATAGGAGCAGTGGTGTTTACATCAGTGCTGATCGAGCCTAAAGTTTGAGAGAAAATATCGAAGTCGTCGTCACCATCAGAGTCATCATTAAAAGCTCTTCCTCCCCTTTGGCTTTGTTTCTTCACTGGAGACTTATTCTCCTGAAAAAACTCTTCATCATCCATGTGAAAAATACTCTTAATTTTCCCAATCAATTCAGTAGCCTTACTGGGTCTACCAACCTTTCTCTTCGGTGTAGGAGAAGGTGAAGGTGATGCATCTGACTGAAATACCTTGGATGGTGATGTTTTAGGTGTAGATCTTGTTCTAGTCCTCTTCGCTGGCTGGATGCTCTCGATTTTTCTTCTTCTCTTTGGACGACTATACTCATCATCTGAGTCGTCAGAGAGTTCTAACTCATTGTCTGATGACTCTAAGTGCACTATGGCGTCATCGTCATCATCTCCCTCGTCGTCATTTATTTCTACAAGCACTTTCCTTCTAGTGATACTCCTTTTTGGCTTTACCTTTACTTCGGTCAAGTCTTCTTCGAACTCTACGTCACTTCCGTACGCGATTTCGGTATCACCATCTTCGTTTCTTGATTGCTTGATAATAGCCTCTGCTAACTTATCATCTTGGTAGTTCAAATACTCGTTGTCTTCATCAAAATCGCCGTCTTCTTCGTCACCTATCATAAGTTTCGCATATGCCTTGGAATTCACAATGGCCCGCTTCTTAGCTGATTGGTCCAACTGAGAGCTTGATCTCTTCAGAGGCGACGCCAATCCTGCCCTGCCACTCGGTGTCTTCACAGGAGATAGAACTACACTCGTAGAAGGTGACTGCGGTCTCAATTGAACGCTCATAATACCCCTTCTGCTCGGTGACTTCAACGGAGACCTTGCGACTGATTCACGCGAGAACGACATAACCCCATGCCTCCTCTTAGAGGGTGTAGCAAATATAGGAGACTGAATTGCGTCATAAAAGTCATTCTCCTTTATTGGAGAGCTCATCTGGTAGATAAATAGAACGAAAGAACTGACCTCTTACCTCTCGGTCACTGCTTTGGTCGAATCAACAATTTGCAACATCTTCAACCTGGAGAACTGAAAAACTCGAGCTTCCAAATTGTGAATTTCCTGCATATAGCCCCGATGATATGATCGTTAACTAGCTGGGCATGGCTATAGTGAAAAAAAATCTACTGTGAATGATGATGGTTCATCGCTAGGAGTCCATATCGAGAAAATTAGTAAGGTATAGCTTGTAGAACTTGTAGAACTTTGATAGTGAGCCGTCATATAGTGGGATAATCTCGAAACTTTTATATTAATCACACATTTACTGGAACATGTTGTCGTTTTGTCCAAACTGTGCTAACATGCTTCTCATCTCACAAGCAGATGATGGCTGCAATAGATTTTACTGCCCCACCTGTCCCTATGAATTTAAAATAAATGGATTCCAAATGTATGATAGGAAGATGCTCTCGAGAAAGGAAGTAGACGATGTTTTGGGAGGAGATGGAGCTTGGGACTTGGTCGATCAGACTGCTGCCCAGTGCCCCATCGATTCGTGCGGTGGTGATAAGGCATATTTTTTCCAGTTACAGATCAGATCTGCGGATGAACCAATGACCACATTCTACAAATGTGTTAAATGTTCACACCAATGGAGAGAAAATTAGAGGAAGAAAGAGAGAAATAGAAAAGAGTTACCTACCACCTTCAAGGCTGCATATAAGTTTGAAATAATTTAAACTTCCCCAATAAATACGACCCTTTAGGGTCCGATATTATTTGTAACATAGAGATTAATAAATAGCATTACATTCAGTATCTATCGTAGTTTGCATTGACTGTATCATCGTAGTTTGTTTGTCATCGCATTGCATTCACCAGACTAGCGTAGTTAGTTTAGTATTATGTTTGTTTTGCTCTATATATATACCGCTCCTCAGTTCCTGTTAGCCTGGACTACTTTTTTCCTTCTCTGGGTACACCGATTTGAGTCCCATTCCAAGCCATGACATCGGATTAGCCTGCAAAGTGACACTCACTGTACTAATTGCTTCATCGTTGTCTGTCACTTCTTTTTTCAAGGGCATTCTCCTTTCAGTCTCTATTTCCTCTTTAGGCTCAACTTCAGCATCAAACTCTAGACTGGAAGAACCTTTCTTACAATGATCTTCAGAGACCAGAACCAGAAACGAAAATTTCATGGAAGTTGGTACTCCAGTACTCTGTCTTTTATGGTTCTGTGTATCATCATCATCTAATGCTGCAGAAGAAAGCCTTTTTAGCACTAAATAGTCTCCAACCTCAATGAGTTGGGATGGAACCCCGAGAGTTTCTTTTTCTTCTTCGTCTTCTTCTCCTTCGTCAATATCGGTTTCAACGTCTGATTGAATTTTCTCAATCTCACTGCTTGGCACATGGCTAAAACTTTCTTCCATGCTGTTACTTTCCTTGTCGTAGTTGTAACCATCCAAGCCCCCCAACTTAATTGTGCTATAAGCTGTAGTTTCTTCATGAAGTGCATCTTCATTGAAATCTCTTTGAAATTCAAAGCCCTTGCCTTTGTCAACATCTAAGTTTCTGTACAACTTCTGAAGGTCTTGAATTATAGTCTTGTAGGCTCTCTCCCCTCTACCGATTATAATGTTTTGAAGATGATAATCTTTCCTCCTAGCGAGGTCACATTTCCTATCGTCTTCAGAATAATCTGGGTCTCTAAACTGAGACGTCCAATGCTGCCCTCTGATGTTCAATGTGAAAGCACTTCCACTATCTTTTCTGGTATATTTCAAGTAATCGGCTGCAATACCCATTTCACTTTGGCATTCCAAGAAATTCCACCGATTGATAATCTTAACTGGTCGCTCACGAACTTCATTCGAAGGTAATCCCCAATCTATTAATTTCATAGTATCATATTTGAACTCCAGAGGCATAGATGGTTGCTTGGAATTACAATATTTCCCAAACAATCTTGACATTTGCACCCCCAACTTCCAAGACTCTTTGGAGTCTACGCATGGATAAATCTGTTTCGGTTCAAAGCACTTAATAAGATCACAGCACTCCATATACGATGAATGTCTTGAAAAGATTAATTTAATTTCATTGGAAAGCAATTCATTTTGGCCCTTAGGTAATATCCACTTACGCTTACGAAACTGATATATTTTGTTACCCTTCTTGGTGACTGCTACTAACGTTAAGTCCTTTTCCATCTCCTCATCTTCTATATTATCCAACAGAATAGGACAGAATACACCAGCAAAATCGACAGCATTGAAATTTATACACTGTCGTATCAGCACATTGAATCGCAGAGTAGATTCTTTGGAACAAGTAGAATTAAACTCACAAGCATGGAATGAACAATTTTCGTTTTCCTTTGCTATAATCTCTTCGTAGGCACCACCTAGCACCTTCAACCTACTCTTCAATGCCTCACTTAAATGCAATCTTGAATTAAAGCTTTTACAGATATTCAACCAAGCCAATTCAAATCCAAGGATAAAGTCTTTAAAGAAAAAGCAAATTTCGGGATCGTTCATGGGATAGGACTTTAACAACAGTATAGCAATGTTAATACCATCATTATTATTTAGCATTTCTATGAATGGCTCCCCTCTGTAGCCAAACGTTGTGTCAAGGTATATATTATCTAATTGTTTCTGCTTCAACTTAGAAGTATACGGCAATAGATACGGATTACTATTCTTCAAACTTTCAAGCCACCATGTTTCAGCTCTCAAATCACCTGTACAAAGCACCGACTTACCAGCTTCAGTCTCAACTAAGAACATGACTGCACCAGGGCAGTGGTTTGCGGAGATCAAGGTCAAGGTGACCACTTGACCACCAACAAAAAGCTCATAATTTTGATTTAGATCCAAGGCTCTTACGTAATTGATATTGTGGCTATACTTGCTCTTTAGTTTCAATAAATCTTTAGTAATTTGAGAGCAATATATAGTACCAGAGAAGTTTATGTTTTCCAATCCCACCAAGTGATCTGCATGGCAATGCGTTAGCAAGAATACAGATGCACCATTGTTAAATCTGTCAAGCCCCACTCCAGGAACTTCGTCAAGAAGACCATTGAAGGAGGAACCACTCATTTCTGAGGAGTCTGACCTAATATCCAGATATGCGTAATTACAGCAAAAATATGGCTGCTCTCGCCAGGTAGTTTTAGTTAAATACGATGCTTGATCTGATCTAAACCTTATTTTTCATTCTTGACTCTTACGCGCGATAGGATTCTTCATACTTAAGATGCCTAGTGGGGTAACACTAGTCTAGAACATAGCTAGTTTGATTCTATACAGGCAAGTAGGAGGTTGTGCTGCTATATATTGGTGTATGTAATTAAGTATATGAGTACCGGCGTATATTGCGATTAGTGGTGGTGGTAGTGGCTCGGCTTCTGCTAAATCTTGAAACTGCTATATATCGGTTACAATCTGCATAGCATCCAGGGCTTTTTAAAGTAAGATTCCATAGTACTCTGCTCTCTTGTACTGCATCAGCAATTGCTCCCACTGCACTATAAACCTGTCAGATATTGGAAGAAGCAATTTTCCAGAAAGACTTAACAGATTAACTCTAGCCAAGCTTTCAATGTATATTATTCTCGTATTAGCTAACCCTAAAAATCTCAATCCAAATAAGATGTATGCTAATGGAACGCTAGTTCCTGGGCCGTTAAGCAAAAGTACGGAGGGAAGGTTGGGTAAAGTATATACTGCCTGAAACGTATAGTAAAACGATAACAAAGTATTTTTGATTGACAGGGTTATTGGTTCGCCTACACTCCTTGCTCTATGAAGGCTCAAAAAGGATGCGCTATATATACTGCCACTCAAGTGGTCTTCTTCGTACGTTTTACACTTCAATATAGACTTAGAATCGCCTGAAGACGTGACCCAAGTACGTGAAAATTCATTCAAATCTACATTTTCAAGAATTCTTATCATTTCTCCCGTGTGTCCACCAGATCCAAGTAATACCATTACGTTACTGCCCTTACAATCTTTCGGTAATATTTCCAGGAACCCAACAGTGGCATCTGCATTGAGTATTGGTAAAATCGATAATAGCCTTATGGCTAAAACGAAAAATGGCAATAGCCCTATTGCCACTTTTAACACTAATTTAGTCTCGGAATTCATATCCCAGTATCTACGCAGAAGAATTGTGCAATACAAGAGAAGTAAGTCACCAACATGAACTTTCGAACTACGTTTTTATGATTTTTTTGGCGTGGGCGCTGACCGCGCTGAACTTAAAATCTGAGAGAAGTCTACTGCTGCACTTCTGGTGGTAATCCCTGCTTAGTAGTATTAATTGGCGTGTATTTACTATATTATGATGAAGTTCTATTGAACGACGCATATGTACTATGTTACAATGAAGTTTGGAGTTTAAGCTTCTCTCTTATATATTACAATTCGAAGTCAGTACTCAAAGTTTTGTACTTGGTATCTTCGTTCTTCGCTTTCCTGCCTACAGCTTGGCTCTTTCTTTCATTCACCTTCCTGGCTCCATTACTGCTACTACTACTGCTGTTGCTGCTGCTCTCCAATCTACTGGTCTTCTCGAATTTCTTATCCTTCTCCGCCAATTGCTTTAATACTTTGGTGACCACTAAGCTCAACTTACTGTGTTCTTCCTTAGTTACACCAAGTGGTTTTGGTTTTCCCCAGCATACTCGAGTTGGGTATTTCCCATCAAGTACTAGTATTCCTGGGGTAGCCTTGTTCTTATTGCGGCCCACTAGGTTTATTTCACTGGCAAATGCTTCTGCACTCTTTCTATCTATAAAAGTAATAAACCCAGCTTTAGCCCGGTGTACTATTGTCAAGTTTTTCACTTTCCCAAATTTTTGAATGTACTCATTTATCACATACTGAGGAAGATCATCATTGATTCCAAAAATAAAGAACGATGTCACACTTTCGTCAGCAGGTGGTGGTGTAATAACTCCATTAAATGGGAGTTTTGACAAAATTTTAGAAATATCTACGTTTTTTAAATCCTTTATATTGGCACTACTGTGTTCCCTCCTATCACTCTTTGAGGTTAAAAACTTTGGGCTCGATTCGTTTAACTTTTGAGAGAGCTTAGTCAAGATATCTCTAGCAGCTTCCTGGTTTCTACTACTCTCATCTTCTTCTTCCTGGGATTTAAATTTCGATTCCAATTTATCGGCCATTATTGCCTTAACCTCCTTGTTTTTGGTCGCAGTTAATATTGGTGTACCATTTGAGATCCCAGCCATCTTAAGTGCAGCATCACGAACATCCAAAGGGATTCCGTAAGTAATATCGAACATACAAGACTGACAACAATTTCGCGCTCTTGCACAAGTGAGACATATTATTGTTTTGGAGTGCTTCTTGACAGATATAGAGGGCTTCCACATGTACACATTGAATGGTCTACTACAAGTTTTACACTCTGCCCCATTATTTTGTTTTAACATCTTAACATTTCTGTCTGTGCCTAGACACCTCTCACATATATCAGGGTACTCGTCCACTTCTTCACCACTTTTGAAGTTAACACTGCTCATTGTCGGTTGATTATTAGTACCGTTACCAAAAATACGAAAGACACATACAAGATAGCATGTATATTTTCGTTATTGTACTTACTAATGGTATAAACCCAGAGATTTTCATATAGACATGCTAAATTACATGCAGGATGTGATGATATACATTATATGCGATGAGATCCTCCAGTGGCTTCTCAAGAGGATGTCTGAATAGGTAACAGGCTACAATAATACAAGGTTCATAAGTGTGCAAGACTTTCTACAAATCTACTGGTTTAGGTTTTTCTTTCCGATGAAGTATTTATTGTTGGTTACTCGTGCTCATTATTTACTATTCATTATTCATTATTCATTCTTTCATTCTTCTCTAGTTAGTATTAAATTTTTGGAAAATTGAAATTTTTCAAACAATCAAGATCTCAGGGTTAAAAAGCTCTGATAATTTTTGTTCCACATGGTGATTCAGGTGAAGAAATTCGTTGTATTTGATTATTGATTCATCAGCGAAATTGATTTAGTTCGAATATTGACATAAAAAACATACACTTTATAGGTTTTAAACCATTTTCCACTACTGTTACTTGATAAGCACAAGTTTTAAATTGTAAAAAAAAAATTCTTCAGTGATTTTTTATATGAGAATGTTGAAAATTTGGGCTCTCTTACCCGGACTTGTGTAGTACACAACTTCCGCTTTAGGGTTTTTGTTAGCCAAGTGCTGCATTTCTCTCCAGCTGGTTGGGGTTTGCAGCTATTGCTTCGTTTGTTGCCTATGTCTACAATTGTCTATATACAGATTAGCATATCCATATGTAAAGAATGAGTTTTCAACTGCTCAAACTTTAATGTGAACTTTTTCATCTTTTCAAGTGTGGAATTTGCAGCTATCGCTGTGTATATTCATGTCTATGTCTATAATTTCTATTTACAGGTTAGCATATCCTTAAGTAAAGGATGAATATTCCGCTGCTCAAGCTTTAATTCGAACTTATTCACTTCTTCCAGTTCAGTAAGATCTAACTCTTTAAGCAAGTTCAAGTTCGATATGAGTTTGTACATGGCTGTGTATGCGAACTCACTTCTTGTCCAACCAATATACCCATCTGAACCTTTAGTGTTGATGAATTCATTGACAACTTCAAAGTCTCTTCTCATAGCAGATTTCATTCTTATAACAGACTCAGGCAGAAGAGGTAATTGCCTTACTATGGAAACTATCTCCAGATGTAGTTGTAGTTCGTTTCTGTACAAATTAACAGCTTCGATATCAAATAAGGAATTCGCATCTGACTCTTGCTTTTGAATCAACAGAATAGTAGCAGATATTGATTTCTTTTCGTCGCATAGTAGGGGAACTAAATCACTCTCGACATCAGAAACATTGAATAAATTCAAAACATTCTCAACAATGTATTTGGAAACAGCTAAATTTCCAGATTCAAACTTAAAATCAAAGAGCCTGGACAATGTAGATGACGCTAAGTCTCTAATTTCACGGTCATCATCCGACAAAGCAAAGTAGAGGGAAAAAATTGCTTTACACATATAACTCGTGTATACTTTATCAGTTAATTCGTTGGTAAACGATTCCACGAATGCAGAAACTGCATTAATAGCAGAATACCTATTATCAAATGGCTTGTCGTCATCTGCATAAATTGAAACAAGTAAGAAGAAATCGTTAATGTTCAGTACGGCGAATTCTTTGTTTCTTTTGAGAAGTTCTGCACTCAATGGGCCCAAGACTTCAAGGGCCATTGAGTTAACATCTTCGCTAAAATCTCCACAAACAGTAAATTCTTTTAATAGGGCAACCATTGAAGATAATTCTTCGTCAGATTTCATGATGTAGTGTTTTGATGAAGACAACAACTTCTGGGATAAAGATAATGCCGCTGACTTGACTAAACTCCAACTGTTATCACTACGTATAATCATCAGCCATATATCATCATTTAATTGTGTCCATTCTCTATCGAATGTTCCACTTTGGCGCAATACACTATAGTGCTTCTTGCAAAAAGAAATTCCAACTAGCTGTACTTCGTATGCTTCTTTAGATAATATACAGATATTGATCAATTCTATGCATTCTTTAATTTGAGATTTATGCAAATGCTGGGATAACAAAAGATTAATAGTTTCCTGCAAAAATAATTGCTCCAGACCCCCTATCATTGCATCTGAACTAAGGTAGTTCTTTATAATAAAGGTAGACAAATACTGTACAGCAGATGAGGGCAATTCCAAATCATGAATATGCAAGAGAATGTCGATATAAACTTTATTTATGGCCCAGTCAAATGTTTGGCCATAATGTATGAATGAGTGAGCCCTTATTATTAAGTGCTCAAGGCACAAGTGTAAAGTTTCAATATCTGGAAGTTTTAAATTAATTCTTTTGATAATTTCCAAAATTGTTAACAAGATACCATGTCTTTTATTAAACAGAACATTTGCATGAAATTCTTCGAGTAATTTAATAAGGAAATTTTCAATTTCAATTGGCTGTACTACTGCTGCTAATGCTCTTGCAGCCACTTCTCTAATTTTCCAAGATTTATGGCTCAAGTATCCATGTAATAATGTTTCGAATCTTTTTAAACTTGATTCCTCTGTATCATTATTGGATTCCAATCTCATTAAAATGGTTATTATAGGAAAGACAGATTCTACGTTTGAATCTCCACTTAATGAATTGTCTAAATTTGAAAGTAGAATGTTTTCAATTCCGTCGTATTTGTTAAAGAATGACTTTGCACTAACGGTTGGGATAATACCCCCAAGCTTCTTAGTTCCAAATAGTCTATTTTGCAATGCTGTGAAAAGCATAACTGCGCAATTTCTGATGGCCCATGTTTTAGAATTGCAATTTACAAGAGCAATTCTCAAAGCATCTTTTACAAAGAAAACACTATCATCGGAAAGCTGTGAGTCTATGAATATATGCTTCATACTGTTAAATGCATGGACTTGAGAAATATCCATTTTTTCATCTGCATTTGGAACATAGGGGATGCTAGCAATACGAATTAATTCCTTCATTGAGAAAGATAATAATGTTTCTTCTTGTTCTATAACATTATAGTTTCTACTATTTTTGCCAGCAGTAAGAATACCTGTAATCAAATATGGCAATCCACCGGATCTTCTACTGATGAGTTGAGTTTTCAGTTCAAGAAGTAAAATGTTACTTTTCAACCATTCAAATGGCTTCCTTTGTAGATCCGAATCACTCAGTTGAAGACAGCATTCACAACAGGCAATGAAGGTAGGATAAACAGAAGAAAATGCTCCTCTATGGTTAACCGAGGATAGCTGATCGATGGTTATATCAACGATGCTCAAAAATTCTTCCTTTTTAATTAAGCGAGGATGCTTAGAAGAAATATCCAAAATAAATTTTAAATACGACGTTGATTCCTTGACTAACTTCCAACTATAATTTAAGGTTAGTTTTTCTTCTACTTCACTTAAGTCTCCGGTAGTATTGCCCAACACGGGTTTAACAAACGTCCAAATTTTAGGATAATATTCTCCAATAAATTTAGAAAATAATCTTTCATAGAATGAATGGTTGACAGGAAACATTTCTGGCTCCAAACTTGAAAGCATTAGCCTCAATGCTGTAAAAACACCATGAAGTCTATCTTGAGGAGCTACCGTTTCAAAAGACGGCAGGAGTACAGCCGATTTATCTAAAACTGAATCAATCCTATTGTACAATAGATCAAACAAGTCGATTATTTTAGTATTGAATTCGAGCCTTTGATATGCTTGTGTCAAGAACTGTAACACTCTTGCTCCTCCTTCACTTTTCCTGCCCTTGAGGTCCAGTAAAATTTCGATGCTAACGCTGATTATTCTTTCCAGTTGATTGGAATTGCCAATTAGAACTTCGGCTATCTTTTCCTTAGGGCACATTAATAATAAGGAAACACTTTTCTCTCTTAGATCTTCATAATTATTTGTAATATTATCCATCAAAATACGAATCAATGAATCACTAAATATTTCGATTGAATAAGGAAATTTGATACCAGAGTTTGACTTCTTGCTTTTAGTTACTCCTGTAGCATCATGTGGTGTTAACACCACTGAATTGTCTAAGCCTAATGTAATTAAATATTCAGTAATATGAAATCCTAAGAATAATTGTGCATAATTTGATGCTGGTGCAAGATTTTTCAATAAAAACTTTACTAGCCATTGCAAGAAACGTTTCGCCGATAGTAAATATTTCTTCAATGAGTCTTGTCTGTCGCTCTCCACATTTTTCTTTTGAAGTTTAGTTAAATCTCTATTAGCTGAGTAGGATGAATCTAAAATTCTCATGAGAAATTGTTTCATAGAGGATACGAAATCATTACGAATGTCAGTATCATCATAATCCATGAAAAATGTTTCTATTATATTCTTGTCAACCAAAGTATCGAGAATGTACTGAGGTATTGGCACAGAGCTCTTAGGAGATCCCAAAAATAATGCAAAGGATGCCAATCTGTACTTTGGAGATTGGTGAGTCATAATATCTATTAAGATTGGTAAAGGAATGACTGAATCTTTGTCTTGAGGGTCAAATGGCTCGGTGACAATAGCTAAATCTTGGCCTACTTTGGCCACACCTATAAGTAGATCTATATCAGTATCTATTGAAGCTTTAGATGTTTTGAAGCTAAGATTCATAAAGCTGGAGAAGCTTTCTTGTGAAATGGTAAACAATAACGGGAGTAAGTAGGTCTGTATATTCTTACGCAGTTTCAAGTTGCGAAGTCCTTCCATAACAGAGCTTTGCCAAAGTTGGATCCACGTAGCATGCTCAGTAGGCTCATAGATACCTCTGTAAATCGTTGCAAATGACTTACTTGCCGAATTTGCAAGTGCATCGGACCACATTATGGAAATACAATTGTTAGCAAATGTCGGATACTTATCTAATATGTACTTGGGATTGGTCAGCTTGCCCAATACTTCGATTAATTGGTACTTAGATCTAGTGGTGATGGATAAATTCATCACAGTATCGATCCATTTTTGAAATATTTCATCCTTTTCACTTGCAAACGTCACAATTACCGTATCTATCAGCTTCAATAAAAGCACATTCAAAGCATTCAGACTCGGACCAGAACTTTGCTCTAGGAAGTCCACAATGTACTGGAATAGACTATTAATATCTGACCTTGCGAGTAGTTTTTCCAAGCTAGATTTCTTTCTCACACATTGCGTATATCTTAGCAACCAAATTGATAGCACATCGCAGCATAACACCTTAGTTTTATCACCAGATTCGTTCACCTTTACATCGAGAAGAGTAGCATAGACGCACTGGAAACTTTGCAACTCACCAGAAGATACGTCGTGAAAGAACGAACCAACGTTACTTTTAATGAGTTTTTTCTTCAACACAAGTAGCTCTTCCGAGCCTAGTTGAGCCATCACAGTATATGACTTTCAAGACTCCTACGACTATCCAATACCCAGGGAAGCTCTTGAACACTTACTATGGAGATGAGATCCATGCAGTCTGTGTTCCAACATAGTGAGTGAAAAAAAAAAAAAAAAAAAAAAAAAAAAATATAAGATCGTAGCGCCTAAGCGAGGCAGAAGCACCGAACAGTGCACCAGAATGGGAAGAGCATAGAAGTGCAATTCTATCTCTTATACCTTTCTAGTGCATCACCAAGTCCTAACGCAGTATTTCATGCTTAATTTGTTGCTTCAAGGGCCCCAATGGCAAATATTGCAGCTCCAGTGTCTACTAGAAAAGGTTCCAAAATTCGCTTCTTTAGCGCTACCACTAGCGTTTCTTTTTCTGCAGGTGCGACTGGAGTGAGCCAAAGTTAAAATCAACACTACGCTCAGCTTTGGCTATGGGTTCTTCTCTAGTTTGTAAGAAGCCACTTCACGTGTTACTTACTTTATCTGATTCCTGGAGACGTAGCTGAATTAAGCATATTTATTAGTATTGTTTAATACGAGAATTCAAGGAATAATACCCTTTGTCAACTACCTTCCAGCTTTACCCCTATAATGTATTCGGTCGAACACATGTACCAAGCGTACTACCATCTTTTCCCACATTATATGTTGACGAAGGTGGAGAGTATGATGCTTCGTAAGTATAATGTAAAATAAAATAATATCTACCTTCCTACCATGCCAAATACTAATGAATAATTTTAGACTTCTTTTTACTTTCCTTTCTTCTCTTTGTTGCATATGGAGTGTTTAGCTATTTACCAGCGCAATTGGTATTCTTAGGTTCCAGAGGGTACTACTACTTATTTGGAGTATAAAGAAGAACAACGTAAGAAGTAGAAATATACATACTACTAACTAAGGTTAGGCTACTAGAAAAATCCATTTCCTGAATATGCAAACGCTAACGTATCAGGAAAGAAGGTGTGGGTCTTATATAGGACCCATAAATCATATGCAATATATAAGAATGGAAAAGCACTACGCTGATAAAACAGTGGAAATCATAATGATAACAGTAATGATAGTAATAATAATAACAACATAATATTAATAATAATAATAATAATAATAATAATAATAATAATAATAAGAACCACAAGTAAGTAAAACTAATAATATTAACATGAATGAATAGAAAAGTTTCCATGTAGCATCATTTGGCTAGTTAGTTTGATAGTTCTCAATATGGTTTCGCGTTTGGCGATATGTAAACAAAAGCATCACACTCAGATCAAACTTCAAAGTTGTATATAATGTACTCTAGCTAGTGTAAGCATGTATAAAAATGGTCCTAGAGCTCCTTTCAAACCCCCTCGGCCCATACTGCTGCAGAGTAAAGTGCCGAGTGTGGTGGTCGATGGAGTAATTGCTCGTCCTAAAGTAGCTGAGAAGATTGATGTTCTATCTCGTGTGATCGAAAAGACAAACAAGAGAAATGATCAGGTTAAACCATTACATGATAGCAACAAGAGGTTGAAAATTGAGCAAACACACACCTCAAGTGCCTCCTCATATATCGTCCAATGGCGCAAGAAGTCATCTAAGAAGAATAAGACTTGGGATGGCGATGGAATCATCAATTATGATGGATCAACCATTGCCTTCAAGTGCGACACAAAGGGCAATGATAAATTCAAAACAATGGGAAGTATTTCCAGGAAGTCTATTGAAGGATTAATCAGTATAGGGAGCTATGAACTTGAAGTAGATTGTGAGGTAGATGCTAAAGAAAATATTGAAAATAAAGCGGTAGAGACAATCCAACCTCTCCCTAAGGCTACTCTGTTTAAGAAGGTGATCCCGACGGTGAACTCAATTCCAGCTATATCATCGAGACGTTCTCCGTTGAACGACCCCTCAGATACGGATTCCTTGGTCATGAAAAAACCTACAGAAGAATCCTTAGACGTTGTTGTAGACCCCAAACTTAGTGCTGCTCTAAGGCCCCATCAAAGAGAAGGGGTTGCATTTTTGTATGAATGCGTAATGGGACTTCGTAACTTTAAGGGAAGTGGTGCTTTGTTAGCTGATGAAATGGGCCTTGGTAAGACTTTAATGACAATAACACTTATCTATACATTATTGAAACAGTCACCTTATGATGTGGAAAACCTGGTGGTAAGAGGAGCTGTATGTAAAAAGGTTCTCATTGCGTGTCCAGTTACATTGATTGGGAATTGGAAGAAAGAATTCAAAAAGTGGCTAGGGATTCACAAAGTTAGTGTTCTTGCTATAAACAATAAACAATCATCTGCAAAAGATAAGCAAGGTATACGAAACTTTGGGAAAACAAGGGTATACAACATCATGATTTTGAGTTATGAAAAAGTACTCAGCTGTCAGGATGAATTGAAAGACTTGAAAGTGGATCTATTGGTCTGTGACGAAGGTCACAGGTTAAAGAACAGTTCCAATAAGGTGGTTAAAGTATTCAACGAAAGCCTTAGTATTAAAAAGAGAGTATTACTCACTGGTACTCCGATGCAGAATGACCTTACTGAATTCTTCAACATTTGTAACTTCATAAATCCCGGCGTATTGGGTACGTTTAGTTCTTTCCAAAAGGAATTTTTGAAGCCAATCTTAAGACTGAGAGAGGTAAATTGCATAAATAAAGAAACCATTAAAAGAGGAGAAATGAAGTCAAGGGAACTAGTCGAACTTACAAAACATTTCACTTTAAGAAGAACAAGTGATATACTTTCAAAATACTTACCTGCCAAGACTGATTTGATATTGTTTTGCCCTCCTACTTCTCAGCAGAGGAGCCTTTTCAACTTGGTATCTAGCAGTCAAAAGTTTAGGAAACTTATCCTGCAGTCATCTTCAAATGATTCGTTGCTTATGATTAATTTGTTCAAAAAAATTTGCAATTCTCCCTTCCTCTTACAACAAGATAAAACATTCCAAGCCTTGAAAAATGAGGTAACAGATAAAGTTGACTCCTCTCTTGATAAATCATCAGGTAAAATTTTAGCCCTAATTCCATTGCTCATAGAGATCAGAAAGACGAATGAAAAGACGGTTATCATTTCAAATTATACTCAGACTTTAGATTTACTTGAAGAAGTCTTAAGAAAGCTAAACCTTCAATTTTTGAGATTAGATGGAACGACACCAAACACGATGAGAGATAAATTGGTGGTTGAGTTTAATACATTGCCAGTTTCTGCAAACTCAGTATTCCTTTTATCGGCCAAATCCGGAGGTGTCGGACTAAATTTAATAGGCGCCTCCAGATTAATATTGTTTGATAACGATTGGAACCCTTCGGTTGATTTGCAGGCAATGGCAAGAATCCATAGAGATGGCCAAAAGAGGAATGTTTTCATATATAGATTGATGACAACTGGCTGTATTGATGAGAAGATTTTTCAAAGACAACTAATGAAGAATAGTCTTAGCGACAAGTTTGTGGATAACAAGAACGGCTCCAATTCTGACGTTTTTGATATGGAAGATCTAAAAGATTTGTTCACCATTGTTCAAGAGACAAAGAGTAATACTCATGATTTGTTAGAATGTGAATGCTCTGGAATAGGTGAAGATTTGTTATTGGAAAGTCAAGCAGAAGGGAACGAAGCTAAAGTAGAAAGTGACGATGACACACCTCCTGGTTGGATTTCAGCTCTAGATTACAAGCAAGTTGATCAGATGTCCATTAAAAAGAAAGCTACTATAAGAAATGCGTTACTTGAATATAATCATTATGATCCTAAAAATTATACCGAAGAAGGGGTGGACTCTGTGCTTATAAATGTCATAAAAAACTCAAAAGACTGCCCTATTTCCTACTTGCTTTCAAAATACACTACGAATAAAATAGAAGAATGATAGATGGTAATAGAATAATACAATTAAGCTCGCCTATAGATCTAACACAATTACACAGTTAGTATTAGCTTGGACTTTTGAATCTAGCTTCAGCTGCTCTTGCCCTCTGCTCTCTCATCAATCTCATCTTCTGTTGATCAGATAACCCACTTAAGTTAGCATTCATTGAAACATTTCCATTACTACCACCTAACACTCCACCTCCTGAAATCCTTGGGATTTTCAATTCTAATTCCGTCTTTTTAGCTAATTCAACTTCTATCAAACGCTTCTTCTCTTTACTGATTTGCTCTTGTTCTTCTTTCTCTTCCTGTTGTATTTCATCCTTAGTCTTGGGAGGACCGACCTTGGCAGTATCCCAGTCACAATAATCTTCACCAAGTGAATTCCTTGCGATCTGGAAAGCTTTTCGGGTGGTAGGGTTGGCTGCCAATTCAACTGCGCTCCTATGAGAATCATTCTTTAGCAATGGATCCGCTTTTAAGTTGATAAGAAGGATTTGAACCATATGCGAAAGACCATGCGAGGAAGCATAGTGAAGTAAGGTGGGTGCATGAATATGTTGACTTTTAGGCTCTAGACTCATGTTTGGGGATAGGTTATTCTTCTTGATGTAATTTATTAAAAGGGGTGCTTTTGATTTCTTCAATAAATTGATTAACTCGGTACTGTGTAGTTCCTCTGGGGAAAGTTCAACTTTAGCTTGCTTTTTCTGTATTATTGAATTCTTTATTTGTTCTTTCTGTTGCTGTAACTTCTTCTTAAGCTTAGAATCTTCCTTTGGGATATCTAACACCTTCAAATAAGACAATTCTGCCCAAGCTCTCTTCAATTCTGATGCAGTTGCTCTCTTTGTAGTAAAAGGGAAAGTCCTCAATCTTGGGTCGTCTGTGTTTAACTCACAGCCTTCATATCCGATCAATATCTTTCTTTGAGCCGGACCGTTGGCACGAATGAATATAAACTCACAGCCTGACAATTCATTCCTCCATGATCTCAACAATTCTCTGATTTCCTGAATGAGAGCCTGTTCGTTGTAACGACGTATAGTTGAACCAGCAGAGTTTGCCTTGCCCCTAGCATTGTCGCTAGCGCTTTGAGCACCCCCTTGCTTTCTTCTGGTAGTGTATCTATGGAAAGTCTTAGAAACTAGAATGTTCACCGCTTGTTCTTGCTTGGTAGTCTCCTTAGTGTTAATTGGATTTCCTCTAGTGTTCTTAGCTACATGAGACACAATAGCACCAGCGAAGTGGCCACCTCCAAGCATAAACATGGCAGACTTCTTTGATTTAATAGGTTCTTTACTAAAGTTATGGAGAGTTTCAACGGGTACATTTAAAAGCTGCTCCGGACTAAAAAGACATTTATAAACACCGAAAACTTTTGCGCTGTCTTGTCCCAAGATTGAGGGAGACTTGAAGTACACATAGGCGGACTTGGTGTTCAAGTGACTTACAGTATTCTCGTCACTGTCATGGCTATCCCTAACATTCAATTTCTCCATAATATTATCCAAATTTCTGGTTCCATCGTTGTCCTTGTCCTCATCTTCGTCATCGTCATCCTCACTTTCAGATCCGGACAAACTTTCGATGGACTGCTCTTCAACCAACTTATCAAAAGCCTCTTCTGAGAGGGGTTCCTGGTTCTGCAAGGACCTCTTAAGGTTGAATCTGTGTAAATCGGTCTTGTAGTGGGCCTTTCTTTCATCAAGATTGCCGAATGGTCCAATCTTACAAACAGTGCAAACTGAGCTACTCCCATCTAAAGGTTTCGCAGGTGCTGGAGCTGGTGAAATCGATCTACTTGGAACTTGTTCTGCACTCACCTCAGTGATAGAAGAGTCGAAGTATATTAACTCCAAGGAGTCGGAAATCTTGGGTTGCAAGTTGAACAAGTACAACGATTCTGGAGCTAAGTCCTTACCCTTAGCTAGCGACATTTAACCTATTATTCTTCTGGCTATAGATGTTTCTTTAATTTCTTCTTCTTCCATTTTTGTGCCTTGCCTTTATAGCGCATAAAATTCGCAACCATTGAAAAATGAAAAATTCAAGCACTGAGTCACGATGGCAAAGGATTGTAATAGAGTAGAAGGTAAACAGAGAGACATGGCAATGTCTTGCAGTGACAGGTCAGAGATTAATGGTACTACAAATGGATATTACTCGTAGTTGAGCATTTTCTATACAATTTTTTCGTTCTATTTATTTTTAGCTAAATTATTTACAAAGCAAAACGATACGTTTGGTCCGTCATGGCCAATGTTCTTATGAATCTTTATCTATCACTTGCTTTCTGACCCTACGGTTCAAACCTTTCAGTTTCTTTCTTGAACAGCTCAAACTTTAACTTTTACTTGTAATTCTCTGATAACCATCGTCTAGATTACGCTGAGCCGTACTTGTGGCACTCTTTCAAGAAATGGCCAATCTTTTCAGGCTTCATAAACGGATGAGTACCATGGCCGAAGTTAATGATGTAGTTTTGCTTTCCACCGCCAAATCCTGCAATCATGTTCTTAACTTTTTCACTGATAACTTCGTCTGATCCGTACATAATACCTGGATCCAAATTACCCTGCAAGGTGATTCTTCTGTCGCCTACAACCTTAACGGCATCAGCTGGAGGGTAGAGCCAGTCCAAGGAGACGGTATCGTAACCGGAGTCACATAACTTATCTAAAGCGTACCAGGCACCCTTGGCGAAGACAGTAATGGGAATTCTATCCTTGACACCCAATTCTTTCAATCTTAATGGTAATTTCTCAGCGATTTGACGCAAGTACGGTAAACAGAATTCGTCGAATTCTAATGGTCCCAATTCTCCAGCCCATGATTCGAAAACCTGTAACATTTGAGCTCCAGCAACTACTTGCTGAGCCAAAAACTCAATACAGCAATCGGTGGTAGCCTGTAACAACTGGTGAGCCTCCTTGGTGTATTCGTATAACCATTGCTTAGCAAATCTGAACATCTTGGAACCTTGTCCTTCAGTCATGTATACCAAAAGTGTCCATGGAGCTCCTACAAACCCAAGAAGAGGAACTCTACCGTCCAACTTGATTCTGGTGGTAGTTATTGACTTGTAAGCCCAGGCTAACTCCTTTACGACGTCTGGCTTTAAATTGATTCTAGATAAATCTGCAGGAGATCTCAATGGGTCCTGGAAAACTGGTCCCTTACCGTCGATCATATCGATCTTGAACCCCATAGCTTCAGGAATAACCAAAATGTCACTGAAAATAATAGCAGCATCAATCAAACCGTCGAAATGGTCGATCGGTTGAATGGTGATTTCGGAAGCAATTTCAGCATCTCTACAGGTTTCAAAGAAGTCTCTTCCACCTTTGACTACATGGTACTCTGGAAGGTAGCGACCTGCTTGTCTCTGGGAGCGAAAGTTAGTAAAAACTGACCGGTCTGGCTACACAAGGTGAAAAAATTCAGAGCAACAAAAAAAAAACTAAAAAAAAATTAAAAAGTTTTATCACCACTTGTGTATACTCTAAATCACTTTACTATTGGATTTATAGCTTATACCCCATCAATCACTCTTCATCTCTATCTACGTACCATGATCCAAATGGGTGGTCTTTCCACCTTTTCTCCGAGAGCTGCTCTGAGTATCAAGTCGTTCTTTAATTTAGCAAATTCGGGCATCTTTCTGTGTCCTTTCAGCTTATCCTTACGGTATATCTTCTTCTAGAGACCGCTGTCGGCTTTCAGTCCAGCAGTTTGCTAAACTTCATCTGAAAATTCACAGTCGCTATTTCGAAATTTCCTCGATGACTCCACACGCTAGATTATATGCAGGGGTGGCTATTACCGTTAGCAATGTCCCTAGACCAGACGGCGAACGGCGGCAATCGTCCCTAAACCGTGCCAAACCAGCCCGCATAGATAGCGAGGGGAGCAGAGAAAAAAAAAAAAAAAAAAAAAAGAAGGAAAAGTAGAAGTCAAAATTAACGCTAGCGTAACGCTGCTCTTCTTCTTGTACACCTAGTTATTTATTGCACCTAGCGAGTTATAGCTTCCAAAATGTCGGCTAATGAATCGCAAAGTCACCCTGAAGGAGGCTCGCCCAGAAATAAGCAGCAGCCTACCTTCAATGGGTCCACTAACGAGAGCTTATCGGAAGATAGCAATGTAGCCAAGCAGAGCGGCAAGGGAAAGTCGGGATTTTCCATTGTGAATACCATAAGCTCTCTCTTTTGCTACAGGAAAACATCACTCACATTATTCATCTTTTTGACTCTAGTTGCCACGTGGTTGGCATTCTGGTTCGATACCAGCTTGGAGCTCTCAATTGACCTCCCTACCGATAAGCTAGAACTGAAGGTGTTGGAGAACGCTTGGTTGGATTTGCAAAACATTGGGAGATATGAACATCCCTATGCTTCCAAGGGAAACGACTATGTGCACGACTACATCTACGCTAAGTTAAAGAGAACTATCAAGGAGGGTGGTAAGAAGTACATTGAATTGGATGACGATGAAAACAACAACATCTTGTATGGCAATGCTAAGGAGACCGTTACCTACTACGAGAGCAACAATGTTCTTGTTAGAATTAACGGGACCAACCTGAAATTGCCCGCCTTGTTGGTCAGTGCGCACTACGACTCCGTCCCTACATCATTTGGGATCACAGACGATGGTATGGGTATTGCCTCCATGTTGGGGTTAGTGGAATACTACGCTCAGGGTAAACAGCCTGCTAGAACCATTATCTTTAACTTCAACAACGATGAGGAATTCGGCTTGTATGGTGCCACTTCCTTTGTATTGTCCCACCCCTGGTTCAAGCAGGTGAGCTACTTCTTGAATTTGGAAGGTACTGGAGCTGGTGGGAAGTGTGTGTTGTTCAGAGGAACTGACTATGGAATTACCAAGTACTTCAAGAATGTTCGTTACCCATTCGGAACTTCTATCTTCCAGCAGGGCTTCAATAACAGATTAATTCACTCAGAGACTGACTACAAGATTTACAAGGAAGACGGTGGACTTAGAGGTATCGACTTGGCTTTTTATAAGCCAAGAGATCTCTATCATACCAGTGGAGACAATATCAAAAACATTAATATCAAGTCATTGTGGCACATGCTTTCTAATTCTATTGACTTTGTTGGAGTCATTTCGGCAGGCAAGTTGGATATTGATTCAGAAAAGACTTCTACTTCCCTGGACTTGGATTTCCCATCTTTTGGAAGTTTGTTCAACTATTTCCTTGTATTCCCAATTTCAGCCTTAATTATCGTCAACATTGCCTTACTTGTGGCCATTCCCGTTATCGGAATTCCACTTTCATTGATCGTATTCTATTATAAGCGTACTTGGAGCATTGGTTTTATCAATTTTATCAAATTCCCATTGTCATTTGTTCTTTCCATTCTTGGTCTCAGAATTTTTGTCAACTTTATTTCATCAATTAATGAATTTTTACCCAACTCAAACTATGGTTTAATTGTGAGTACAAGTTTTGCGTTTTTTGCTTTGTTGAACTACTTAATTTTGAACCTTTACAATTTGGTTTTCTACTATTGCAAGATTCACGACCATGATGAAAAATTGATCCTCATTTTGCAAATTTCTGTCGTCTACTATGCTGGCTTACTATACTCAACTATTAAGTTGGCCAGCAATAAGATTGGAGATGATCACACAGGTGAGTATCCATTGACTGGGTTGTACCTCTTACAATCCCTTGGAGGATTAATAGGTTTTGTTGGCTATTTGTTAAAGAAGAGCAAGAAAAATTCCAAGAAGTATTCATATGAATTCATTCATGATGATGAACAACCATTGATTGGGTCATCGTCTTCTCAACTTCAAAATTCTAATTATGGATCAAATGAACTGGCACAACAGCAACAACAGCCATCTGACGTTCCTGCTCCTTCTTCCTCTTCCTCGTTCCTGTTAACTTCGTCTATATTGGATCAAGATGAAGAAACCATTAAGAAAAACAAGTATAAGAAGTTGAAGACCTACTCGTATGGATGGTCTCTTCAATTTTTAATTATCGCTCCACTTTCATCTTTCATCATATATAATTCGGGAACATTAATCCTCGATGGACTTAACAAATCAATCCAAGAATCATTGAACAGTGAAAATTTGATATATGAGTTTATTCAGGTATTTGTGATTGTATGGATCTTACCATTCCTTGCTTTCATATTCAAGATCAATCGTTTCGGTGCAATTGTGATTGCGTTGTTCGTCATTCAAGGTTTAGCCAGTATCTATTTTACTGCTCCATTTGATCAGTTGAATCCATTGAAATTGAGATTCATTCAATCTATTGACTTGGATAAGAGCGACACATCAAGTAGTATCGAAGTACGTGGTAGAACTGGAACCTTTTTTGATAGTATTTTGAAAGACTTACCCTCTGTAAAGGAGTCTGGTGAAAAGGTGATTTGTACATCAATCGGCGATGGTATGGAAAGCTGTGCCTTCAATTCAACATTGTCTCCTAAACTTGCTACAAATATCAAATCGTTCAACGAATACCTTGATGTTAAGATATTGAAGAATTCGCTGAATGACAATGTTCCCTTTGGACTCCTTAGTGGAGAAATTGCGATTAAAGCGCCAAAGAACAGATTGTGTAATTTGTACTTTCATGTTGAAGATAGCAATGGAAAAGCTTCATCTGTCGCTCCAGTGAAAACTGTAATTATTTATAATGACAAAGAAGCCAACTCAACTACTGTCTTTGCAAGAGAACAACAGCAACATTTAGATATTGCAGGAATTCCAAAAGGTTTCTCCAGAGACGAAGACGGAAATTATATCTACAAAGATTTGGATGGTATCAAAAGTTTAGTTTTGAATAAGTTAGACTGGGAAAAATCCTACCATGTTGGGTTCCAATGGGTTCCAAATTTTGAATCAGAAGACGTTGATTTACTGAAGATAAAAAAGCTTGGGGTTGACCTCAAATGTTTCTGGGGTGATCTTGACCAATTTACTGACAAGGATGGAACTATTGAAGACACCATTCCTTCATATGGCGAATTTTTACATTATAGTCCTAACTATGTTAGCTGGTCCAATTGTGATAAGGGTTTGGTATCTGTTTCAAAATCTGTTTTCGTATGATGATTTAAACAGTTCTAGAAGAACAATATGATATGAAAAACCAACTGTAAAAAGTCAGATGAATAATTTGAAATTGAATATTGGCACTTAGCCATTAAGTGCTTGAGATGACTTAGTTTGTTCTCGCACTCTAATAATAAATTAATAGATACCTGCTTTCAGTAGCTCTCTTAAAAAATATATATATATATACCAATAAATTTCAGTTCCCTAGTACCTTAGCACCTCATACTTCATATACTGGCACCAAAAAATATATATATGCGATCTCTGTGGATCGAACACAGGACCTTCAGATTAACTGTGACTGATGTTTAAACTTCAGTCTGACGCTCTCCCAACTGAGCTAAGACCGCATAATAGAAGAGAACCCATGCCGGGAGTCGAACCCGGAATCTTTTGATTAGAAGTCAAACGCGTTAACCATTACGCTACACAGGCGGCTTTCGAGAGTGTTTTTTCACAGTTAGCTAGGTCCTGAGGAGTGTCTTACACTTATCATCTTCTTGATTTACGAGCTGATGCTTGAGCATATGCACCAAAAGAGCTCAATATGTGTCTTTGTGTGTATTGAGAACAAATTTGCAGCCATTTCATTTGTATAAGAGAGGACTACTAACTAACACCATTCTTTTTTCAACCATTAATTATTGCAAATTCGTTTGACGATAATGTTTAAGGGTCTTTCTTGTTTCTTGATTCTTTTAGTCACTTTTCCTAAAGCTTTTTCTTTAGTTCACCCCATTTCGGTGAAGGGAAATTATTTCCTTGATAGTGTCACCAATGAACCAGTTAGTACAACCGCACTGTTCTTTTTGTGTGTATCAAATTACTAACAACGATACCTAAGTTTTATATTAAAGGGGTAGATTATCAACCAGGAGGATCTTCAGGTGTATCTGATTCTGTTGATCCTCTTTCTGATCCTCAAACATGTGCTAGGGACATCTTGTTATTCCAAGATCTCGGAATTAACGTATGTAGGGGAATATCACGAAGCCTTTTATCAGATTAAGATACTAACCATTTTCAATTTTAGACTATCAGGGTATATTCCATAAACCCCGAGTTGAATCATGATATTTGCATGACCATGCTAGCTGCCGCCGGAATTTACTTGGTTCTCGACGTTAATTCACCGTCACCGAACCAACACATTAATCGGTACGAACCTTGGCTAACCTACAACCTCGATTACTTGGAACATGTCTTCAAAGTTGTGGAACAGTTTTCCTATTATAACAATACACTTGGTTTCTTTGCAGGCAATGAGATTGTTAATGATAGAGTATCATCCAAAGTATGTTTGACCCGATAATGGTATAAATCACCAGACCAAGTACTAACATTCAGAATTCACCTGTTTATATTAAGGCTGTTATCAGAGACATGAAATCCTACATCGAATATAATTCCCCACGTCAAATACCAGTTGGATATTCCGCTGCGGACGACTTACTGTACAGAGTATCTTTATCGGACTACCTTGAATGCATTGACGAGCATCCAAATGATTCTGTTGATTTCTATGGTGTGAATTCTTATCAATGGTGCGGTGAGCAAACCTTTTACACAAGTGGATACAATGTTTTAGTTGATGATTATAGTTCGTACAGTAGGCCCGTATTCTTTTCAGAGTAAGTTTCAACCAAATATTTATAAGCCTTAGAGCTACTACTAACGACGGCTTATTTTAGATATGGATGTAATGAAGTAACCCCCAGACAATTCGAAGAGGTTCAAGCTTTATACTCCAACGATATGATTGATGTATTTAGTGGTGGGCTTATCTACGAATTTACTCAAGAGCCGAATAATTATGGTTTGGTTGAAATTGAAGAAGAAACCGGAAATGTCAAGTTAAAGGAAGACTATTTGTCACTTAAATCTCAGTTTCAACAATTACCCGAATTGGATCATTTACAAGTTAACTTAAACATGAAGAAGAATGCAAAAGAAGCTCAAAATAGATTGAAAGCTTCACAATATTCTCAGCCAAGGTGCTCTGAAACCTATCAAAACTTGGATGTATCCAAGGGATTGCCAAAAAATATTGCAGATGGGCTAATAGAAGCGGGTGTGCAAATTCAGAGAGGTCAGTATGTTAATCTTAAAGATAGTCAGCTAAAGTCAGGCTATTCTTACACTACTTCAAATGGAAAGCCATATTCCATTAAAGGTTCAATTCAAAGAGTTGTTGATTATTCGAGTTATTCTTCAGATCCCTTAAAGAAAGTGCCAAAAGATTTTGAAAATTGTATGTATGACAACGATCTTATTCATGACTACGATGAGGAAATAATTACAAACGGTAATGGATCATCAATTCATATATTACCTAAACTTCTCCAAACGATAGAGTCTTGGCTCCATAAATTTAAGAAGAGTAATACATAAAACATACTGCCCTCATTTAATTTACTAACATCCAGCAAGTAAAAGTACATCGTTGAGTCCCATAGTTCTTCTAAGTTTTGTAACCTCCTTTATGCTTCATATATTAACCTAATATATCTTAATTTATGATTCAACCTCCTTTTTGAACAAGACGTTTCCTTTATGTCCCAAAATTTTAACATTACATTTTTCATTTTGCTTAACCAAAGGTTTCAAGATTGTGAGCCAGTCACAATAACTTCTTCTTGGTCTTGCCACTTCTTTGGTAGTTCCACAATTAACACAAGTCATAGGTCCTTCTGGCCTTTCCTTTAATGTTATTGTTAGCAGAGGGATCGACAGTAAAAACCTTAACAAGGATTCAAAAGTATCTGATGGAGGTTCAACCCAGTCATCTCTTTCTTGATCTGAATCACCAGTATCCGCCTTTTCCACTTGATGAAGATGACCATGGCTATCGAGTAAAGTGAAGTTGATAAATTCTAACTCCTTCAAATTGGAGTAGGCTCCACTTCCTGAACACAATAATTTGAAGAAAAGGTTGTATCGAGCAAAATTGAACGTTGCGGAAGAGCCATAGAATACTGGTGAAGTGAAGTCGATAGTTATCTTCGAAAGCATGTTGTTTGTCTTGATAAAGTCTATAACTGAGAGATCCTTACCAGAAGTAATATTGTTTAGTTGTAGATGCGATATATGCAAGAAGATGTCACAAGGTTTCCTCTTTGGCGTTCTATTAGTTGGAAGGAGGAAGGTGCAAGACAGCAAAGTAAGCTTATTGATGATAATCGGTTTTTTCGTGGTCAACAGTGCTTGCAATTTTGATTCGTCAATAACGAAGTTGCATAACACGAGTTCTCCGATAGTGTCATACACATCAAATAATGAAGATATGTGAGAGTATTTGAATGGGATGGACCAGCCACTTTGGGATTTAAGCACCAATTTATCCAAGGATCTCTTGGGAGGATTTCTATGTTTCCAACTCAGAAAGAAGCTATTTCCACTGGAGGGGGACTGTTCATGGTGGTGGGACTCAGGAAACGAGAAAAGAGGGGAGATTTCACTAATCACTAGGATTTTAAGTGAGTACGATTCACGAAGGATGTTCACCAACGAGGTTATATAGTCTTTATGCTCTGTATCCTTGCTGTGGTTGCTTCCAGTGATTCCCTCTATATGGTAAGAACCAGCTATTGTCGTCTTCACGTTACCCGCAGCCTTCGTGGGAGGATTAGAAACTTCTAGCTGGTAGATCAAGTTTATTTTGGAAGATGGGTTCAACAGTTGCTGCTGTTGAGCTTGCAGCAGTTGTGACGATAACGAAAATCTTTTCGACAACGTCATCATGGGTATATGCACCGAAGTAAATTTTTTAAAATTTCTTACCCCATTCAACCTCACCTCTCTATACATCAAGTTCTTGTTGACAATACTGTTAAATTTAACGCAGGTCAATGAAAGCTGCAATAGTGTCTTCAAGTCATCGTGCAAGTACTGGAAAATTTCAACCAATATCTCGTACGGCAATGAATGGAGGTGTGCAGCTTTATACGAAATATCGTGATGCCCTTTTACGAGAGGCTTCTTCCTACTAATCAACTGGTACTTTCTCATTTTTATTGAAATTGTTGTCGAAAAGCACCAGGGATTTTAATATAGCGTCTATGTTTATTAAGGTGTACTTCCGTAAGCCTCTTTGCGAACCCTGATCAAACGTAACTCGAACGTGGAGATCACTTCGAATGCACGGCTAGGAAAATTAAAGTTTCTCTATTGATGCAATGGAAGGATCTGTCAAATTTGAAATTGTGGCTTCTCCAATTGTCGAGATGGCACTAATTTGAGGTAGACGAGAGGTGATGTTGTCACGTGACGAGGAAGATTGGTAGGACGCTGTAATGGGTTAGGGAATTGGTTTGGCTCGAGAAGAGGAGATGAAGCAGGGCGAGATACGTAGAGGGATGAGCCTTTAGTTTGCAGTTACCACGCCGGCTTGAAAAAGAGAGATACAGCCGTAAGTAGGCGCGTAGAGTGGAGAATTGAGGATATGGTATTTAGTTGCACAGTGCTAAATTTTTATGCAACTTATTATGTGCGACTGCCTGGTGTTACGTATCACACTATGGACCTGGGACTTGACGTATCTCCAGTAGTGACTTACATAAGTTCCGTCCTCAGGATATCACACAGCCATCCACAGCCTCGGGGGTATAGACTACCTTCCTTTACACCCCAATCGAGTAGTGGGGACTGGATTCTTGCAGTTTCAAACTCGGTACCCTCTGCACTACTTAGCTGATGCATTTTTCACTAGTCCAAGAAACATCCGGACACCCAGAGTGAGATTTTCACATACAGATGACTGAGCTTGAAATTCATGCCAGACTACTTCTGCTTACTATACTCCGTGTGGATTGCCCCCCCATAGTACGTATATACCTTATATCCATGGCTGAATATCAGAGGCGGCTCTTAGAGCAACTTATGGGCAAAGATGCCCTTATATCGCCCGCTGTGAGACGTCGAGAAACGCTAATGTCAGACCATCGAGTCTGTAAGAGTTTCCTTGTAGGTACATGTCCTCATGATTTGTTTATAGGAACCAAGCAAGATATAGGGAAATGCCCACTACTTCATCTAGAGAAGCATAAACTAGAGTACGAATATCTCACGAAGAAGAAGGGACAACAGTTTCCGGAGTTCGAGTACGATTATTACGTTAACCTTCAGCGTTATATTAAAGATATAGATAGAACGATAGAGACTGCATTGAAAAGATTAGAGCATACACCTGAAGAAAAGGCCAAAATTGCAGCTGTAACTAAGGAATTAGATAGTCTTGACATCCAAATAGGGCTTATGACCCAAGAAATTGACTGTCTTGTTGAAGTCAACCAAAACTTGAAGTCCCTATACGAAAGTGTCAAGTTGAATGAGCTCTGCAAGAAAAGAGAGGAGCTAGCAGAACAGGCCAGGAACTTAGTGGAAAACGTTGGGCAGTCAGCACAACAGAAGCTTCAAGTTTGTGAACAATGTGGTGCATATTTGTCTAGATTGGATAGTGACAGACGTCTTGCTGACCATTTCATTGGTAAGATCCACTTGGGGTACGTTCAGATGAGGAGTGCGTACGAAGAGTTGCACTCCAAGTTCAAGTCTTACAGTTGAGATAACGTCGAGAGTGTGACCATGTATATTAGCGATAGATATAATAGAGAATGTCTAGTAACCAATAAAGGAAATAGCTAAAAAAACGCTGTAATTTCATATGTTGAAAGAACTAATAGAAGGAAAATAGATGAAACAGTTATAACAACGCTTACCATCTATATGTTTTAAAGAGATAATCACTTTCGTAAGACATTTATTTTTATTCTAACTAAGCCTAGGGTTACCTTAGATAGATGTGTGAAACAGTATAGTACTATCTGATATAGCTGTGGTGCACCGTGTGTACATTCAGTGTATCATAAAGCTGTGGTACACCGTGTGTACATACAGTGTATCATAAAGCTCTGGTGTGCCGAATGTACATACAGTGTACTGTACCATACATACAATCAGTGAACCCATAAACTAGTTTTATTCCACGTTAGGCATTACTCATTCCTGCTTGCTATCCTTTTCGTCAAACTTACCAATCTTTTCCTTGGAAATGTAGTCAAGTGCTTCTAATCTTTCAGCTAAAATTGGGTGAGAATGGTGGTAGGACGAGTACAACCAGTCGGCGTCCATCGTAGACAAGTTTTCACTTAACAATTTAATCAAAGCTCTAGCCAAATCATCAGAATAGCCACGCTCCTTAGCGAATTGGTCAGCTTCAAATTCATGCTTTCTTGATAACAAGTTGAGACCAAACTGGGAAATACACTCAAATGGCTGGAAAATATGATTGAATAACAAGAATCCAATCAAAGTAGGCTGAGCAGTGGTGAAACCAAAGGATGTATACAAAGATGAGTTATGCAAGAATGCAGAAAACATAGAGAAGCACGCAAACAAGTGCAATTGAGTGCAGGCCAAGGTCTTTGGTAAGTGAGATAATTTCCAGTGTCCAATTTCGTGTCCCAAGACAGCAACAGTCTCATCTACAGTGGAGTGCTTAATCAAAGTATCAAACAAAACGATCTGCTTGCTCCAAGGTAACCCTGTGAAGTAGGCATTGGAATGAGAAGATCTCTTAGATCCATCGATTACGAACAACTTAGTGAGCGGGAAATTCTCTGAGCTGGCCAACTTGTAAATAGCGTCCTTCAATTCACCGTCTTCCAATGGAGTGAACTTGTTGTACAAAGGCTGAATCAAAGTAGGGAAGATGGTCATGGCAACTAATTGTATGAACAAAACAAACCCACAAGTATACAATATGAAAGAATCTCCAAAGTAATCAATAATTTTCAAGAACCCGGCAATTGCAGGAGATCCTAAAACAGTTCCAAGGGCCAAACCTTTGAACATATCACTGATCCATAAAGGAACAGTCAACTTGTTGAATCCGTAACGTTCTTCTAATACAAAGTTTGAGTAGTATGACAAGGGTGCTGAGATGATAGTAGATGCAATTTGCAGCGTAACGAAGAAGAAAATGGATTGGGTGAGTACCCCACCCATAAACTTGGGCAAAATAGGAGCAGCAACGCGCATTAAGTAGCCACTTAAGCTCCAAAACTTAGGCAACACATCATACTTAATAGTAGCCAAGCTTTGGACTAAACTAAAGGTGTCACTGAAGAATGAAAACTTGGCTTTAGCGCGTGAGTACTCTTGTGACTTCTCGAAGGTTTCCTGGGAGATTTCCTTCTTCAAACTAGCAGGTGGGAACTTCTTATTCAAGACCTGAAGTTGACGATAGTCGAGGTACTTCTCAAAGGCGAATTGGCCAATGGTGAAACCCACAATGATGGTTTTCCAATTGTAGGAAGGGTTATCGAGGAAAGACAACGACTAAGTGGCGGTTAGTACAGGAAGCAAACAAAAAAATCGCAAAAAGAAAGGCAAATAAATTACCTCAAATTCTCCCAATTGGATAAGACCAATCTACTCTACCATTATATGACACATCTACTTACTTCAGCTAACGAAATCATGGTTCTTTATGGATGTATACTTGTGCTTTCTTTCTGTACAGCCTGTCGACTTTTTTGCTCTTTTGTAGTAACTGAAAAATTTACATGCAGGAGAATCTTGCAACCTAAGTAAATAGATTATATGCAGTACATCAACATTACAGTAGACCATAGTATGTCTTAGCTAGAGGACTCCATTTAGTGTAGAAAGGAGATCAGAAATTGTGATTTAGGACCCATCTGGCGGTTCTATCTATAGAGCAGTCAATTTGAGCCAAGAATTTTGAAGAAAATACACTCTGTTTTTAGTGGGCTTCTTGCTTATCTCACCTAATAACTCTGGTAGAGACGAGACAGAGACAAAGACGAGACACAGACAAAGACGAGACACAGACAAAGACGAGGCAGAGACAAAGACGAGACAGAGACGAAGACAAGACAGAGACGAAGACGAGACAGAGACGAAGACGAGACAGAGACGAAGACGAGACAGAGACGAAGACGAGGCAGCAACAGAGACGAGGCACTGATATAAGTACAGGTCCCACCCGGGAACCAGAGCTGACCAGAAGACTGAGCACCTACACCACTTCCTTTAAATCTAGTACGTAATATTTTTAAATAGACCAATTTATATGCTAAACTAGTTCCATATCGTTTTTAGTATGCTTGCACGATGCTTCATGAAAAAACCGCTTATTTAGCTTCAGCAGCTAACTTTTCAGCCTTGGCAACAACATCTTCGATACCACCAACCATATAGAAAGCATTTTCTGGCAAGTGATCGTACTTACCGTCTAAGACTTCCTTGAATGATCTGACAGTGTCTTGTAATCTGACTAATCTACCTGTAATACCAGTGAAAACTTCGGCGACAGCGAATGGTTGAGACAAGAATCTTTGGATCTTTCTAGCTCTTTCAACAGTTAACTTATCAGATTCAGATAATTCATCCATACCTAAAATAGCAATGATATCTTGTAAGGACTTGTAAGCTTGTAAAGTTTGTTGAACGTTAGAAGCAACATCGTAATGTTCTTGACCAACAACGGCAGCATCTAATAATCTTGACTTGGAATCCAATGGATCGACAGCTGGGTAGATACCTAATTCAGAAATACCTCTAGACAAGACAGTGGTAGCATCCAAATGGGCGAAGGTGGTGGCTGGGGCAGGATCAGTTAAATCATCAGCTGGGACGTAGACAGCTTGGACGGAAGTAACGGAACCCTTTTGGGTGGTGGTAATACGTTCTTGTAAAAGACCCATATCGGTGGCCAAGGTTGGTTGATAACCGACAGCAGATGGAATACGACCTAACAAGGCGGAGACTTCTGAACCAGCTTGGGTGAATCTGAAAATGTTGTCAACGAACAACAAGACATCTTGACCTTCTTCATCTCTGAAGTATTCAGCAATGGTTAAACCGGTTAAAGCAACTCTGGCTCTAGCTCCAGGTGGTTCGTTCATTTGACCGAAAACTAAAGCGACCTTGGAGTCACCTTCTAAGTTGATGACACCGGTTTCCTTCATTTCACGGTATAAATCGTTACCTTCTCTGGTACGTTCACCGACACCACAGAAAACTGAGAAACCACCATGGGCCTTGGCAATGTTGTTAATCAATTCTTGGATGAAAACGGTCTTACCGACACCGGCACCACCGAATAAACCAATCTTACCACCTCTGGCGTATGGGGCCAACAAGTCAACAACCTTGATACCGGTTTCTAAAACTTCGGCGTTAACAGATTGTTGGACGAAACTTGGTGGATCAGCGTGAATTGGGTTTCTTTGCTTGGATTCAATTGGACCTCTTTCATCAATTGGGTCACCGGTAACATTGATAATTCTACCTAAAGTACCACGACCAACTGGGACAGAAATTGGGGCACCAGTGTCAGTAACTGGAGCACCTCTAACTAAACCTTCGGTACCGTCCATAGCAATAGCTCTGACGGTGTTTTCACCTAAATGTTGAGCAACTTCCAAGACTAAGTCTTGGTCACCGTTCTTTAAGGTTAAGGCGTTTAAAATAGCTGGTAAGTTACCTTGTTCGAATTGAACATCGACGACGGCACCAATGACAGCTCTAAAAGTAGAATGTTAGTAATGTGATCGAGAGGATGACGACAGTAGAAAAAAGCTAAAAAAGAGAAAGCAAGAAAGAATAATAGTCCAGTAGGACTCCGGCTCCATCCTTCCTTAACATCGAGGTGGTGTTGGGTAAAGGGGGGACCCTTAGTTCCGTCCAACTTTTGGAATTTTTCCCGTTCTGCGAAATTTCAAGCTCTCGAAATTTTGAAAAATTTCATTGGACGAGTTGGCTATGTGCAGGACATCAAGGTAAAGAAGCCAAAAAGGACAGGGCAATTCGGCCTGAACACCACCAGAAAGGCGCCCAAGTAGATGCTAGCGTTGCCAGAAAAGCACAGCTGATACAAATTGCCCATTCTGGAGATCAGGCCGATTGAATTCAGATCAGGAAATGCCCCCCATTTTTCAGTTTTTTTTTTTGATTTTTTTTTTGGCTCGATTTTCGGGACCTCAATTTCTATCCGGCGAAGTTTTTCATGAACCCACCATGGGGGGCCACAGACAACAGTAGCCAATTCCATCAATTACAGAAACTCTCGGTCTCACTCTCTACTAGGCTGTTGCTACACTTCGACTCAATGCCAGGAAATTGAAATTGGGCTCTACTTTTTACTGCTTTTCCACTCCACCTTTCTTTCCCTTCGTTTTCTCTACCCTCTACTATTTTTCAAGAATTTTACATACCTGACTTTACCTGGGACAGGAGCAGCAGAAGCTAAACCTCTGTTGAGGAGAACATTGCGCTTTGCGGCAGTGAAAGCACTACGCAGAGCGTTGTTAAACAATCTAGGAAGAACCATTATGACTCCAACACTATAATTTGTAAACTATCTAGGATCAACCGTGTAAGTATAGAATTAGAGATTTCTGTAGATTTAAATTCCTACGCTAGGTTGAGAATCGGTACTCGAGCTGGAAAATGGTGTGCGCACGCAGAATTCGCAACTCGCCAATTAGAAAGCTCAGTTGTCCTTGTGGAGAGGTCCGGCTCGAGATCGAAGTTTTATTGGGCGACCAGCGCGGTTACCCGGACTGCGTGCATGATTGCACTTGTACGATTTGGAGTTTTTGGAGCGTGTTTCGGATTTCCAAATGCAGGTGCCCGGAAAGGTTGCGGCAATGGCTGCAAATACGAGGTATATGGAAGAAGGTGTGAGAGAAAGAGGTGGGAAAGATGGAGGGAGAGAGGTGGGAGAGATAGTGGGTGGAGAGACTATCGCGAATGATAGTGTGTGCTGCTTATAAGGTAGTAGATAGTAGGACTTTATTTTGTGTTATGGCACTGTTCAATGGGTTATGCTGGGCTAGCCTTTTGCTAGCTTGCCACAAGAGTTTCCTACAGATTTCTCTACGGAGATTATTGCACTATTATACTCATAAGTAGCTATATTGATTATATCAGCACTCTTCGCTCGCTTTTTAACTAGTAACTCGATTTATTCATTCGTTCATTCATTCATTTATTTATATTCTTCATTGTACACGGCATCTGTTTCACATTTTTCTTTTCACATTTTCGTTATCTCTCGCTTGACAGTATGAATCAACTTCTGGATCTCCTCAGGGTTGTGCTCATAGATTAACACAGTTCCAATAGGCAAATCCTTATTGTACACTCCAATGCAATCAGCACATAGTTGAAGCTGCAATTTCTCGTGAACCATTTGCAAAACCTTCTTGGAACTTCCTATAGACATTATTTCCGTCTGCTCTTGCTTCTGGATTCTGGTGGATCTACGTCTCTTCTTTTGGTTGGAGGCCGCAGCAGTAGCAGCAGCTTCCTGATCCTCTTCGGGTGAACCTTCTTTTGAAGAAGATGACTTCTTAGCCGAGCTTATCAATCTCTTGAATTCCTCTTCTTCACTCAATTTAGTCTGTTCGCCAACACTCTCACTTTCATTGTCACCAGTTATCAAGGTCATTCTACGAGATGATATTGAATCCTTGATTTGGTCGATCTCTTCAGATTGTTCCTTAATAGTAGCTCTCTCTTGAGGTGAAGACCTTGGAGTAGGCAAATAACTATTATTCTCTTTATCTTTCTCCTTTTCCTTTTCTTCATCTTCTTCTAGCTTGTGCTTCTTTATGGTAAATTGCTGATCCTTATTAGGAACACTAAAGTATTGATATGCCAAATGTGTCTTACAGCCGTCACATAGTTGCTCAGGTTCATTCTTCTCATCATTTTCGTCCTTAAATAAGCCATTTTGCTCTTCAACGAAATCTCTCTTCTTGAAATCTCTAAGCTTATACTGGATTTGGTATTTCTTTTGATTTAAATCCCAAATAGCATTCAATTGGTTTACGTAAAACCTCTCAAATGAGTTCAAGCATTTAACAACAAATTCCTTTCTCAACTTATTACTATTTTTACTTTCAAATTGGGATTCCCTTGCTTCGTTCAAGAACTTTCTGAGAATATTTTCGAGCAATTGATAGTGATTAAATACATTCTCCTTTTTGATTTCTTTATAATCCAGAATTGCTTGTTCACCAAATTCTAACCATGGCTCAATTGTGAAATTAACTGCTTCGTTAAAATTGAATCCACAATTGAACCCAGAATGATACACTTTTGGATATGTAATAATAAACTCATTAGGTTGCTGATCAGCGTAAACACATCGTATTCCATTTTCAACTAGTGTGGTTGGCGATAATAATGTAACCAATTGATGCAACAAGTCTGGTTGTCTCTGAAACAAGTCCGGTGCAGAATCTTTCATCAACTTTTCGAATTGACCTGCTTGTGAACTTGGAATCCCGTACCACTTTTTGGTAGCTCCAAAGTGACAGTAGTTTATCGACAACGTATAGTGATCCTCGACATGCCAACAAAATGTTGACAAAAGTGAACCAATATAAATCCAAGGTATAGTCATACCTGAAATAGATGTATTTATAAATTTCATAAGTGAACCCTGAGAGAAAGGTAATTTTGTTAAATTGAAGGGGTGGTTGACGTATAGTTGGTATATTAATTCATGTAGAGGGAGCCCAGGAGTATTCGACATGGGAAATCCACTTATTTCACCAGGAGTTAAATTGTGAATATCAGCTCCATATTTAACTTCCATATCTGACTTTTCTTGGCCCACAAACTCCCAAAATTTCTGCTCGATGATATCAACTGTTAAAGGCTGGCCATTATTGTACTCTTCTTGAAATTCCTTATCAAAATCCTGGCACATTTCGTAGAATTCTGGCAATGTGTATTTTAAATCTACGTCTTCCTTAAACCCATATTCTCCAGTACCAATCAAACACTTATCACAGAACCAGCTACCAGATGGCACTACGTTCAATTTAGGTTCGAGACAACTCATATGATAAGGCTTGTCACAATTGTCACATAATAAAGTTTCAGAAGGATTATCATTTTTGCTACATATTAAGCAGTTATCTGACTTCTCTTCTTCACTGTCTTCAATTTCAGCGTCTACGTCTTCTCTGTTAATATCGAGGTGACCATTTGGAACAGTTTGTTCTTGGTGCTTCTTCAGCCTTTTTCTTCTTTTCATACCCATTTTGGATTCGACAGCATTTTCATTTGGCACTTCACTGTTGAAGTTATACTTCTTTATGTTATTATTTGCCAAAAATAGCGCATATGCCTTGATATTGGCATTGTACTCTTCTTCTACTTGCCTACTGCTACGAGGTACACCAAATTGCACATTGATACCAGCCCAGTCATCTTCGGACATCTTACTGGAGCCTCCTAATTTATCAATAGCAACATAAAGATCATAGTAATAGACTTTAATACTACATCTTTTCTTATTGGAGTCAGCAGCCTGTTCTTGGTTCAGCTGATCATGTTCTACTTGATCTTTTACCAGAAAGTATAGCCTCAAGGGCCGCTTATTCCTCATCTTCAAGAACCTATTAATATTGTTCTTAAAAAAAGCCCTACTTCTAGTTGTTAAACCTAGATCACTTAATTTCTGCAACCTGGTATGAAACTTAAATGTTGGAGAGAGCAGGAAGGGTGGTTTCCAGCCTTGTGGAGGTACCAACTTCACTATTCCATATTCTGCACCTAGTTTAGCGATGTCCGGTCTTGAAAGGTAGGACATGGGATTTTCAAATTCTACGATACTTGGTTGAAGTATCGGACATGGAACCAACACAGACTTATCAAAGGACATCTTTTGGTCTTATTCTACGATTCTACGACTATATATATTGGATATCTTTAGGTATTTCTGGACCTTCTTCAGCCTTGGTTGCTTCAATAGTGTAGTGCGAACGATAGGCTAGCTTGAAAAAAAATGGGACCCTCTGCCTTAGACGAAAAAAGGTCAAAATTATTACCAGTTTAAGATAAATGGCACCAAAAGCAAACTAGATTATAGTGCCTCTGAATAACTTTTACACAATATTATTAGGCACACTATCAATAGACTTTGTTCAAGTAAAATCTATGCTCTTTGGATTAAATAAAATCGTGTTATCTCCCGTGAAACAACTGGGACCTTGAAGAATAATATATATATTTCACCCCGAAAAGAGAAGGAAAGGTAAAAAAAGAACCATATCCCATAATGACACGATGATCACGTGCCTGGGAAAGTGACCAGATATGGGTGCACTGCTGCTTCTCTGAGCGAAGAGGGCATGATAATACTTAGTAGCATGAGCAAGAATTAGGCAATTCTTATATCGCTATACCAGGAGGTCACCACTGGACACAATCAAATAGCTATGCTGTTGACAAGCAGTCCCTTTCTCAGTCTCTTATTAACCTGATCCTCTTTCCCACTAGTGCTTCTCCTAGGTCGGTGTTCCATGTCCTGGATAAAGATGAAAAACTACCAAGCACGACCTCGCGCTTACCTTCCTTTTTCTTAGGCTATCTAATCAGATGGACAACCTTAGCACAGGAAAATATAAAGGCCTTGAAATTTTCCGATAGTTCAGACCTTTTTGACTTAACTCGTTATTAAATTACTCGGAAATGAAAGATTATACTATTACAGTCGTAGGATGTGGTGTTATGGGAACAGCTGTTACAGCAGCTATACTCAAGGCATCATTTGAGCCTTATCCTGCCAAAATCATTTGCTGTACCAATTCTGAAGCCTCATCGGTGAAGCTTCAAGCCAAACTTGATAACCCAATTATAGAAACATCATATGGTGTAGAATCCAACAACAAAGCCGTGGCCAATGCCGATGTCATTATCTTAGGATGCAAGCCATTTTTATGTGAACAAATTTATGAACAAATCAAGGGATCCTTAACTGGTGAACAATTGATTATTTCCTTGTTAGCTGGATGGACCATTGAGCAGTTGTCGATTTTTTCTCCGCATGTAGCTAGAGTGATGACAAACACACCAGCGCAGTTTGGATGCGGTATGGCAGCAGTGTCATTCTCACCAAGCGCAGAGGCTCAGTACGAAGAATTGGTCATGAAGTTGACCGATCCAGTTGGGTTGGCCATCAAATTGCCAGAGAAAAACATGGATGCTGCTACATCATTGATTGGATCGGGCCCTGCCTTTTGCTTGATGTTCATGGAAGCATTGATCGACGGTGGGGTCAGAATGGGAATCCCATTCGCAGCTGCTAAGGAAGCCGCAGCCAAGGTGATGGAAGGAACTGCCAAAATGGTATTGGAGACCGGAGAACACCCTGCTGTGTTAAGAAGCAAGGTCTGCACACCGGGAGGAACCACTATCGGAGGGTTAATGAAGATGGAAGATGCCGGCATCAGAAGTGGAATTGCCAGAGGTGTCGAAGAAGCCGCTAACATTGCAACCTCATTAGGTAAGAAGAAGTAAATGTAGGCGGTGGAAAAAAAATTAGTTAGCGTGGCTGCGAAAAACCAATGTGGTAATATTGCCCGTATGCGTGGGGATAGAGAGAGGTAGAGAGAGATAGAGGGAGATAGACTCTACATAGTAATACATACATGCACAGTTCCCGAGATCCACGGGTAGCTATAATTTCACTACGATAAAGTAACAAACGTAATCATCCGGATTATTCTGTACTGAACTATTTACACAGCATGAGACTAGACGAGACGAGACCAGACCAGCAAATGTGAGTAGTATGGCAGGGCTGCTCTGGTGGTTGTCTTCGTCCTCATCGATCATGCATTATTCCTCGTAAATCATGTATAATATATTTTTTCCCCTTCCCTTCTACTTCATGTTCATTCCGAAGAGTTTCATGAACGCATCAACATCCTTTTGCGTGAACTTGATATTAGCCTCTTCCAACTGGGCTCTTAAATCGCTGATGGAAGATTTGATTTCCTTATCGGTCAAAATCAGCATCATTTGCATCATCGATGGCTTCTTGTCAGGTTGAAATCCCTTGGAGACGAGCAATTCCTGAAAATTTTCCAATGCAGAGGCGATTTTCGGGTTTGTTCTCAAATCGGTGACAAGCTTTTCAAGTCTCTTATTTTCATCCTCAGCATCTGATGAGAACAGTCTTCTGGATACCTGAAAGCCTGCTGGGCGAGGTACAACCAAGGACCTTCTGGCAGAGGACTTTACCGAGTGCGAGATGAGTCTGAGTGTGTTCGATCTAAACATTATGAAAGAACTGCAGATGAAAGACTAGCAGAGTAGAGAAAAGACACCGTTGGAATTGCCGTTGGTTTGCCTTTCTTTTAGCCAACTCGATACGCACCCTAACCGAAATTTTCAAAACCGCAATCTTTGGAGTAGCGCTGCAATTTTTTTTTTCAAGATTTTTTCCGTATGCAGACTGCGGCGTGCCCCGACCAATTATGGCGTCGAAAAATTTCAAACACCACACGCCAAAAGTGAAAGCAAAGTGACCTCCACTTATAACCATCTCCTATAAGTAATCAACCGCCCAATCATATTATATTAACAGACAACATGTCCGCTGAAGGTCAAGAAGAATTATTAGACTACTCCGATTCCGAAGAAATCGCCGTTCCATCCACAACCGCCCCATCTGCTGGTGCAGATGGTGAAGCCACCAACGACAAAGAAGCCGACAAAAAGGGTTCTTATGTTGGTATCCACGCCACTGGTTTCAGAGACTTTTTATTAAAGCCTGAATTATTAAGAGCTATCGGAGATTGTGGTTTTGAACATCCATCTGAAGGTTCGTATTCATTAACAAAGAAGGGAGTACTTCTTCAGGGTCAAATTATAAACTGTTCATCTTAATCTTGGGGAATTATAGTCGAAAGCAAAAAACTCATCGACAGCAAAAGAAAAAAAAATTGGAAGAATTTCGGAAAAATTGAAAGTTTTCCTTCCTAGAGTCAATTCCAGTCATTTTTGGATAGATTCTCGACCATATTCTTGAAAATTGGGAGCCAATTTGACTTGGTTGCGACTGAATAACCAGTATTACGAGCAAGAAGTCAAAAACCAGACAATTGGGACCAAGAAACTGAACTGAGACCACTGTCTACTGGATTTCTAGTAGTATTAAGGCTTTTTGGGGCCCTTAGAATATCAGAACCAAATTCAGATAGAAATGTGGCCCGAAAGAACGAAATATAAAGCAAAAATACCCATTAATGGGGTCATTCAATGCATTTAATACGACCAATGAACCAAAAGATTAAGACAGCGACTCGTATAATTTTCACCCTGCAGATGCTTTATTCTGTAACTTCAACAAATCCTCTTCTCTTTTACATTAACTAACAGTATCTTTTAATTTTAGTCCAACAAGTTTGTATCCCTCAATCCATTTTAGGTACCGATGTCTTGTGTCAAGCCAAGTCAGGTTTGGGTAAGACTGCCGTCTTCGTCTTGTCCACTTTGCAACAATTAGACCCAGTTCCAGGTGAAATCTCCACTTTGGTTATCTGTCACACCAGAGAATTGGCCTACCAAATCAGAAATGAATATTCCAGATTTTCTAAGTATATGCCAGATGTTAAGACCGAAGTCTTCTACGGTGGTATTCCAATTGCAAGAGATTTGGAAAAGTTAAAGAACAAGGATACTTGTCCACACATTGTAGTTGCCACTCCAGGTAGATTACACGCTTTAGTTAAAGAAAAGGCTATCAGATTAAACAACTTGAAGTCCTTTGTCATTGATGAATGTGACAAGGTCTTAGAAGCTGTTGACATGAGAAGAGATGTTCAAGATGTCTTCAGAGCTACTCCATTACAAAAGCAAGTTATGATGTTTTCAGCTACCTTATCTCAAGAAATTAGGCCTGTTTGTAAGAAGTTTATGCAAAACCCATTAGAAATTTACGTTGACGATGAAGCCAAATTAACTTTACACGGTTTACAACAATACTACATCAAATTGGACGAAAAGGAAAAGAACAGAAAGTTATCCGATTTGTTAGATTCTTTGGAATTCAACCAAGTTATTATTTTCGTAAAATCTACCCAAAGAGCCAATGAATTGAATAAGTTGTTATGCTCTTGCAATTTCCCATCCATTGCTGTCCACTCTGGATTGAACCAAGAGGAAAGAATTGAAAGATATAAGTCTTTCAAGGAATTCAACAAGAGAATTTGTGTTTCTACCGATGTCTTTGGTAGAGGTATTGATATCGAAAGAATTAACTTGGCCATTAACTACGATTTGCCAAATGAAGCTGATCAATACTTACACAGAGTCGGTAGAGCTGGTAGATTTGGTACCAAGGGTTTAGCCATTTCTTTAGTTTCCACCAAGGAAGACGAAGAAGTGTTAGAAAAGATTCAATCTAGATTCGACGTTAAGATTGCAGACTTCCCAGAAGAAGGTATTGATCCATCTACCTACATGAACACTTAAATAAACCCAATCTAATCCTTGACGGATAAAAGACTGAATGAAAATTAAAAAGCGAAGTAATCTTGCAATCCTATTGTTCAAAAGTAGTATATACATAAAATATAAAAAAGTATTGTTTTGAAATGTTCCTGACTTGTTTTCAAGAAGAGAAGTGTAGAGATAGACATCCAAAAGATGTGCTGCTGTGGTTGCAGTTTTAATGTGGAAACCATGCTAAGGTTGTATTCTAACTAAATACATATAGATGCCTATTTGTTTGGCAATTCTCTAATTTTACTAAATACAATATGTAGACACCCTACTTATACTTCTGGCATACCCTATCTATCACCTCAAAGATATAAGGCACATCTTTCTTCGGTACGATAAACCATTCAACATGGATCTTAAACGCTGAAGTTGGATCTTTCGATGTCACAGCGCAACCACTACAATACACATCTCCCTTCCCATATCTTTCTCTTAGTATCCTATGGATCTCAGATTCAGATTTCGCTACTTGACTACAGAAGAAACCGTTATCTCTATAGGTCACATACTCTCTAATTTTGAGCCGTTTGAGCCTTTCGATGATATCCATTTTGAAGTACTGAACATTAGGCTGCAAACATGTCAAGCTATGGCAACATTTCTGCTCCCATTGGACCAACCTCAGCAAAACTGAGGTTCTGGTGGTCATTCCAACCTTAACAAGTGTATACTTGGATTTCTTAGAGTTGAACGGTAACCATTTGTCCCTGTCTTTAGGAGAACAGTTGGGTAGGTTTTTGATGTTAAGCCACAGTTTCTCGGAGAGCAACAATAGATCCGAAAGAGTATACGCATAGATGAAACCTGCTTTAGGAATAGGGTGAGGAGCCGCTAACGCCAGGTTGTGTGGATATCTTGGAACCTTTTCTGGAGAGTGGGAGTTAGATCGAGAGTACGATGTGTGGCTGCTTCTCGGATTTATGGCGATTCTGACTGTAGTGTTAGTTAAATTCGTGCTAGAGCTTTTTTGTTTACTCTGGTGTACATGATAATGGCAGTACCTAGTGGACGATTTGATTTTGCACCGTTCTCCCTTCGTAGTTACTCCATGGCATTGCATAGTACTATGCATATACGAGTCTAATTTTACTTCGGCTACCTCCTATACATCACTCAGCCTGTAGAGAGTAAATGCTGTTACCAAAAAAGAAAGAAGAGCGTAAACTCGAAATGTAGCTAAATATGTCACCGAGCTGAGATCTAAATGGGTTGTGCATAAACTACGGGCCAAACCCAAAATGTAAGAGAAACGGAAAATAAGGGAAAAAAAAGAAAAAAAAGAAAAAGAAAAATGGTAAATAGACTGGAATACCCTGAGGGTTCGAGCCACAGTTACGAGAACCCTGCTACTCTAAACCACGAGCTACTAGCCCACCAGGAGTTTAATTTAACTATTGCATGTACGAATCATAATTTTACGAAGGTGGAAAATGGTCAAAAAAATAAAAATATCTTGAACCAGCATCACGTGTAATTAACCAATATCGTAACATATGTTGTACAAAGAGTGGAGTATGGGCTAAAGCCCGTATATAAAAGAAGTATAAAGGGTAGGTGATGTGATTATTTTTTTTCTGAACCTACTTTGTTCTTTCTTCTCTTTACAATTGTTTAGTCTCAGATTCTTTTCCCCCCCTTAAAGGTCCCACATTTCACTGGTACTACACACAATGCCTTCTCACTTCGACACTCTTCAGCTTCACGCAGGTCAAACCGCTGAGGCTCCTCACAAGGCTAGAGCTCCACCAATCTACGCAACCACATCTTACGTTTTTAACGATTCGAAGCATGGTGCCCAATTGTTCGGTTTGGAAACTCCAGGTTACATCTACTCTAGAATCATGAACCCTACTAACGATGTCTTCGAACAAAGAATTGCTGCCTTAGAAGGTGGTATTGGTGCAGTTGCAACCTCATCTGGTCAATCTGCCCAATTTTTAGCAATTGCTGGTTTGGCCCATGCTGGTGACAATATCGTCTCCACTTCCTACTTGTACGGTGGTACTTATAACCAGTTCAAAGTTGCCTTCAAGAGATTAGGAATCGAAAGTAGATTCGTTAACGGTGACGATGTAGAGGGTTTCAAGAAATTGATCGATTCTAAGACAAAGGCTCTTTACATCGAGTCGATTGGTAACCCTAAGTACAACGTTCCAGATTTCGAAAAAATCGTCAAATTGGCCCACGATAATGGTATTCCAGTCGTTGTAGACAACACCTTCGGAGCTGGTGGATTCTTGATCCGTCCAATCGATCATGGTGCTGATATTGTTGTCCATTCTGCTACTAAGTGGATCGGAGGGCACGGTACCACCATTGCTGGTGTCATTGTTGACTCAGGAAACTTTCCATGGACTGAATACCCTGAGAAGTTCCCACAATTTTCTAAGCCTTCTGAAGGTTACCATGGATTGGTTATCAGTGAAGCCTTAGGAAAGGCTGCTTACATCGGTCATGTTAGGATCGAATTATTAAGAGATTTAGGTCCAGCTTTGAATCCATTTGGTGCCTTTTTGTTGTTACAAGGTTTAGAAACTTTATCCTTAAGAGTTGAAAGACAATCCTACAATGCCTTAAAGTTAGCTCAATATTTGGAAAAATCTCCTTATGTTGATTGGGTTTCATACTTAGGTTTACCAACTCATGTATCACATGAATTGAGTAAGAAATACTTAAACAACAAGGAAATTTTTGGTGGTGCCTTATCTTTTGGTTTAAAGCCATTAAAGGAATCCACTGAAGATCCTTTCCAAGAAGCTAGTCCAAGAGTGGTTGACAACTTAGAAATCGCTTCAAACTTGGCCAATGTTGGTGACTCAAAGACCTTAGTTATTGCACCATACTACACTACCCATCAACAATTAAGTGAAGAAGAAAAGATCGCCTCTGGTGTCACCAAGGATTTAGTCAGACTTTCCGTTGGTACTGAGTTCATTGACGATATTATTGCTGATTTTGAACAAGCATTTAAGAAGGTTTACGAGGCTTAGGGTTAATGTAGATGATGCATTAGTATGAATAAACGTATAATAGAAAAGAGATCAGAAGTAGAGCTAGTAAAGTATCACCATGTAGGAACCATAATGGTTGCAATTTGCTTACATAAGCTAGCATATATGGCTGCGAAAAAGGCGATAAGGTAAGGAGTATCAACTTTAGTAGCTGTGTACCTCCCTAAGACATAGCGTAGAAGGAAAGCTTGTATTGCCAATGTATGACACGACTGAAAATTACCATTAAAGAGCCATCTACCAAGGAAAATTAAAGCATTAGCACAAGGTCGCTAAAAAAGCGTTAAGCTGCCACGTATTGACTCTTCTTAGCTCTATACCTCCTTACGAAGTAGTGAAGAAGGAGGGCTTGTATCGCCAATAATACGACAAAGTTGAACTGTATCATAAACCAACCACTTCCCAAAGTGATCTCTGCAAATCCGATTTGGTGGAATACTTCTATTAGCTGAAAATAGTAAATAAGCACACTGGAGCACAAGGAAAAGTTTAGCAAAACCAGTACAAACACGAATACTTGAAACAGCACCATCATCTTGAAAAGTGTAGCACCTATTTTAGCTGGATATTTATAAAAGATTATACAGCTTCCAAGGATGAAGATTTTGGAAAGTGATAAGAAAATGGTAGCATAGGAAACAGCAGTCATAAGTTTGGCGTATCTATGAGAATTGACCAAGCCGTGAATCATTTTCGACAATGTACTGTATTCTCTTCCAGTTACCCCTTCTTCTGATTCAGTTTCCAGGCAAATATCGTAAAGGGCTCTCAAAAGGTTACCATAAGCTGCTACAAATGATTCTCCTAGCAAATTTAGCTCCTTACTATTTTTTCTCGATAGGGTTCCTAATTGATGCCCTATATCTCTCATCCAGCAAGAAAATATGTCCATACTACCGCTGTAGCAGGTCGTTTTATGATTTGCAAGTCGACAAAATCCATTGAAGTTGAATTTGTACTCATTAAGGTATGAAAATGTGTCTATTAACGAGTTTTCTTGATCTGTGATATACACTGTACCAAAATCCTTGACTAAAAATGAGACCATATCAAGCGTTTCTTGTATGTTAGTTAATAACTTCTTAGACAGACGTGAATCAGAGTTTATGAGGAAGTTGAATTGTGAATTACAGTAGGGGATCCTTGCCGAGCATGAAAATAGACTCAAGATGTAGACAGAAAATATCACACAAGAGAGGAAGTATAAAATCCAAATGTGACCCAAAAAAGAGCATGGAGCTTCCATCATAATCTCTGCCGTATCTGTTGCGCCTTCCACATCTTTCGCTTCCTTTGTGTACTGGGGAGGAGGAGGCTCACTCATGTCAGAAGGTATCAGTGAATAGAAGGGAAGAAGAAAAAGGAGGAATAATAGGACATACACACTATCTTACTCTAAAATACGTCTATTTGTACTTCATATACTTCCAAATACGATCTATTTGTAAAATTTAAAGTTTATGTATGCTCTCATTGAAATCCAATAGTTCAATTTCATCTGCATTCAAAAAGGACGAGCCCACCGATTCCCTTCTCTGTCTAGTCTGTAATATATCCAATAAATTCCTTTGGTTAATCACCTGGTCATCTTCTTTGTAATCAAACTCATTATCAACTTCTAGGTCTTGGGTGGGCCCTTGGCTTTTATTATGGCCATACCCATCATATGTTTGCTGTTGAGAATGTTGGCTACCTGATCTGCCAATTCCAGCGGTATTGTCAGCTAGGGGCTCTTCGCTCTGGGATTCTAAAATACTTATCTTAGTCTTAGATTTGGATAAGTTTCTATTTAGATGCCTTACAGAAGATTTCCTTGACAAAGATCTACCAAGTTGTCTTAAAGCTTCCTCATTCTTTTCTTCAAATATTGGAGAAATGTGATGAAGTTCCGCTGATCCACCAGCTACTATTGAAGAAGCTGAGTGACCAGAATTTGATAAGATGTCACCAAATTCATCTTCATTGGCATCTAATTCATTCTCATCCATATTTGCATTGTCTTCATTAATTAACCTATTTCTCTCATAGTGCAAGTTATCATCTTGATCACTGAATGAAACGTTGTTCTTACCATTCTTCTTCACTCCTAGCAAACCACTTACTCTATTTTTGGCTTTGCTCAATTTTGAAGTATCGCTCTGAATCTTTCTGATCTTTTCTTTAGCTAAATACTTTTCTTCCCTTGGTTGATACGTAGCAGTAGTTCTTCTGGAGAATACTAAGTTATGATGAGGAGAGTTATCCTCTTCGTCATCAAAAAAGTCATTGTCTACTGGATTAGCACACCAGACTGGGAGAGCCCAGCTGAACATAACCAATATTGTGAAGGATACACCCCACCACAAGAACAGTACAAACAAGGTGCCAAATTTCATTTCGATTCCCCAAGCTTCTAAATCGTCCCTGATTTCACCTTGAACGTCATTCATTATTCGAGTTATGATGCTGGCTCCGATGGAACCGCTTAAAAATGCAACACATGAGATAACGGTAATGATATGCAACAAAAATCTTGGGACACTTTCCAAATCCGCATACTGGTGATCATCAGCCTTCTGAAATCGGCTACTATATAGTATAAGAGTAAAGATAATAATAATACCCTGTAAGATGGCCGAAAACCCAATTGCTGGATTCACTAGTTTAAAGGCCCTACCTCTTTGATACACTCGCTCATGATATCCAGCCTCTTTTGTCGCATTGTCTACATCATCACTATAGGCGTATGCCATTATACTTTCCAACCCAATAGCCTGGAGTTGTCCTACATAGTCGAATATAGACTGGTTTTGACTTGGGTGATAGTCATAGCAAGTCAAAGTTTCGTTTACATGTTTGTGGGTGACCTGACCATACTTGTCAATAACTTCTTCCTGGATATAGTTTCCAGAACACCATCTCCACAATGAATTTATCGTGAACTGCGGAGCACTTGCGTAAAGAGATTCTGTGTAGTCCGTCAATGCAATGACCTGCGAGTTCGTTAGCGTAGCATCTACGGGGGTATCGCCCTCTGTTGACGTCACAGACGTCCTAAGCGAATTGTACAATGCTTCGGAAAGGTCTTCACGGGTACAGTTGATCCTGGCACAGTAAAATATTTTACTGTCTAAATAAGGAATGACTAGCACCACTACAAGAAACACAAGAGCTAAGGACGAGAATAACAACCTCGCTTTCTGCAAAATACTCTGAGGTATTGATAAGTTCTGGAAAGGTTTACTTAACTTGAAGGGCCTCATCTTGCTATCACTCAACTAATGTAAGCGAGAAGTGACTGCACCTACAAGATATTGCTGTATACTTCAAGATGAAATATGGGATCAATGGAGCAAGCCAAAAAAAATAACGCACAAAAAATGAAATCCATACTACAAGGAACTGAAACTACCAAGAAAAGAAGAGTGCACCATGAAGAACCTAAAAGGTAAAAAAAAAAGTGCTTAGCAGATTGGAAGGGCTGGATCTAAACTGAACTCAACCTGGCTTAATTAGGGAGTAATTCTGTCAGGAGTGCAGTTGGCATTTGGATCCGTGGGGAGTCCGATTGATATCTCAAGCTGTGAAAAATGAGAGAGGCTGAATTTTCAGAACCTTCAAACTACAACTCTAATACGGCACTTCACTTGTGAATATATATATACATATTTATTTATATTTCATTATATATACTGATTACATTTTCATATTTTATAATACTAACACGGTCTGATGCATGTTACACTAACCAGGGCCCAATCTAGACATCGAGTGCAACGATATGTGTTCTACTCTCTTATTGTCTTTTTTTTTTTTTTTTTTTACTTTATACCTTACCATTTTTCATGCTAATAGTTATTAGTGTTTCCACCTCTCTGAATTGAATTGTACGTTCAACATACTAAAAATACACCTTAGAGCCTAGTTGAACATTCAAAACTCCTCATTGAACAGGAGATTCCCATACTTCAGACTGTAGTCTACATTTTCCCTATATCTTGAATATCCCGTGTCCTGGTTGGCTTCAAATTTTCTTTTGGTGAAGGCTTCTACGGGACCCTCAGGGATGGTCACTGGGTGCGCAACAGGCACAGACGCGGTGTTACCCCAATCAGACAAGTTAGAAGCTGTTCCCACTGTTGAGCCGGTAGAACCTACCAAAGAAGGTGGTTCATCCATTCCGGCTGGTAATGGTACTCTTCTATTCACGTATGACTGGTCGCCATAACTATAACTTGAAGCATTAGGTGTAGTGTAGCCATCTGATACGGCCTTACGAATTCTCATTCCTAAAGTTGAGAGCGCTTCAGTGTCTGGGTTTCCAGAACCGTAACGCGTTTGTGATTGATGCTGAGCCACATGGGTCTGTCTCTTGTGTTGAAACTCCATGATGAATGCGACCTAAGAAGGGGTGAGTTTCAAATCAGTGAGAGGATAGTAGAAGAGTAGAAGAGTAGGCAGGTACTTCACCAGCCTTTTTTTCCACATGGTATAGTCATACAGGTTCTGTGCATCACGTGACAAATACACCAGGCGGTGATTTTAAGTGATTTTAAGCTACTATTGAAGCTTAACCACATGGAACAAGGCACAACGTTTCAATTATTAGCGTGAATTAGAGAAGGACATGCAGCAGAAAGAAACGAAGCACAGTGACAAACAGAGAAAGGAGCTGGGCCCAATCACTTCATGAAAACGCTGTATGCATGTCCATATGTCCATTTATTCACTTACTGAAGGGAATTGCAATACTTATCGGTATACCTCATCAAGATCCTCTGCTTCCGGCAGCCGCTTACACTCCACTCCTCTAATTCACAACTTTGTCATGATTTGAAACCGAATCAATTTCCACCATTCGAAAGTGCCTTAGTGCTCTTCTCTTCCATCCCCACAAGATCATCCATGCTCAGTTTCTCTCGCTTGCTCTTACCGCATACACCCCCCAATTTCCTCTATCGTTAACTAACAGCGCTGTATACACGCCCAGCGGTTCCGCTATTCCACCTGCGCTCGCTATCAGTAACCGAACGCGGCAGTGAAAAATTTTGGAACACTTATATAAACCAACGATCTGTTCACTGAAAAGGTTCAGAGTTTAACGATAAAAAAGGATTCTTTCTTTCATTCAACCAGTTATTTAAGTAAATATCATAATATTAAACATGTCTGCACCAGATTTTTCAGTTTCCTCCAAAACCGCTGTTGAATACGAACAAGCATACTCTGCGCACAACTACCACCCACTCCCAGTGGTTTTCACCAAGGCCCAAGGTGCCCACGTTTGGGACCCAGAAGGAAAGGAATATCTTGATTTCCTTTCTGCTTACTCTGCTGTTAACCAAGGTCACTGCCACCCAAAGATTGTTGGAGCTCTTGTTGATCAAGCCTCTAAATTGACCCTTTGTTCCAGAGCCTTCTCGTCCGACGTTTTCGGTGTCTTCTCCAAGTATGTCACCGAGTACTTCAACTACGAAATGGTTCTCCCAATGAACACCGGTGTTGAAGCTGTCGAAACTGCCTTGAAATTGGCAAGAAGATGGGGTTACGTCAAGAAGGGAATCCCAGAAGGTGAAGCCATCGTGTTGTCCGCTGCCAACAACTTCCACGGTAGATCTATCGGTGTTATCTCCATGTCCACCGATCCAGATGCCACCACCAACTTCGGTCCTTACCTTAGTGGTGTTGGTCCACAAATTCCAGGTGAACCAGCTGGAACCCTCTTAAGATACGGTGAAATTGAAGACGTTGAAAAGGCATTCGCTAACGCTGGGGACAAGATCGCTGCTATCTTGTTGGAACCAATCCAAGGTGAAGCCGGTATCGTCGTTCCTCCAGAAGACTACCTCACCAGAGTCCAACAACTATGCAAGAAGCACAACGTCTTGTTGATCTGTGACGAAATACAGACTGGTATTGCCAGAACCGGTAAGATGTTGTGTTACGAACACTCCAAGGACGTCAAGCCAGATGTCGTCTTGTTAGGTAAGGCCATCTCCGGTGGTGTCTACCCAGTCTCCGCCGTCCTCTCTTCAAAGGAAATCATGTTGACTCTCGAACCAGGTTCGCACGGTTCTACCTACGGTGGTAACCCATTGGCCTGTAGAGTTGCTACTGCTGCTCTTGAAGTCGTCAGAGAAGAGAAATTGGTGGAAAGAGCCCAAACCTTGGGTGAATTGTTAAGATCCAAGTTAGAAGAATTGAAGTCTGAGTCCAATGGTATCATCTCTGAGGTTAGAGGAAGAGGTTTGTTATCAGCTATCGTCATCGACGAATCTAAGACCAACGGTAGAACTGCTTGGGACTTATGTTTATTGATGAAGGGTCACGGTGTCTTGGCCAAGCCAACCCACGACAACATCATTAGATTAGCACCACCATTAGTCATCTCTGAAGAAGACTTATTGAAGGGTGTTGACTCTATCAAGCAGTCTTTGGTTGACTTGCCAAATGCTGAAAAGACTCACCATTAAATGTACAATATCATCAAGCTCAATACAGCGTAAATAAGTATTCAATCAAACAGATAATATTAATATATGGGATAGGTTTTTAAGGCTTACATTGTAGAGAGAAGTAAATGAATTAATGTACTCTATTTTAAGTTGATCCAGAATCACCTTAAATATATATGCTTTGCTAATGGGGTATTACACAATTATGTAGTTTGAATATATTCTCACTTATGTTCCAGCTTTACGATTCTGTATCTCATGTTTTATTTCATTGTTTTAATGTTGAAGTTGTGGGTTGCTAATCTTCCTCATCATCTTCATCTCTTTGGCCCCTTGCTTTTCCTAAGCCCAATGCTGCCAAACGTCTCCTTTTCTCGACTTCTGATTCGTGTAAGATTTCATCTGAGTCGTCATCCGAATCTTCTTCTTCAGAGTCTTCAGAAGCCTCAGAATCTTCTTCTTCTTCTTCCGATCCTTCAATAATTTCTGGAACCGTAGGGCGCCTCCTGGCGTCTGAAGTCTTATCAGTACCCTTCAAGATATTGGTGATCTTCAGTTCTAAGCTATTTTCAAGCTTGGAGTCCCTCAATGGGTTGTTTGGACCCTTAGAATCGTGCTCTTTTACCAATACTGGTTCACCTGGTTGGCCAGATCCATGGGAACTTCCACTAACAATGGCATTTATAGATGGCGAACCAGATCCTAAGCCCTCTCCTCCACTTGTTCCCTTTCCCTTAATTCCAACGTACGATAATGCTTTGCCCACAATCGAACCGGATCTAGCCCTTCCTCCAGAAGGTGCACTTTGGGAAGCATGACGATTGACCTTATATCTTCTGATAATTTCACCGTCTTCATTTTCAATGACAATCATATCGTCAACTTGATGAGCGTATACCTTGCGATGCTTTGGATCTGATTTCCTGTAAAAGGCTTTCTTTTTCTCTTTGATTTTCAGTGGACTTGTAACCTTAGTCAATGGTGCAGTAGCAGTTGGAGAAAGATTAGAATCCTGCTTGGAATCTTCAGAATAATTGGAAAAGTTAGTCATAGCACGACGTAAGGATGCTTCCGAGTGGATACTTCCACTATAGACTCGTTGTAATTGGTTATCAACAAGGTTATTTTCAGGCAACGAATCCTTCCTACTCTTTAATGATAATGTTTCTAATACTTCTCCATCCTTATCTTCAATGACAATTTGATCTCCTTCTTGGTACGCGGCGTGGGCCAGCTTCTCAACATCCTGAGTAAGATCTCCTACTGGAACTTGAACGTCCAACTTAACACTCTCATCATTTTGTTGCTTAGCCTCTTCAATTGATCCAGAGGACAATTCAGAATCCCCACCTGAGCTTTCCTTATTGCCATTAGTGGTATTATCGATAGTATCATCACCTTCATCTTCCTCGTGAATTTTGTTGGTATTATTATTCCTACCCAATTGCAAGAATTCTGTCTGAGGTCTTGGCTTTCTTCCTTCACCACCTTCGATATGCTCATCTTGCCTAGAAAGGGATTTCTTAAGTCTTTCACCTGGAGTTGGTCTCTTCTTCTTCTTGTGCTTCTTTCTTTTAGCTCCACCTGCAGGTCTAAACTTAACACCACTAGTTTCAATTGTATTGGAATGTGGAAGCACATCACCGTTGGCATTTGTGTTAGCGATTGAAACATCATCGAGTTCTACCTTTGTCTCATTACTAGTCTGTTCAGTATCAGAATCAATTCTATGTAATGAAAATCCAGTGTTGGCCTTTTCCAACTTTTGCAAACGTGACATCCAGGTTGGACCTTGATCTCTTGTATTGGTAGTGGTGAAAGACATTGTGATTGCCATTCTATTAAGTCTTTTACCTAAAGTCAATACAGCGACAGATGAACCATGTACAATAATAGACGTCAAGATAATAAAGCAAACAATTGGCCACATAGCGGCAAGCAATTGATAGTGAGGGAAAGTATCGCTGGGTAAGGAGGCCAATGGAGTTTCTTCATGAGTATAATGTCCTTCCAAATCCTTTCTTGCCAAGATTACAGCAAAGACAGCACCGACACCAATTGGACCAAAGTGACCACAGAACAAAGCTTCTCTCCACGACTTAATATCAGGAGTGAAATGCTTGAATGCAAGGACTGCAGGCATTCTTCTTAAGAATATAATAACAATGGCTAAAATAACTAATCTCCAGGCGTTTAATCCCAAGGAAGCATCATTGAACAGCGGCCATGGAATAATTGCACCGAAGTAAACGAAATATGCCAAATTAAGTAACAAATCAATGACAGTGGAGACATGAGATTCCTCTGTCTTCTTAGCGAAGTCACCATTCCAGCCGAAGGCAGTACCAGCGGCAAATGACACCAATAAATCATCAACCCCCAACATTGAACCAATACCAGCACTATTGAAAGCCAAGAATACGAAAATCGCTAAAAAGGATTCTCTATCGATCAAACCTTTTGCTTCCGCAAATGCTACAGCTTTCCTTAAAATGAACCCTAAAAATGCTCCAAGAAGACATCCAAAGAGACATTCCCATAAAATGGTCAAACATATCCAGTCTTTAACAATTTCGCCTGCATTTCCGTGATGCAAGATCAAATTTAATGAGAGGTAGATGAATGGAAATGCCATACCATCGTTACATCCGGATTCTGCAGACAATAAGTTTCTCAAGTGACCAGGAACTCTTTCAGCAAACTTACCCTTACCAACAACGGCAGCTGCCAAAACAGGATCCGTGGCGGTAACACAAGCTGACACTAACAACGCCGATGGGAAATCAAAGTGTGGGATCAAGCACCAGATGAATAATCCAACAACAAGCCAACCTACTGTCATCACTGGCAACAACAAAATGGCTACCGAGAGCCAATGCTTCTTCATATATTTTCTGGGCAATTCCACAGCAACTGCAACAATTTGAATACAAAGGACAATTCTTGAGATTTCCAAGGTGATGTAATCTGTATTCCCCCAAGTTACGGGGTCAAACCAATCTAAACAATGCGGCCCAAGGATGAGACCCGCTACTGTCGCTACCGTGGCTTCACCAATGAAAAGCTTCTCTTTCACAAAGAGTGAAACCAACGAGAAAATCGTACTGAATATCCCCACACAAGCATAAGCTATATGAGGTTTTTCAAGCTAGAGTAAAGTTAGTAAAAGAATGAACGAATTAATGTAAAAAAAAAAAAAATGCAACAGCTTAATGAAATGGTCTCGGTTGGGGTGCACCCTGTGCAAAATTAAGGTGGGGCTACGATGGACTAGTCGTATGGGTCCCCGACTAACATCATGAGCCAGTTCCAAGCAGCTAACGTCCCTGAAGACCTGTCACTATCACCGACCTCGACACATAATTCAGACGTCGTGAAGTTGCTTCAAAAAAAAAAATACAACATCAACAACGTTTCAGTTTGTGATGAACCCTGCGCAACCTTGATGGTGCTTACGAAATATAGCCCGTAAACGAGCCCCACTTATCACCGTGAGCCATGGCCCCATCGGTAAGATCTTTTATGTAGAGAAGCTCAGACCAATGCCTACATGTTACGCAAATTTCTTGACAGATATGCCTACCAGTTAGCACAAGAATATGCCAACCGTTCGTCCCACAAGTGAAATTTTTATTCAATTCTTGGCTCTAGTGCTTAGAGCCCATGGCTACATACCTCTAACTGTGACCATACCATAATGTGTCATGCAGTTATAATATCAAATGCGTTCTTCTTTCTACGTCAATAAAATACCAGAACAAACGTTCAATTTACGTTCCAAGTATGTAAAGAATCGAAATCAGCCTCTATAGGAAGAAAAAGAAATACAAGTTGCCCACTCCTACTACCATTAAAGATAACAAAAAAGAATAAATTGATGCCAAGTACAGATGCAATTGCGATGCCTGCAGATAAGGTCTACCTGCAGGAGCTGATGGGAAAAAAGGTTAATTTGCTGATGCTTAAGCGAGTCAAGAAAAATAATAGAACGCAGAATCGAAGTTTGTCTGGACAGTACAAGAAAAAAAATATTCCCTGGACATTAGGCAAAAAAGAACGAGAATGACAAAAATTAAGTGGATTGACCAAAAAAAAAAAAATAGATCATACCGAGAAAGATAAACACCTAAAACAAGATAAGAGCAGATTAGCATTTGACATTCTTGTTGGTTTCTATTGGAGGAATTTCGGAATATATATTTTTTGGGGGTTTTAGCACTATTTAGGTTTCACTTGTTCTCACTCTATGACATCCGGACTTTGGATAATAGGTTACGGTTCGTTAATATTCAAACCTCCTCCCCACACAGAATTCAGATTGGATGGATATTTGAAGGGCTTTGTAAGAAGGTTCTGGCAGAGCTCGTCTGACCACAGGGGTACACCCGAGAGTCCCGGTAGAGTGGTCACGTTGGTATCGTTAAAAGACATAAAGGCAAATAAAGACTTACTTACATCGGTTTACACCCACGAACTCAGGCACCGGTCGGAGTTTGATGATGATGCTGACATATTGGAAGATGACTTGAAGGTTTGGGGGTGCGCATACTATGTGGCACCCGAGAACGCGGAATTTGTTAGGCAGTACTTAGAAGTTAGGGAGCAGGATGGGTACACTTTGCACAACGTTCCCTTCCATGTGACATCTGCCATTCCTCCGCTGATACAATCCAAGCTTAAGCAAAGCGAAACCGGGGAGTATTTCTTGGAATCCAGCATTTATATAGGAACCATAGATAATAAGTCGTTTATAGGCCCCGAGGAGCCCCTAGTGACGGCAAGGGTAATAAGCGGAAGCAGGGGCCCCAGTGGGGAGAATTCCGAGTATTTGCTTAATCTTGGGAATGCAATTAAGGAGTTGGAAGCTCGCAGTAGTATGAAGGACTACTATTTGCAGCAATTGGTGACATCTGTACTCGAACTCTCTAAGTAGTGTATCTTAGCATGAAATACAAGGTGAAAAATCGCATTACTCATAACGCCAGTAGGTTGCAGAAAAAAAAGGAAATCTCCTGGGGGTGAGTCGAACACCCGATCTCAAGATTACTTTGAGTAAGTTACACATTACAGTCTCGCGCCTTAGCCAGCTTGGCCACCAAGAGGATTTCTGGAAAAGAAGAATGGAAAAAATGTTTGTATGGTGGTGCATGCCGAAACTCATCATAGTCTTCTGAGTGCTTGCTGCATGTCTGAGTCCTAAGGAAGGCAGCGAACACTCTATTTCTGGAGATGGCCCTTGAGTAAGTTATACATTACAGTATTACGCCTCTAGCCAGCTCGTCTTTCAACAGGAATCTTGGAAAAGAGAACGTGAAAGTGTTCTTATGTTTTTACCGTTGTGCGTAGTTTGCATCCAAAGTGTGCTTTGCAACTGGTTCCTTGGTGAAGGCAGTGGATAGCCACTTCTAAGAGCTTTCAAGAAAAGAAGCTCCCAATACGTGAAGTATCTGTCTTATGAAACCTGATTTGCACCCGTTTGGGTTCAAATTATATCTCGGTCCGTAGGAAAGGCAGAGAATAGTGCCTTCTAAGAGTTCTCAAGAAATGCAGCCCCAAGAGGTGAAGCTAATCATGGGAAATGCTCTTCAGTCTAATTCCATTTGCAGGAGTAAAAATAATTGCATAAATTGAATATGACTACTAAAGAGTATTGAATGTTTCTATATATTGAACTTTTCATGTTTTAACTGAAGCAATGCTTTGTGGAAGCGACCAGATCCCCTTAAAAGACAACAAGAACCAAGAGGCCGAAAGCAGAGGCAACCAAATTACTAATCAAAGTAAATTTGACTGTTTGCACTTCACCAGAACTTTTTGTTGTTGAAGAAGTAGATGTAGAAGAACCGGACTTTGAACCAGACGTCTTTGATCCGGAGCCAGTGTTTGAGCCAGTTTGGTCTCCAGAACCTGTTTCAGTAGCTTCAAAGATACCGGTTTCAGCTGTGATTTCAGCAGGCGTGTAAATTCCAGTTGCGTAAGAGAAGATAGACTCGGCAGACGATTCAACTATTCCAGTCTCGTAATCTGTGGATGAGTACAACGAAGCCTGGGTGGCACTAGGAATGCTACTGGAAATGACTTCTATGTCAGATTCATCAGTATACTTAGCTTGTGCCAAGGAAATGGTTAAATCCTCCAAATCATAAACAAAGTAGCCGCTACTCATAACGTTATCACCTAAGATCACGAAATCCTCCTGCTGACTTTGAATTCCTAAGTAGCATTGTTCAGCGCCTCCAGAAGAATCAGAAGAAGCTGCTAAAATGAAATTTGAATATGGAACAGAAATGGTCAACCCACTGAAATCGAAATTAACAGTGAAATCGTCGCTACTCTTGGGACAATTAACAACATAATACCCTACTTCTTCTGAATATTCACCTCCCAAGGCGTCTCCAAATTTACTAAACAAACTTTCAGGAAGGACTGTCAATGAAGTACCAGAATCCAAAAGAGCAGTGTATTTATTGGAAGTTACAGAAAAGTCATTGCTTCCTTCACTAAATGAAATACCATCAAGCATAACATGGAAGGCTGAAGGATCTTCAGAGACCTTATTAAGTATAGGAACCGTTGCTAATGTTCCAGAGTATTTGGCATGGTCAACTGCTCCGAATAAAACTGAGCCAGTTGTAGCGTTAACTGCATTCAAATAGAGGGAATATGCCACTTTATTAATCGCACCTTCTTGTTTAAGAAGAACAGGGAAGTTCAGATACTCATAGGAATTGGTAGACTCAAGACCTTCCAAACCAAGACCAAGAATACCACAGTTTGTGGTGGATTCATTAGCAATACCAAAAGATACAGAGTCAAGAGTAGTACTTCCAATCTTTATCGAGTCATATCCCCAGTATCCCGAAGCTCCAGTGCCGTCTCCATACATGATATAGAATTCAGGTGCAGATTCGTTCCTCTTGAATGATGAAGACAGCGAGGTTTCAAATGACCCATAGTTAATACAAGTGTTTGTGGGAGCAATGTCACCAGGAGATGTTCCCGTAGCTGTTGCAACCCCAATGGCAGTTTCATCACCAGAGTCTCCACCATACACAATAGTTTCGTATCCAAACATAGTGGAGAGATCATCAAATATATCACGTTCAGCAAGAACTCTGTTGTTCTGGTGAGAGGAGTAGTCTCTTCTTCTCCTCTTTTGATAATCAGGCACAAAACATTCGACGTCCTTGGCCATAAACCATAAATCTGACGATCCAGTATCAACTTGAATGGTATTCTTTTGATTATTAGATCCAACTTCAAGGGTAGCAACGTACATGTTAAGTTCATTACCAAGAGTTAATGTCACATCACCATCTCTTCTGTATAAGTATGGCTTGTTGTCCAGTGACAAAGTGTCATAAGTGTCACCTCTCTTGACTTCAAAGTCAAGTAAAATACCACCACCAGGTAATGTCGTACCCAAGCCACTCGTTGATGCAACATAGGAAGCTGCAAATAAGAGGGTTGCAGCTAAGAAATGTGTCATTCTGCAAAATGTTAACTAATCAGAAGGACAAGAAAAAAAACAGACAAAATGTAAAGCAACCAAGAAATGTCCAAGAAATCAAGCAAAAAAATATTGTCACTGTATAACTCTATACCTCTATACTCTCCAAGAATCCCAGAAGAAGCGCTTACTTATAACTAATTGACGGGCGGTCGATTCGATAATTTTTCAATATTTCAAACACCTAGTGAAAGAAAAATTAAACTTTTATTGGAGAAAAAAATCACCTTTACAATGAGATGACAGACGTGCTACTTGCTGTTTTGATGACGGTTTAAAGTTTCCGTATTATTTTTTTAAATTTGGTGCTAATTTTGGCAGTCGCACTTTTTGGCAGGGTTCTTTTTTGGCAGGTGCATGCATCACCAAGCCACTTTGCCCCGCTGCATACTAAGGCACATCTAAGGCACACTCAGTGCATGTTCCAAGAGTACATGTTACGTACCATTAGTCCAGTTAGAATCATATCTCACCCTGAAGTAGTCTTAAAATGATTGCATTGTAGAATTAGTGATCTGGGAGTAATTCTCCCAGGTGCTATATATAGAGCTGAGCTATTTACATAAATCTACACTTTTTTGGTTACACCTTATGCTTAACACCTATCCTATATCTATATCCAAAATGACTTCATCCAGTACTTTAAATCAAGTAACATACACCCACGCTCTTATACTTTCATATATAGTATCTTTTATTCCTTTTAAACCTAAATAGAATTATATCTAATTTAATTATTCTAATGCTTCCCAATATTTAACCTCTCTGTAATTCAACAGCTGCTGCTTCTATATACTGTGCAACATTATCAATTTCGCTTTGTGCTCTTCCATAGTCTCCATCATCCAAGAAATCTTTGACGCCTGGGAAAATGTTGAAATCCTTATCCTTCATGTTTCCACTATTTATAAAATAAGGAGCATCGTAAGGAACGCCAAATAAGGCATTGACGTAGCCTGGTCTTCTAGATTTTAAATCTTTCTTGATAAATTTGCTACTGAAACCAATCATGTTCTCATTTTGCTTCCATCTATTCATTGCTACTAGAGTGGGTTCCATATCCCCAGAGTTCTTTAAGAAATCCTTCCAACTCAGGTTCCAGTCCTCTAATACTCCTGATGCTTGCTTGAACCTGCCAATTGCTTGAGTCAACCTTTCGTAATGAATTATTGGTTTCGTTGGTTTCTTGTCTTTAGCAATTATCTCATTTGCATAATTTTCAAGAGATTGCTCATAGTCATGCAATTTATTTGACAAATCGTTAAAATTAAATGGGATTAATGGACTCTCCACCAATTCCAAAATAAGTTTCGAAAATAGCTCCACAAGTACCTTATGCTTCTTCATCTCAGAGTCGATTTTCAAAGCTTCGAAATTTTGGAAACTATCATAGCACGAGTTCTTTGGGTATCTCCTTTCTGGGTTTGTCTCCGAAGAGGTAAACTTGATTTCCATCGATGGCACGTTCAAAAAGTTAATAAACGGTATGTAGTTTTTCAGTTCAATCAAATTGAATGGAATATCATCTTTATTGTTATTTTGAGATTTGTACAAGTCGTACAATAATTGATCATCTCCTTCTGTCTTGACTTTTTGAAGAACCTTCCTGATAACTTCATGGAACAAAGGATGTGCATTAATTTGAAGTTCATCACCAGTTATCACATCACTCAAGTCGATATACGTATAACCATTATCAGTTAGTTGATCCTTTCTATTTTCTATCCACTCGGTCAGACCTGCCAAATTATATTCACTTCCATCGAATGATATGAAATATATGGATCTTGCAGGAGACCAATTGAACTTTCTTTGCATAGCTGTAAAGACTTTGACCAATTCCAACAAAATCACGGTACCTGTATTTGTAGATAAAGTACCGAAGCACGAGGCATCTCTTGAGGCCCCAATAATCAAACCTTTATTGGACTGTTCACGCCCTTCAATAGACCCAACAACATTCCAAATTTGGTGCGTTGGTTTTGGTTCGTTGTTAATCTGTAACTCAATTTCAATACCTGATGCATCACCTGAATAGTTTCCATCCTCAAATTTAGCTCCCTTTTCTTCAATCTTCTTCAAAAATTCTTTGGCATCTGCATAAGATATTGGAATTGTAGGAATTTTTGGTGTAGATTCCGATTTGAACCAAGGTAACCTGACAACATATCCTTCACCAGAAGACCAGCCTGGAGTAAGGACGTCACCCGTACTATATCTTTCTAGACCGACATTCCACTTCTCTATAATATCTTCATGTCTATTGCCTTCAGAGTCAGTATATGGTGTGGAGATGAATACAATTGCGGAAACCCCTATCAGAGTAGCCAAACTAACCTTATTTGAATCTGGAATGTCACCCCCTCCGTACTTTATTAATAAAACAGCTCCCTTTAATTTCACTCCCGCAGAGTGCAAGGCCTCGAAGTCTTTCCTTGTACCATAGTTTCCATACACATAATGGCCCTTCACCACATTATTGGTGTTGAGGGCATTTTGATTGTAGGCTAAGTGTTCCATCCCCTCTTGGTTAAACTCTTTCAAATTGGCCAGAAAGGAGCCATCAGCTAATTTCACATACGTGGAACCTTCTTCAGCTTTCGGGTAATTTAAATTGACCAGTACTGTGTTAAGATCGTAATCCTTGATCCCATTGTTGATCATGAAGTCTTGTACGTACTTAGCCAATGTCAAATCACCCTTCGTTCCTGCTATATGAGGCATCGACGACAAATACTCGAGGTTTTCCTTCATAAGTTTGTTATCAATCATTGGCGCCACAGCAGCCCCTAACTTGTCAATGTCATACATCATCCCCAGCGTGAACCCTCCACCGGAATGATGCCCGGCATCCAGAGCTTCCAGTGAGGTTGAATAGTGAGTCAAGATGAATATGAAACCTATTATAAACGAGACATAGAGGAGTCTTTTAACTACCAAGGGGTTCCCTATTTTCAATATGAACTGCTCGTACATGCCATTGAAATATTTGTAGCCCTCATACATGGGGTCTATCATCTGCGAGACCGGGTGTATAACAGCGTTATTGAAGTTCGATGCAAATTTCTTGGTGAATTGGGAAGCTTTACCGAAGAATCCGGTTCTTCTTCGTTGACCAAGTTCCTCTGCAATACCATCTTCTATCTCAAAGGCCTCGATATCCACAGGCTGAGCGTGGTGCATATCAGCATCATCCAAGTCATCATAGGCAGGAGGAAAGTTAGGCTGCGTGCCGTCCAATCTCTGATATTGTGCCATACTTACCTTGATCTTATCAAAAGCTAAGAGCAGGACTTAAAAAAACAGGAATAAAATATAATCACACTTCAGTGCTGGAAGTGAAAAATCTACGTCTGACAAATTCTGACCTATGCCCTAAGCTTCGTTTGATTGTGTTGTATTGATACTTCAATTTACTCAGCAGTCCAGTCTTAATTTTTACTGGTCTATTTTACTTATATGTTTATTTATGCAAGCGTTACCACTACTATAGACTTGAAGCTTGAAATACCGTCCCTGTTCAGTATATCCTTCAATCTTTGAAGGCGTAGTCTCTTTCTGTATACGTTTTTCTTGGATTATTTTGTTTTTTAGTGCCGCCGGTACGATCGCGAGGGAGCCCAATGGGGAAGGTGTTGTGCAGGAACATGGCTGCTGCTTAACATGGCTTACAAGAGACGGTGGAAGAAGGTGGGACTATTTATGATTGGGGAAAGGGTGAATATGGGAGGGATGGAGTAGATATATGTATGAGATAGTATAGACGAGCTCCAGGCACTTCATGATGGTAATTTTTACCATAGTTCATCGCAGGGTGTACTCTTCTCCTACAATTCTTCTATTTTTAGAACCGACTATTGGTGAGATGAATATCGTTATCAAGTATGGCGAAGTATGGCAAAGCATGGAAAACATGGAAGAGGTCCAGACATTTTGTGAAGGTGACTTACGAGTGTATTCTTACAGCTGTTCTGTTCTGGGTATTGCAGCCTGAGAAATCTCATCAATTTCATGCCAGAGCCCTCCTTCTATATATATTGTTTCAGCTATCTTCTTTATAAAGTTTCTGTATATTGTTTCAGCCATATTCTTATATAATCTATGTACATTGTTTCAGCTATCTTCTTATAAAATCGGATTCTAATATTCCAGATTTTGCACAAATCTGGCTAAAGATTCCATTCTCCTTAAATAATGTCCAAGGAGCATCGAATTCAGACATTTGCCCATTATCCAAGGTCAATATCTTATCGTAGTTAATAATCGTCTTCAATCTATGGGCAATGCATAGTATTGTACAATCACTAAACTCTTTAAGAATTGTTTTCTGGATCTTACTATCAGTTTCATAATCAACAGAACTAGTTGCTTCATCAAGAATCAAGATCTTGGTATTTCTCAACATAGCTCTAGCGAAAGAAATCAATTGTCTTTCTCCTAAGGAATAGTTAGCTCCCAGTTCTTCTACGCCTTGATCTAAATGAAACTTGTGTAATTCCTTACTAGTCTCGGAAGTAGATTCCTTTACTTGTTGGAAATCTTCCTCTTCAATGACTCCTGCACGTCTTAACGCATCCCAAAGTTCTTCATCTTCAAGATCACTAAATGGGTCTAAATTTTTCCTTATTGTCCCGCTGAACAAAACGGGATCTTGTGGAATAATGGATAGATTTGCCCTCAAGTCATGTAAACCGATTTTGCTGATGTCAACTCCATCAAGGACAATGCTACCTTGATCTAATTCAGAGATTCTGAACAATGCGCTCAAGATGGAAGATTTACCAGCACCAGTTCTACCACAAATACCAACCTTTTCGCCCGGTTGAACTTTAAAATTTAAATCCTTCAAAACAAGAGGCAACAATGGTCTATAACGCAAAGAAACATTCTTAAACTCCAATTCACCCTTGCTTGGCCACGAAGCTTCTGGTTCCGTGTGAGAAATTCTAGAAGGTGCTTCTTGAGGCATACGATAGGCGTACTCTTCCAATCTTTCTGCTGAGTTCATATCATTCTCCACTTCAGTATATAATCGAATAAATTGAGACAACTCATTTCCCATACTAAAGGCGTAACTCACAACTAAACCTGTGGATGCTGCACTAATATTGAACACCCTATTAACACACATCAAAGTAATCATTAACGTGAAAAAGAATACCAACACTTCCAACATTACTGATAGCCATCTTTGATTCGCTATCACTAAATATGAAGCCTCGTTAGTAGAATTGATGTATTCATTATTCTTCCCAACAAACCTTCTTTCGGCTCCAAAGGCCTTAATAGTAGTCATACCATTCAAAGTTTCGGAGTAATTATTATGAATAAATGATCTCTGGACTGCTTCGATCCTCTTGATCTCTCTCGTAGTTGCTTGATAGTATTCTGCAAGACACACAAATATCATAGAAAACACAGGGGCTGCAACCAAAATCCATGGTAAGTAGATGCAGCATAATATGAGAATACCGATCAAGTTCCCCAATCCGTAGAATAAGAATCTTAAATTTTCACTGATTTCGTTGTCCAAAGCATCTGTGTCTTTAGTGAACCTATTTAAAATCCTACCTGTTGGAGTAGTATCAATAAATGACATTGGAGCGTGGAGCAAATTCTTCACTGCCAGAAGAGTAAGATTCTTGGAAGCTCTAGTTGATGTGTTAACCAAAATAAAAAATTCCACGCAAACAAACAAAACCGAAGCGAAAGTGAACAAGGCATAAAGGCCAATCCAGAAAGAACTGTCTTTACCTGGAAATCTATCTGATATCCAGAACGATAACCAGGTATTAGTGAAAAGAGTTGTGAAAGTCGTCAAAGCAGCGGATACTGGAAATACCAAAAGAAATCCTTTCATTCCTAATTTTTGAACACCCACCTTCAAGTAATTATAATAAATCTGGAATTTAATTCTATTGACAGCCTTTTCTTCATCTTCTTGTAATCTACCTTTAGTAATATCTTTCTGGGCTTCTTCTATATTCAGCTCAGCATTATCACTTGCTCCATCCTCGGTAATGCTTCTGGTTTCCACGGTTTTATCATATTTATAGTCTTCTTCAATGTCACCCGGGGTACTTTGAATCGGTGAAGGTGAATTAGCTTCATCTTCTTCTAAGTATTTCTTAGTGCTGCTGAAACTCATCAAATTCTTGAATCCCTCATTTCTGTTATTCAATTCATCGAATGTCCCAATATCTATTGTTCCATCGCCATTTAGGAATATCACCCTGTCAGCACTTTCGATTAAAGAAAGTTGATGGGTTGCTAATATTCTTGTGGTGTTTTTCAATTGTCCCAAGAGACAGTGGGATACTATATGCTTACCAACTCTTGCATCTACAGCACTTAATACATCGTCTAATAAGATGATATCAGGTTGTGCATAAACAGCTCTGGCTAAATTAATTCTTGCCTTTTGACCACCAGAAAGAGTGATTCCTCTTTCACCAACTTCAGTGTAGTCACCAGCATCAAACGAATTCAAATCTTGTTGTAACGCACAGGCAGAGATAACTTTCTTATACAACTTCTCATTCAATTCGGAGCCGAATAAAATATTCTCTTTAATGGTTGTATTTTGCACCCATGGCTCTCCACACATCAAGTAAGCTCCATTCACAGTAATCTTCCCAGAATCAAGTTTCATATTGCCAGCAATGGCATTAAGTAACGAAGATTTTCCTGACCCAACGGTACCTGTGATAACAACAAACTCTCCCTTCGTGATATCAAGATCAATCTTGTTCAAGCCACAAAAGTTCGAGCGTTCATTTTGGATACCTAAAAGTTCCTTTTTATCATTGTTTTCCATCTCTGCATCATATTTACCTTGCTTTTTCAATTTCTCGATTTTTTTTAGCTTAGCTTTCTCTTCCTTTAAGTTTTGCTTGATTTCATCTGGGTCATCTGGTACCACCGAAGTGTCCCAGGAAAAATCAGCATTTTGAATGTTCACCGAGATATTGGAGTTTTCGTCCTGAATAGTAATGTAGTTTTCATCTACAACAGCTTCTTCGCAGGACAACAACCTTTCGACTCTTCTGAATGCATGCAATAAATCGACACCAAGAGCCAAACACATAGGCAATAAAAACGTAATAACAGCTAAGGTATCAAAAGCGGCCACTGATGAGAAAATAGCAGCTGGACCCTTAGTCTTTCCATGAATCTTATAAAGACATGCAAAAGTAACAAATGATGTGACGCTAGTTAAATTCAATGAAAGTGCATCTATTAAATTTCTTGCTCCTTGAATTTTCAACATGGCATTTATTTCATTACTTCTTGCCTGAATAATTTTAGACATGTAGGGAATTTCCCACGAGTAAAGCTTAATCATTTTCAAGTTAGTTAACACTTCCTTAATGATATCTACACGTTTATCGGTCAATTTTGTAACAGAATCTCTATAGGAAAACATCTTGGCACTTCCAGCTCCAATAAGAAAGAGGAAAAGTAAGAAGACTCCTAATCCAATTAACGTAGCGATACCCAAATTAATGGCCAATACAACGATTCCGATGACCAATCCAAAGGGTAAGACAACAGTCAATGGCTGCATCAACACACCCATATCAACTCTAGAAAGATCTGTTCCCATTAGGGAGGTGATTTTTCCAGCTGAATGTTTCTTTTTAGCAGCTGGCAGTAATTTAAACGACTTTTCTAACACTAGCGTTATCAAGATGGATTTGACTCTTATACCCAAACCAAAAGCTACATCAAAATAATGATTGAATAAAATTCCGGTAACCATCAATGCAAGACTACTTCCAATAGCATAACCTATTCCGGGTCCTAAATTTTGATGAGAAGACGACAGCTCATACGACTCTACTGTCTTAAGAAGTTGTTTCGTAAGTAATGGCATTAACGACATAAATAAGATAGTCACAAACCCTAGGCTTGTTGCCCAAATAAGATCATCTCGAAATGTAGTGATGACAGTCTTTGCAATTGTTAATTTGGGCCAAGTTGTAAAAGGTTTCCCTTTGTTTGCAGGATCCTGTTCCCACGCCAATTTGGATTTAGCGACTCTTTCTTGAAGATTCTTACTGAACTCTTCAGCCATGATATCATTTTTCATATCATCAGTTAGATAGAAAAGGTCTCGGGGCCTAATAGTACGCGAATAACCAACTTTGAAAAGAGGTGTTACCCACCAAAAGAAAATTTTACTTAGCAAGTTTGCACTCTTATAAGCATATGGTTTCCTTTCTTCGTCTGAAGGGATTGGGTATTCACCTTTAATGAAAGTGGATAGCAAACGTCTCTGAGGATCATACTCTGGACCAATTTCCAAAGTTTCATCACTCATGATTAACAGAGATGCAACGGGGTTTTCTTTTGCTTGACAGTCTAATGTAACCGAGCACGAATAGATTCACCCCTTTCTTAGAGGTATCAGTTCACAACTGCAGGGGATGCGTATAAATATATATCTCAAGTGTTACTTCTTTACCTCTATCTTTTATCTCCATTTTATCTCCATTTTTATCTCCATCTTTGCGTTTGCATTGGTGTTACTTTTTTTCGCAGCCTATTGTATTATGCATGCAAATGTAGGTGCCACCATATAAGCCGTGTGTTGACTGAGTATTTTTCCACTTTAAGCGATATCAACGTAAAATCTTTTTGACGTGAAAGTAATTTTCATAGGAAGGTAACAAAGAATTCAGACCACAATGGCAAGACAATTTATACAGTGAGCACATACGGATGCATTGAAGCGATCTGGCTGCAAATTTATTCAAGTGTTTGCAAAGACAGCTATTTTTCTTCTTGTTCGTAAAATGGATCATAGACCGAGTCGGATTTAAAGAGATACGCCGCACGTTAAGTGAAAGCCTTGACAAAATTTTGTCAACATACGAATGGAAAATAAAGCTAAAAAATATGCTGTTGTATGAAAACACCACATCTCGGAACCCACAAACCCTCATGGGAGCTATTAATACCAGTAATACAGGATATTTCCTCTGTTGAGAGCTACGTCTTTTACTGCCCATGCAATAAACATTCGTGTAATAATATTCAAACACAATAGTGGTAGAATGTCTACAATTGCAACAGGTAGCAAAGTTCTGGTCCAAAAGCGTGCTTTCGGTGGCAAATTGATCGCCTGTTTCTCAAATCCACATTGCTCCCGATAAACGGAGTTATATATATCGACAGATTGAGATAATACTCACATGAAACAGGTGTTACAGAACAAGGCTAGGTAACCTCACCGCTTCACAAAAAAAGGCCTGAACTATCTGAAATTGGGCTACCTATACTAATGAATAAGTTTGCAATATGGAATAATATCATTATACTTGAGCATTAACAAGAAATTCGCAACACTGAGCTCAACTTACGCAGATGCTATGCTAAAGCCGTCTGGCGCGGCAGAGTATTTTTTGTTGACACATTCGGATTTAAACTGACGTCGGCATCTGAATTCTGCATTTGGGTACCACCTCGTCAAGATTATCTATTCACACATAAGATGGAGCAGCGCAGAATGGAAGGCGACTGATAAGCTATAAGTTATGCGCCCCGTGTTCACCCTATTCTAGTGTGGAGTTACTAGATGGAGAGTAGTTAAGAATCCTCTAATCTGAAGCACTTCTGGCGGAACCTTGTTCCCAAGGTTCAAGTTAAAGCGGTATACGCGCTTCATTTACGTTAGATTCTCAAGTGCTGCAGTAATATCTAATGATCAAATCTATCTCTTATGGCATCCTATATTGAATCCAAGTTTGTCGCCGCCTTCAATAGCAACTTACACCAAGCTCTCCAAGATTACTTCACTTATTCTTCAGTTATATAGATTAATTTACAATTATATAGATTTGCTGAGCTCTTCTCGCATCGGAGCATGAAACTCTCATCAAGCTGACTGAGGAGAATAGTACGGAACCAAGTTGGCAACATAGGCGGTGATGTAGTTCAATATAGAGTAAAGGGTTCGCTTCGTCCAACTGCTTAAATCCATAAAGTAATGCATGGAACCTTTTCTAAAAGCACAACAGCCTAACACCCTAAACTCTCCATCCTGAATTTTGATCATGAATACTGAAAATTTCAATTTTCATCTCTAGCTCAAGTCGGTCATCCAAAGACTACCTATTGGAGAAGTACAGACTAGAATTGATGAGAGCTTCTTCGCTTCCAGTATCACCAAGAAATACTACCATTGAGCAGCCAAGAAGAAGAGAATTTAAAGTAGATGTATAGAATCACATCGTTGGCTGACCTTTACGCTTAGCCCAGATAGTTAACGATTGACTGGTACGCGAACAACGAAGAAAGTGTCTATGAAGAGGCTAGACTTAATGCTTACATATTTCAAATGAGCGAAATACGACATTAATTATTCGTGGACTTATAGATCTCTTGGACCATGAACGTTTAGTCAGAGTTTTGATCTTGAATGCTGTTGCTGTCAGCTTTTATCTCTAGCTTAACATCGTAAGACTGCTTATCTGAACCTAGTTCCGCCTCTCTTGAATCATTTGGCGGATATTCACCCTTTCCTGAGTTGTACAAATATATACCCTGTTCAAGAGCTCTCTTTCTCTCATCTCTTTTAAAATAGAAGTATCCAAGGAGCATACAAAATGCTTCCAACATACCCATCGAAGCTGCAGTTATAAAGCCCTTTTGAAATTTAGGAGCATCTACTGTTTCCCAAACTAGTTTTGATATCCATATATAAGACTGCAAACCTATGATATAGTTTAACATAAATTCGATAGACTTTAAGTTAGCATCATGTCTTAAAATGTCATTCACCAATGGATAAAAGACAGAACTTTGAGACCATGACCAATAACCCCAGTAGTAAGCAAACCATTTTGCTGCTTTTGGTACATCCCAAACTGCCAAAATCACACAACTTACCAAATTCATAGATTGAGCAAAACCAATCATACCAAATCTCTTCTGAAAAATATCAGCAGCAAAGCAAGTAATTATAACATATGCCAATCCTAGAGCTGGCGGAATTGCTGTGTAGTTGTTAACCTTGGCGACAGAGTACTCACCTAAACTGTCTAACCAAAGGGCAAATTGACCTTGTGAAGAAGCATTGGCATTGTACCCACCTATTCCACCTAAAGACAATATCCAAAAGTGCCATGAGGTAAACATTCGCTTCCAGGTATCCCAATCTAAGAAACTTTTCAAATTTGACCCGTCGTCTGTACCATTTGACCTCATACGTCTTCTACAGAGCTTAATATCGTCATCAGTTAGCCAAAGTGAATAACATTTAAACGGAGTTCCAGGCATCAAGAATAAACCTATAAATGCAACGGCAAACGATATTATACCATCAATTATGAACATCCACTTCCATCCTGCTAACCCGTTAACCCCATTCAAATGTTCGTATATAGAACTTTGAAGTAAGCCCGAAGTCAAAATGCCTAGATATTGACCACAGTAGAAAATACTTGCTCTGGAAGAAATCTCAGATGGCTTATAGAAATTAGAAAGGGTGTGGTGGACTATTGGAAAATAAAACGTTTCAAAACTACCCAAAAAGAACCTGGCAGCCTTTAATGACAGAGGATTAGAAACCGTAAACGTAAGTAGAGTACACAAGGACCATAAAAATTCACTGACAAATAAGACGTAAGTCGTGGGGAATCTTGGTAAGATATACATAATTGGCAAGCAGAATATGACATTACCAACTCCCAGCATAAGCAGAGCATCAATCAAGTCATTACCTTTCATCCCAACATCTTCCTTCATCCCTGACACATAAGCATTTGTTAAGTTGGCGGAATCAAAAAACTTACACCAGTACCCCATCACGCAATAGATGATAATATGTGCATCAAGCTTCAAGAGCAACTTTCTTTCAGCAGCAGAAGCACCTTCGCCAAACCAACTCCACCTTGGAACATTCTTTCTATATTCATATTCGTCGAAGAATTTCCACCAAGGTCTGTTGACCTCGTCTCTGTATTCTTTGACTCGGAACTCTCCATGCTCATCTTTCAAATAGACTAAAGCAGACTTAATTTCTTCTTCTGTTTCTTCAACTATCCGCTCTTGCGGAAACCACTTTGGGAGCTTCATTGTATTATATTTTTAAATCTGTTAACTGAAAATTTTGAAACAAGGAAAATACCTAACCTTATTATACTAAACTTCTGGAATACCACTCATAGGAGCATCTAAAGAAATAAGGGCTGTCGGGTAGTAATGTCATAGGTAGATTTATTATCTTTATTTCGCAACCATTTATAGCAATTAGCAAGGGCTTAAGTGTGTGGCTCAACGTGCATGGAGAAGCGTCTCAAGACTGCCATTGGCGAGATCCAAATCTGACTTTTGACAGATTATGGGATGCTACCTGGGTGTGAAAGTACTGTCCGATATTTAACACTAGTAATGGACAGTCAATCTGAAATAGGACCTAGGATCAGATTAGATCGGAATTTGGATCTTAAAACCTTACAATTGAAAGTTTTTTATGTTAGTCAGAATATGGTGAAAGCATTTGCAGCCCAGCTAGAAAATAAACTTAAAATCTTACCTGAAAGCAGGTAGCTAGTGTAAAAGAAATCGTGCTGATTAGTAATGATCACTAACTGTCTTCCTTGTGCCGAAATATTCGGAGGGACTTTTCGTATATCCAGTAACTAGAAAACGAACGGGTTTACACTCGGTTTTTGTGAAGAATAGAAACGCCACCTTTTGACAACGGCGAGAGATCAACTCTAAGAAATATCATTACCTTATTGTTCTCCATCTTTCACATCCCGTGTGTCCGAGATGTGGACATGTTCAAGTTCAGACTTGCGTGATAACTCCATTAATCCAGGTTGTGGCTATTCATCTGCTCCCCTGCAGGGTTGCAACATTGCTGCATGCACCTTGATCTCGTAAAATAGAAACCCCGAGGGTATTTGAGTAAACCACAGCGGATTTGCATCTACACTATTACAGGCTATTTCAAATACCTACATACTATTTGCACCATCACTCTCCGCACTAGACAATCCCGCGTCCAATCACCTACAAACATGCGGTACTACTCTCTTGCGAGCTCTTGTCACCGTTAGATGCATCCTGACGCAAACGACTTTTCACTCTGGAGATAAAATCACGTGACCATCCCAATACTGTAGATAACAAAAAAGACTAGGAGCTGAGGTGGATGCTTTGAGTAGTCGTATTCAATCTAATAGTAATTGAAGATAAATTATAAGTCAAGTATTGAGTGAGTGCTAATGGAGTAGCATCAGCAAGTACAAACTTGCTTAAGGCTGAGAAATTTGATCTTTTCCTTGCGTTTTTGAGGGTTTAGTTTGGTTCTTATTTCCCATTTTTGCATCCTGCTTTCTTGCTTTTCTTTCAATTTATTGATTTTCTTTGATATAATTTTACCTGTTTTCCTCTGGGCTATCCGGGACTACAGAAGTGTAGCATTCTGAATATTGACCGAAATATTTTGATTAAAATCTTGAAATGTAATCTTGTTTTCATTTAAACGGTTTCCTCACAGGACAATAAATTCCAATAGTATTGTCATCTTCATGCAAAGAACACCAATTCTTGTACCAACATATTATTGGAAGGTACCTTTCACTGGCATTCTATTATCTACACAAACTCACTTAATCAATTCTTTCCATTCAACATAAACGCTGCCTAATTGATGTTGTATGTGAGTAAAAAAGATACTTAACAACGATACTAAAGATGTAACTTCTAGCGCTCAACACTCTAAAATTATTTTTATGAGCCTGCGTTTCTTGCATGAACATGCATGCTATTGCTGCTTATCAATCTGTGATGACGCAACATCTTGCAATCTAGACGAAGGTAGATCTTTAGTATTCCGCTGGTTTTGATACACAGCTGTTAATTACTCCGGGAGGACGGCGGAGCGGGGGTATCCTCTATCGGATTATGAACTGCCTCTTATCAGATCCCACGACTGTGGCATTCTTGTGAGGCATGTGCGAATCGCTTATGGGATTGCTGCAATTCTAGTTGTGGTGGAACATCTAATAAGATACATTTATGTATGTATATGTATTTATATAAATATATATATATCTATTGATCCCTTTTAACTGATACCACTGACGCTAAATCTCCTTGCTGGCAACAATTCAAAATGGTTGTGGCTGACAATATCAAAAATTATCGCTTCTATACAGATTCAAAGGGCCATTTACTTTCAGGCCACGAATGGGAAGAGTATGATGCAACTCACGAGAAACCAACTGGCGGCAAATTGCCCGATGGTTGGCCCGAAAAATTAGAAGGTCCATTGGTATGGAGGGGTCAAGAGTTGCAGAAAACTCCTGAAAAATATCTATACATCTTGGACGAGGACGATAAGTTAGAGCTCGCAGGAGCAATTGAGAAGTTTGAAGCTAGCGATGCTGCAGATAATCTCCAAGAAATCAATAAAGAAACATTTCCCTTACCCAATCTTGGTACCAAGCTTGAGCTCTTCTCAACGGAATTGTATGAAGGAATTGGTGTTAAGCTAGTCAGGGGCTTTCCCTTAGACGAATACAATGAGCGGCAAAGAATCATCGGCTATCTTGGCATAAGCTCTTACGTTGGAGATTTAAGGGATGCACAAGGTATCAATCGAGCACTAATCCACATCAAAAGCATTGCACATGTGCCAAAAGAGGATAGAGCTCCTATAGCTGTCAGCCAGCAGACAACGGATCCACAAATGTTCCATAACGACGCAGGGCTTGATATAGTTTCGCTTTTCGTATTGGATGTCCCGAAGTCTGGTGGAGAGTCGCTAATTACCTCTACTTATACCATTTATAACGACTTAGCTCAAACTAGACCTGACATTATCAGCTTGTTGGCAGACCCAAATGAGTTTGAATTTGCTCTGAAATCCAAAGAAGGTGGAAATATGATTCAATATCAACAAGGTAAGCTCTTTTCACATTTCAGTACAAGGGTATTTATTGGATTTGGAGATATTCCAAGAGATGAAAGGTTCCCGCCATTGAACGAGAAGCAAAAGGAAGCATTTGGAGCATTCAATTGGATTGGATATAGAAATACTTTGACTCTTCCTATACAAAAAGGGGACATCGAATACTTGAATAACCTTCACCTCCAGCATTCAAGACTTGGATATGAGGAGGATGCAGAACACAGAAGGCATGTTGCTAGACTATGGCTTCGAAACTCAAAATACAGCACAGAAATTGAATACCCCAAACCGCTTCAGGCTAAAATTGATCAAGGCTTTTTCCCTGCCAAGTATCATCAAGAAATACCATTGAATGTTCAAGAGGAAGAAGACTTAAAGAAAAAGTATAAGATCACCTCGTTGGCTGAGCTTTACGCTAAACCCAGATAGTATACGATCTGGACGTGAACTACGAAACAAGTATCTATAAGAGGCTAGACTTACACTTTTTATGAATGAGTGAAATAGGACAGTATATTTCAGTAGTCATTTAATCCCTGTAACCTCTATACTCTTTAGGCAGAATTTTGATCTTGAATACTGTTGATTTCAGTTTTCACTTCTAGCTTAAGTCGGTCGTCATAAGACTGCTTATCTGAACCTAAGACTGATTCTGTTAGAACATTTGGCGGAAGTTCACCATTTCCTGAGTTGTACAAATAAATACCCTGTGAAAGTGCTCTCTTTCTCTCATCTCTTTTATAAAAATAGTAGCCAATGAACATGCAAAATGCTTCCAACATACCCATAGCAGCGGCAGTAATGAAACCTTTCTGAAATCTAGGAGAATCTACTGTTTCCCAGATTAATTTTGATATCCAGGCATAAGACTGCAACCCTAAGATATAGTTGAATGTAAACTCGATAGATTTTAAGTTAGCATCATGTCTTAAAATGTCATTCACCAATGGATAAAAGACAGAACTTTGAGACCATGACCAATAACCCCAGTAGTAAGCAAACCATTTTGCTGCTTTAGGTACATCCCAAACTGCCAAAATCACACAACTTACCAAATTCATGGATTGAGCAAAGCCAATCATAGCAAATCTCTTTTGAGAAATATCAGCAGCAAAGCAAGTAATTATAACATATGCCAATCCTAGAGCTGGTGGAATTGCCGTATAATTATTTATCTTTGGAATCGAATACTGTTTCAAGCTTTTCAACCAAAGGGCAAATTGACCTTGTGAGGTAGCATTAGCATTAAACCCACCTATTCCACCTAAAGACAATATCCAAAAGTGCCATGACGTAAGCATTTGTTTCCAAGTGTCCCAGTCTAAGAACTTTTTCAACTTCAATCCATCGTCTGTACCATTTGACCTCATACGTCTTCTACAGAGCTTGATATCGTCATCAGTTAGCCAAAGTGAATAGCATTTAAACGGAGTTCCAGGCATCAAGAATAAGCCTATGATTGCAACGACAAAAGATATTATACCATCGATTATGAACATCCACTTCCATCCTGCTAACCCGTTAACCCCATTCAAATGTTCGTATATAGAACTTTGAAGTAAGCCCGAAGTCAAAATGCCTAGATATTGCCCACAGTAGAAAATACTTGCTCTGGAAGAAATCTCAGATGGCTTATAGAAATTAGAAAGGGTGTAATGGACTATTGGAAAATAAGCTGTTTCAAAACCACCCAAGAAGAACCGGACGGCTTTCAATGCCTGAGCATTAGGCACAGTAAATGTAAGTAGAGTACACAAGGACCACAAAAATTCATTAAAAAACAAAAGGTAGGTCGTGGGGAATCTTGGTAAAACATACATAATTGGCAAACAGAATATGACATTGCCAACTGCTAGCATAACTTGGGCATCAATCAAGTCATTGCCTTTCATTCCAACATCTTCCTTCATTCCCGACACATAGGCATTTGTCAAATTACTGGCATCAAAGAACTTACACCAATAACCCATCATACAATAGATGACAATGTGTGCATCAAGCTTCAAGAGCAACTTTCTTTCAGCAGCAGAAGCACCTTCGCCAAACCAACTCCACCTTGGAACATTCTTTCTATATTCATATTCATCGAAGAATTTCCACCAAGGTCGGTTAACTTCGTCTCTGTATTCTTTAATATGGAACTCTCCCTTCTCATCTTTCAAATAGAGTAATGCAGACTGAATTTCTTCTTCTGTTTCTTCAATCACCCGTTCTTGGGGTAACCACTTTGGGAGCTTCATTGTATTGTACTTTTAGATCTGTTCACTGAAATTTTTCAAAGAAAAGAAACCCTTCACATTAAAGTACTAAAGTGAAGTCAGTCAGATCCCTTATAGGGGCACATAATAGCCCATTAGAAGCAAGGGTGGCTAATTAAGTTTAAAATAGTGCTATCTGAATACATTCTCTTCGTTTCGCAACCGTTTGCTCTGATTAGCAAAGATTTAAAGCTGTGGCTTAAACATGTGTACTTGAAATCGGATAAGTGCTTCTAGCGCCGATAGCCCGATAGCCCGAGTTAGACTTCAGGTAGAAGCAGGAAGCAAGTAGTCGAAGGAAACAAGAAAATGAATATGAGGTAGCGTTAAAGAAGGTTCAAATCGAATACCAATTGATAAATAATCATCATTCAGACGGGATGGGAAGTTGCAACCTTAACCTTAAAAATGCGACGCTATTATGTAAGACGAATGGTAGCAGAAACAGTAGTCACCAAGCCAAAAAATAAACCTAAAATCTTAGCCGAAGGCACAGATTTAGCATGAAGCAAGTATTTACTGCCTGGCAATAGTAACTCTGTGTCTCTCCCGACTTCTTTGACCAAAGCATTTTTGACTGCTCGTACTTTCGGAAGCTGATAATATACGAACGGCTATGCACCCGGTTCCTGCGTGTATCAGTACCAGCACTGCAGCCAGGCTGCTTGGGTAAGACCCAACTTTACGAAATGTGAGCATGCTCGAGGTTCTTACCCAAACCCATACATTCTAGCTCCCTGGCCCATTTCCACATTTAGACTTGTATCAGCACTTCATTACTACTGGCTGTGGCCATTCTCCTGCTCCCTGCAGGGTTGCAACATTACCGCATGCACGTCATTCTAGTAAAATAGACACAAGTAGAGAACATTTAACCGCCCACAAAAAATGTGGTTGTAGCAGTTCGAAGCCATTCGAATACCTCTATGCCACTTGCGTCAGTAATATCACCCTAGATATCCCCTGCCATCCGCAAGCACCCAGACCACTGACTCTCCGCTGCTCAATGCCAAAGCAAGCGCAGGCCTCTCTCTCTATCGATAAAATCACGTGACCATCCCAATATGGGATGTACAGCAAAAATGATAACAAAAAAAAAAGACAAGGAGCTGAGGTGGATGATTCAAGGCGTTGCATCCAATCTACTAAGTAATAGAAGACGATTTGCAAAACGTGTGTTTGGGTGAGGCTTACCGGTATATTGCGAGTAACTTTTGGCAGAATTAGCTGAAAGAAAACAGGCAACAAGCCCTAGAGATTCAAAGTTAGCCAAGCAAGCGCAAGTTTTTGGGAATAGACGGCAAATCTGGCCAGAGAGTATCGAAGAGCCCCTTTTTTTCTCTCTTTTCCAGATGAATTTCCTCAAGAAGTTCATTGGTTCAGCTTCTACTGACGAGGTGATTTCCCTTCCTTCAGGGAAGCTCTTTTTGACCAGATCTCCCAACTCCCCTAAGGGTGAATTGGAGTGTTTGTACAACGATGCGTTTGCGTCTATCAGGCAAACAACCACGCCATTTTTCTACCGGTTGTTTGTCACGAGAGTGTACCAGGAAGGGGAGTTGAACGCCAATGAGGACGGTGGATTCGAGGACTCTGAAGATGAAGACGAGTTCGATGAGAGGCACAACGTTGTGCGTTCTGCCAACGATCCAAATTCCGTTTCGGGCCACTCCAAGGATGAGTATGGGTTCACGATTTCTGACGAATTGAAGTTCCATTACTATGAGAAGGGTGACGGCACGAGGGCCATTTCCTGGAAGGATTTAAACGGCGATTTGGGTGACAGGTTTGAGTTCATTGTAGACGAAGATTGCAGCCAGACCGATGTGGACAGCTTCATGTTGGCATTGTTTAAGTGCCAGTACGAGCAGAGGTACCACAAGAGCTCGTTGGGGTTCACCAGCATCAGCCAATTGAAAGAGTTTGCCTATGATCCTAAGGCGGAGTTGCTCACCTTTGAAGATTTGAACAAAGACATCAATTGGGATGAGGACGAAGAAGAAGAAGAAGAAGAAGAAGAGGACGCCGATTACGCCGAACCAGCTCGCCGTGGTCGTAGAGCGCCAGTGGCTGTGGAGTCAGAATCGGATTCTGAGTCAGATTCTGAATTTCATGATGCTACAACGGGAATAGTTAAGAGCAAACCAACCTCTTCATCACCATCTGCTCAAGCCCTAGTTACCGTTTTTCAATACAATGAAGCAGACTTGCATATCTACGATTCCGAATCTGAATCTTTCAAGCTTTTAGCTGACAAGCCTGCTATTAGTATAGTCGACGCTGGAGACTGGAAATACTACTTAAAGATCGCAGGTCATTTTGATGTCTTGATCTCGAAAGATATCAATCCTGTTTTCACTTACGACTACAATGCGTTTATTTTTAACTACTTCAATTCACCAACCACTATTGCATCATATTTATTAAAGTTCCCAGATTTCGAGACCCTATCTAATTTCCAAAACATTTTTATGACTCAATTATGGCAGTCGTTGAACAAGCAGAAGTTTGGACAAACTGTTGCCAACAAATCAGATATGGATTATGTTTTGGATGCATTTTCGAATGTGAATGTCGACGATGACGACTTGAACGATGAGGACAAGATGCTCGTGGATGCATTAAGTGACGACGAACCAGAACAACCTGAAGAGGAAGAATTTAGCAAGTCTAAAATCAGGCAAACGGTAAGGGAACCTAAATTATTTGTCGATTCAGACGACGATGATGATGAATTCGACCAAGAAGCTGCTAAATTCAAAAACAATGCTTCGAAAAACTCCAATTTGTCGGTTGGATATTCCAAAGATAGATCTTATGTTGTCAGAGGAGACAAGTTAGGAGTTTTCAAGAACTCCGACGAGGACTTGACTTTCCAAACAACAATTTCGGACTTGACCACATTGAAAGGGAAAAAGTTTACTCCTTTGAATACCATGCTTCATCAGCAGGACCAGTTTATGGTTATGCAGAATTCCGAGCTTAGTGACGAGAATAAGTTATTCAAAATGGATTTGGAAAGAGGAAAGATTATTGAAGAATGGGAAGTAGGCAGAGATCAGGCCATTAAATCTTTCGCTCCTAACACCAAGTTTTCCCAATTGACTGCGGAGCAAACGTTGACTGGTATCTCGCTGAATGGAATGTTCAAAATCGACCCTAGGCTACAAACTAAAGATAAACTTGTGAACGACAATACATTAAAATTATACAAGACTAAGAACAATGATTTCCTGCTGGTGGCAACCACCCAGGCCGGATTCATTGCGGTCGGTTCTAAGAGAGGTGATGTGCGATTATATGACAGGTTGGGAATAAATGCAAAGACGGCGTTGCCTTCCTTAGGTGAGCCCATCAAGGGTCTTGACGTCTCAGCGGACGGTAGGTGGCTCTTGGCTACATGTGAAACTTACTTGTTGCTTATTGATAACAAGATTGGGGAGGGCCAGAGGAATGAAGGCTCCTTGGGATTCTTGAAGTCTTTTGACAAGGACAAGAAACCCAAACCAAGAAGACTTACTATCAAGCCAGAGCATACTGCGTACATGTACAATGAGTCTGGAGGAAAACCACTTTCGTTCACTGTTGCACACTTCAACACTGGGGTGTCTACGCAAGAGTCAACGATAGTCACGTCATCGGGTCCCTATGTGATCACATGGTCTTTGAAGAAGATTTTAAAACCCAAAAAGGCATCTAGATCTGCAAAATCTTCAAAAGTCAGCGCTGATAACTACGAAGACTCGTACCTTATCAAAAGATACAAGGAGGATGTCATTGCTGACAACTTCAAGTTCGGCTCCAACGCCGACGTGATATTGGCATTGCTGAACGATGTTACCATGGATAACAAGAAGATATTTAACAGGGCCACCAAGTCATATTTCACCAACACCAATAAGAACAGCGTCGTACAGGAATTGTAGGGCACTGTTTCATTTCATAGTTTAGTATATAGTGATCATTAATAAATAACTGTAAAGATTAGTCCCATGCGTGCAGTTTTTAGTTGGGTTAATTTTCTATTTGGTTCCCAATCCAAATGTTCTCTTGAGCTCGTCAAGCCAAATAATCCTAAAAGCGTTAAACTTCTGGACCCGTGTTGGTACAAAATCGCTAAAGTCTTTTACACTTAAATCTGATTGGGGTCTCTGGAGATGGGGAGGGGGAAGTCCGTTTATTCTCGCATGAACCCGTTTGACCCAGTTGTTGAACGCTGGCGAGTCAAGCAAGTACCTGTAGAGCATCTCTTCGAGAGATCTGGGAGGCGGCCTCATGTTTAATACTGCTAACCAACAGAAAGAACCTTCAACCAAACTTGTCACAGCCCAGGAACATTTGGAGCCTTCTTTTGCCATTCATAGTGACACAAAAAGCCAAGATCACAACCTGCATACAGTGCGCATATATGGAGTTTCATCAATCGTGAAAAAAAATCCACGTATCAACAGCTTGACTATTGTCTTTAAGCACTAGAGTATATTTATAGAGGAGCTAAGATGATTACAGACGATCAATTAAACTTAATTGTTATCACATTTGGAATGTCCTCAATGATTTTGATTCTTATATATCATGCAATTTCCACCAACATGAAAAATTTGAAGACTAGCTCTTGAGCAAGCGTTCCCGGAATCCAACTGATAGAGATAGAGAGTATCAGTTGGCGTGTAGATGGAACTCTGCAGGTTATTTTAAATATTTTGTAAAGAAATAGAAAAAAGATTTGAAGGAGAACATGTCGAATAAAGAATTCTTCATATCCTGGTCATATATGTGTATATTAGTCGCTGCTCGTTTATAAACCATCGTAATAAATGTGAGTACCTAGAAACAATAAAGGGAAACACAATTGTAGCATAGAATAAACTGAAAAATAGTAACAATGCTGTAGCACTCGAAAAATATAACACTACTAAGAAGCGAAAGTCGCAAAGGAGACAGCTGGTCGACCATACGTTGCTACTGCAGCAGTACCATTTTCTTACCTGCTTGCAAGCACTCACACTGGAAAGTGCTTGCATGTTACCACATTAAGAGCGACTCTACATACAGGACCACGTACAGGGTCATAGACAGGACGGTAGTTCCACTTTGAAGCACACAGGACTCGTTACATTGACTCGGGGCCATAGCTGCTGGTTCTTGCTGCTTGATAAGGGGGGAGGAGTTCCTTTCTTCCAAGGCTCGTACTATACTTCAAATGAGATGATCGTTAGCCAGAGGGTAGCAAGAATGTGATCAGCATGGGCCCACATGAAAAATGAGATGGGGCCATGGATTCTCTTTCCTTTTCTTTTGTTAAGAGCCAGTACTCTCGTTTATTGACACAATAACCACGCTAGTGCTATTACATAGCAGCACGGTGACTGCACTACCGCGCATTTCACTGTAATAATCGATCGATAATGGTGCGTATCATCAAGTGGTTCAATGAAATTCCGTTTTAACAGTGCTGCATTGCGGAAAACGACGCCGAGAGATCAGCAAGTACACCAAAGAATTGCACCAGAATCTTCGGTACACCGCTCGAAATTTCCACTGTGGGAGATTTAAATCGAGCACAGCCAAAATACAGGCGACAGTGCTGGATTGAAGCTGGTCTCCTTTCTGAGAGACTTTCTCAGGCACTTAGTTCAGTAGGATACGTAGGCTCATTATCTATCTTGTTATCTCTGCATAGAAACTTACCTTTAGATTCGGCCGGACTTCGGGCAGTGAGCAGTGTCACAAGCCTCATTTGAAAATTATGACAATTCCCTTGCATACAAAACTTTTGGTACAATAGTTCTCGTTTTCATTTTTGACAGCAGCTGCAGATATGAGTTACGTGCACGTGACAACATATCACACAACTAGGAGAAAAATGGATGCTGTGCATACAAATCCTGTCAAGTACCTGTTGTCTTGCATGGAGGGCGTCGAGGATAAACGTGGGGGGGGGAGAAAAGAAACACTCGAAGGGATTTGAGTTCTATATTCAGGTGCCTTCCATTCTGTTACAATTGTCATTTGACTTTGAAAGGCTAATTTCACCCCTCCTTCCAGCTCGATTTTAGCTTCCACGTTGATACACAAATCACTATAGTACTTCTTGCAATATAACCGTTGATATGCATCATCTGTTACGAGCCCAATCAAGAAAGATGCATGAACTCAAGACAATATAAAATAAAAAAACCCAAGGATCGACATGATAACCACATAATGAATGGATGCGGGGGATTGATGATGACAAAAGAAAAAGGGAAAAAATAAAAAACAAGGAAAGCGAAGGACTTAGCGAAAAGGGGATTGAAAATTTAGATTTAACGGACACACATCTACGTAACCTGCTATTCTTTGGCATATGATACCAGTAAACAAAAACATGGGAGTCGTCGTAACCTTGTAACAATAGCCATAGAGTAGTTTTATTACTAGAATTTGACTACTTTTCTTATTTTTCTTAAAAATATAACCTTTTGTAGCGTTACTCCAGTAACTTTAATTTTCGCTCAAGTCTCCCTATCTCGCTAATTGTGCATCAAACCGTTAAATCAATTGCGAGCAGACTATCTAATTTTTTTTAGCTTTGTGCAGTTTTAATTCCCGCATTGCGTAGGATATAGAAAATATTTTCACATATGCAGGCAATCAATTGTATTGTGGTCATTTATGTGGTATCGTGGAGCCATATGCGAGTCTTACCTACATGGTTGACAAAATTAAAAAGAAAAATAAGAGGACAATTTTGCAAACATTAAGAAAAAAAAATATATTTAAAAAATAAAACGTTCTTCTCAAGACTTTTTTTTGCTACTGCAGAGGCTTATTCACTTGCTCTTGCTCTTGTACTTGTTCTTGACCATCCTTTTCTCGAACAGTCAGAGCCCTTTACAGTTCGTTGATTAGCGTAAGATATACTATCTGAAACAGAAGCAAACCCGAAGTATTAGAAAAAAAAAAGAGAAAGAAATACGAAGATACCAAAAAGTGTGGGTTATTTTAGAAAAAAAAAAAATAAAATAAAACATTCCCAATTTTGATGAACCAGTAACCTAAAACTGTGGACTACATAGATAAAGAGTATATTCCTTTATATTTGAGTGTTTAGCACTTTATTTTGATTTTTCTTTGAATCAAAGACTTTTTGATACACAACACACAACTCAAACACCAAGTGTGTGAAAAAATGGCGCCCCTACTAGATGAGGTACTATCAGGGACCAGTCACCCACCTTACACATTGTCACAATTTGCCTCCTATTTGGAATCGTTCCACTGCATAGAAAACCTAGAATACATAATCAACGCTTCTAAGTTGATGTCCAACCCTCAGGATATAAGTCTATGGTCCACCATATACCATGATTTCCTCTTAGATTCGTCTTTGAAGGAGGTAAACCTCCCATGTAGCATCAAGACGGAGTTGTTAAAGTACGAACCAAGCCTAAATGTGATACCTCCACCGAAACTCACTCTTCAAAGTACTAAAGTCGTAAAGGAGCTATTAGTTGATTCATATTCGGGATTTTTAAAGCATAATCAAGACACCGCTAGAAGGATATCGGAATCGACCATTTCTCCTACTCTTAACTTGAAGTATATAGAGTTGCCCAAGTCTCCAGAATCATTTATCTTACCGGATAGTAATGAGAATTCCACTTATAATAGCAGCATAGAAAAGAATAACGAGAATTCGCCAGTCTTGTTGAAGCCAATGCCCAGGCCGTCGTTCAGTCATTTTCAACTAGACAGGCCGCTTGTGTTGACCCCAACAAATGAAGACGATGAGCTCTTAGACGAAGAGAGTAGGACTTTTTACACACTGCCAGGTCTGCTGCCTTCTCCCAAACTTCAGTTATCGGACAGCAGTAACCGTAGGGCATCGGCACCAGAGCAGTTAAAGATGATACAGTCAAGAGACAAATTCAACCAGAGCCAGGTAAGTACTAGTAGGCAAAACAGCACATCGTCGTCATCCAGAGGTAGTTCCATAGGTTCGTTAGTAGAGACACTAAAGAACGGAGAACATGTAAATTGGAGAAAGGCAGTTAAGAAGTTCAAACTAAGAAGGTTTCTGAATGAAAACTTGACCGAAGAAGCCAAAGAATTTAACAAGGAGCAAATAGAGAAGTAACTGAAGAGATGAAAGAATTCAGTAAGGATCAAATAGAGAAGTAACTGAACAGATAAAAAAGTATATATAGGTTACAGTGCATGGTATAACGGACTAGAGACATTAACAATAGAGAGCATATATAGAGTATAATTTACATCAGATCACAGTGGATCAGTTAATTTTAAATCTTTCGTAGTACAGGTCTTATCTCAGTAGTCGGACACTGGTATGTATCGTACTCTCTGGGTGAAAATTCACTTATTCACTTATTTTTTCACCATTTTTTTTCACTTTCCCTGCCATCTCGTTGATTTACTCCTTACTACCACAACTGTACACCTAAAATAGCCATGGCCACAACTTCTCCGCATTTCCAATACACCTCAGGTAGATAAAGAAAATTATCAGCACATTTTTCAAGACAATTAGTGAGGGGAGATGTCACAAAACCGTATTTTAAGTTTTGATGATAACGATTACTAACTAAGGTACCGCTTCTCCACTATGCATGGCCCATCGTCAAGGGCATTCGCTTCACGTCATTCTCCATCTACTCAAGCTTCTGCAGGAAATTCTTAGCGTAAATTGAGTAGAGGGTTTTTGGAGATCATTCGGAGATGATAAATTCAGAAGAAAAAGGAAAAACGTGCGCCGATATCAGTAAGCATACACAAGACAATAGCAAATTCGATACCTAACCTGGAAATGAAACTAGGTGCAACAAGGGTCATGGTCTGCACCTTTTTGCGTTTGTTTCCCAGCTTTATTTCTCCATCTGATTCTGTTTCGAATCTCTTATAGCCTCACCCCACATAATTGGGTTTCTCGTTCTGTTGCGGTATGAATTAAATTAAGTTTCTTCTCAGAGTTGCATACACCGATCTTAATTATGCAGCATGTATTAAAAGAGCTTGGCCATACAACTTTAGACGGAGAGACAATGAACTTCTACAGCCTATTCTGAACACTTCTAGGCGACTGTCCTGCTGTCCACAACTACATTTAACCGTCTGTTTTCTCTGCCTCGCTTTGTAGCATTTAAACTTCTTTTCTACAGTACTCTATTCTCTATTTTAGGCTAGCGCACCTTAACTTTATTAAATAGAGCTTAGCAAGACAACTTTAAATAGACAGACGTACACTGCTACAGTCTGCTTTGACAAGGAACATGTGCTGCGAACCGGTTTCTAAGCAATGTCCCGCTGCCATTTACAGTTCCTATTGTTTTCTACTGCTATGCTGTACAGCCCATAGCTCTTTTCTACAGAACTTTAATACACTTTTTCGAATGTAACACTAAGCACATCTTAACTATATTAATTTACTACTATACAATCCCAATTATCTAAACTGGTCATACTTTAACTCGTCTTCGCCTTGTAATTGAACCCTTTCCTTCAATTCTCTCAATTCGTCTTCGGATCTTTTACTACCCTTTTCCACAATTAAGTTGCGCAAGAGCTTATTTTCCATCTCGAGCTGCTGAATCTTCAACTCCAAATTTCTTGTCGCATCACTTAAACTGGAAATAGTCAGCTCCATTTCCTTTTCTCTCTTCTTCTTCTTTATTCTAAATCTAGCTGAAGCTGCCGTGTTACGACGTCTTTTATCCAATTCTGAAGCGGATCCGGCCTCGCCTCCATTGTTATTTCCACTTTCATAGGACAAGGACCTACTGTGGTCTCTCGCCGTGCTACTGAAGGACGAAAAGTTATTTATGGGGGAGCCCTCAATCTTTATTCTACTCGAAGAAGAGCTTGATGTTGTAGGGGAAGTAGAAGACGACAAATCTTTAAAGTCAGTGGTCGAATGGAAATTGCTGAGCTGATTGTGTTGCCTTACCCCACCACTGCCAAGGTCATTGTTGTTGCTAAGGCTACTACTACCATTCATTGGGGTCAATGAAGCAGCAGGGCTGGCCTGGCTAGATTTGGGATCCGAATGCTGGTGCTGAGCGACCAACGCTGCCAAGAGATCGATCTGGTTCTGCAGTAAGCCTGCTGCAACCAACGACGACTGTGCACCTGGCGGTACGACCACCTTGGGGAGTTCAGATACGTTAAGGGTTGACGGATTAGAAGTAGAAGCTCCTTCAATTCTGTGACCGTTGCCATTAATGTTATGGCCCGAACCATTCGGGTAGTAATCAAGACTGTTATGGCCAGCATAGTGGTCCGCGAAGTCCACTGGAGAAGCCTTGTTAATTAGGTTGGTCAAGTCATGGTGAAGGTTACTTTTGTCACTCCTGTTACCATTATTGTTATTGGGGAGGCTACGGTTGTTGTCTAGATTACTTGGATCGACTTCAAAGTGATCAAAATGGTCATCGTTGTTGTCCCCGTGCTTGTTATTCTTGGGCTTATCAGCATCAGGGAAGATGAACGAATCGTCAGCAAAGGCTGCAAGATCCAAAGATAGCTGACCGTCTACATCCAAATTTGGGGTTCCTTCACTAGTGTTTGACATGAAGTTGTCAATGTACACCAACTGCTCAAGGAGAGCTGAAGACGTGCCGTCTCTCTCGTTGTAGTTGGAGGCCATGGTACCATATATCGGATCCGAGAATCAAATGTGGGATGTCTGTAATATTTTCCTGCTCAAAGAGTGATGGTCTACCTTTTCTTAATTTTTTTTCTAATACCTAGAACAAAAAAAAATTTAAGGATCGATTTTAAATAACACTGCTATACGTTTCTTGCTACAATAAGTTGTTGTACTTGAAAGTTCCAGATTTATCACCGTCAGATACACAATAGCAAAAATAGCGTAATTACTTGCAACTAGTTTCTATTTGTATTACTACTTCTCTTGGTATTAATTTTTTCTGGATCAACGAGCTGTGGAGTCATATATATTTGATCTTATTTTTTTACTTTGTATTATTACTACTCAAGAACTATAGCCACACCTACGCTTTTCTCAAGTGTTATGTGTTTAGGTACCAGTTGTTTATTGCATATTGCAACATATTTATGCGCACATGCAGGAAACAGGGAAAATTTAGTTTCAGGTATGAGAGCATGTCACGTTCGATTACGCAAGGCCTAAACAGATAACAGTTGCAGAAGAGCACCAACCAGATCTAAAGGTTGCAAACGTGAGGACAGGGGATCACCAAAGAGGCTAACGGTGGTTTTGGTATGGTGCAATTCTTACAAATCAAAAAATCAGAAATCAGAAAAAATTACCGAACAGAGGAATGCAGCACTCTCGTAGTAATGATGGAAAACAATTTTATTACATCCGTTATGTAAATACCTACCTACCTATTAAAACTTAACTCCTTTTCATGGAAAACTCACATTATGGAACCGTTCCATTTATCCAGCTACCAGCGCTTTTTACTCTCAAATTAATCTATGTTGCATCTTACATGCGTGGGCCAAGAAGTTTGACTCTCTCAATGACTCGTTCTGTCCTTCTCTCGTACTCCCACACTATTAATAAATTCCTTAGTGGTGTAGTTTTTTTTTTTTTTTCTATTATTTTATTTTTTCACTAATTATTTTTTTAGATTGAATTTTTCATGCGCATCAGGCTGATTTAGTCTTGGGTTGAGCTGTAGAAGTAGATTTAGTTCTAACTGCTAGTGGCGATTGGTTAACCGCTTGTAACCTGTACTCAGCAAACGAGCGGAATGAGTTCCCATTAGTAGGAGCCCACTTCTTTTGAGCAACAGTGGACACTTGGGGGTACTTGTTTAATGGGAACCAATTGAACCCTTTGGTTTGGAACTTGACAGTTCTTGTAGAGTTGAAAAATCTCTTAGCTACGACGGAAGACATATTAGTGATAAATTGGCTAACAGTTATTCAAGTGGAAAATAAAACTTATGAATGAGAAGAAGAAAAGGATCGCCCTCGCAGTTTTTCACCCAGGATATTGCACTGCTTTAATGGAAAACTTTTCACACATCATATGTTTTTTACCTGCTTACTTATTCTTTAGTGCAACCATCGGGCCGGCGGTGAATAGGCTTGAAGGATCCACAAGGATTTAGGATTTAAGACCTCACGTTCGCGCTTAAGGTGAAACTGTTAGTGGTGCGATAACGAGAACCGTTGCACGTGCACGGCAGTCTATGTCCGAAACGTCTAACGTCGCTATAGGCAAGAGAGGTGAGGTAATGGGATCCCAGTAGGAATAGTGGCTCAATCTGGTGCAATCGGGAAATCAGGGTCTGGGTCAGAACCTGGATTTTGGAACATGGGTCGGTGTTGGCAAGAGGCGCTTGAAAAGTAAAAAAAGAAGAAATTTGCGAGTCAACCTTAATGTGGTCCCACTAGAAATACGAATAGTCTATGCACCATGCCATGAAGCTTGCCTGATTGAATGTTCCATGACCTGCTGCACCCATTCTCTCGTTCTTTCACCTCTTCACCTCTATTACCTCTTCACACATGTCACCTCTTCACCTCTTTCACCTCTTTCACACATTTCACCTCTTCACCCACCCTCGCTGTATTCCTCTATATATCCGAAACTTCACGTCAGAATTCCACTGCGCAGCACCCCAGCCCGAGCCAATGAAAAATCAACCATCGCAATCATGTGAAATATCCGAGGAACTGGTTGCATGCCTTCCTCCTACAGAACGATGGAAAATTCTCATACATACTGCGTACAGCGCTGTGTGCAACCTTAGCACTTTCTTGACGATTCTGTCTGACTCCCAATACACCCCAATTTACCCCAAATTAAGGTTTGCCCGACTCTATGTTGCTCCCCAATTTCCTTTTTCTTTTTTTTTTTTTTTTTTCACTTAGGTTTCTTATCTATAGGCTTGCCTTTCTTACCCATCCCCAATTCTGCTTATTTTCTTCCCCTGGACCCTTACTGCAAATCCAACTACCACACGCTTGGAAACCTCTCTCTCACCTAGTCTTGACTAATTTTCGGTTCACCTTCCCCCATAAACTTGAGTCATCGAATTTATGCATGTGCCTATACATCATGCCGTTTTTCACTGTTGATTATTTTTTTTTTTTGGCTTTGTATTCGTTCGGTCTCGGACTTTCCCAATCAAAATCTTATCATTGTAATTTCGCCTTGGGTGGAAGAAAATATTTTCAGGGTTATATAACCCCACCCCTTCGCTAGAGGTTGGACTTTTCTTCTTTTTCTTTTTCTCTTCAACAAATAGTATATTTATTCCTGTTCTTTTCTTATTTATTAACTTTTCATTCATTTCAGTTCCGCCCCGTCCCCCATATTGCTAAACTATGACTACGCTTTCGGAACAATCGCTGAAAATTAATCAATTGAGAAAGGACTCAACTATCCTTGGGCAGATGAACAAGATTTTGGTTGCCAACAGAGGTGAAATTCCAATCAGAATCTTCAGAACTGCCCATGAGTTGTCCATGCAGACCGTTGCGATCTACTCTCACGAGGATAGGTTGTCAATGCATCGTTTGAAAGCCGATGAGTCCTATGTCATTGGTAAGAAGGGCCAGTTCTCACCTGTCCAGGCTTACTTGCAAATAGATGAAATCATCTCAATTGCTAAGCAACACAATGTAAACATGATCCACCCAGGTTATGGGTTCCTTTCTGAAAACTCCGAGTTTGCCAGAAAGGTTGAAGAAGCCGGAATTGCTTGGATCGGGCCTACCTACAAGACAATTGACGCTGTTGGTGACAAAGTCTCCGCTAGAACTTTGGCTATCAACAACAATGTTCCCGTCGTGCCAGGTACCCCAGGTCCAATCGATAACGTTGAAGACGCCAAGAAGTTCGTTGAAGAGTACGGATACCCAGTCATCATCAAAGCCGCCTTTGGTGGTGGTGGTAGAGGTATGAGAGTTGTCAGAGAAGGTGACGATATTGCTGATGCCTTCAACAGAGCAACCTCAGAAGCCAAGACCGCTTTCGGTAATGGTACATGTTTCATTGAAAGATTTTTAGACAAACCTAAGCACATTGAAGTTCAATTATTGGCTGATGGTTATGGGAATGTTATCCATTTGTTTGAAAGAGATTGTTCTGTTCAAAGAAGACATCAAAAGGTTGTTGAAATTGCTCCAGCTAAGAATTTACCGAGAGAAGTAAGAGACGCCATCTTAACTGATGCTGTCAAGTTGGCTAAATCTTCCAACTATAGAAATGCTGGTACTGCTGAATTCTTGGTTGATGAACAAAACCGTCATTACTTTATTGAAATTAACCCTAGAATTCAAGTGGAACATACTATTACTGAAGAAATCACGGGTGTTGACATTGTAGCTGCTCAAATTCAAATTGCTGCTGGTGCTTCTTTACAACAATTAGGATTGTTGCAGGACAAGATTACCACTAGAGGTTTCGCTATTCAATGTAGAATCACCACTGAAGATCCAACCAAAAATTTCCAACCAGATACCGGTAAGATTGAAGTGTACAGATCTGCAGGTGGTAACGGTGTTAGATTAGATGGTGGTAATGGATTTGCTGGTTCAATTATTTCCCCTCACTATGATTCTATGTTGGTAAAGTGTTCATGTTCCGGATCTACTTTTGAAATTGCCCGTAGAAAGATGTTGAGAGCTTTGATTGAGTTCAGAATTAGAGGTGTTAAGACTAACATCCCATTCTTGTTGGCTTTGCTCACATACGATACTTTCATTGCTGGAAACTGTTGGACCACATTTATCGATGACACTCCATCATTATTCCAAATGATCTCATCTCAAAACAGAGCTTCCAAGTTATTGACCTACTTGGGTGACTTAGCCGTCAACGGCTCCCAAATTAAGGGTCAAGTTGGATTCCCTAAGTTGGCAGACGAAGCTTTAATCCCAGAATTACATGACCCTAAAACTGGTATTGTTATTGATTTACATAACCAAGTCATCCCACCACCAAGAGGTTGGAGACAAGTTTTGTTAGAAGAAGGACCAGAAAAATTCGCCCAGAAGGTTAGAGACTTCAAGGGTACCTTAATCATGGATACTACCTGGAGAGATGCTCATCAATCCTTATTAGCCACCAGAGTTAGAACTATCGATTTATTGAACATTGCTCCAACGACTGCTCACGCTTTAAGCGGTGCATTTGCCTTAGAATGTTGGGGTGGTGCTACCTTCGATGTCTGTATGAGATTCTTATACGAAGATCCATGGCAAAGACTTAGACAATTGAGAAAGTTAGTACCAAACATTCCTTTCCAAATGTTGTTGAGAGGTGCCAATGGTGTTGCTTACAGTTCATTACCAGATAATGCTATTGACCAATTCGTTAAGGAAGCTAAGGATAACGGTGTTGATATTTTCAGAGTTTTCGACGCTTTGAATGACTTGGAACAATTGAAAGTTGGTATCAATGCAGTTAAGAAGGCTGGTGGTGTTGTTGAAGCCACTGTTTGTTACTCAGGTGATATGTTGAAGGCAGGTAAGAAGTACAATTTAGAATACTACTTAAATTTTGTTGATGAAATTGTTAAGATTGGTACTCACTTTTTGGGTATTAAGGATATGGCTGGTACTTTGAAGCCAAACGCTGCTAAGTTGCTTATCAGCGCTATCAGAGAAAAGTACCCAGACTTGCCAATTCATGTCCATACCCACGATTCTGCTGGTACCGGTGTTGCGCTGATGACCGAATGTGCCAAGGCTGGTGCTGATGTTGTCGATGCCGCATCCAACTCCATGTCTGGTATGACTTCTCAACCATCTATCAATGCTATCTTAGCTTCTTTCGAAGGAGAAATCGAATCTGGATTACAAGAATCATTAGTTCGTGAATTAGACAACTACTGGGCTCAAATGAGATTGTTATACTCTTGTTTCGAAGCTGACTTGAAGGGTCCAGATCCAGAAGTCTATCAACACGAAATCCCAGGTGGTCAATTGACCAACTTATTATTCCAAGCTCAACAATTAGGCTTGGGAGAAAGATGGTTATTAACCAAGGAAACTTACAAGATTGCCAACCACTTATTGGGTGATATTGTTAAAGTTACTCCTACCTCTAAGGTTGTCGGAGACTTGGCCCAATTTATGGTTTCCAATAACTTAACAGAAGAAGATGTTCAGAAGTTGGCTACAGAATTGGATTTCCCAGATTCTGTTTTGGACTTTATGGAAGGTTTAATGGGTACTCCATATGGAGGATTCCCAGAACCTTTAAGAACAAACATCTTAGGAAACAAGAGACCAAAGTTGAACGAAAGACCAGGTCTCTCCTTAAAGCCAATTAACTTTGCTGAAATAAAGGAAGAATTGTTGGCAAGATACAACAATGTCTCTGAGGTAGATATTGCTTCATACGTGATGTACCCTAAGGTTTTCGAACAATTCAAGAAGATTCAAGAACTCTATGGAGATTTATCTGTTTTACCTACCAGATACTTCTTAAAGCCATCCAAGTTGGGTGAAGAAATTGTTGTTGAAATTGAACAAGGTAAGACTTTGATTATTAAGTTATTGGCTGTTGGTGAAATTTCTCAACAAACTGGTACCAGAGAGGTTTTCTTTGAGTTAAACGGTGAAATGAGATCTGTCACTGTTGACGACAAGACCTCTTCCATCGAAACCAAGACTAGACCAAAGGCCACTCAACCAAATGAGGTTGGTGCCCCAATGGCTGGTGTTGTCGTTGAAGTTAGAACCAAGGAAGGTACTGAAGTCAAGAAGGGTGACCCAATTGCTGTATTATCAGCCATGAAGATGGAAATGGTCATTAGTGCGCCAGTTTCTGGTAAAATTGGGGAAATTTTGGTCAAGGAAGGAGACTCGGTTGATGCCAGTGATTTGATTGCTGCTATTCACCAGTAGAAACGATTTACTTAAGGGAAAGGGACTAGTAAAGTGGAATGATATATCTATGTATTTCTAAAAGTAGAATGTTAAGTAATATGAAAGTACGAATTCAAGATGCCTGGTGTTAACTACTGTAAGATTTTGTAGAATGGTCTTGAGCCTGATCTCATTCAACTTCACGAAAGGCACGACGTAAGCCAGTGAACGAGTGGGCAAGCATCTTTTCTACAGTAGTCTGTGCGGTCCACGAAGGCAGGCATCACCTGTTCCAACATGTCCTACGACGGAGTAAACAAGCGGCTCTTCTACAGTAGAGCCTTCAGCCCGCTCAGGCTAGAAAGCCTTGTCTCGTCCTTCAAGTCCACTAATGGAACGACGCAGACGGCGGATTCTTCTATACCAAACAAGCCACCAGCATAGACGCTGAAATGACCCGACTCTTTAACACACGAAAGGAACGCGTGGGTGGATGAACGAGTGGGCAAGCGACTCTTGTCTGTTGAACTACCATTCGAAGTCAGTGGAGAGAACCTTCGCCTCCGTGTGCATGCTGAACACTGCGTACGAGTTCCACTTTCAGCAACATATCCAGCAACAGAAGTGCGGGACCAGAGCCCTGTAGTGTGAGAGAGCTAGTACCAAGGTATTTAGCTCGTCGACTAAAGCTGTTGACGTGATATGTGTGTGGGATCTCCTGCACTTCAACTCTCCCTTCTACTGTCTCTTCTTGCAAAGTTTCTACCTTCTCCTATCTCTTCTTGCACTGCCTCTATCTTCTCCTATCTCTTCCTGAACCACTTCTAGGTATTCCCCTCAAGCCCAATTCCCGCTCTCTTCGACTCAAAAGCTCCTGCTTCCTCTGGAAGTCTTGGTTCTCTTTACTCTCCTTCTCTTTGATCCTCTCCTCGAGAAGCTGGTTTTCATTCTCCAATTCCTCCAAGTTCTTCAACAATTCCTTTTCCTCTTCAATCTTTTTATCCAATTCCTCGTCACTGACACCAGAGGAGCCCGTCCAATGTGTTTTCAGTATGATTTCTTGCGTGAAGTGTGTCTGCGATAATATCTTAATCCATTTATCTAATAGCTTATCACTGTTCTTTGTGGTCTCGTTAGTTTTAGCAATATTCGTTTTCGTGAGCTGAATCGTGGAAGTGAGACTGTTTATAGCTGTGTTGATGGCCTGGAGTTGCTTGAGCTCCTTTTGGAGCGCTATCTGGCGAGTATCGGACATGCTAACTGAAGAGAAACATCTACCAAATCAATGTTTGTTATTATTGTTTTTTTTTTATGCACAAGAAAAAAAAAAAAAAAAAAAAAAAAAAAAACGAGAACTGAAAAATCAAGAAATTCGTTTCTCCTAGTGGTTCACCTACACCTTCTTCTCTCTAGAGTGTAGCTCAGCAGGTTTTGAAAGTCTTTTTTGGCCTCCAAAGTATGAACGATCCTTTACCTACCCGCTGGGAAGTCGAATTGGAATTCATCCAGTCGCTAGCTAACATACAATACTTGAATCACTTGGCGCAAAATAATTATCTCCAAGACCCCAAGTTTTTGAACTACTTGCAATACTTGAACTACTGGAGAGAACCAGAATACGCCAAACACTTAGTTTACCCAAACTGCTTGCACATATTGAGCTTGCTACAGAGCGAGGATTTCAGAAAGAACATTTTGAGCCCAGATTTCATGAGTACTGTCATGAACGACATGGTGAAGAGATGGCAGAACACTGAAAACGTAATAGACGTTAGCCCTGACCAGCCCAACGGAACCGCCGAGAGCCAGGGATAGAAATAAAGTAGGTAGCGAACCATTTCTGCGGAGAAAAATAGTTTCTGCTTTGATTCCTTCACTTAGAGAGGTACAGTGATAGAGATATACATCTGTAAAGGTCGAGGAGACCGAGCCAAGTGGCACTGAGCAGGCCAGTCTATCTTGTCATGAACATTTGTAGAGCTTCTGGGCTCTATAAATCTACGAGAAATGGGCGGAGAAAAAAAGTACAATCTGGCACAGATCCCGCCTCCATTTGAATTTATTGGTATCTAGCAGCTCGTGCGTTGCCCTTACCACACTTTCAACTCCAGAAAGTACAGCCCCAGTGGCTTGTTGGTGACTATCCAGTGCTCTACGTGGTGAGTGTCTTTCTCATATGCATGCCGTGCGAGAGACTCGTAAATGCATCTTGCAGTGTTTGGCCATAATTCTTCATTTTTAATTTCTTTTGTTTATCTCCTGTTACCGGATAGAGCATCTCTTGTATTGATTGTACCAATATACAAAAGTAATTACCCTGTCGAGGATATTTCTACAGTAAAGTGTAGCTTTCAACTCACAGTTGCTTATTGTGCTACGTAGGTGCTGCACAATGTCTTGCGGCACGTGATCGCAACTATCCAGAAAGCTCATATCTGTTCAGTACGTGGGGTCTTGCCACACACACTCTTCTTTGCAAAGCACCAGTACCCTAGCTGCCTCCTTCTTCTTAATTACGTACGCAAGATGGAAAGGGAAAGGCATGTTTCTTCCAAAGCCGACCGATATGAGAAGGACTACCAGACAATTTCCAAGCATGTAAATAGATTCACTAGTGCGACGAAGACATCTGCGCTTGAGTTTGCCTTTATAGTATCATTCATATTCAATTTGATTTTGGGTAAGTTCATCCATATATTTTCGCCCAAAGAGGAGGTTTATAACTACTTCAATGATAAGGGAAACTTATTCAACCAAATTTTTGTTAAAAAAGGATGGGCATGGACAACAATCATCATAGTAGCATTCTATACATTAATCCTCTTGAAGAAGGTGGAGGGCCCTGGCACAGGTGGTGCAACAAACAAGTACAAAATAATTTCAAGAGCGGTTATAAATTACATTTTAGTGACTATATGGTGGATATTCTTCACCCAGTGGTTCTTTGGGCTCCCCATTATGGATAGAGTGTTTGTGTTCACAGGCGGGAAGTGTACCAATGTCTCAGAAGAGCTCTACTTGAAGCATCAACTCTCTCCACATTTATTTGAGAAATTAGTTGCGCTGGTGGACGAGAACGGCGCTTCCTTAGCTGCTGCTACAGCAGCTACATTTCAAAGTTCTGCGATTCCTTCCTATATGTGTAGAAAGGTCAAAGGATCATGGGAAGGCGGCCACGATCCCTCTGGCCATGTGTTTCTCCTCATCCATTCGTCTCTATACCTAGTCTTTGAGTCATTGCCATACTGGCAACCTTGGGCCAAATTGAGAAACGATATGCAGGTCTTGAAGATAGAAGCCCGATCTCTGGTCACTACGTGGAAGACCAAGCTTTTAAAGACCACCAAGTTCATCTCTGGCAACCCGCACGTTTTGGTAATTTCGTTGGTCGGATTGTGGTGGTGGATGTTGTTTATGACGAGTTTATACTTCCATTCTATTGCCGAGAAGTTTGTCGGGCTTATGTTCGGGTATGTTGCATTTGGTGCGTTGTACTACTTACCTAGATGGCTTTAGTGTATATAGAACAAGAATTTCAATAAATTAATTTAGATTGCAGAGAGGAGCAGGGAACAAGCAGAGGAAAGAGTAATACTAGTAGATACACCAAAGATAATGATATGATGTAGGATCTTTCCTCAGATGTAGGAAACTTCCTCAGATGGATTTAACTCATTGCGAAGCGAAATAGTATCACCTACTTCTAAATTACATGCAGCAGTCCAACACATGCAGGAGCAGTGGCCATTCTTCTGATCAAGCAGATAGCCAGAAGCTAGTAGAAAAAAGAACCTCAGGCATACCAGCGCTGTTTGCCCGATGAGGGATTCAGTGTCAATGTCAAAGTGAAACAAAGTATTACTCGAACAGTACTTTAAGCAACATGCAGTAGCTTTAACATAGGATGAAGTAAGGGCAATTAACCCCATCAATAAGACTATCGAGAGTTAGCAGATTCGTCTCGTATATCTATTTTGGCGGTCTGGCGGTTGCATACTCCTGAGGAATGTACTGTGTGGAAAATAAAACGAGGCGGAATGTAGCAAAGCTGTACGGCTAGCTAGTGTGTTTCATAAACTTTAATTCCCGGCCTTTGTTTCAAAATCACAGGTATGGGGAAAACGTTAAATACAAACAAACAAACAAACAGAGGGGGAGGGACTGATAGAGGGGAGCTCGATTCAGAGACGAGCAACTGCTAAAGACACCAGAAACTATCCTGATCCATACCACTCTGATCGTAATCCAATGTAGCCCAACACCTTCGTTCCTTAACCCTCCTTATTCTATTAAAAGAACACCCTGAATAATATTCCACTTTCCTCATGCACAGCGCTCTTCGTTTCAAATTAGTGCTGCATTCAATGCAACAATCAAACTAAATGCGTTATATAGCGGAATGAGACGCGAATTTTTCACTAAAAGGTAGCGATTCGCGTATCGATTTGCAAACAGAATAACGATTTGTTACGCGTTTCTGGAGCCCCTTAAGCTTTAACCTTCTGCGGTTGAAGAGGTTGCAGCGATATTAAGTGAGCCCTACTATGTGTAGAGATGGCATTATTTTGTAGGAATTTTTTTGCGTTTGGAGATTGGCGTCTTGCAATTGCAGAAAATTTTGAAGTCTTCATTTGACTATTCGTTTACAACTTTTGATTACTCTTCTTCTTACTCCCAACAGGATAATACCGAACGAACGAGGCACAACCAAGGACAAATCGTCTATTCTTGGACATATACTGGACCCACAGCACCACAAGAGTGTTACACAAGAAAAAGAAGAATCAAAAACCACTCACATCTGAATAAATTTTGCACCCTCCTTAATTTCAAGATCTCAGATTACTTACTCGTTATAATATTTAACTTGGTAGAACAAACACCAACCTAGTATTACTTATTATTTCCACACATTCGCTTAATATCTAATAATAAAATACTTCCAGGATGGTTCACCTTGTTTTTATCACGTTCCTTACGTATTATCTATCCATCGTAGGAGCCTCCCTTTACGTGGGGTTCCCCTTCTCAGAGCAACTTCCAGACGTTGCCAGAGTAGATGAAGACTACAATTTCCAAATGGCCAACATCACCTATAAGTCTACAGGTGGTTCGGTTTCATACTCAGCCACCAATTTGCCGGACTGGCTATCTTTCGATGAACTGACTAGAACTTTCTCTGGTGTCCCTTCCAGTGGAGATGTTTCTAGTTCAGTCAGCATCACTTTAACAGGTGTAGATTCGGCTGATGGATCCACCATATCTAATAATTATACCATAATAGTATCATCAGAACCAGGTTTGGCATTATCATCAAACGACGTCATGTTTACTGAAATTTCTCAGTATGGCCGTACCAATGGTGAAAATGGGCTCGTTGTCAACGCAGGTCAAACATTTGATATCAAGTTTGACTCTTCAACCTTCAAATTGGACAAGAATTCCACTCGTGAGATAGTAGCCTACTACGGGAGACTGATAGATAGACTGTCGTTACCCAATTGGATAAGATTCGATGAAGATGAGTTATCATTTTCAGGAACCGTCCCAACGGTTACCTCGGATATCGCTCCATCCATTGACTATGGTTTTTCGTTCATTGCTACTGATTACGAAGGCTACGCTGGTGCAGTTGGAAATTTTTACTTGGTTGTAGGAGCCCACGAGTTATCTACAAATCTCAACGAGTCAATCAAGATCAATGGTACCTTGAACACCGATTTCGATGTTACTGTACCTATTTTTACTTCTGTTTACCAGGATGGGGTTCTCATTTCCCAGGAGAATATCTCCTCTGTGTACTCGGATAGTTTGCCAGATTATGTGACCTTGAACACTGGAAACTATTCCTTAACCGGTGTATTCCCGGAGACTTCCCAGTACGAAAATTTCACAATCATAGTGGAAGACAAATACGGTAATTCAATCGATATGCCATATCTGTTTGATGCCTTAGGATCTGCCTTCACGGTAGATGATTTACCAAATGTGAATATTACCAAGGGACAATGGTTAGACTATCAATTATTAGATAGTTTGTTCACAGAGAGTAACGAAACCAATGTGACTGTTAGTTACAGTGCAGATTGGTTGACATTCAATCAAGATAATACTACGTTCTTAGGAACTGTGCCCAAAGATTTTGATAAAATCAGCGTTAAAGTGACCGCTACCAATGAGTTTGACTCTGACGAGAAGAGCTTCAACTTCATAGGTGTAAGTGGGAACAAAACGACTAATAGTACTTCAAGCACAAGCAGTTCTTCATCGAGCTCCAGCTCATCGACTGCTTCTTCAACATCCTCATCTTCTGCTTCCCATGGTTCTAAGAGTTCAAAGTCGTCGTTGACCAACAAGCAAAAGTTAGCAATTGGACTCGGTGTCGGAATCCCAGTATTCCTCATCATCTGTGCTTTGCTACTCTTTTTCTGCTGCTACCGTCGTAGAAATAACGACAAGAGAGAAAAAGATAAGTTCTACGATAAGCACATCGTGCCAGTCAAGAACTTGGACTATGAAAAGGGAGGTGCTGCAGGAGGAAAGAAGAAACGTAGAAAAGATCAAGAACCTGAACTTGATGGACCAGGCTTTGGTACTACTGTTGACAATGATGACCACGACGAAGATCCTCATCAATTATCCGCATTAAACGTCTTGAAGTTGGATGAAAAGAAGAAGGATAATTCTGATTCCAAGAGTACCTCATCTTCTTTGACTCAAGTTGAATCTGAATACAGTAATTATTTCGATGCCAGCGAAAGACCGGTCAAGAGTTGGAGAGCAGGAGGAGAAGGAGACAATGTTCTTGGAAACGCATTGGGATCAGCTACCTTGGGAGCCGCAGCCACAGCAGCTGCCGTTAAGTACAGTAATATGAATGACGAAGACCACAACAAAAATAGACAATCTGTTGGTACAATGAGTACTGTTAACACCGAAAACTTGTTCTCAGTTAGACTAGTAGAGGATCATTCTAACAGAGACTCAAACCAATCATCATTCGGATCTGGTGGCTTTGGTGGTCAACAATATTTAACTGAAACATCTATTAATACTATTTTGAAGAGAGATGAATCAGGAAATATCCAGAGATTAGATAGTGATGGTAATATAGTTGACCTGAATATTCTGCCAAGAGAAGCAGCTTTAGAAGTTGCAGCAGGTTCATCTGAGCCTCTCAAACCAAGATTATCAAGATCAGCCTCTTCCAACTTAGACATACTAGCGGAAGAAAACTCAAAGGACCGTAGCCACGATGAGTCTACCATATATCACAGTACCGGAGACAGAGAGCATAGTGAAGCAGCAAATACCACTAATAACTCAACTATACCCCAAAATACCAACGATGTTCATACCGAGCACAGTTTTAACTTGCTTAGTAGATTTAACAACTCTGCATCTTCATCTGCTGCCAACAGTGACCAACAGTTGAATAGTAGGTTATACGGTAGTGAGAATAGTTTAGTAGATGAATTTAAGGCAGTTCATAACGATGACGGAGAATTACAATGGTCAGAAGCAAATACCGACAGTCAAAATAACTCAACTTCATATTTACAACAACAACAGCAACAACATCAAAACGAATTCAGCAATGCAAACCACAGTATGGATGATGATAACCTTACTTCACAAATTTCAGCCATGAAAGATCAATTTCCAAATAACTCAAACCCAGAAATCAATCACAGGTATTCATCTACCTCATTGGGAAGAAAAGCAAAGCTCGTGGAGTTCACTAGAAAGGGTAGTTTAAGAGATGCTGCAAAGCTCAGTAGCGAACATAACTACTTCAGTGGTCAAACTGCTTACATTCACGATGATGACAGCGAGTAGATTTTTATCAGATCAAAAAGTTGAAAGTTAAGCAACTGGTTTATTTAACTCTTCATTTTCGATCTTTGTTTTTGGGATATACGTTCTTCATGTTAATATATTGTTTGGTGCTTCATCAAAAAGTACAGAGATTCTTCAATACAATTGTATAATTATAATTAATGTTTGATTTAATAAAGTAGATATAAAAGCTATTCTTTTGTAAGGAAGTAAGAAACAACTTTAGAGGTGGGTTATCTAGGCATTGGTACTACTTACTTTGGTAGGGTGTCCACGAAGTTAGCAGTATCTTGAGCTCTTCTTCTACCTTCAACATACTCCATCATCTCTGCATAAGTTCTAGGGATGACTGAGCAGAAGCCAGCATCGCCTTCCTTGAGAGAAGCCTGTGGTACGAAGAAGGAGTAAATGAAAGTTCCGGACTCCTTGGCAACCTCACTATCTAATGCCTTGATCGTTGTATCGACACTGACTTGAATTAAGGTACCAGGTTCAGATAAAAATGCATTTTTATTCGAAGAAAGCTTATTAGTTGCAGGCAATGAGAAGTCAAATGCATCAGCATCTCCCGTAGAAGGGCTGGCCTTAATGTGTTCAGTGTAAACAATCTTGGCAGACAAGGATAACACGGACCCAACTGGTACTGGCTGCTTGAAGGTTGTAGAGTCCAAGGAAACGAATCTTGGAGAGGAAGATGCAAAGGCTGCAGAGGCACAGTAGGCTAATTCGAATGATTGTCTCAACAAGTATCCACCAAAGATCATATAACTATGTCTGTTTCTGTACTGAGGCTGCATGAACAAAGTAGATTTGACTTCCGAATCGTTCATAAAGACGACATTCTTTGGTTTCTTATCTAAATTAGCAAGAATGTTCTTCAGTTCCTTCCACATTTCATAGATCAACCCAGATTCCTCAGGTGTAGGAGCTGCACTGGACTTATTCTTAGCAGCTAACTTCTTTTTGGCATTATGAGATTCTGCTCTTCTATAGTCCAACCATTCTTCTTCCGAGACAGGCAACAATCTGTTGATGGCGAAGGACTTGTGGGTCTCTGGGTTTCTGGCAACGAATGTAAAGTTAGCAGTCAAGAAAATGTTTTCGTCTGGGAGAGCGGACTCGGTAATCTCACTGGGCACCTTATCGTCGAAAGCATAACCTTTCACGGTGATTTCCATCGATGATCTACCGGTCCAGGTGACACTACCAGCCATGACAAAGTTGTAATTGCTGATTTCGTCCACCTTCTTCACCATGTAGATTCTGTCAACGGAAGCTGTCACGTTGACAGGTTCAGCTGGAGAACAGTGTCTGTAGGCGATTCTTCCGGCTAAGGCATCCAAGTCCTGGAACAATTGACCGGCCCGCAAACGCCCGGCAGCATTGATATAAGCATCGCACAACCACTTGTCGTCCTTGAAGGGCAACGTGAGGTACGAGAACGATTCGTTTCTGGTCTTCTCTCCGACGTGAGTGGTCTTGGGGTCCACATAACTGTAACTGTCGAGAATCTTCCCGGCAGCTTCCTGCTTGGCTCTTTCTCGCATAGCTTCAATCCAGGTCACCTTGTTGGGGAGCTTCTGGATATCGTTCTGGTCTGCCAACACAGTAGCTGTAGCATCGGCGGCATCGGCGGCATCGTTGGACCCTGCCTTGTCTGGCCTGTGGAAATTCTTAGCAAGAACGGAGCGGGTGTGGAACGAAAAACGCCCAGCTGTATGTACAGGCTTCACCAACCTCAAGGCTCTAATCATGGCGTGTATGAAGTTATTCTATGATAATTGGAATGGATAACTAGGTGTTTGTGAACAGAGACACCTGTAACGTTTTTATTTCTTGTTAGGGCTATTCTGATAAGTCGTGTGCAGGACTCGATGATGAACTGGATAAGACAGGTTCAGGAACAACAGTGTTGGGAAGAGCCAAATGGGGATGAAGAAAGCAATAGCAATATACAAGTAGGTCAATAGAAGATACGAGAAATAAAATTCACACAGTCACAAGCATACACACACACACACACACACTTAGACACACACACGTACCTATATATACATTTACACCAAATCCATCTACAGCCTCGCCCACTCTTATCAGTCAGCATTTGTTGTACTCCGGTGTGCTTACCTATGTGAGCACTTCTTTTGGCTGCAAAAATCCTGCACACAGCCGCTCAACATTTGAAAAGTTTGGAGGGGTTTCTCCGGACCCGACCTGCACCGGGCGCTGGAGCTCAGATCCCCAGCGAGACCTCTGCGAGGATCCCGGTGTTCTACGGCTGCTCGAGCACTGCTACAGCTAGCCAGAAGAGAGAGAGCAAAGAAAGGAGGGGTAGAGCAACAAGCGCCGCAACATTGCCCAATGTGTGATTATTTTTGGTCTTCTGGATCTACAAATGTGTTTCGCTCCCGTTTCGGGTCCCACACCTATCCTAGCAGCACTCTGGACTCTCTTCCTTGGTCCCGCCAATCTTCCTGCCAGCCCAAAATTCTCCATCTCCAAACCTAAATTTTTCACTCCCAGTGCGCACTCCGAAATCGAACTTCCTCCCTGCGTGCAGGTCTCCTCCGGCACCATTCTCACTAAGAATCTCCCCCCTCGGAGCTATACCTCCGGTAGTGCCGTAACCAGGCGGTCCTCATCGTTCCGTGTGGTACCAAGCAGATAGCCAGAGAGCACAGTAGAGAGGAAATCAGCTACACTGTTTTCACACCCGGAAAGTTCTCGAGTATATACAGAAGATTCCTTTTTTCATTAGGCCGTTTTTTTGTGTGTGTTTTTTCTTTGGATTAGTGTAAGCTGCTGACAGAAATCATTACTGATATATAACAATTGATCTCGACCGAATTCTCAGGACCGTTCAGCTTGTTTTTATTTACGTATCACTCCTCCTGTCCCCCCTTTTAATTGAGTTCTACTAAAACGATAAAAAAATGTCTACCTCAATCGCCAAGACCGCCCAGTTGGCAGCTCAAGCATTGAAGACTTCATCTACTTCAAGAACTCTTCAACAAGCTGGTCAATACCAAGCCTTAAGAAGAACCGGTGGTGATATCCGTGCTGCATCTGGTGCCGCTGGTGCCAACACCATGACCGTCAGAGACGCCTTGAACTCTGCCATTGCTGAAGAATTAGACCGTGACGACGATGTCTTCCTCATTGGTGAAGAAGTTGCCCAATATAACGGTGCCTACAAGGTCTCCAGAGGTTTATTAGATCGTTTTGGTGAAAGAAGAGTTATCGACACTCCAATCACCGAAATGGGTTTCACTGGTTTGGCTGTTGGTTCTGCCTTAGCTGGTTTAAAGCCAATTTGTGAGTTCATGACCTTTAACTTTGCTATGCAATCCATTGATCACATCATCAACTCCGCCGCCAAGACTTACTATATGTCTGGTGGTACTCAACCATGTAACATCACCTTCCGTGGTCCAAACGGTGCCGCTGCCGGTGTTGCTGCTCAACATTCCCAATGTTACGCTGCCTGGTACGGTTCTATCCCAGGTTTAAAGGTTTTGTCTCCATACTCTGCTGCTGATTACAAGGGTTTATTCAAGGCTGCTGTTAGAGATCCTAACCCGGTTGTCTTCTTGGAGAATGAAATTGCCTATGGTGAATCCCACGAAATGCCTGAAGAAGCCTTGTCCTCTGACTACGTCTTGCCAATCGGTAAGGCCAAGATCGAAAAGGAAGGTAGCGACATCACCTTAGTTTCCCACTCCAGAAACGTCTTGCACTGTTTGCAAGCTGCTGAAGTTTTAGAAAAGGAATACGGTGTTAAGGCTGAAGTTCTTAACTTGAGATCTATCAAGCCATTAGACGTTGATTCCATTGTCAACTCTGTCAAGAAGACCAACCACTTGGTCACCGTTGAAGCTGGTTTCCCAGCTTTCGGTGTTGGATCAGAAATCTGTGCTCAAATCATGGAATCTGAAGCCTTTGACTACTTGGATGCACCAGTTGAAAGAGTTACTGGTTGTGAAGTTCCAACCCCATACGCTAAGGAATTGGAAGACTTTGCTTTCCCAGATAGAGAAGTTGTCTTGAGAGCATCCAGAAAGGTTTTGGGATTGTAAATAAGATATTGAGATGGAAGCATCGAAATCCAATTCAAAAAGATGAAGATAAGAAGAGAGAAAAGGAATTAGAAAGAAGCTGAAGAAGAATGAATCGGTGAATGTTTGATCAAAATATCCACTAGTAATTAAAATTTAGATACATACATATGTACATACATTATTAAAAGAAAACGTACATAATCTACAGTGTAAGGCAGCCAGTAACCAAAGTCACCAAACAAGGTGCGTAAAACTACCACATTTCACACCAACATCATCGAACTACTTCGTACTACCTCCTACCATACACTCCCATAACCTCTGATGTTCTCACACTTTGCTCTGCATACCCCATGCGCACTACACACAACTGAAAAATGCAACATTTAGGCTTTTCGTTTTTGCCTAACAAAGCCTTGCCAAAATCGCGACGTGTATCAGTCTGTTTTCAAGAGTCGAAGAGGTGAAGAGTAGTTCGACGCCCATTGATATAGCAGCGCTCAATACAGTATGCCTGACATGGAGAAAGAGGAAGGAAACGTACATAAACGAACCAGCGCAATGCCAGGAGATGTTGGATTCTCCGATAACCCATTGAACATGGGCCAGGAAAAGTTCAATGAAGAGAACGATTCGTTTCTACCTGTGTCAATGCAGGATGTGAAGAAGCCCGAGACACTCACAGCTAAGTCCACAACGGCGAATGCTTCGCTAGCCCCCAAGGACCGGAAGGCTTTCATGGTATTAGTGTTACTTTACATGCTCCAGGGTGTGCCCGTAGGGTTAGCCTTTGGCTCAGTCCCATTTATGCTCAAGTCCAAGCTCACATACTCGCAGGTTGGGATATTTTCACTCGCTGCATACCCATATTCGCTTAAGTTGCTCTGGTCGCCCATAGTAGACGCCATATACTCCAGTAGAGTAGGCAGAAGAAGATCCTGGATCATACCGATCCAAACCATCTCGGGATTGACCTTACTCTACTTGGGACTGGTTATAGATAAGTACATGGTTGAGCCTGAAAGACACTTGACCACCATTACTGCATGTTTCTTCCTTCTAGTATTCTTCTGTGCAACACAGGACATTGCAGTGGACGGCTGGGCTTTGACCTGCTTGTCGCCTGAGTCTTTGTCGTATGCTTCGACTGCTCAAACCATCGGAGTCAATACGGGGTACTTTTCTTCGTTCACCATCTTCTTGGCACTCAATTCGCCTTCTTTCCCTAACAAGTACTTGCGAGACGTACCAAGTGATGAAGGTTTGTTCCTGATGGGTCAGTACTTGACATTTTGGGGCTGGATGTTCTGGATAGTCACCGCCTTCCTTTACTTTATTCCAGAAGACCCACCACACTTGGCTAAGTACAACCAGGCGAGGTTGGCTGATGAAATTGCCAAATTGGAAGGTGTTTATACCACCAAAAAGCTGTCGATTGGACGCCTTAATGGAGGAAATTACTGGCTCTCATTGAAGAATACTTACTTTTCAATGTACCAAGTTTTGAAATTGCCCAACGTACAGACATTTGTGGTAGTATTGTTATTGGCCAAGCTAGGGTTCCAAGCCAATGATGCTGCTTCCAATTTGAAGTTGCTAGAAAAGGGTCTTTCGAAAGAAGATTTGTCACTTACTGTCTTGATTGACTTCCCTTTTGAAATGGTCTTCGGTTATTACGCTGGGCGCTGGTCTAGTGGAAAGAGCCCCTTGAGACCTTGGTTGTTTGGATTTGCTGGTAGGTTGTTTGCAGCAATCTTTGCTCAGTTGGTGATATTCTTCTTCCCTAAAGATGGGAAGGTCACCTCTTCGTATTTCTTGCTAATCATATTGCAACATTTAATTTCTTCCTTTATGTCAACAGTTCAATTTGTTTCTTTATGTGCCTTCCATACCAAAATTGCTGATCCAGCAATCGGTGGTACGTACATGACAACCTTAAACACCTTATCAAATTATGGGGGAACCTGGCCAAGGTTGATTACTTACTATTTGATTGATAAGTTGACTGTGCACGAGTGCGTTTCCGACTTAGATCAGAGCTTGTTAGATGCCGGAACCAAGGGTTCTTCGTTATCCACGGAGGCATACAAAGAGAAATGTTTAGCTTTGGGAGGGCATGCAGTTATAATTCAAGATGGGTACTACTATACGAATACATTATGCATTGTACTTGGTATATTAATATTGATATGGACAAAGAGAAAAGTCACATACTTACAGAGCTTACCAAAAAGTGCATGGAGGGTGAAAGAAGCATAAAATATATACACAATTAGCAGTTAGAGATCCTTAGTTTTTATAATTATAATAAAAGTAAATATAAATATCTATGTATATGTACTATTCATCCTCTGTATATGAACCTTGGTGTGAACCAAGAGGTGCTGCTAAAGAATCTGCGGATTGATGCTGGTTAACAAAATCATCATGTAAGAAGTCAATCGGCAGAAATGGGATCTTTGCTTCGTTCTTCATTTTCTTTGAAACCGAAGAGTAAGTTCCAATGATCAGCGGAATCAATGAAGTAGACAATGGCGAGTTAGCTGAGTAATTGTTTAAAGATGAAGCACCAGAATGTGGTGATCTAGGATTACTGTTGCCATTGGTCATTGCAGTTGACGTCATTGTATGGTCGTTAGCTCTGTAGTGATGCGTATTACCAATGCTTCTGGAAAACGAATTAGATAAATTCTGGAAGGTATTTGAGATGATATTTCCGCCGTTATTAATATTATGTACCGATGCGGAATTGGAGGATCCCATTATGTAATGAGAGGGTGGAGCTGGCGATGCTCCGACGATACTTGAATAGTTGGACATTTGGCCCGACGAAAGTAACATTGAGGAATCACTTGGACGATGTCTTCTACTCTCAATACCCATGCTATTATTATTGGTGTGGGTGTGGCCATTATTCCCATTGCTGATCGGATCAAAGCTTGGGCTTGAGTATTTATTAGTGTACCAGTCGGGCTTTTTGAAATAGTCTTGAGAGGCACGATGTTTACTTTTGCTTCGCTTACCATTCGAAGCGTAATCCAAATTAATATCTTCGTCAAAGTCCAAGGAATGGCGGTGCTGAGATTGACGGTGGTGGTTACTTGAAGCAGAATTATTTCTAGATTTAGTATCACCCGAATATAACCAGCATTGAAAGAGGATGAATGCATCAAAAGTAACAGTTCCTGCTGCTCCCACAATAAAGGGTAATTGAGAGAAAAGTGCATCCCTGAATTCCCAGTCATCCATGTATCCGTTATTATAATATATAAGATATAGGTCTGAAACAATGCAAATTGTGTAGAGCAAATTACCAAGCATGGCAAAAAGGAACAAGTACAATGATATTCCCTTCGTCGACTTCTTGCGGTAGTTCTCCACAATCTGAGGAGTTCTCGAGGAAACATAAAGTGCTGAGCATGTCCAGGCCAGTACTCTACCAATGTCTTCCTTATGAATGTGGAGATGAGCTAGCATATGAACTGCTAGCATGAAATATTTGGAAACGAATTCCGTGATCGTTGAAACTACATCGGTATGCTCTTTGTCTGTTAAGCGCTCGAGTGCTACAGAGGGTACGGGATGAGCATCTGCTCCCTTAGTGAAGCTTCCTACAAAAATAGCACCAAATAACTTCTGAGTCATCGAGCTATTCTGTGGGACTTGTATGTGATTGTTGTCACTGACAGACAATTTGGACTGGGCTGAAATCTGAATTGGAGATTTGGTATTATGCATCGGCGAGCCCAGTTTAAACCGATTGGTTCTCAACGGTATCACATCGCTATTACGTGAGTGGACTGGTCTCATCATGTTGGGACTTTGCAACAAGTTATGGTGCACCTTCTGGTACGGATACACTTTGGTATAGTACCAGTATTGCAAGGCAAGAATGCAGTCTATGAAGCAGTAGTAACTGGCCAAACATGTTTGAAAAGGTAAAGCTCCAGTCAACACACACCCCAAGAGATTTGTAACGTCTCCACCCATCCAACATCCCAAAAATAGGAGTGACACTCCCGACACTGATTTATTAAGATGGTTTTCAATAATCTGAGGAAGCTGGGCAAACAACCAGACGCAAAGTGACGAGTAACCCGAGACTTGCGACACCGTGGCTATGATTCTTTCGGTCCCCGAGAAGGTTGAGTTATCTGGTATCACTGATAGTATGACCGGTGCTATGCTGCTCATCTCACTTGGAATTATTGACAGTAAGAGTAATTTTATTATTTATAAGATGATAGGGTTGCGTATTAAGTGATTATCGTATATCTGATAGTGCGTGGATGTTCTTTATCGGTGTATTATGGTATATATGGGAAGCAGGGTATATTATATGATATGGTTTATTTTCTAGCCATGTTTACCCTATGCAAAATATGTAAAAAATGAAGAGTACAATACTACCGTCGAGAGTATAGATAATGTGCTAACCTGCTCTGCTATTGATAAGAAAAAGAAAAACTTTAAACTTTGAATGATCTCAATCTCTTCTCACTTTTCCTAGTTCTTTTTTCTTCAGTAGCTACTGGACAGAAACATAAACAATGTGAAGAGCTTGTTAGATTAGGTAAGAGAAGTTTTTTATGACCTTGCGTCTGATTCATAGGCACTTCGAAAAAATAATCTGCAGCTCGTAAATCTGGAGTGGGAAGGACAAGAGAGGGGTGAGGTAGATATTGAACAGAAGGGATAGTGGGAGCGAAGGAGGAGAGCAAAGAGATACCACAGCAGTACTAGCACCCACCAACAAAGTGTGCCTGTTTGTCGAAGCATTCCCCTGCTGTAAAGCACAAGTAACCTTACATCTGTTATGCATGGAACCTGTGATCACTGTGAGATGAGCAGAAGAAAGCCACTGATGGGCGCGCGGAAATTTGGCCCGAAGAAGAAAAAAAGAAACAAGAAACCAAGCGCTAAATGGAAACGAAAAGCGAGTATGGACTGACCAGGAAGCTCTTCTTCGTAGGTGCTGTCACATCTTTACTAGTATTATTCATACGCTTATACAGTGCACGCAATGATTGAGATATCAGCTAACGATAGGCTCGGGAAAAAGATCAAGGTCAAGTGCCTTCCAGAAGATACTATCGGAGACCTTAAGAAGTTGATTGCCCTTCAGTCGGGCGGATCTCACGAAAAAATCGTCTTGAAAAAAGGGTACCAGGTGTTTAAAGACCACATAACCTTAGATGACTACGAGATTCACAACGGGTTTAACTTCGAATTGTACTACAATTGAGGGGAGTATAAGGTTATATTAAGTTTTGTTATTCTATCGTATAATACATGTCATAAGTCATTAGCGGAGTATACTGTCATGGGCCATAGTTGGGAAACAAGTATGGCCTTGGCGGGCGATGAGCCTGGAACCGGGATGTGGAACAGTTTATGCGGATTCTGCTCTACTTAGAGAAAGAGTTAAAGCGAGTGAGAGAAAGAGAGTGAGTGTTCCCCACATAAATTATAGGTAAAAGCTCGGACCCTTTGAATCACAAGAAATACTCTGTAGGCTTTTTCTTCTTGGAGGTGAAGAAATCTCCGAACAAGTCGACGTCTTCCCCGTTGTCTGACCCCAACACTCCGTTCACCCCGCGGCCGTTTGCTGTGTCCTGATCGTTTTCTGGAGATGCCTCAAAAACATTGAAAAATTGGCCAGGTAAGACGCCCTGCTCGTTGCACTTACTATTTTTGCCTCCTAGGTAGCTGGTATCCATAACTTCTAATACACTTGCCTTATTTCCACATCTATAGCAATAGTTTGGAGCCGACCAAACCGTAAGACATTTCCCCCTCCAGTAACTGACGTAGCCTTCGTTACATAATTGATGAGCCCGCACCAATTGTTCTAATCCATTATCATGACAAAATTTTTCAATCACCTCGTACCCAAATAAATACCCAGCACCACGCGGACTCAATTTAAAATCCATGATCTCTGGGTCAGGGTCTGACCAGACCAAGTCTGCCATTATCCCATCGTGTGGGATTTCTTTAAATCTGTCTATACTTCTAATTTGATCAAGTTGCTGGCAACTTGGTGATAATCCGCCGTGAGTAGCAAAAATCTTCCCATCTATAGTTGCACCTAAGGGTAAGTAGTCGAATAAGTCTGTTATATACTGCCAGACTTCTGCAGACCCCTCGTACTTATTTATCACTTCTGAGTAAAACCCATAGTTGGTGGTGATAGTGCGCGACTCGTGATTACCTCTGATCAACGAAATCCGGTTCGGATACCTCAATTTTAATGCGATAAGTAGAGTGATAGTCTCCACTGAATAGTATCCACGGTCTACATAGTCCCCCAAAAATAGATAGTTAGTATTGGGAGGGGACCCGCCAATCTCAAATATTTCTAACAAATCGTGGTATTGTCCATGGATATCTCCCACGATGGTCACAGGAGACTGTAGCGGAATTATGTTGGGCACTGCTAGGAGTTGCGTTTTTAGTGTGTGGCATAGCTGCTGTACGGTCTGCGACGGTAAGAGTCTGGGTGGTTTGTGATCTAGTAGCTGAGCTAGCGAGTGATCCAAGTCCGGAATCGGGATCCTGAACGGGATAGTCATCTAAAATTAACACCTCCGTATATTACAACTATAAGAAACAGATATGAAGTAGATTTATCTTGAGTTATCTTGTTATCTGCTCCATTTACTCTGTGTTGGTGTTTTCCATTTTTATGGACTTCGTATTTTTTCGGCAAACACGAATTTTTTTTTTTCTTACCCAATGAATTTGAGTTAGCGAGCAGCTAGCGGGACATCTAGCGGGCCAAAGTTAGCGCAGTGCCTAACAATCGACATGGTTATGAAGAATAGAGGATGAACAAAAAACATTAAAAAGTAGCTAGGACTCTCTTGGAAAACATATGCAGAAAGCCCAGGTCTTCAGAAACATATCTATCTATATGCTGAAGCCATATAATACTATGTCACGGCAAAATGCCCTGATGCTACACTTCATGGATCACAATTACTGTAGTATTTTATTACGTGCTAATTTTTTAAATAGCGTCTCATTCTAACTAAGTTTTATTTTTTTTTTTTTATGTTTACTTCACTGTTTCAACAGCTTTTCACCCATGAGATTCGCTTAGACTTCTCATTTACAAACCTCATCGATAGCCTTGGACAAAATCTCTAACCCATTCTCAATAGCTTCGTTGTCAATGTTCAATGCTGGCACTAATCTGAGCACATTCATTCCTGCCGTGATAACGATAAGCCCGTTTTCGCGACAAATGGTTGCAATTTTTCCAGGGTCCACGCTACTATCGAACTGTAACCCTAACAATAAGCCCTTACCACGAACTTCCAAGATCTTACTTGGGTATTTCTGAGCAATCTTGTTCAATCCCTTAACGAATTTATCTGATTTCTCTTCAACCTTGGCTAAAAAGTCGGCGTCACTGACCTGGTCCACAACGTACGATCCGATTCTAGCACCCAATGGATTACCACCGTAGGTGGTACCGTGGTCACCCACCTTCAATGCCTGCTCGACCTTTTCGGTGATCATGGTAGCACCAATTGGGAAACCATTACCTAAGGCCTTGGCCATAGTAAGGATATCTGGATGAGCTTCCTTCGGCAAGAATCCGTGCGCCCACAATTTACCTGATCTTCCCAACCCGCACTGAATCTCATCATAAATCAATAACACATCGTTCTTTTCACACAATTTCTTCAATGCAATTAAGAATTCAGTATCAATGGTGGAAACACCACCTTCACCTTGAATTGGTTCTATGATAACTGCACAGGTCTTTTCTTTGCTTATCAATTTTTCAACACTGGTAATGTCCTTGGCATCGGCAACGTGCACACCTGGAATTAAAGGTGAAAATGGTTGCTGATATTTTGGATTTGGTGTGACCGACAATGCTCCCAAGGATCTACCGTGGAATGCATTCTGGAAGGTTATAATTTCAGTTTTAGAGTCGCTGAACTGCTTACCATATTTACGGCCAAACTTCAAGGCAGCCTCATTGGCTTCAGTACCGGAATTACATAAGAATACTCTCTGAGCATCATGCATACCACCACTGGACTTGGTCTTGGTGACCAACTTGTTGGCCAATTCTCCTGCGTATAAGTTATGGAAAAGATTAGAGCAATGGATCAAAGTACCAGCTTGCTTGGAGATAATGTCAGCAATTTCAGGGTTAGCATGCCCCAAACCAGTGACTGCGATACCGGCAGAGAAATCAATGTACTGGTTATTTTCTAAATCGAATAAATAAGCACCTTTACCGTGGGTGAACACCAAATTTGGTCTAGCATATGTGGTGACTGTGTACGGGTTAGTGATGGTGTTAATATATTGGCCAGTAGAAGATTCTTGCGATGGATCTGGGGTCGCTGGTTGTAAGCGAGCAGCGGTGGAGGTAAAGGTTCTCGCGGCACCGGAAAGAGACCCTCTAGAAGACTTCAACACGATATTTCTAAGCATTTCTACGTTTCTTTGCACTTATCGGTGTGAAGAAGAAGTCGCTTAGTGTGGGTGAAAAATTTCCATTGCGAATTTTTAACCCATAGAAAAAAAATAGATTTCGCATCGCGGTTGACTCACTCTGATTTCCTAAATAAGGACTGAAGACGTTACACAAAATTGCTACTCGATATGATATGTCGAGAGTCTTGAACCATAGCAAGGAGGTTCATTATGTAGAGGAATTTAGTTATAGTTAGTGGTGATTTTGTTTTCTTAAACTTCTGAAGATCGTTCGCCGGCGAAAGTTCTAGTTTTGGGTTTTACTGCCCATATTTATGACATGTTTGCGCCGTGTCCACTGTTATTGATTATATAGCTTGCCATCGAAGACTTGTAAAAAGGGGCCTCATGATTGAAGTGATCCATGTAGTAGAAGTTTCTTAAAGTTAATGTCTGACTCTACAAAAAAATCATTTCAAAAGCTGAAAAGCAAAAAAAGTGGGAACTGATTCACTACCAGTCGGGAACCGTGGAAGTACGATATATATGCCAAAAACTGCTCTAAACTGTAATTACTAAGTAAATATCTCTTACTTCGATAATCTCCGTAATCTGACCAATTAGACTACTGTCTCACTCAATCCGAATCGTAAAGACCTTCATTTATTTTCAGTATGGAGTAGCTATCAGTTACTGGTACCTGATAAGATCAATGTATGGAGAAAAAAAAAATTGGCGCCGCACATTATGCAACTACACTATCATCAACACTATCGAGTGGAAGATCATCAACCATACCACAGTTCGGATTGCAACATACTCATCCGTGTTCATGTATTGGAAATCGATACCCGCATCGCTAAATTCAAATTCCGCTCTTGGGGCCGTATCTCTTATCTTTGATCCCACTTATATATAGCCGCCTTTATTCTCATTGATCACAGGATCAAGTCACAGGAACAGAAAATCATTTATAACCGAGAAATCCAGTCGATGAAATATTGTAGAAATCCAAAGTGAACAAGTGAAATTAGTCTAAGACATTATAGTAGAAAATGACTGTTGAAGGAATCCCAAAATATAAAGAAATCGCCGCAAAGAAAATTGCAGAAAGAAACGCCAAGTTCGTTAAAGAATGGTTGATTCCAGCTGAAAAACTCCCTCAGTTACAAGACGTATCTAACTGGATTCCAAAATCAGGTTACTTATCCGAAGAAGAATTGAAAATCACGGAGTCAGATGCTTCAGAAATTGTTAAAAATGTAAAGAGTAAGGAGTGGAGTGCCTTGCAAGTTACAAAGGCTTTTTGCCACAGAGCTAGCATTGCCCACCAATTGGTCAATTGTTTATCTGAAGTATTCTTCGAAGAGGCATTCAAGCAAGCAGAAGATCTCGATAAGTATCAAGAAGAAACCGGAAAAGTGAAGGGTCCTTTCCATGGACTTCCAATATCTTTGAAAGACAACTTGAATATCAAGGGTCAAGCCACCAGTATTGGGATGGTTGAGTTTGCATTCAATCCAGAACAAATGGAAGAGGATTCAGTTATTGTAAAGTTATTTAGAGATATGGGAGCTGTTTTTTATGCTAAAACCAATGTTCCTGTTGCTATGATGATGCCAGAAACGACAAATCATATTTTTGGCAATACTCTGAACCCATTGAATAGAAATCTTAGTGCAGGTGGTTCTTCGGGAGGAGAAGCTGCATTACTTGCCTTGAAGGGTTCACCAATTGGGGTTGGTTCTGATATTGGTGGAAGTATTAGAATTCCTGCATCATTTCAGAATATTTATGCTATTAGACCTACTTTTGGTAGATTTCCAACCTATGGAAGTCGTTCAGGTTTGCCAGGTTTAGAATCTGTTAATTCAGTGAATGGTCCACTTTCTCTGGACTTGGAGGCTATCGAACTCTACTGCAAATCAGTAATTGACCAAGAGCCTTGGAACCATGATCCTAAGGTTGTTGAAATTCCTTGGAGAAAAGTTGAGTTGCCTTCCAAGTTAAATGTAGCAGTATTGACAGATGATGGTTGGGTTCGCCCAACTCCTCCAATTCGCAGAGGAATGTCAATAGTTATTGATGCCTTGAAGAAGGACGGACATGACATTATTGAGTGGAATCCTGCTGAACACTTCCGTTTATCTCAAATCATTAGCTCTTTTTTCGTCAGTGATGGGGGTATTCACATTAAAGAAGTCACGAAAGCTACCGGAGAGACATTCTTTCCATACATGCAAAACTATGGAACAACACCAGAAATGGGGGTTGCACAGTTATGGAAATTACAAGCCGAAAGAACATCTTTGATTAAGAAGTTCCTTGACCGTTGGAATGCCACTGCCGAGAAGACTGGTAACGGAAAGCCAATAGATGCAATTATTATGCCTGCCACCCCATTCCCTGGTAACCCCAATGGAAAATTCCACGACTATGTGGGATACACTTCTCCTTTCAATTTGGTAGACTACTCTGTTGGGATTTTCCCAGTTACTAGAGCCGACAAGGATTTAGACCCCAAGGATGAAAAGAGAGAATCATTTTACAGTAAGACCGACGAGAACATTTGGAAGGACTACGATCCAGTTGAAAGCCACGGTGGTGCCGTTGCTTTGCAGCTCGTAGGCAGAAGACATCAGGAAGAAAAGGTTATCGAAATGCTTAAAGTTGTGAGAGATTTATTGTGATGCAACACAAGCCGCTAAAGAGTAGAAGGCTATCGAAATCCTTAAAGCTGTGAGAGATTTATTGTGATCAAGTACAAATCAGTAATATCGGAAATGACCATGTGGTGTCTCTGCGGGAGGTGTTAATCGCACAGCTCATGTACTAGCCGTGCTGAGGTGGTGGAGATTTTGGCTGCGAATATTTTCAAAATTTATATGCATATACTTTATTTAATGGTAATAGAATGAGACAATCTAGAAGGTTAAAACTACGCTTTTTCAAAAGCGATAATTGTAGAAAGTGGTCCACGGTGGGCTCAAAAGCATTCAAAACCACAATATCGGAAAAATGGACTATTTAGGCAACTATATCCTGTCAGATAGTGTAGTTTATTCGAAACTCATATCTCCCAGAATCCACGAAGTCGACATTCGCGAGCAGTTCTGTCCCAGTCCTAATTCACCTCCCCCAAAATCTACACTTATCTCGATCTACATGATCGTAAAAAAAATACTTGAGATAAGACTATCGCAAAATCTTACAACTCAGTATCGACTTTAAGATAACCGAGTTACACATATTATATAGTAGCTATCTACGTTATCGGAAACCGGGCTCCCTCTCAGCTCTATTGGCAAATGTTAGGGCATAATTATTTTTTGGCCATCACAATGCAGCACACTGTAAGCGGAATTTCCATTTTGCATACCTAAAAAAAAAAAAAAAAAAAAAAAGTTCATGCAACCTTGATCAGCTATCAGAGAGAGATAGTGGAACTCAAAGGGTATATAAAGATAAGAAATGGAAGGTCAAATCTGCCATTAAGTTGTTTTCATTATTTCTTATTAACTACACTTATACTTTCACTAAAAAAGAGGTAGATTAATAGCTCAGTTGCTACAAATACGCTGGTTTAAGTAAAGGCACACCGACATTGGAATATTTCAACACTATCAAATGACAGTGCTTAGGTCTATTAGGACCTTCATTTGGGGTGAAAAACCTTCAAACCCACAAGAAGCTAAGCTTTTGAAGAAAATTGACTGGTTCGTATTATCATTTGCTTGTTTGTTGTACTGGATTAACTATGTTGACAGACTTAACGTTGCTAACGCATATGTCTCTGGAATGAAAGAAGATCTCAACATGGCCGGTAACGACTATAATAAGATCAACACAGTTTTCACTGTGGGGTATACCGTTTTTCTCATTCCACATAACTTGGTTCTTTTAAAAGTTAGACCAAAGTATTGGTTATCATTCTGTGGGTTCGCATGGGGATTGTTGACCTTAGGTATTTACAAAGTTACAGACTACAAGCAAATTCTTGTCATAAGATTCTTCCAAGCTGGATTTGAAGCTTCCACTTTCGTCGGGGTCCATTTAATCTTGGGTTCTTGGTACAAAGAAGAAGAATTAACAAAGCGTTCAGCTATCTTTACCTCAGCTGGGTTGATTGGAAATATTTTCTCTTCCACAATGCAAGCTGCGATCTACACCAACATGGATGATTTGAATGGGCTTGCTGGTTGGAGATGGTTATTCATTATCGATTTTATTATCACGATGCCAATTATTTTGTATGGTTTCATATTCTTCCCAGATACTCCAGAAACTTGTAATGCGTTTTATTTCAATCAGGATGAGATTGAACTAGCCAAAGCAAGAGTTCCTCAGAGAGAGATAACTAAATTTGACTGGTCTATTTTCAAGAGAGTAGTTGGTAAATGGCACTGGTGGTTATTCTCCTTCCTCTGGGTACTTGGAGGAGAAAATGAATCTTATGGTACCAATACGGTATTTGCACTTTGGCTAGAATATTTTGGCTACTCTGTTACTGAGAGAAACCACTACCCCATGGGTGTTTATGCGGTTGGTATAGTGGCAACAATTTGCTCTGCTCTCTACGTCGACAACACTGGAGCCAAGTATCACTGGAGAATTGCTTTATTAATTATGACATCTATGCTCATCTCAACTATAATATTCCTTGCTAGACCATTGGACGATTCATTTTTATTTGCATCACAGTTCTTGTCGGGTATCTCTTACGCTGGCCAAGCAACCTTCTTTGCGTGGGCTAATGTTGTATGTCAACACGATTTAGAAGAACGTGCTGTCGTATTGGCTTCAATGAATATGTTTAGTAATGCAGTTAATGCATGGTGGTCCATTTTGTTCTATGCCGCTGATACGGCTCCTAAGTTTAGAAAAGGTTGTTACGCGATGTTGGCCACTTCTATTGCAAGTGGACTTGTGGCATGTGCAATGAGATACTTGCAGATTAAAGATCAGAGTAAAGAACAAAAAGAAATGGGGGAATTGGTGGACGTGGAAGCCCTCTCTGTGTCGTCGCAAGAACTTCTGCCTACTAAGGAAGTAGCTGTTGCTACAGAAGAATCAGTGAAATCTGACTGATCGCCTTTATCAAATATTTAATTATAAAATTCTACTATATGAAATAGATGTCTAACTAATTGTGAATTTATTGTAGAAAGCTACCTTGTGTCCAGTTCAGCATCTTTGAACAACTTAAATATGTTATTGACGTCATTCTTCATACTCTTGGTAAGCTCTACTAGGTCTGTATCCGACTTGTTGTACATGATGCAATTCGCAAACATCAACATAATATCCCTTTCAAGTTGTTCAATCAGCTGATATTCGGGTGGGTTCCTCTTCAGTTTTATGCTTTTCAAGATATTCTTCAAGTCCTTTGGTTCATATATTATCTTTGAATATTCTGGAGCGTCTTTAGCATTCACCGGCTGAAGGAATGGCGAAGAAAATCTATGAGCTTGAATTGAGTTAATGAGGTTAATAGCAATATGCTGGAATCTCTTATGTTGCATAGTTGACGAAGGAGAAGATGATCGTTTTCTGGTCCTTGGTTCATCTAAGGTAAGTGAATGTTTTCTAGTTATTGGCCCAGAATTTCCTTCATCATCATGGTGCTCTTCTACATCTTCATCTTCCTCATCTTCGTCCTCATCTTCGTCATTGTTTGCCTTTTCTTCTTCACCCTTGACTTCATCCTCTTCTACAGACTCATCCTCATTTTCTACTTTCACATTGGATATAGACTCAGCATCATCCTTCTTTTCCTCTACTTCTTCCTCCTCCTCTTCTTCGGCGTCTTTTTCAGCTTTTTGGCTTTGGTTTATCTCTTTCACCACTGTATCATGATCCCTTTCTTCATCCTCTTCGTCGTCTTCTTCGGCTTTAGCTTCGGTATCTATTCCTTGATCCATGACATCTGGATCGGCTTCCTCTGGCTCCACATCTTCCATGTTAACACCTCCAGAAACATCTTTAATTTCTATGTTATTTTCTACATCTACAGCTGCTTCTGGGTCCGGAATTCCCTGGTCACTTTCTGGGTGATCTCCAGAAGCCACAACAGCTTCGGAGCCTGTATCTTTACCCACATCGCCACTAGTAGGCACATCTTTATCTACATTATCAGACTGTACCATCTGCTCCTCCAATGCATTGGCCCTTGCCTTCCTAGCCTCAAATTCTTCTCTAATTACTTGACTATTTTGCCACAACTTACTTAAATCATTTACATTTTTAACCAACACATTCAGATACTCAGCAGTAGCTGCTAACACTAGTTTCGACATCTTAGAGTCATACTGCGTGGTATCTATTATCAAGTTCTTCCCTGATATCAGAACGAACTCATTAAATTTCCTTTCCTGAAGTATTTTTATGAAGTTCACCTTACGTAAAAGAGTCTTTTGGCAGTTCGCTATTTCAAAGCTCTGTAAATAATCTTCAGTTAGCGTAACCAAATCGCTTAAGACAACATCTACATCTAACTCAACAGAACTGGCATTTGGTTGAATTTTCAATTTCTTAAGGGAGGTATTTAGAGTTGAAGCGATCAACAACAGAAATAGACTATAATCCAAGTGTTCTTCAGCCATTTTGAGCCAGATATATCACTAATTAAGAACCACTCTGACTTATGTTTACCTACGTCTTTGTGTGCATTTTGAATTTTCATGTCGCACCAAAAAAAAAGAGATCATAGGAATTTTTCAGTTCGGTTATCTACACAGGACTCAGCTTAACTATAATATATATTACTCTATATATCACAACAATTTATGTACAAAAAAGAAGAGTTTGAGGTAACGACCTGCAGCAGGAGATAATCTGCGACAAACTGGCTTGCAAAATACATGAGAAAGTAGTAAAAACTGCCGACATTGCTGGAAGTGAGTATTCTTTCAGCATGTTAATTTGAGCATTTTGCTAGCTCGCTACCTTTTCAATAAATACAATGTATCAATCATTAACGCTTTTGCATGTTTTGCATTAACAAAGCACTAGAAATGTTAGTATATTTTGAGAGCAGGAAGAAACCACAAGTATGAGAGATCTAAACTGGCGCAAATGAGTGTCTTGGTCAGAGTATTATCATGCCCTTCTGGCGCTTCGGGCCCTTATCCAGAGAGGTAGAAACTGAGCTTCTCCTCATTTTTTTTTTTTAACTCCACCGCTGCTAAGGGCGTACCTATACTATCCATCGAATGGCAAATACTAAAAAGACATCCCTTTGCCAATAAACACATCTTCTATTCTTCTCTACTAATACGTACTTTTGTTCTTGGAATCTTTGTCCGACTCTTTCAGAGTGCTTCAAGAATTTTTCGGAACACTTGGTGATACATGAGGATTCCTTGGTGGTCAAGTTTGCTGAAGTGAAATCGTTAACACAATCATCGAAACATTTGGAGACCAAGTTTGAGTATAATCTCATGAAATCCTTCATTTGTTTTTGTTCAACAATTTGTTGAAACTCTTGTTGTTCCTTAACGTTTAATTGGTCCATTATGTATATGTATATTCGGTGTAAAATTAACTAAAAGTAGTTCAATATAGCAACTACAGTGGATAAAAAATTAATGATTCTTCTTTCGTATTGTTGAAAAATTTGAAGTCTATATACAGGATATTTTGCAGCTGAAAAAGCTCATTAAGCTTACGGAGTGCATATAAGCAAGAGAGGTACCAGTATGGTGGGCACTAGCACCAGCACTAGCACTAAATGAGGCTAGGTAATCTGGATTTCTTGGAAAGATAATTATATCACAGGCCTCTCGAAGCCCATGTAGAACCCATCATGTGGTGCTGTACTGTTTTCCTTTTACTGATACCACGGAGCGCACATAAGCTAGCTAGCAAGTTGGTCAGTAGGTAGGAGCTAACAATTGCACAGACCAGGGAATCTAGGGAACGCAATTACATCTCTAATGTTATCTTGGGCAGACAAGTACATTACCAATCTCTCGAAGCCCATACCGAACCCCCCGTGAGGCACTGTACCGTTTTCCCGTAAGCCAATGTACCAGTCCAAAGCCTTCTTGTCCATTCCCCTAGATTCTATCTCTCTAGTCAACTCCTGGTAGTCGTGAATTCTTAGGGAGCCTCCTATTAATTCGCCAATTTCTGGAATAATTAAGTCAAAGCAGGCCACGGTCGGCTGTTCAGAATCGTATACATCTGGCGACGATTGGCGCATGTAGAAAGGCTTCTGGAACTTAGGATAGTCGGTGACGAAAACTGGCTTTTGGAAATGGGTTCCAGCCAACCATTTTTCATGTTCTGTTGTTAGCGTGTCACCCCACTGGAGCTCCGTTTCCTGGCCCTTATTTTCGTTGATGATCTCAAGTGCTTGCTTATACGTTATAGTGGGCCATTGTTGGTCTTCCAATAGTGTATTCCATCTTTGCGATAGGATGTCTACCTTCTCTTGGCTTCTATACGACAGAGACATGTCTTCAAACCCTCCCACAACGGTCTTACTAGCCTCTCCCTTCAGCTGAACCACACTCTGGAGCATTTTCTGTGCAAATTGAGTCAATTGGTGGACATGTTCTACGTGACTAATTTCAGCTTCTAGCATCCAAAACTCACTCAAATGACGGTTTGTGTCCGAATTTTCAGCTCTGAAGCAAGGAGTAAGGGTCCAGACTCTGTTCAACGAAGCCGCTAACACTTCAAGGTGCAATTGAGTGGATACAGTCAAGTAGGCGTTTTTCTTGAAGAAATTCTTCTTCCCTGTAGAACCTACGTAAAACAATTCGCCAGCACCTTCGCAGTCTGAGGATGTGAGAGTTGGTGGACTCACCTTTATGAACAGCTCAGATCTGAAAAAATCCATGAAGCAGCCTTCCAAGTATGATCTAAACCTAAACACCGACGCAACAGTAGCAGTACGATGCCTCAAAGTAGGCAACGTTCTCAAGAAATCCATGCTAGTGGCCTTCTTCTGTATGGGGTACTTGTCGGGCACATTCCCGATCACTGTCATTTCTTTGCAGTGAATTTCGTTAACATTGTCTTTCACCTCCAGCTTCTTGAACTCGCCTACAACTTCGACAGCCTGACCCACTTTCAAGTGCAAGTCTGTGGTGAGCTTGGGGTCTGGGAGAAGTATATTGACCGCGTGGTGGGTAGCACCGTCTGAAACATCAATAAATGCATGACTTTTCATAGTTTTTACGTTCCTAATATGTCCCTTTACCGTCACTGATTCGCCTTCCTTCGCAGTCCCAGAGTGAGCGACGATATCGTGGACTGTATTTGACAATGCATGAGAATGGGCCAATCTTTTGCCCAAAAACGAGAAATTTCCTGCTTTTTTCAGCACTGAGCCGATGGATAGCCTTGCTGAATACATCTCCAGTAACCCACACTATGTAGCCTTCTGAATATGGAGCTCAAGTGTCAACTTTACCTTCTTTCATCTTCCCTCCCGATCGTGAACAGAAAAATTTCGTATATTGAAAAATTTGGACTGCATATACTTCACGCATATAGATAAGATGCATGGTCAGATGGGCTAAACTCTAATGGTCTGACACTTCTTTATAGAAAAAGCGGTAGTAATTGTTCTAAGATGCACTCTCACCACAGTCACAGTGGGGACTATGTGTCGCATGCAACAGACAACTTGGAAGAAATTGTTTCCAGGGCCGAAGAAATGGGGTTTACACACTACTGCTTGACAGAGCACATGCCCAGATTACATGAAAGGTTCTTGTACCCCGAAGAAGAGCAGAAGGCGTACACCTGCAAGAACTTGCAAGAGGATTTTGAAAACTACTTGGTTCATGCCAAAGCGGTGCAGCTGAAGTACCGTGAAAACAAGAGTTCCTTGAAGGTTCTCATCGGGTTCGAAGTGGAAGGTTTAGACACTGAGCATATTGACTACACCAAGCGGCTCTGGGAGGAAAACTCGTCGGTGATTAATATGTGTGTGGGCTCGACTCACTACGTCCACGAGACACCCATCGATTTCTCTCCGGAGCTCTGGCTTGAAGCTATGTCATTGAGTTCTGGCCAGAGTGCCAGGTCCTTGTTCTTAGACTACTTTGAGCTCCAGTACGAAGTGCTAGAATCGCTTAACCCTACGGTAGTCGGTCACTTTGACCTCATTAGGTTATTCGAACCGTCACTGTCCACGGATCCAACCACTGGAAAGTTAATACAGGATATAGACATTGAGACTGACTGGCCCGAGGTATGGGAGCTGATAATCCGTAACATCAAGCACGTTGCACTGTATGGGGGCTTGTTTGAGTTGAACTCAGCTGCCATCAGAAAGGGCTGGAAATCTCCATACCCAAAACGAGACATTGCTGAGGCAATTAAGAAGTACGCCGACGGCAGATTTTGCTTTTCTGATGATTCCCATTCAATAAAGCAGGTGGGCCTCAACTATCATAAAGTCTGGGACTATGTCACCAACCAATTGCAATTGGAGTGGATATATTATTTGGATTTGGATGAAGTGCTGGGTGAAACCATAGTCGCTAAGAAATCTGTCGTTGAGTTGAGCAAATCCAAGTTTTGGGACAAATATAAGCAATAGAAGATACTAGCTACATTACTACTATTTATATTATTATTATTATTATTATTATTATCATTATATGAACTATGTAACACTATTAACACTTCTAATATGATCTACCAAACATACACCAGTACTTAGCCTCTAAATCACACTTAACACACTTTTGGTTCTTTTTGAATGGAGGTTGTTCATATGGAATACACAATGACTTGGCACCCATGGATGGAGCCTTTTCGTCGACTTCTTCCTCTTCACCGTTATCCTTCTTAGCAGATGAGTCCTTAATATCGTCCTCACATTCTGCAACACCACACCATGGAGCAACAATGACATTCTTCTTGTTCAAAGTTGGAACAAAGTCTTTCCATTCTTCAACAGTGACTCTATGTTCGTCGAAATCCTTCCTTGCCTTGGAAAGTAAGCCTTCTTGCATTTCTTCCAAAATTTCTGGAATTCTGGTTTCTAATTCGCTCAACTTCACAACGTACTTAGAGCCATCATCTCTTCTTACGGCAGTTACTTGATCCTTTTCAGCATCCTTTGGACCGTATTCTAAACGAACTGGTAAACCCTTCAATTCCCAGTCAGCGAACTTCCAACCAGTAGTAATGTTTTCCCTATAATCACCAGTGACTCTAACACCAGCGTCCTTTAATCTCTTTTCGACCTTTTCAGCACCGTCATTGATCACCTTCTTCTGTTCATCGGAGGTCTTACTGTTTAAACCAACTGGCATGACACAAACTTGGTATTGTGAAACTCTTGGTGGCAAGACGAGACCCTTGTTGTCAGAATGGGTCATAACCATAACACCGATAACACGGGTAGATAAACCCCAAGAGTTTTGGAATGCGAATACCTTAGGCTTGTCTGAGCCTAATGGGTTCTCCACAGAAATGTCAAACATCTTGGAGAAATTAGTACCCAAATGATGGGAAGTAGCACCTTGAATACCTCTACCAGTAGCAGCAATGAAACCTTCACAGGTTGTTGTGTAATCACCACCAGCGAATTTTTCATTTTCGGTCTTCTTACCCTTGACAACAGGAACAGCTAATAATTCTTCATAAATACCGGCGTACAAGTCCAAGATTTGTTGAACTTCTAAGTCTGCCTCTTCCTTAAGCAAGTGAGCGGTGTGACCTTCTTGCCATAAGAATTCTCTAGTTCTCAAGAATGGTTGAGGGTGCTTGAATTCCCATCTAACGACAGAGTTCCATTGGTTCAATTTTAATGGTAAATCTCTATGAGATCTAATCCACTTGGCGTAGTATGGGTACATGACGGTTTCAGAAGTTGGTCTAATAGCAATGTGTTCATCCAATTCAGAGTTACCGGCCTTGGTGACCCAAGCGACTTCTGGAGCAAAACCTTCGATGTGGTCCTTTTCCTTTTCTAAGACTCTTTGAGAGACAAACATAGGGAAGTATGAATTCTTGACTCCCAACTTTTTAATTCTGAAGTTGAACCAGTCTTGGATTTGTTCCCAGACGTGGTAAGAGTTTGGTCTCAAGATATAACAACCAGAGACATCGTAGTAGTCCAACATTTCACTCTTGACACACACTTGGGAGTACCAGGACGAGAAGTCCTTGGCCTTGTCTACAGTAATACCAATAAGTTGAGCACCTTCGATCTTAGCGGCTTCCTTCTCCTTCTTGAAAGCTTCCTTCTTGGCATCCTTGGCCCCCTTGGAAGCCAGAGCAGCACCAGCACCAGCACCAGGAGCAGGAACAACAGGAGCAGCAGAGAAATCAACTGGAATCAATTCAATACCAGTGGATTCCAAAAATGCTTTGATGGTGGTAGCTGGGAGAGAAGCCTTGGCAGATTCGGTGGATAACTCCAACACGGTCGACTCATCGGCATCTACAATGTTTTGGTCAATGACGATCTTGATCTTACCAGCCAAGTCCTTGTTCAAGTTGGCAATAGATACTTCCTTTGCGGAGACGGCAAAAAATTCTTGCACCAAGTCATCCTTAGCCAATCTTGGCTCCTTAACGGAAGCAGCTTGTGCAACTAATGGCGATGGAGTCTGCGTGGACTGTAATGCGAACACAAGAACTGGCACTGGGGTAGCAGTCTTAGCGGTTTTAGGTTTGAACACCAACGTTTTGGTTGCGACTGCTCCTTCGGCGGAGACAGTAGCCAATGATAAGGCAGCCAAAGATTCAATAAGAGCCATAATATACACGAATGAGCGAACGGGCGGGCGTATAGACGAGTAACTGATGAGCTGTGCTTGTCTGTGCTTGACGTTCGGCTTGGAGTTTTTTTTTTTGGCACTGGCCTTGAATTTTTTTTTTTTTTTTTTTTTTCCGATATTTTTTTTTTTTTTCACTTTCATTACCAATGGCTGTTCATTATATCGCTACCAGATTTTCCACTTCTGTCTTGTAGCTTCTTTAGGCGGTGACTGACTGTGCTTATCTTTCGCGCAACACCTACCTGCCCTAACGTTGACTCATTCTCCTTGCTACGCTAGTGAGTAATCTATAGTATTAGGGGAGTATAAATTACACAAAAGTGCGGTGTAAGAAGCGCTGGTGGAAAAAAAAAAAATATTTCGATTTTTCAGCACAGTGAGACGATCACACAAAAGACACCACTAGGCTATAGAATCACATAGATAGAAGTCCATATACACGTATAGTATCCAGCCCATTGTCGTATATATATATTAGCACAGTATGTCTGTTTACGTTAACGAAAAAACAGGTATAGATACTAAAGAAACTGCCGGTTCTGAACTGGCTCCATTCCAAACACCAGCGTTCGCTGCTTTTACACAACCAGAAGCCAAGATCTTCGTCTACAAGCAATTGGAAGAGTCTGAAGAGTTCGGCTACGCGGAGATATCTGCCTCAGCTTTGAAGAAGGCCAAGAAGGGAGCCGAAGGGTTGAAAAAGAAGTTGGAAAAGCAAGCTAAGGCCGACGAAGAAGCCAAGCTGAAGCAAGAAGAAGCCGCTAAGAAGTTTGCCGAGTTGGACCTCATAAAGATCGAAGAGGACTTGTCCTTACCAAAGGCTGAAAAGATTAAGTTGAGATCTACTACCGAGAAGGTCGACCAGAGAGTTCTTGTCCAAGGTTGGGTCCACCGTTTTAGATTGCAAAAGGGCCTTGCCTTCATTACCTTGAGAGACGGTACCGGATTCTTACAATGTGTCTTGTCAGGAGACTTGGCCAAGTGTAGATCCACCGTGGAATTGACATTGGAAAGTACCGTGGCGATTAAGGGTGTAATCAACAAGTTACCAGAAGGTAAGACTGCCCCAGGTGGTGTTGAATTAAAAGCTGACTACTACGAAGTTCTTGGATTCGCCCCAGCAGGTGACGATTCCATCACTAACAAGGTGCAAGAAAACGCCGACCCATCCTTGTTGTTGGATCAACGTCATTTGACTTTAAGAGGTGAAACCTTATCCGCGGTCTTAAAGGTTAGAAGTGCATTGGTTGACTCCTTTAGAAAGGTCTTTGCTGAACACCACATGATGGAAGTTACTCCACCATGCATGGTTCAAACTCAAGTTGAAGGTGGTTCAACTTTATTCAAGATGGACTACTACGGTGAAGAAGCTTACTTAACGCAATCTTCCCAATTGTACTTGGAAACTTGTGTTCCAGCCTTTGGTGACGTTTTCTGTGTTCAAGAATCCTTCAGAGCTGAAAAGTCCCACACCAGAAGACATTTATCTGAATATACCCACATTGAAGCCGAATTAGGATTCTTAGACTTCGAAGAATTCTTAACCCACATTGAAACTGTTATAACAAAGACTGTCAAGTACGTTTTAGAAGACCCAGTTGCTGGTCCTTTGGTCAAGCAATTGAACCCAGGTTTCACTGCTCCATCTTTACCATTTTTGAGAATGAAGTATGTTGATGCCTTAGATTGGTTGAACGAACACGGAATTCCAAACGAAGACGGTGAAAAATTTAAGTTTGGTGACGATATTGCTGAAGCTGCTGAAAGAAAGATGACTGATGAAATCAACAAGCCAATATTGTTGACAAGATTCCCAGTGGAAATCAAATCTTTCTACATGAAGAAGGATAAAGAAGACCCAAGAGTCACTGAATCTGTTGATGTTTTGATGCCTAATGTTGGTGAAGTTACAGGTGGTTCCATGAGAATCGATGACTTGGCCGAATTAGAAGCTGCCATCAAGAGAGAAGGTCTTGACGCTGAAGCTTACTACTGGTTCACAGACTTAAGAAAGTATGGTACTTTCCAACACGGTGGGTACGGGTTGGGTACTGAAAGAATTTTGGCTTGGTTATGTGACAGATTCACTGTAAGAGACTGTTCGTTGTACCCAAGATTTACTGGTAGATGTAAGCCATAGATGGAAGTATTTTTTTAAGAACATATGTATAATAATTGTATAGCATATTAAAGTAATACAGAAGCGATCATGTAACTAAAGAGGATGGTGGCAGCGTAGAGGAATAGTAGAGTTTATCTCTGAAGAGCTACAGTGAACTGCGAGACAAAGCACTGAACAGAGGAGTACGCTGTAGACCACAAGAGATAGAGTGAACATTGGGTAGAAGGATTCCATATGGCTTCTACCCGAAGAGCTGTAGTGAACTGTGTGAACTGTGTGAGCTTCTGTGCAAGCGATGAGATGAGCGATGAGCGGTGCGATGGAATGAGAGAACACGACAAGTAGACTGCCAACAGAAAACTGAAGACAGAAAAAAAGCTAGAATTCAAAACTCAATGAAGCTGGACTTCTCTGAGATGCCCCAACCCTTATTCGCGAGAAGAAGTCCTTAACCTTCTACAGCTAGCATCACCTTACTGAAGCTAGTAGACATACTCCATGGTTGCAGACCTGTATATAGAAGCTACCAATTATTTTTTTTCACTTTCCCCATGAGTCAGACCTAATTGGGCAATTTGAAAAATTTTAGCGCGGTGACGAATCTTTATAAATTATAAAGTTGTCCATAGTGTTTCTCCTTTTCTTCCATAGCAAATACGTTAACGGTTGACACTTCCGATATTTTTGCGCTAGAAACACGATCTTTCTTACAATATGTCACAGCAACCAGCAGAAAATAAGTTATGGGGTGGTAGATTCACTGGTGCAACTGATCCGTTGATGGACTTGTACAACGCCTCATTACCATACGATAAAATTATGTACAAGGCAGATTTAGAAGGTACTAAGGTATACACTGAGGGTTTAAACAAGATTAACTTGCTTACCAAGGAAGAGCTTTCAGAAATTCACAGAGGCTTAAAGGAAATTGAAAAAGAATGGGAAACTAACACCTTTGTCGAGAAGGCTGGTGATGAAGATATCCACACTGCCAACGAAAGAAGATTGGGAGAAATAATTGGGAAGCACATTGCTGGTAAAGTGCACACTGGTAGATCAAGAAATGATCAAGTGGCCACAGATATGAGAATCTACGTCCGTGAAAGACTCACCCAGCTTTTGCAATTTCTTTCCGAATTTGTTAAGACTATCTTGAAGAGAGCCGAACAGGAGATCGATGTATTGATGCCTGGCTATACCCACTTGCAAAGAGCCCAGCCTATCAGATGGTCCCACTGGTTATCCATGTATGCTACCTACTTCACCGAAGATTTCAAGAGAGGTAAGCAAATCTTGCAAAGAGTTAACCAATCACCATTAGGGTCAGGTGCCCTTGCTGGTCACCCTTACGGTATCGATAGAGAGTTCTTGGCTCAGGGTTTGGGCTTCGAGGCTCCCATTGGTAACTCATTAACTGCTGTGAGTGACCGTGATTTCGTCGTTGAGACCTTGTTCTGGTCAAGTTTGTTCATGAACCACATTTCCAGATTCTCTGAAGATTTAATTATCTACTCCACTGCCGAGTTTGGCTTCATCCAGTGCGCTGATGCTTACTCTACTGGATCTTCGTTGATGCCTCAAAAGAAGAATCCAGACTCTCTAGAATTATTGAGAGGTAAGTCAGGTCGTGTTTTCGGTTCCCTTGCTGGGTTCATGATGTCTCTTAAGTCCATCCCATCTACCTACAACAAAGATATGCAAGAGGACAAGGAACCATTGTTTGATGCTTTGACCACTGTAGAACACTCTATCTTGATTGCTACTGGTGTCATTTCCACTTTGTCCATTAACAGGGAAAGAATGGAAGGTGCTTTAACTATGGATATGTTGGCCACTGACTTGGCTGACTACTTGGTCAGAAAGGGTGTTCCCTTCAGAGAAACGCACCACATTTCTGGTGAATGTGTTAGAGCCGCTGAAGAATTAAAACTTTCTGGTATTGATCAATTAACTTTAGAACAATTCAAGAATATTGATGAAAGATTCAACGAAGATGTTAAGGATGTTTTCGATTTCGAAGCTAGTGTTGAAAGAAGAACTGCAACTGGTGGTGCAGCAAAGTCTGCTGTTTTGAAGCAACTTAAAAACTTGGACAGTCAGTTAAACTAGATAAGTGTTTGGATTAAGGTTGAATTTAATAAAGCTATATCAAAAAAGAACAAAATATATGTGAATTAGAAAGAGTAAGCTGTGCTACAGATATATTAGTACCCATAAAATAAAATATAAAATATAAAATTAGACTAATACTACTGTGTAATGTTTACCAACATTCTTCAGGTGTATCTCCGTTTCATCATTAGCTATGTACCCGTTCACCTACGTTCTCTAAGTGTATCAATTTCATGCATTAGTTCACCTTGTAGGCATATTGTCTCCATAATTCACAACCTGGTCAGGACTTGGTCAGGACCTGGCCAGGACCTACTCAATGTGTGTTATTCACTTCACTTTACTTCACTGTTCTTCTATTTTTGCAGCTGCCTTGGTACTGCTTGGTTATCTGGCGCAGGAGATGTTGGGCAGCTAAGGAGAAACTCTTGTAAGGTCATGTTTCTCTCGCTCTCTTCTCTTGCAGGGTAAGTTTTATCCAAAGAGAGAGCGGTTGACATCTCCGGTTTAAACATGGGGTGTAACTGATATTCTGAATTGTACTTCGGTAAGCCCTTAAGCGGCTGCTGTTGAGCCAATAGCATGCTGTTTCTTCTTTCGAGGTTACACTCTTCATTTGTTATAATGTCCAAGTCTATGATAGGTTCAAATGCACTTGAAGCAACAGACTCCGGTGAGCTGAATACTTCTGAGAACTTATTCGACGAGCAGTCAGAGTCCTTTCTTTGTTTCTTGCTCATCTCAAAATCAATTGACAATGACCTCTTATGGCCAAAAGTAAATGATGTTGGTGATGCTGGATCGGCCGTATTTCTATTGTTATCTTTAGAGTAGTCTTGCATTTAATTCAAAATGGTATACAATAAGAAAACACATGTGTATCAACAGAAAGTTAAAAGTTTGCGTCTTTATATAAGTCTTGACCTAGCACATCTCCGTTCAGAAGTGTATCTCATTCAAAGTAGGAATAATTTTTTTAGGTTGCAACCTCATGCAAGGTAAAGTAAGCGGGTTAAGTTGTTAGAGCGAATCGCATTTGTCCGATACTCAAAGGGGAACCATGAGTAAGATCAACCCAGTGAACTTGCTGCAGAGATTCATAAATAAGCCAGCAAACAAAAGTATAAAACCTTAATTTAGAATCATTGAGGCGAGCGAGACGCAGAGATTCATTCCACAGCACTATAGAAGGAGAAAATCTTCACACCTTCTAATTACGAAGAGCAGATCTAACGCTGGCTGGATGTACCACGAAATCCATCTGGTCACTGCACCAAGAGATCCTTTCGGCAACAGTGAAGAAAAATCATAAGATTATCAACCTTGGTGTGAGTAAGCATCAATAGGGTTTGGCCGAAAAGTCTCATCTTGCATGTCCGTTTGAATGGCATATTCATCTAGACTTGCATGAACAGGTGAAGCGGAGCAACCTTCTATGATCCTCGCATTTGATCTGAAATGACGCAGAACAGTTGGACCTACGGCCCATTGGTGGCTTACGAATGCACTTAAGCAGTTCTATTATAACACTTACGAAGCAGTAATACACTTTTACACTCTCACACTGCATAATAGTTAAGGGTCCACTTTCTTCACCTTCAATTTTCAAGCACAATGTACAAGCACAATGTACACGCACCCATACATACTCGCTTTAGGTTGGTCCTACTCCTGCACTGGATGTCAGCTGCACCACTTGTCCACTAAAGGAAGTGGGGCCCGGTCAGAAGCAGCCCTACGTGCATGTACTCTATCTAGTTGTGGGATCTGGTGTGTCACATCTATGCGCTACGACTGTGTGCTACCACTGTGACGGTTCCATCCTACTTCAGTTCCTCGGGACGCCAGTTGAGATGTTTGCATTAACTGGGGCAAGCTATCCAAAATCCGAGTTGGTTACCATGGTGCTGGAGTACAGACAGTCAGTTAAATCCGTTAGATTCGGCATCAACTTGAAGCACCAGTACATTTCCTTGCATCTTCTTGCTTCACTGGTGTTTGCACTGTGCTTCAAAATCCACACATTCTGATACTGTGCTAATCTCTGTATGTGGTGTACGGATGTGCTCATTTCTAAAAGTGTCAAAGTCGTCTCGACACAAATTTTGCAACACACTTGTTGCAAACTCCTTACCGATGTGAAGCAGGTCACCACTATATTACGCTCACTGTTCTTCCTTTAGTACTGTAGCTGCAACTACAATTTAAATCCCGCTCACAACTTTGAACCCTCTGCAAAAGCTTAATCAAGTTGCTCAATGAAAAGTCACATCTTTGCTCCATTTTGCATGTACAAAGATGTAGACCTATACAACTGCTCTTTCGATACTTGCAAAAACCTTGAAGCTGCCTTTGCAGATTTGGCAAAGAAGATATCCGAGGTCAAAGAGAAGAATCTAGACACGTCGGCAGACGCCGAAATAGACATATTCGAGTTGTTATCCTCTTTGGTAAGACTGTGTACTTTCAATGAATGGTACGATGAGAAGGATGCACTCACAAGCAATGTCCTCCCGTGTCTACTCTGCTACCACTTTATCAGTCCACTGCTTTTTAAAAGGATCAGACCGAAAATCAAGGACGGCTCCTTCCAGCGTGTATTGTACGAAATGTGTCAGTCCATGGAAGCATCAGATGTTAAAATAGGCATTTTAAGCTACTACACATATCTTGATTTGAATCATCATGAACTTTTAGTGCTTAAGTCGCCGTTTGCATACTCCTTAATCCCGAGTTTACAGATTTGTAAAGACTTACTTGGTAATTTGCTTGAGGTGATTGAAAATGATACAAATTCTGAATTGGATAATGTCAGCTTGTTCGAATGCTTGCAAACGTGCATTTCAAGCTCCTCGGTACGCACTACTAGAGAATTAATGTCCATCATGATCAAGAATGATGAGGAATTACTTGGTAAGCTAGACGGTCTTCTTTCCAGGCCACAGGTGAGCCGCATGACGGAATTGAATGGACGCTGTATCGAACTATTGCTAGATAGAACCATTTTAACGCTAATTTCCAACGGTATCGACTTAGCTAAAGACGGTGAATCAATTCTAGGTAAAAGGTGGAAAGCTAACAAAGGCAAAGATTGTAGAAGTTTCAACAGATTTTCACCTCAAAATCCAGAATCCGTTCAAAACTCTTTAGTCTTTATCATGGAATGCGTTGAACATGGTCCCAGCTTAGAAATCATGAATTCTAAATCATTACTGCTCTACTACTTCCTTTCAATGAGAAATTTGAATTCAGAATTGAACAAGCAGAAGTTAGAAGTTTATAACCAGTTCAACAGGACTAGGTGTACCATTTCGTTGAACCATTTGCTCATCAATACCATTTTCAATATTTGTACAGAAGTGATCGAATCTAAAAAGAAGCCGTTTGAGTTTCCAAGTGTGATGAAAAGGCATTTTGATATTTTCATGTTACCACCTATGGCCAAAGCAAATTATTTAGTAGAAACCCTGGAGGAATCGTTGGAGATTAAAATGTCTAACAGAAATCAGAATCTTAGACACATATCAGACACACTATTATTGACGTGGAACATGTTGATCGAAGTTTTTCCTGAGGAGTTCTATACTTTGCCAGGATTGGCAGATAGTAAAAGTACAGCTATCAAAATTCTCAACAATACATTAGATTTATTCTTGAGTATCATCTTTAGCTCAAGTTATTTGATCTTGAATGATTCTATAAATATTGGGAGCGATGCATTCAAGCTTATTGGGACAGTTATATTAAAGAGGGCATTGTCGACCTTTTTTAATCTTTCAATGAGCTTTTATCATTCGGAGGCACAAGCTGAAATGACGCTTAAAGCAATTTGCTTAATTAATTATGCAGATAAACTATGCAATGCAAGTCTTGAGTATATACCTGTCGTTGAGAAGGTACTCAGTTTGGTTGATCTTGTGGAAATATTTGATTCCGATTTGTCGAAAGCCAAACTACTCAAATTTGTGACGCAGTATGATCATTCTTACCGCAGTGTCAAGGTATTCTTATCTGGGGGTGAATTAATAGAACCCACTTCAACATCGTCAACTGACACCTACACATCCATATCCTCCGATACTGCAAGTACCAAAGTGCCCATAAAAGATTTTATGATATACTACGAAGATGAAAAATTGGAAGCACTAAGCGGAGATTTCAACAATCAATCTCTAGGTTCATCAAGTTCCTCGTCACACTACGCTGCTAATCATCAAGCTAAGAGAAATGAATTGTTTTCAGCAAACAGAAATAGTTTACACTAAGTTATTTCGTCAGCGCTTGATTTCAATCACTTTTTCAAATAGATTATACTATGAATATATGCCTATCAATGTTTCATCGTTCATTCAATAGCTATCTATTCAAATACTTGGTACCCTCTGGTTGTTTTCTAGTCCCGCTTTGCATTTGATGTTGCAGATCTCTAGCTTGCCTGCAGTATTTTATATGCACATCCTCATATTTTTTTTTTTCATTTTGGTAAACCTCATCGCACCATTTACAAAGGCCAAACTATAGACATAATATTCATACCTATTTTCTAATTACTCTATTGGTATCATGGTTTTGAAGTCTACATCTGCTGGAAACGTTTCCGTGTATCAAGTTTCTGGTACTAATGTATCTCGTTCGTTACCAGATTGGATTGCTAAGAAAAGGAAGCAATCATTGAAGAATGACATTGAATACCAAAATAGAATCGAATTGATTCAAGATTTTGAATTTAGTGAAGCTTCAAACAAGATCAAAGTCACTCCGGACGGACAATTTGCCATGGCTACAGGTACTTATAAACCTCAAATTCATGTCTATGACTTTGCCAATTTATCATTAAAATTCGACAGACACACAGATTGTGAGAACGTTGATTTTGTTATATTGTCTCAAGATTGGACCAAATCTGTTCACCTTCAAAACGATAGATCTATTGTCTTCCAGACTAAAGGGGGAATCCACTACAGAACCAGAATCCCTAAGTTTGGTAGGGATATGGTCTTCAATGAAAATTCATGTGACTTATTTGTTGCAGCGTCAGGAAATGAATTATATAGATTGAACTTAGACCAAGGTAGATTTTTGAACCCGTTCGTCTTGGACACAAAGCAGGGAGTCAACTCAGTGGAGATTAACCCTGTTCATGGTTTAATTAGTGCAGGTTTGGAAGATGGTACTGTAGAATTCTGGGATCCTAGATCCAGACAAAGGGCAGCAAAGTTATTCGTAGCGGATCAATTAGGAGAGTCGGTGCAAGTTACATCCACTGCACACAGAGGCGATGGTTTGAATTTTGCATGTGGTACTTCAAATGGTATGTCACTTATTTATGACTTGAGAACTTCACAACCATCTATAGTGAAAGATCAAGGTTACGGATTCGAAATTAAGAAGATGATTTGGTTGGATGCCAACGAGAATGATTCTGACAAGATTTTGACTACGGATAAGAGAATTGCTAAGATCTGGGATAGAAATGATGGTAAAGCATTTGCATCGATGGAACCAAGTGTAGACATTAATGATGTTGAATACATTAAGAATACTGGTATGTTTTTCATGGCCAATGAAGGTATACCAATGCACACATATTATGTTCCAGAATTGGGACCAGCTCCTAAATGGTGTTCCTTCTTGGATAATGTTACGGAAGAATTGGAAGAAAAGCCTTCCAATACTGTCTACTCCAACTATAGATTTATCACTAGAGATGAAGTCACTAAATTGAACTTAACTCACTTGGTTGGTTCCAAGGTATTACGTTCATATATGCATGGTTTCTTCATTGATACAGAACTTTATGATAAGGTTAATCTTATTGCAAACCCCAACTCATACCAAGATCAAAGAGATAGGGAGATTAAGAAGAGAATTGAAAAGGAAAGAGAAAGTAGAATTAGAACTACTGGGGCCGTCACAAACACTAAAATTAAGGTTAATAAGGGATTGGCTAGTAAATTGGCTGAGAAGCAAGGCTCCACCGCAGCAGAATCGTTCATTAATGACGATCGTTTCAAGGAAATGTTCGAAAACCCAGAATTTGCTGTTGATGAGCAATCTCACGAATATAAACAACTTAACCCTGTTAGATCTAGCGCTGCCACAGCTAGTAAGGACTTGGAGAGCACGGGTAATGGTAGATCTCGTGCATTAACTGCCGCTGAAGAATCTGATGAAGAAAGAGAACAGTTTAATAACAACAAGGAAAGCAGTGATGAAGAAGATGAAGAAGACAGCGAAAGTGAAAGTGAAAGTGAAGCTGACAAATCTGAAGATGAAAGAATACTTCAGCAACAAAAGCAAAAGGTTCAAAAGGAGATGGAACGTTTGCGTAAGAAGAAGGAAGCTAAATCTGAGGCTGACAGATTCATGAATGAAATGAAGGCTATCACTACTGATGACACTAGAAATGGAGGAAAGAACACTGTTTCTTTCGGAACTCAAGTAAAGCGGAACGACAAGGACTACAGAGTTCAGAAGCAAGGTAGTGATAACACCAGATTACATCGTCATGCTAGAGGTGAAGCTGAAATGACTTTTGTCCCACAAAAGGCAAAGAAGCAGGCCAGATTTGCAAAACGTGAAGAGGAAGATGAGGGAGATGATGAAGAAAAGATGAAAAATAGTGGAAGAACAAAACAAAGATTTGATGGTCGTAGAAGAGCTTCAAAGAATGCCTTCCGTGGTATGTAATATAGTTAGTCATAGAAATAAAATTTAATAGCATTAAACCGTTCTGCCTCTATTCGTAAGTTTTTAAGTAGGTTTGATAAGAATGAAGGCCCATAATCTACGTCAATACGAGAGCACACTGCTTCAGTAACGAATCTGAACCCATCGCTAGATTCATATCACGTGACTCGTGTGATGATCTATAAACTCTCGATGCGGCGTAAGCTCTATGGAAATGAAGACTAAAGTATTAACAGTAAGAGATTGACTTCTTTAGCAGTAGAAATGTCGGCAAAAAACAAGGAAGCACAATCTGGGATTAACAGGTTTCTTGCATTAAAAAATCGAGAAGCTGGAGTGCTTGAAAGTAACCCAAATCTTAGGCCTAAATACGTCCAGAAAGAGCAGTCGATTCCCCAGGCAGATAAATGGAGATCGGTGGTACTTGGAGAGATATCGACCAGATTAACGAAGATAAACGACCCCACAGCAAATGAGTATCAACTAAGAGATTTGAATGATGAGTTGAATAAGTTATTCAAAGAAAAACGTGCTTGGGAGTACCATATACGGGATCTCGGAGGGCCAGACTATATAAGTCTCAACAACAAGCAGACTGGTACAGATCTCCCTGGAGTGGAAGTCAATGGATATCGATATTTTGGTAGAGCCAAAGAGCTTTCCGACGTCAAAAAAGTTCTCGAAGAAAGAGAGAAGCACCGAAAAAGCAGCAATAAGCTGAGAGATGATGCCAAGCAAGAGAAGGTCAAATTTGCTCAACGTGAAGCTCGCTTAGACAGCGAGTACTATGGGTTCGATGAGATGGAAGTGACGAGCCAAGAGGGAGTAGTTTACGATCAGGTAAGTAGCATACTACAGAGGAGAATGGAATCTGAAAATAATATTAACGATACATGCATTGACGTCGATGACTTGCTAGTCTATGAAAATAGTAGAAGCAAAGAACTTCAGAAGGACAAGGCTGATCTTCTAGACCCAGCTAGTGATATTGTGGACGAGGATATACCCACTTCGGAGCAAGTCGCTAAATGGCTAGTTAGTAGGCGAAAGAGGTTATTATTGGCCAAATTAGGACAAAATTAGGTATACTATATTAGTATGTATATAAATTTACATACATGTTTGACATGTTTGACATGTATTGACATATACGAGAGTCTTCACTCTGCAGTAGTTGGGATATCTGTTCCTGCAATTGCCTATAAAGGGCCAAGTAGTGTCTTCTTGTAATCTCAACAATTAGTGATGGGGACATCAAGGCCCATTGAATGGAGCTCATCAAAGCTTATCAATTTCACTCCAGATGACTTGTACTTTGCGTCAGTCTCTCCGTCTTTCTCAGGATATACGCTCCTTGTATAGTCTTTAAGTACGTAAGTATAGAATCCGAATTCCAGCGCATCTACAGCAGAATTAAGTACACAATAGTCATAAGCCAATCCTACGAGGACCACTCTTGTGACACCCTTCCCCTTTAAGTAATCCTTCAAGTCTGTATTGTCTAGTTTCCAGCAGTCTCTGAAACAAGAGTAGTACTCTCTATCCTTGAGCGAGCCCTTAGTAACAATTTTAGCAGTAGTTGGTGGCAACAAGATATCCAACTTTTCTTCAAGGTCGGGATCTAATTTAGCACCGTCAGTACCTTGTACACAGTGGTCCGGCCATACGGTCTGCAACTTAGTTTCAGCACCGTTGTCCGGGTTTACAAACTCCAACTCAGTGAATGGAGCCACCTGGTGGTTTGAGGCAAAGGAAGTATGATTTTGTGGGTGCCAATCCTTCGTTGCTATGACGCAGTCCCAGTTGAGATCAAGGAGTTTGATGATTGGTTGGATAATGGAATTGGCATCTTTCACAGCAAGTGAGCCGTTGATGAAATCCTCCTGTAGATCGACAACAATTAAAGCAGACATTTCGATTCAAGAAAGGAAGCCAATAACGAGTATTTGCAATGAAGAAGAAGGCGGATAAGGAGCGATAAGAAAAGGGTTTCAAATGTGTCAAAAGTGAAAAATCTCAAACTCACACATCCGTGCGCGCGCATACACTTACATGGACCTACAGTAGCTAGTAAAGTTTCACATACATTCATTAACGTTACATTCGCTCTTCTTCTGGTTTCCACGAGCCCAGGAACATGTGTTTGGCGAGAGCCCACTTATGTTTCGAAGTTTTGGCACCCATTTGTCCAACATCTGGTGAAAAGGAGGTGATTGGTAATACCAAAACATCATCCACCAATATGGGCAGCGTCATCCCAGTGAACATTTTCCATGTAACTACATCATCATCGATGACCTTATTTTTAAAATTCTCTTGAGGCTGCATGACATTATTCATGTAGCTGAACACATAATCGGTCCAGATCCCTGGACCTGTCCAATCCATAATGTCTCCACCTTCATCTTTACCTAACACCTTGCGCAACTGGCCGTTCTTCTTTCTGGTGAGAGTTAGGTTTGTAATCTGGGCAATTAATTCTCGGAGCAAAGGATGGCCGCTTTTTGATTGGATGGTCCATTGGCAAAATTGCACTCTTCTGGCGTACCAGTCGTGCCAATCCTCCCTATCGGGGTCTGCTTCTATCCCTACTACAATACCTGCGGTGTTTGGCTCGCCATTCATGGTTTCATTTAAAGAGGGCCATACGTCGATGGATTTTAAGCCCACGGTATCAATATCCGAATACACACCGCCTCTGGCAAACAAGATCAAGTATCTGAAAAAATCTGCCTTGAGAATGTTCTTGGGCATACTGTTGTAGGCGTTGGTGACATCAGGCACTGTAGAGTAGAGCTGGTTAATCAACTCGAGACACATTTCGTCAGAGAGCACGTGTCTCTTGTATGTGGGATTATTATCCTTCCATGTTTCCAGATATGACTTGTAATTTTTTGGGAATGTTTCATCGTCTTCGGTGACTTTCCAAGTTTGCCAGATGTTCTTTGGAAAAGGCTTTTTAGGCTCGTATGGAAACTGATAAGCTAATTGTTGCCTTAACGTGGCATCGTCGGGTAATCTTGCCTTGTTATTTAGTTGGAAATTGAATCCATATTTCTTGATATGTGCAAACTTCTCTAGCTCTAATTGCTGCTTCTGTGAGTTGGAGAGTGACTTTGAATTTAGCTCAGTTGCAGTACGATGCGCGTTTGTGACTTTTAAAGTGTTGATGAAGATGTATAGTACTACAATTAGAAATACAAAAATAATTATCGGTCTCTTATTCTTAGCCATGGCAGTGGTTTGATTGAATTACAGGTATGTTTTAACGTAAACAAATACCCAATGTGTTCAATTCAATAGTGTTAAAGCTAAAGTCCTAATTAACAGAGTATCAAGTTTTCATCTGGCCGTGTTTTATTTTTTTCATCGGTGCCAGGGACGCAGCCTCTTCTTCATGCAGGCAAGTGTCAAATAAGGTGGAAAGGTCCTCTTAGGACCTGTTAGGTACGGGAAGTGTGTCAGTAGTGCCGTGTGTGTTAGCTGATCCGGTAGAATTTAGTAAGGGTACATAACTATGTCAAAGTGTCAGTTGTGCTGAACCTTTCAGGCGATATGACAAATTCTTGAATGCTTGGCCCCTCGCCAATACCATGACATAGATTGTAAGTAGCATGAGTATATAAATAGCCTTTTCTTTCGCTTGTTACATAGACGTAGCTACAGGTGCTGTTATACCCCATGTAATATATAAGAGTGTTCTGGTGAAAAAATGTAGCATATATGTACCTGACGTAGTAGAATGTGAATAGTCTACTTTTATATAATATAGCTTGCATTTATCTTCTACAATAGCCGCAGCTTCACTTGCTCCACACTATATACCACAGTATTCTTCTACAAATATACAGAGAATATATATATTCTCTGTATATTTGTAGAAGAATACTGTGGTAT